CCCCACCAGTCCCAGAAACCCCAGACAATCACAACATTTATAGCTCTTTAAGAAGTGATGTCTCAGCTGCAAATTTTGGACAAGATGTCTTACTGGCTATCATGACTGAAGACCAGCTCATGCAGTTGGCTCAACTATCAAGACTTCAATCCCAATATGGCGGTGACCTGGCCCACCTAGTAGCCTCTAGAGGTCATTCCAATCTTCAACAACTACTCCAAAGCCTACCTACTGTTGCCCCTCCTCCTCCACCACCACCACCACCACCACCTTCTTCTGTTTTACCAACCCCTACATCTTCATGCTCTTCAAATACTACACTCTCTTCTGCTACTTCTTTATCCATTTCCTCCCAAGATTCTATCGAAGCCGCTGTCAATGCAGCTGCAGCTGCAGCTGCTACTGCCTCTTCCTCTTCTTCTTATAACCCTCCTTCTTCTTTCAATACGTTTGATTTTGAAGCCTCCCCATTGGCAACCTCTTCAAATACAAATACAAATCCAAATCCAAATCCAACTGCTACGATTGCAACTCCCACATCTTCCACGGCTCTTTCGGCGCTGGCCCCCACAGAGGCGTGTCCACCGTCGCCCCACAACATTACCACCGATCTCTCACCTTCCCCACTCTCATCACGCGCAAATTCCGTCGTGATGCTTACTGGTCTCAATTCTGCTTCTTCTTCTCCTTCCGCTACTCATTCGGTTCCTTCCCCTTCATCAACCTGTATTTCTAAACCTCCAACTCCATCTGCCGCGGCCGCCGCGGCCGCCGCCTTGGCTGCTGCCACTTCCAAACCTTTCCGCAAGCAATCTGAGAGCCGCATCTCGTTACCTGAGCTTTATATTCGAATGGGTCTAGGCCATAATCATGAAGAGGCTCGCAAGCGCGAGCAACGGATTCTTGGTATTCTACGTGCTGAAGGGTTCCAATTGGGTGAACGGACTTGGATTCGTGATACTACTGAAAAGGACCGCCGTAGAATTATTGATGAGATTCATCACCAGACATTTGCAGACTACTCGTACCCCAAAGAGCTTATTGAGGTCATTGTGCGCCGCGGCTCGTATTACCTCATGCAGGGCCGGCTGCGCCGGATCCGCCGGGGCCGCAAGGTCGAGCTTGCTCAACAGGCTAAGGCGTTGGCTGGTAAGCGTGGATTAGTTCATGGTGGTAATAGTAATAATGGAAGTGGAAATGGAAATGGAAGTGGAAGTGGAAGTGGAAGTGGAAGTGGAAGTGGATGTGTTAGTGTTAGTTCTTCTTCTACATTATCTAGTAGTAATTCTTTGGCAATGGTTCCTATGGATGGTAATAGTGATAATAACTTGACCAATTCAACAGGGTCAACAGGCAACTCGCCGTTAGATGGAAGTGGGGGGTCTCCGGAATGCGAAGAAGATGAGGAGATGCCGTCCCCGATTGAGGCACCGGCGGGTCCTATTGCCTCAGACAGTACTGATACTACATTAGAAAGTCAGTTTCTCAACTAAACTGTTTCTTCTTTTTTTTTTTTTTTTTTTTTTATTCTTATTCAATTCAATTCTATTTACTCTATTCTTGTTTATTTTTTTTTAACTCTCTTTTAATGATTAATGATTAATGTCCTGTGTTTTTAGTTTCTTCTGTTTTATTTACTCCTTCTTTTCCCCCTTTTATTTTGTACTAGTATAAAAGCCAAAAAAAAAAAAAAATTAAATATTAACAAAATAATAACAATGTTGAACCCTTTGAAATATAATAATAATAATATTCTTAAATAAATTGGTATATATCCATTTCTAGAATATTTTAATTCAAAAAAAAAAAAAAAGTCAATTAATTTCTATATAATATACCCGTTTTTTATTTTTTTTTTTATTTTTTTTTATTTTTATCATTATTTTCCAACCACCAACCTTTTGGCGATGTTTCACGTGCAGGAGTATTGATTAGAATCTGAGAGCAAGATTTGACAAAAATGTAACCAAATGTAACTATTTGTAATGTAACAAATAAAAATAAAAATAAAAAAGAAAAAGAAAAAGAAAAAGAAAAAGAAAAAGAAAAACTGAATATAGACAAAATTGTTTCTTCTCTGAAGAGTTTACCCAAAAACAGTAGTCAAACAGATTGCTTTTGAAAAAATAAAATAAAATAAAATAAAATAAAAATTTATAAAAGTTTTTAAAAAATAAAAAATTTCCAAATTTCTATATTATTTGCTGGTTTGGTAAAGAGGAACCGAAATATGAAAGTCATTTTCAACGGGGATATTCGTTTTCGGTTTTTTTTATTATTATTTATTATTTATTATCCCTATTCCTATTCTTCTTTTTCTTCTTCTTCTAAAACCGTTTAAATAAGTCAATTCTTCTTGGCTTTGTTTCAATTGACTTTTTTTATTTATTTTTTTACCATTTTTCTTTCTTTCTTTTTTTTTTTTTTTTTGTTTGATTGCCCTGAGATTTTTTTTTTTTTGTTTGTTTCTTAAGGACCAAAAGGTACAAGGTTTGGTAGTGTTTTTAATTAAGTCATTTAAAGATTGTTTATTAAAGTTCCATTATTGTTCTTTTAATGATAATAATATTTAAACCCCTGTCCTTCTTATTGATGTTAATGTTGTTGATTTAATGATAAGAATATTAATATTATTAATAATAATAATAATAATAATAATAATAATAATAATAATAATAATAATAATTTGCCAAATTAAAAAACTATTCAAAACTTATAATCAAAATTCTTTTATTTTTTTTTTTTTCATTTTCATTCTCACACCATTTCTTATCCCCCATTTATCTATCTATCTATCAATTTGTTAATGATTGGTGATTACCAAAAAAAAAAAAAAAAAGTTTCTTTTTTAATCACCGGTGATATCGTGGTTAAATTTAGACTTTATTTATGTCTATTATTATTATTATATTATTATTATTATTATTATTTTTTCACCCATTATTTTATTTCAGATGGACACAAAAAATTATATAATAAAAAATACAAAAATAAAATACGGGGGGTTTTTTTTTTCTTTTTCTTTTTTTTTTTCAAAAAAAAAAATAATTAACCAAAAACTTGTTGCACTTGCTCATTTATTTTTATGAGTCCATTTGCGCAACCATCCGCGCATGCAACCACACCCAATAAAGATAGTTTATCTTAGATTGTAACCTGATTAAAATTTTATATTTTTATTTTTTTTTATTTTATTTTTATTTTATTTTTTGGTTTTTAACCTTGATAATCAAGAAACTTGTCTTAATGATAGTAGGTAAAATTATCGCTTTTAACAAATACTTAATGCCGATTCGTTCTTTATTTATTTTTTTTTTTCGGAGATTGCTTTAACCTTTTTTTTTGTCTTTATATTTTTATACGTAATGCCAATATTATCAAATAAAAATAAAAGTCTTGGACTTTCATAAATTAGCGCTCAAACAATTCTATGCTTATATTCAACTTAAATGTTCAACCGAAAGATGAAATGAAAAAAAATAAATAAAAATAAATAAAAAGTAGCAAATTTTAAGTGTTATTGAAATGACTTGTTTTATTTTTATATTCTCAATTTCTGTTCATTTTTTTTAAGTCCTATTTCCTAAAGTACTATTTTATTTTCCTTCTTTAATTATAATTAATCTATAAATCTAAGTAACAACATTCAAGTTCTTTGTTTTTGAAATCTCTTTCGGACTAACCCATTCACAAGAAACGACGAAAAAAAAAAAAAAGAAAAACAAGAGTTGACGCATAATCAAAGACAAAGATTTTTTTTAGAAAATATTTAAAGATGACTCTCGTATTAATCAGAAATTTGTTTTTTTTTTCTTTTTTTCTTTTTTAATTATCGACCAAAAAAAAAAAAAATTAAAAATAAACTGAAATCGAATAAATCAACATCTAGGAAAATTAAAATTAAAATTAAAAAGAAAAAAAAAAACCACCTCAGAATAAACAAAGAACAAAGAATAAAGAGCGACGGGCAAAATGGTAATGAGCAATGGACAACTAACTACGGAAAACAGACAACGGACTCCTGTCAGCATAGAGTGCCATACAAATAACGACCAACCGGCTAAGGATCAAAATAATCTCAAGGCAAATTAAACAATTCCAATTAGGGCTCACTTTTAAAACCTAACACTTAACACCTAACACTTAACACCTAACACTTAATACCTAAACTTAAAAATTTAAGACATAAATATTATGACTTGAACAATAATACTTAAATTAAATATTTAAACCCTAACCCTGATCTACAATCGTTATTATTATTATTAATTTTTTCTTTCTTTCTTTCTTTTCAAATCTTTGTAATACTTTCGGGGGTTTTTCAATACCTACACTCTAACAACAATGTCCATGATTAACGATATCGTCGAACATTTCAATAATGAGGACCCTCTGCCGCCGGCTCCTCCAGCCCCGGTAACTCCTCACACAAATCAATCATTCCCTAAAGCCTCAAGCACAAAGTTTGCTTCGTGGCGAGAACGCAAGCTACAGCGCGAGAAGGCTGGCCAGATATTTACACCGCCAGGATCAAGTACCCGAAACAAAAAACAGCAACAAGGAGAAGAAAAAGATACCCTTGCAGACTCATCGATTGCTAAAGCTCTGAGGAAAGCACAACAGAGACATGGCGGGAATGCAAAAAAGTTTACCGAAAGTGAGCGGATTCACATTGAAAACTTGGAAACACTTGCACGAATGTCGCCAGAGGAAATCGAGCGTGAACGTAATGAACTGCTTGCTATGATGGATGAACACGTTTTACGTGGACTACTGAAAAGAGCTACGGGTCGGGGTGCTGGAGAAAACGAACTGGATGACGATGAAGTTGCTAGAGTGCTGGGGCAAAACCCAATGGGAGAAATGGATTATGAAGAAGAAGAAGAAGAGCTTGTAACTACGGTGGATAATAAAGACGAGGAAGCAGACCTTCAGGCTACAGAGAAAATGCGCAAAACAATGGAGGGCTTTTCAATTGCCAATGTTGGCGTGGATGGGCTTACTGACGACGAGCGATACCCGTCATTTGAAGAGTTGCAACAGATCCAAAAAGAAATGGATGACGCTGAAGCTGCTGCAGCCTCCAATGTTCACTTCCCGCAGCCGCGCGAACACGTTGCTGCAGAGCTTGATCCCACAGACCCGCAGTTCAATGAGAAACTACATGCAAAGTATTTCCCCGCTCTGCCAACAGAGCCCGAGAAGATGGAATGGATGCAACCTGTGGATGAGGCCAAGGAAGAAGAAGAACTACAACAGGCCGAAACGTTAGGGTTACTACCACGCGAGTTACGGTTCGACTTTAAGGGTCACTTAGTATCGCCGCGCCAGGGCCGCGAAATTAGTGTACGTGCCGGGCTTCACCACCATGGCGATGCGCCTAGTTTAGCAGGCTATACATTACCAGAACTAGCTCATCTTGCACGTTCTTCAGCTGCGAGCCAGCGTGCACTTGCCATTCAGACACTTGGTCGCGTGCTGTTTCGGCTTGGCCGCGGCCGTGACTATGGCCAACAAATTGGTGCTGGATTATGGGGGTTAGTTGATGAGACTCGTGTCTTGGAATCGTTGGCTGAGGCCGCCGACGAAAAGAAAACCCGAAGTGTATCGGTGCGTGCATATGCCGTTGAGGCCCTATGGTTGTGGCGGCAGGGTGGTGGTGCCCGGCCGGCCGTATGAGCGGGGTGTGGAGAAGAGAGGGTAAGAGGGGTAATCACTAGCCGGGTAGTTTCGGAGGGTTTGGGGATGAGTGAGGGAGGGAAAGAGGCATCGGTAGATATTTTGAATGTAAAAAAGTCGGAAGCCACACTGCACAATTTTTTTTTTTTTTTTTTCTTTCTTTCCCCTTGTTCCCTCTTTTTTTTTTTTTTTTTTTTTTTATTTTTATTTTAATTATTTTTTTTCTCCCCCACCAATTTCTCCTCATTTCACAGACACCAAAAGATTTAAAACCAATTTTAAACATTTTCTAGTATATAACAATAATAGTAATACACTTTCATTTTTTTTTTTTAAATACCCTCGAGTCATAAGATGCCGCCGATACGCTCTAAAAGCTTTCTGGTCGGAGGACCTAATGGCCCACAACAGTACCCGCAACAGCAGCAGCGTCAGCAGCATCAGCAACAACACCAACAACATCAACTGCACCAGCAACAGATGCAACAGATGCAGCAGATGCAGCAGCTGCAGCAGCTGCAGCAACTGCAGCAGCATCGGAATCAGCACCAGCAACAGCACCAACAACAGCACCAACAACAGCATCAACAACAACCATCTATGCAACAAATGCAACAGCTGCACTACTTTCTTCCAGACCATTTATCGCTGCATGACCTTGCTCTGTCGCACGGAATTCCCTTCATCACGCTAGCCAACGGCAGTGCCGTGGGCCGAAACGAAACCACCATCCCTGATAATGTACCCAACAGTATTTCTCTCCCAGGAACCCCGCGTGGGGGAGGTGGATCCACAGACTCAACTTCTTCTCCAAGTCCAATACCAGCCGGAACCCCTGGGGGCAGTGGGCGGCGGACAACTCCCATGTCTCGTGACCAGTACATGCATTTTGCTCGGTACGAGGAGCGGATTCTTGAAAGCGTTTTCCTCAACTGTACACATAGCCAGTCAAAGCTGCCGCGCAGCTTTTACTTCAATATTATGAACATGATGATCCAGGAAGAAGGCGTGGACATTGATGAGATTATGGACCTGGATTCACCTCATGGAACTCATTTTAGCGTTGGCAAAACGCAGGAACGTCGTGCAGCGCAGTACCCATACCCACTATCAAATAACAATTCTGAGCGCAATAATATGAACCCATTACCCTCGCACAGCTCTCGGCCTCCTAATAGCGGATATAGCTATGGGGGTGGAGGTTTTGGAGGAAATAACGGTGCTACAAGTGGAGGCACTACCACGAATACTCTTGGACTTTCGCAATCATGGATGCAAGGGTTTTTGGTTCGCCACGATAAACTTTTCCGCCGAGTGTGCAAGTCTGTAGGAACGTGCGATATTGATACATACGACCTGTGGTTTTGCGAGTTTTTGTCTGGAATCCATGATCGGGACATTGCCATGGAGAACATTTACAACATGGTGGATACCAACGTATACAGAGGGTCATCTTCGGAAGAGGACTCAGGCAACCGAGTGATTCGTGACGGCGGCGCAAGCTACTTTCTGACGCTAGGGCAGGCTCAACAAGAGCGGCAGAAGGTTGTTTCACATGCAGAGCAAGTGTGTGCGTCGACGATAGAGGCCATTTGTGCGGACGGAAGTGCGGTTGCACCGTTTATGAATGTCAACCAAGGAATGGTAAACCTGGATGCTGGGAGTGTGGTTTCTGCCGAGATGGTACAACGGTTTCAACAAAAGGGATGGACGTTTCATGGTACCAAGGACGGCTGGATAGGTCCTGAAGCGGCGTACGCGTGGCTGGTGAAGCATTTCGATGTACGGACACGCGACAAGGCCAAGGGCCGATTGCGTGCGTTAGTGATGAGTGGAGAGCTGCGGCACTTGTCGTTTCGATTTTTGCGGTATGCTGCCGAAAATGGGATTGTTTTATTTTTTTTCCCTGCACGCATGGGGCAAGAGGTGCTACAGCCCTTTAGCGTGGGGCCTGGGCGATACTTACGGACGCTTGATCCAGTGATGCAGGCGATTCGGGAGGCGCTGTTTGGGGCCGAGACTGTGCGATGGTCCGAGTTTTTCGACATTTGTTCACAAGCGCGGTTAATTGGATTGAGCGGGAGCAAAGTGCGGGATGGCTGGAAGGGTTCTGGGCTGGTGCCGTTTGATCCTGGACTAGTTGTTGGAGCGCAGTTCCCTGGGATTAAAAATCCTCCATTACTTGTGAAGCAGTTGGAGATTAAGTATAAGCATGATGATGAGCAACAGCGGAAACAAACGTCAGCAATTTTGAAGAGTTTAGGAGGGGAAAGTGCAGGGACTACAGTTAATGGTGGGAATAGTGATTTGGCAGAGTACAGCAGTTATAGTAGCAAGATGGGTCAGAAGCAGTTGGCTAAGGGAGGACGGAAAAACAAGAAGGTGGATGATGGCAGTGTTGGTAATGTTGGTAATGTTGGTAATGTTGGTAATGTTGGTGGTACCGGTGGATCAAGTGAATCTTTGATTCTTGCAAGGCAGTTACACGTGCGAATGAGGGAGCTTATTCCAAGTGATGCTACGCAGTTTGCGATATCGATGAGTACGTTTAGCGCACTGTACAAGGCACTTGGAGAGTTGGTTGAGAGTTTAGAGAACAACGGTAGTGTTGGCAATGGTGTTAGCAATGGTGTTGGCAGCACTAACAATAATTGTAGCAGTAGCAGCCTCAGCATCAGCAGCAGCAGCGGCAACAACATTGGCGGTATAAACAGCATAAACAACAACAATAATAACAACAGTAATAGCAATAACAATAATAACAACAATAATAATAATAAGATTATGAAGCGCCGGGAGAGTGCAGCAGAAATCGTGTTATCGTTTTATAATAATACAAGTGGCGGGTTAAGTCGACGCAACAGTTCTGAGACTCGTGTTATGGATAATGGAGGGAATGGTGGGTTAGTTGGTCGGAGTGGCAGCAGAGTTTTGTTGAATTCTGGTGTGCAACAACAGCAACAGCAGCAACAGCAGCAACAGCAGCAGCAACAGCAGTCGCAGGCACCAACGAAAGCAAAGCAGCAGCAGCAGCAGCAGCAGCAGTCGCAGGCACCCTCGAAAGCGCAGCAGCAGCAGCAGCAACAGCAACAGTCGCAGGCACCCACGAAAGCACAGCAGCAGTCTCTGCCAAGCGCGTCAAGTTCGGGTGTTCCTGCGGCAGGCAGTGGAGGTGGGAGTGGGGTGCAGCATAATAATAATAATAATAATAATAATAATAATAATAATAGCCAACAAAAATCACAGAATTCACAACAACAACAACAACAACAGCATAATAATAATAATAATAATAATAATAATAATAATAATAATAATAGTAACAAGAACAATTTACGATACATGGAAAGATCTTCATCTTCATCTTCATTATCATCATTATCAGATAACAACCACAACAACAACAACACCAACAACCAAAGTAATGGTCGACGAGGAGAAAATGGTGGAAATGGTGGAAATGGTGGAAATGGTGGAAATGGTGGAAATGAAGGAAGAATTGTTGACAATTTGTTGGAGCCCTCATTGGATGTATTTGAGGAATTTGGGTTTTCGCGGCGCCGGGAGAGTATGAATGGCGGAGGTCCCAATTTGAGTCACAGCCATTATAATGTTGTTAGTTTGAACAATAACAATAATTTCAATAATTTGGGGATGAACAATAGCATTAGCGGCAGCAGTAGCAGCAGCAGCAGCAGCAGCAGCAATAACACCAACAATAGCAACAACAATAGCAATAACAATAGCAATAGCAATATGAATAGCAATATGAATATGACTATGAATAGTAATACTAATAGTAATACTAGTAGTAATAACAGCATTAACAATAGCAATACTAATGATGGTGGTAATAATTCAGAGGTCAACTTGATGGGGATTTTGAGTAGCATGGGACTTGTGGGAACTGGTGTCCGACAAAGTTCTGTGAGTCATAATAACAATACCAACCAAAGAGGGTCATTATCATCATCATTATCATCATCATTATCGTCATCGTCATCGTCATCATCATCGTCGTCGTCATCAACATCATCTTCAACATCTGCTTCTACTAATGAGGATAATTATGGAATAAATAGTGTGGCAGCAATGCACAACAGTATAAATTTTTTAAAATCTCTTGATCTTGTGAATTACATGAATACGATGGGGGGAGGAGATGTCAAGGATGAAGAAAATTGAGAGAGTTATTTTAATTTAGAAAATAATAATTAATTAATTAAAAGGAATGTTTATCTTTTTTTTTTTTTTTTTTTTTTAAAGTCTTTGTTTTTTATATATTTTTGTATAATATTTATTTTTTAATAAGAATTTATTAAGAAAATGAAAATGAAAAAAAAAAAAAAAAGCTTTCCCGCGATATTTTGTATTTAAAACAAAACTAAGCCTAAATCGAAATAAGGCTTATACTTTTGAAGGAAAAAAAAAAAGACCCTGCAGAGGGCAAGGGTTAAGAGCAAAAAAAAAAAAAAAAAAAAAAAAAAATTAAAAATTAAAATATCAAAATATCAAAATATGATTAAAATAATTAAAAATTATGCAAGCTGCAAGGTCACAAAGATTGATTGCGCAAAAGGTTATTTTAGGAGGCTGAAATGGAGAGGGTAAAGTAAGAGTAAGGAGTAAGGAGGGTTTGGGTATATGACACATTTTTTATTTTAAATAATTATTTAAATTAAAAATATATTTTCTTTTTAACAATAATAAATAAAATTTATTGATTAGAGAACTGTTAAAAGGTACATGTAGTATTTATATATATGTGATGGGAAAGATTAAAAAAATACGCGATACTTTTTTTTTTTTTTTTTTTTCGTTTTTCGTTTTTCATTTTTTTTGTTTTTATGTTTTTATGTTTTTATGTTTTTTTTGTTTCAAAGACAATATTAATAGGAGTATCTTATATTTAAAAGACAATTATTATTATATATTACATACTGATTACGTGTCTTTTGTTTGTAATAAGGTGGTGGTGGTGTTAAAGGTGTATATGCAATTGCCTAAAAGACCCGATTGAGGTTGAAATGTTGTGTGTGCGTGCATGGTTTGATAGTGATTAAAAAAAGACAGGTGCGTTTTTATTTTATTTTATTTTTTTTGATTTTGATTTTTATAAAATCAAATTTGATTTTGAGGCAACAGAGAAAGAGCAAGGGCAAGGGCAAGGGCAAGGGCAAGGGTAAGGGGCGGAGGGGGAGAGAGGGAGGAGAGAGGAATATGAATAAAGATATTGGGTAAAATAAAATAAAATAAAATAAAAAAAAAAAAAATATGAAATAAAAAAGAATGAATTAAAAAAAAAAAAAAAAAGCAAAAAAAAATGTAAAAAACGACAAGTCAATGTGACTAAATTAATAAAAAAAATAAAATAAAAATAAAATAATAAAAAAAGTTGATTTTTAAAGTGCATACAGGGGAGGATTTCATTTTATTTTATTTTATTTTATTTTATTTTATTTTTTTGTGTTTGTGTGTATATATATTTGTATGTTTGTGAGTACCCCTCTTTCAAAGCTTTAAGGCTGTTGATAATTTGTACTTGTTTTTTTTTTTTTTTTTTTTAATCGCACCAGGGAAAAGGAGGGGTTCTCGCTTAGAGTAGATGATAAAAAGTTATTACAAAAAAAAAAAAAAACAAAATGTGTCATATAATAATAATATTGATAATAATAATAATAATAATATTTTGCAACATTTAAAAAAAAAAAAAAAAAAGAAAAAAAAGACAGGGGAGTTAAATATAAATATATAGCCGGGTGAGAAATAAGCGAGAGTTATTGAGTATAACAGAAAAGTTTGTTAATTAATATAGACAGTGAAAAAAAATATCATTAAATATATATCTCAATTATATAAAATCAATCAATCAAATCGATCAATCTATTAAATCAATCAATTAAAATCAAAATAGGTTTAAAGATAAAACGGAATTTAAAAAGAAAAAAAAAAAAAAAAAGAGATGATTGAAAATATTTAAAAAGAATTGATTGATTTAAAGAATTTGAAGAATTTAATAATAAAGGAAAATAAAAAAAAAAAAAAAGGGATTTTTGTTAGTATAAAATTTTGTTTTAAATAAAATATAAAATAAAAATAAATTTTGTAGACAAAGAAAGGAGAGAATTGATTATTGATAATAAATATTTAATAGTAATCATTTATATAATCAATAATAATAATAATAATAATAATAATACACAAACAAACAAACAAACCAAATAATAATAATAATAATAAAGGCAACATTGATTTTAAAAAAAAAAAAATGTGATTTTCTAGATAATTAAAAATTGAAATATTTTTGTTTTAGGATTTATAGATATATTAGATATATTTATAATTTCTAAAAAAGAAAAAAAAAAGAAAAAAAAACAATATAACTTTTATAATTATAAAACAAAAAAAAAAAAAAGAAAAAAAAGTTATATTATATATATTTAAAAAAAAACGCGTTTAATAATATTGTTAGTTTTAAATAAACGCGTTAATTGATTATAAATTATATATAAACTGACAGGTTAATTGAACAAACTGACTGGGATGGTTGGTTGGTTGACTGGCTGGGCCAAAAAAAAAAAAAAATAAAAATAAATAAATAAATAAAAAAGGTATAACAAAAGAGCCTTAAATGAACGGAAAAGGGCAAATTTCCCTTTTTTTTTTTTTTTTTTTTTTTTTTTTCCTTAAACAAACAAACAACTATCAAAACAAAACAACAAACAACAACAACAATTACCACCACCACCACCACTACTACCACCATCAGCCAAAAAAAATCAATAATACGCAAATATGGCAGCAGATGATTTTAGATAAAAAAGCACACACATTCCCACATTTTTTTATTTAAAATTTTCAAAAAAAAAAAAAAAAATTTCCCTATCATTAAATATTTAGAATATAAAAAAAAAAAAATTAAAAAAAAATTAAAAAAAAAAAGGAAAACAAATTTTTTAAATTTTTTAACTTTTTTTTTTTTTTTTTTTTTTTCAAAATAAATTATTTTAACATTGAAAAATTAAAATAAAATTCCATTTTGTTTTACAAAAAAAAAATTTATTATTATTTTATTTTTTTTTTTTTTTAAAACATACAGATAAAATATTTCAAAAATCAACAATTCCAATCATTAATATTTTATTAATTTTTTTTTTTTTTATATTTTATTATTATTTAACAAGATTTTAACAAGATTTTAACTAATCCAACATGTCGTATAACCATACTTATTACGGTCAAAACCAAAATCAACAGCAGCAGCAGCAGCAGCAGCCTAACCAGCAACAACTTCCTCCACCTCCACAACAATATATATCTCAACAACAACAACAACAACAACAACAACAACAACAAGCATCTCCAAGTTTACCCCATTTATATTCACAGCAACAAGCATCTCAAATCTATTCTGACCAACAACAACAATATCACCATTATTATCAACAACAACAACAACAACCACAACAACAATCATATTATAATCAACTATATTATCAACAATCAGCAACTACACAACCACAACCACCTACATCATCATCTTCTTCTTCTTCTTCTACTTCTTCTTCAGATGCTCAACAAAGACAAGCAGCTGCTGCAACAGGTTCAAGTTCAATAAACACTTCTTCTGCAGCAGCTGTGGCAGCTGCAACTGCAGCTGGCTATTACCAGAATAATGCGTTCTACGTTAATAACCAATCATACCAAGTCCATCATCAACAACAAATGCAGGCTGTGCCTCTGCCACCTCCTCCAATCGTCCAGCATCAACATCAACATTCACAACAGCAACAGCAACAGCAGCAGCAGCAGCAGCAGCAACAGCAGCAACAGCAACATCAACATCAACAGCAGCAGCAGCAGCAGCAGCAGGATTATTACCAGCAACAACAAGCCCAACAGCCAACAGGTCAAACTTCAGCTTATCAATACTCCTATATGCCCCAACCCCAGCAGTACTCTCCAGCCACTGCCCAAGCGCAGCCTCAACAGGCACCTGCTACTGCAACTGGCACTCCGGGGTCCACGGTGGTTCAATCCACCCCTGTCACAGGAACTTCCACATCAACAACCCCTGCTGCCTCACAAAATGCTTCAGCTGCAACCGCCACGCCTTCATCTCCATATATTACAGCACCTTATGCAGTTCAACAACAACAACAACAGCACCAACAACAGCACCAACAACAGCAACAGCAGCACCAACAACATCAACAGCACCAACAACAACCTGCAGCAACATCTGGACATTATCAATACTCTTTATCTACCACTGCAACAACTACTACTCAAGTCCCACAACACCACCCCACACCATCACCTTTACCTCCACCCATCCACGCATCGCCCCAACCTCTTAGCTCTCCACTGACCACTTCTGCTCCCACTTCTGCTCAGACCACAACCACCACTATCTCCTCTGCTAGCTCCGTTTCTGCATCTGCACCAACCGCACCTGCCACTGCTGTTGCAGCTGTTTTACCTCCACAACAACCCTACTACCAGCAGCAGTATCAGCAACAATATCATGCACAAACCATTGCTCCAACAATCACGGACCCTGAAGGCCAGAAACCACCACCAAACTCAAAGCCCAAAATTATAACCACCCTCTGGGAAGATGAAACTACCCTATGCTTCCAGGTCGAGGCCCGCGGCGTTGTTGTGGCTCGTAGAGAAGATAACAATATGATCAATGGAACAAAACTTCTTAACGTTGTGGGCATGTCCCGTGGACGACGTGACGGTATCCTCAAGGGAGAAAAACAACGCCATGTTGTCAAGGCTGGTGCCATGCATCTTAAAGGTGTTTGGATCCCTTACGAGCGTGCACTTTACTTTGCAAACAGAGAGAAAATCATTGACCTTCTGTACCCATTGTTTGTCAAAGACTTGAAGGGCATCTTGTATAGCAATGTGGATCCCCACTCTGTACCTACAGTGGCAGCCTCGGCTAATTCAGCCTCGAGTTACCCGGAAAAGAGCAAAATTAAAAGCGAGCCGGGGAAAGACCGGCCGGATTTGGACCATAAAGAAGAACACAAGGTTGATGCTTCCAGATATTCTTTCACCACCATTTGCTCAACTGACTCGTCGCAACAATCTGCTACTCAAGGCTCTGCCCCACAATCACAACAACCAACATCTGCACAGGCAGTCCAACCCTCCTCTACCACTGCCGCCCAGTCTGCCGAGTACCCCGCAAGAACTTACTACGAATATGACCCAACAGCTGCTGCAGCTGCGGCCGCAGCAGCAGCAGCAGCCGCTGCCGCTGCCGCTCAACAACAAGCCCATCATACGTCAACACAGTATGGATACTATCGCGCTGATACTTCCTCTCTTCCTCCACCTCCAATTCCTCAACAGCCTCAACCTTTAACACCACAGTCTTCTCTTGCTTCGCATTCTCTGCCTCATCCTCACTCACTACCTCATCCCCAGCAACAGCAACATCAACAGACCACGACTTCAGCAGCAACCTCTGCAGTATATTCGCAACGGTACGTGACCACGGGTACAGCTTCACAGCCGAGCTATTACACCCAGTACATTTCGCAGCCTCCTTCTACTGCTACATCTTCTGCAACGGCAGCTTCTGACACGCAACAACAGCAGCAGCAACAGCAGCAGCAACAGCAACCGGCAGCAACTTCAAATACAACAACAGCTAACCCATCCGCAGCACCATCGCCACAACAGCAGCAACAGGGACACAGCCCGGGGACTGGACAACAAACGGATACCCCGACGACACAGTCGCCGGGCCACGTTGCAGTGGATGCCGGGACCAGTGCAGCGGAGGACGGGCCTGTTCCCAAGACTGAGAGTTAAGTAAGGAGAAGGTTTTAGGATGAAAAGATTTGATAAATTTTTTGCTATTATTTTTTGTTATTATAATTATTATTATTATTATTATTATTATTAATTTTTTTTTTTTTTTGCTTTTTAACAAGATATTTATTTATATATAGACATTTCTGTTAGTTTTTGTTTAGTTAACCTTGTTTTCGTGTTTGTTTGTTTATTTTTTGTTTAAAAAATATTTGATTGAATAGTTAAAAAAATAAAATTTCCCAATTTTTTTTTTTTTTTTTTTTTTGAATGAATGAATAAATTACTTTAATCTCAATAATCCCCACCTACAATAATCCTATCCTGAGTGCTTCTTGGTCTCATTCCTCCCCTATGAGCCCGCTCATCCATCCGCTTTCGATGTCGATGTCTCTTCCGGTCCTCCTTATTCCTCAATACTACCATCGACGCGTCGTCCCCCCTCTTCCGTGAAACCGTCGACCTTGCAGACCGTGCAGAACGCGATGACCGAAGCGACCGTACAGATGCCGCAGATGAAGCAACTCCTCCGCCGCCACCACCGCCACCACCACTATAATAGCAGCATGAGCATGTAGTCGATGCCGCAGATGTTGTAGATGCCCCAGACGCCGATGAAGACGTTGACACAGTCGAGCCCAGCGACAAAATGGAGGCTGTTGTTGGTGCGTAACTATGATGCACTTGCTGAATTTGTTGCAGCGGTGGAGTAGCCAGTAATCCACCTGCACTGCTATTACTGGCTCCGTTCAGTAACATGATACTTCCTGCAGGGTCATCATAGTAGTCGTCTGAGAGCGAGGATGGGGCACCGGCAGATGTTGCACTGGCCCAGGTTCCGTAGGACCGCACAGTGGCAGCGTACGTAAGTGGGAGAGATTCAGAAGATGCACGAGATTTGAGCGAGGCTGGGGCAATGCCTCGTGTAGATGCATTGGTATCGAACGACCGGCGTGGGAACTGTTGTAGCTGAGCTGGCGCGGGAACACGTGAAGGAGGAGGTGACACAGAGGAACCAAGAGATGGAGACGAGGGGTGACCAGAAACAGGAGTAGAAGTAGCGGCAGCGGCAGCGGCAGCAGAGGTAACAGCATCTGAAGCTAAAGAAAGAGATGATGACGACGATGCAAAGGCAACTCCGCGGCGTGGTGGTGATGGCGTCCGCGAAACAGAGTCCGGGGTATCAGGAGGTGTATGTGATGAGTACATGTCGTCAACATCAGGAATATCTGGAGTTTCTGGAGAGTGAGATAGAGAGCGAGAAGACCCTAGAGTATGGGTATGAGTTTCAGGTGCTGTTGTTGTTTCGATAGATGTTAGTGAGGGTTGTGGAGAGAGAGGTTTGTGGTTATGAGTATTATTATTATTATTAGTATGGATATTATTATGATGAGTGTAAGAAGAGGGTTGTTGTTGGTGAGTTTGACGTGGTTTATGGAACGTAGAAGAAGAAAAGGGAGTGGTAGAAGATGAAGAGCGGCTTGACTTTGTGCCTGAGCGAGACACAAGGCGTCGGACCCAAGAGAATTTTGACGCGTTTGGAGATGATTTTGAGTCGGGCATTTTGCTTATCGAAAAAAAAAAAAAAAAAAAAAAGTGGTGATAGTATTGTTGTAGGTTCAGGTGGCTGTGATAAAAGGAGGTTTTATTTTATTTTATTTTTTTATTTTTTTATTTTTTTATTTTTTTATTTTTTTATTTTTTTATTTTATTTTTATTAAAGCAGCAAGGCTGGCTTGTGGTTAAAATAACTATAAATTGAAACTACGTTTAAAAGTTAACTAAAATATAATTTATCTCCCTAATTTATTTTAAACTAACGTTTGTAGCAAATTTTTTCATGCCAAAATAAAACTCTCCAAATAAATCCAAAACGAAAAATCCCAGTATTAAAAAATCATCATGCATCATAATCAATATAATCAACATCATCAACAAACACAATCCCCTGAACAAAAATCAGAACAACGTTATGCGTTAGTAGTCCATGATAAATCTAAACTAAAAACAATTAAAGTCGCCCTCGAACAGGCAAAACTGTTTGACAAACAACGGCGCATCTCATCAGTTGCAACTGCATCTGCAACTGCAACTGAAACTGAAACTGAAACTGCCCCACAATCTTCCACAGTTTTGGTCCCGGTTCTGGGCACATCCGTAGACCTGTTGCGTGTTCAGTTGCAGCAAATCCTCAGTGATCCGTTTATTGAGATCATCCAAGATAACTCCCAAGAACAAGACACAAACTTTCATTCTTCTAAAAAACAAGTTTCATCTGCTGCTCTCAAATCCTTAATCCCCCGAATTCTTAAAACCCTTCAAGTAACTCCTAACCAATATTCAACCCTAATTACCCCGATCCTTGATGCAAATCAATTCCCAGCCCGCTACCAGATCTACCCACCTCTGCTTCTTTTCTCTGCATCATCTTTTGGACCCGCTTGGACCCCACTCTTTACATCACCATCTCTAAACGCTGCCTTTTTTAATGCCCTGCTACGTGCCGTCTCCAGTCCTAACTATACACTTTCCCATGTCGCTGAGAATGCTCCCATTGCTGATATTGCGGATGTTCTGCGGCGGCCCTCGCGCCTACATCCACTCTACCAAATCCCGGAATCTACCCCGTTTGACGATCTTTGGGTTTCCACTACACAAAATGGGGTGGCTCAAATGTGGGCACCTGCACATACCATGTTTTCGCGCGGAAACGTCTCTGAAAAGGCAAGAGTCCTGAACCTTGCAAAACTCTCTGTTCAGCAATTGGCTCCTATCCGGCCCATGGCTGTCGACCTTTATGCCGGTATCGGATATTTCACTTTCTCATATGCTCGTGCTTCTTTTGCTGCCGTGTTTTGCTGGGACCTCAATCCTTGGTCCATCGCTGGCCTGCACCGTGGCTCCTATCTTAACTCGTTTACCTCTGCACAGTTTGCTACCCACGACGCGTCTTCCGTACCAGATAAGGACCCGCCTGTCTTGAATACCAGCGAGTCTCTGGCCATTTCTCAGTTTTTACTTTATCACAAGTCCCAGGCCCTCATTGTGTTCCAAGAAGATAACCAGCGCGCACATGAACGTCTCCGCGCTTTGGCCGCAATCATCCCGCTACCCATCGCACACATCAATCTGGGGACTCTCCCGTCTACGGAACTGGCATGGCCCACAGCCATGGCCATCTGTACCCTGTCTTCATGCCGTTCTGTCGCCCTCCACGTTCATGCAAACGTCCCGGACCCGCAAATCCAATCCTGGACTGATGAAACTCTGCGCAATTTGCAATCTCTTGATCCATCCGTCTCCGTCACTTTCACCCATCTTGAGCGCATCAAGACATATGCTCCAGGCATCTGGCATGTATGCGGAGATTATCTCGTCACAAAACAACCATAGACTGTATAAAAGATATATACCATTAATCATAAAAATTACTTATTCTAAGCGTCCATCCCAAAATTGGCAAGAACAGGGAACTGTTGTAAAAGCGCCGCAGGAAACTCCCCTCCATTTCCAGCAACTACTCTTTGCTCCACCGTGCTTCCACCTCCCACCTCGGGACCCGTTGTGGGCGGCGACAGCGTCAATGCCGGCGCGCCAACTCCACCCTGATATATCGGCACCTCAGCCGATGCTGCCAATGCCGCCGCCGCCGCTTGTTCCTCTGCTTCTTTTTTCTCTCTGTCCGCTTCCTCCACTAGCGGCCGGATACACTGTCTCCCGACCTCTGTTCTAAAATGCCGCCCCAACGCGTCCGCACGTGCAAACTTATGACCACACCCCCACTGCGTCACACCATCAGAGAGTACCCCTAAACATTCGTACTTCTTGCGCCCACTATGAAGGTCCTCATGTCTCTTCCGGTCGTGCTGTCGTGCAAACGCCTTACCGCACACCCCACACTTGAACGGCCGCTCGTTGGTGTGCGTGCGCAAGTGCGACTGCAAATTGTATGCTCGTGTAAATGTCTTTTCACACATTGGACACATATGCTGCGCAGGGTGCTGTCTCACCGACCGTCGTCGCGTCCCAGTCCCACCACCACTGCCTCCCACAGGCGCCCCGGCCATCTCTAAAATGTGTTCTCTGCTTGTCACCACGCGCGGTCGCGGTGATGGAGACCGCGGCGAAGGAGACCGCGACGTCCTTAAGTTTCGTCTCGGTGCGTCTGCTGGTGACAAAAAGTCGTTCCCACTATTTTTAATGTGGGTCCCTCCCACCGGCACTGCCAGGGTTAGTTGCTCAGCCTCGTTAGCCAAACTTACATTTGACCCAAACGTAGATCCACCATAAAATCCTCCTGGGAACACCGGGCCCTCTAGAACAGAGTCTGACTGAGATCGGCGCCGGTTCTGCGGAGAATCAGTTAGGGGTGGATACAATAGCGACGCCGCACCCGCGTGCGGTAATGGTGACGCAGACCCAAGCACAACCCCAGAGTCCATCTCTGGGAAAGGCTCAATGTCAGAGTAAAATTGTCCAGGAGTGAATGGTGCTGGAGATTCCGAGTACGCCGATGCGTTAGAGTATACAGAGGCCACATCGTCAACAGTTTCCACCGTGATTTCCGGTGTGGCAGGCATGGCAGGATCGCTGATTGAAAACGCTGTCGATAATGCACCTTCTAAATTGCTCACATCTATGCTTTCCATATAAGGCGAATGAGATAACGGAAGCTGCGGCGAAGGCGCACCAGATAGCAGTGACGACGCGTCTGAGTGAACGCTAGACGACCGGCGATGCCGTGGCTGGGGAATCAACAAGCTCCCGTCGTCAACAAGCACTGGAGTATCGTCGGGCCGCAGCCCGCCAGAAAAACTCCCCCGCGGACTAGCGTAATTACTGCCTGCCGGCGACGCCAGCGCGCTGCTAACGTTGCTACTACCAGGTAGTCGATACTGGCCTGGCACCGCGAGTTCGTTTGAAGGAACAAGATATGGAGATGCGGGTGCCGGGATAGACGTTGTCGGCTGCTGAACATCTTGGTGAAGCTGGAACTGCAGCAGAGGATCTGAAGTTGGAGGTATCTGATTCTGAGTGTATATTTGCGGTGTAGGTGTAAATACTGATGTTGGATCAAATACGGCCGTAGAGACTGTAGGTGATGCTGCAACTGCGGAGGCGGCGACGGCTTGCGGCTGCGATACTGGGAAGAGCGACGCGACTGGGTAGTATTGTTGTTGTTGTTGTTGCTGTTGCTGAGGCTGTTGCTGTTGCTGCTGAGACCCGGGGAAAATTGATTGAACAGGTACACTCTGAGGCACTGAGGTCGTGTCAGCGACGCCATTGAGCATATCATTTAACAGCGCGTCAAAGTTGAAGTCGTGCTGGCTCATGGTTTTGTAGACTTTGTAGGGTAGTGGTGATAGTTTAAGATAAAGGTTTTAATGGTGGTGGTGTTAAAAAAAATAAAATAAAATAAAATAAAATAAAAAAATAAAAAAACAAAAAAAAACAAAAAAAAAACAAAAAAAGAAAAAAAAAATTCGTTGTCAGAGTGAAGCGTGGCTGTGCCCGGCCCGCTTTTAACATCAATATCAATATCAGTCACTGATAACTAATCATGACTAACCTTTCTCTCTTCCTATACCAACTAACATGAACGTCCTACCCGGCGGGTCCCTCATTATCGCGTGGCAAGTTAAAAGCCGACCGGTTCTCGTAGTCGGCGGTGGAGATGTCGCTTGCGGCCGTGTCTCATCTTTGCTTTCTGCCGATGCAGTTGTCACCGTTGTTGCTCCAGCCCTTCCTAACGACGATCTGCGGGCTTACATTGAGTCTCATCCGACCATCACCTACATCAACATCACTGTCACTCAAGACTCCATCAAAGACTTGCTTTCTGGGCCAGATGGACCTTTATACTCTATGGTTCTAACTGCCATTGATGCGCCGGATATCTCTCGTGCTATTCACGCAGAATGCAAGCGTGTTGGTATCCCCGTCAATATTGCCGATGTCCCGCCCTTGTGCGACTTTTACTTTGCCTCGACCATCCGCCGTGGGCCTCTCCAAGTCGCTGTGTCAACTGGTGGTTCTGCCCCACGTCTTGCCCGTCGGATCCGACTGGACATTGAGCGCGGCGTTGATTCCCTTGGTGATATCGAAAAAGCTATTGAAAATACAGCTGTTTTGCGCGCAAAGCTTCGTGTGCTGACCGACAATAAACCCGAACTCCACAAAACTGATCAGGAGAAGATCCGCTCGCGAATGCAGTGGATGTCTCGCGTGTGCGATTCCCTTTCGTATACTCAGCTCGCCCAGCTCAAAGAATCTCTCATGGACACTATGGTCAGCGCGTATCCCAACGATCCTATTATGTAATTTTTTTTTTTTTCGCTTTTTCTTCTTTTAAAAATTCTCTAAAAAAAAAAATTCCTTCATCTATAATAACCAAACATTCAAAATGGGCAAAAACACAGACAAGCTCTTCATCACGCATTCTGAATGGGCCCAGGGAAATCATGCATCTTCCTCAGGTAAAAAAACTGGCTCAACGGCTCCCTCACAGCTGGCTGCTGCTCTTCCATTTTGGACGTGCTCTGTGTCTCAGCAGCCCGTGGACCCCTCATGTGCGGTCTGTGACCTTCATGGTAACGTCTTTGATTTAAAAAATGTCATGCCGTATATATTGCGCCAGAAAATCAATCCTGTTACCCGAGAACCTCTGGAACGTGCTGCAGAACTTATCAAGCTTAAACTGGCTAAAAACGACCAAGGTAAATATGTTGACCCAGTCACTTTTAAAGAGTTTCAAACCCTCAGCGATGCCGTTGTTATCAAGTCCTCAGGTAACGTCTATTTCATGTCCACAATCAAAGAAATGTGCTTGAAAACTGGCAATCTCGTTGATCTTGTTTCTGAGAAACCATTCATTAAATCGGACATTATCCATCTGCGTGGTGGTGCCGGTGTTCAAAAAAAACTAGAAGTCCAACAACCAAATCCCAAACGACCACTACAACAAATCGCTCATCCAGACGTCAAACCTCCAACGCCAGGTCTTACAACTCATCATCTGGCTGCATCTGTCACATCTACCTCTGTTGATATTTCTACAGAATCTAAGCGGCTCGGTTTACCTCTCGAGCGATTGCTTGTTCCCAAACGCTACAATGAACCAGGATACGCAGTTTTGTCCACGTCTTTAGGCGAAATGACTCTTGAACTCTGGCCAAAGTACTCCCCCATTGCTGTCTATAACTTTTTGGCGCTGGCCCGCTCAAACTACTACAACAATACCATTTTCCACCGAAACGTACGCGGATTCATGATCCAAGGTGGTGACCCTACAGGCACAGGCACAGGAGGCAAGAGCTGTGCTGAGCTCGGAGGAAAGCCTATCAAGGACGAAACAAATACCCCCTACAAACATGATACGCGTGGAATTCTGTCTATGGCAAATCGCGGGAAAAACACTGCTACTTCACAGTTCTTTATGACATACCGCCGCGCGCCGCATCTGGACGGCAAGCACACCATCTTTGGCAAAATCATCAAGGGTCTGGACGTGTTGGATGCCATGGAGCGTACCGATGTTGATTCCCAAGACCGGCCGTTGAAGAAAATTGAAATTTACGAAATACGAATTCTTCAAGACCCATTTGTAGAAACAAAAAAGGAAGAGCCAAAAGAAGAACCTGAAGTGGACGATTCGCCATGGCTGAAAAAATCCTCCGCTCAAACAGGCTCCATCGGCAAGTACATTAAAGCCCGACCTGCATCTGCCATAGTCGACAATGGCGAAAGTAACTGGAAGATCCACAAGAAACGTAAAACAACACTCCAAAAGAGCTCATTTTCAGGATGGTAGAGTTTAGAATATTTACAAAAAAAAACATGAATATATACATGACTTATTTCTTCTTGGGCTGGGGTCTGCCAACAACAGAAGACCCAGTAAACCCAGCAAGTCCAGTCTTGACAACCTCTTGCTTCTCAATTTCAGCAAGCTGTGTCAACAGCGGACTCTGCTTGACGCTGCGCAGAGTGACGCCGCGCGACGACTCCATGATAGTGGGAGCAGGAGAAGCCTGGTAGTAGCCGCGGTTTTCAGGGTCGCGGTAAAACTCAACGTGTTTGCGCGAAATGGGCTTGGCACGCAGCGGGATCCGGCCCAGCTTCTGCAAAACGTATCCGGGCTGTGCAAGCGTCCGCAGACCAAGCTTGGTATAGTATTGGGCCATGAAGGTGCCGCCGGCTGCCTCAATCGTCTTGATGGCTGCCTCGGATGCACGCGTCGCCGAAATCGTAATGGGTTGCTTCAGCCGGCTGCCAGCTCCGGCAAGCAGCTTAACACCGCCTGCTCCGACTTTATTCAAAAGGTTGGAAGTGTGCAGCTCGCGCATGGTGATGGGCTTGCTGGCGTCGATGCGCTTTTGATCAATGAACTGTTGCAGGCGACCAAGGTTGACGTACTGGGGTTGATCGATATGCGACTTGAACCCACGCTTGGGGAAAAGCTTGTAGATTGGCGTTTGACCACCCTCGAACCACGAGCGGATTTTGTTGCGGGCCTTTTGACCCTTTTGACCACGACCAGATGTCTTGCCCCGACCAGAACTGGGACCGCGACCCACACGGTGCTCATTCTTCTGGGCGCCAGGGGCATCACCAAGACGGCCCATCAAGGCGATTGAGCGCACCTGTTGCTGGATGGCCGAGACAGCCACAGGCTGGCGTCGGGAAAAAAGTGATTTAAGCATTGGTGATTGGCTGTATTTTGGGGGGGGGATAGAAGGAGAAGGGTATTAAAATGAAAAATTTTAAGCGGTGGTGAAGAAGAAAAATTACAAGAAAAAAAAATTCAATACACAAAAAAACAAAATTTATTACTAATCATTACTAATTATTGATCTTCTGCTGGAGCAAGCTCTCTTTGCAACTCCAACCGGGACTCAAGCACCGAGCGCACATTGTCAGGGATCGGTGCCTTGACGCCACCATTAGCATAATCTACAGTTACAATTATTTCAGAAATACGCGCAGCCACCTTGCGCGCATTGTGGCTCACAACCACGCCCTTGAGTGAAAACCGATCTTTTTGTGTAAGAGGCTCCACCTTATGAACTACCGTGATTGTATCGGGGAAAGTAATCGGATATCTCCATGCAAGTTCGCAAGATCGGATGATTGGTCCCACTCCTTTGCCCGACATGAACTCGTTAAAGTGCGGGTATCGCTTGCCATAGATTCCAAACAAGTTGACGCGTGCTATATTGGCCGTTAGTAATTTTTGTTTTTTTTTTCACTTAAGATCTAGGTTTTATTACTCACCCGTTTCAAACCACTTCAGATACATGACATTATTGACGTGCGAAAAGGTGTCCATATCGCCCCAAAAGATGTTATGGTTCAGCAGCCCGGCCTCAGGAACAATGTATCCGCCACCCTCAGTCTTGTTGAGCAGCTCTTGAACCCAGCGCACATTACCAGCTTCTGCTTCAATCGCAGTTGCAAGCGCGTTCTCGACCGATTCGCTCTTGGGTACCTCTCCAGCCGTTTTGGCCAGAGCGGCGCGAACAGATGTGCGCGCTAGACGCTCGACGAGCTGCGCTGAAGTCGCAAGAGAAGAGTTGTAGCGGACGCCAATAGAAAGACGAGATCTGAACATTTTAAAATAAGAGAATAGAAAGTAAAAGAATAAATATTGAAATAAAAAAATATATATATATAAAAGAAGGGAAAAAGAGAGGATTTCCAGGGACTTTGCGGTGATTTATATTGGCTTTTTTTTGTGTGGGGGTTATCTTGTTTGTACGCGGACTTTGGGCTTATGAGGGGGTGGTGGAGGGGCTCTTCATTGACCCTACGGCTGGCGGAGGCCTCTCGGCCAACAGTTAAATTCCCTATTTGGGAAATCGCGGCGCAATTAAAGAATGGTATTTTATTTTAATTTTTTTTTTTTTTGCAACAGCTCAACAGTAATTCTAGACACTCAATCTCACTATAAAAACATTCAGTTCTTTCATTTTTTTTTCAATTCTTCTTTCTTCTCTTTTGCTCGTTGTCTCTTATACAATTCTCAATTCACCATGAAGAAAACTTTTTCCGTGCTGCTGGCTTCGGTCGCTGGCTATCTTGCTGCTGCTCAAGAAATTCCTGCCCATTGTGTTTGTCCCGGGTACTAATTGGTTATTGAATTGCCTTGTACTAACTGTTTTTTATTTTATTTTTAATTTTTAGAAGGATAAGGAACTCAAAAACTGCCTACTCTCAGTCTCTCAAGGATATTCTATTTGTGCTGCCGAAGACTTTTCCTGTCAATGCACTTATGCCCGTGACGTTACTGCAAAATGCTACCAGGGATGCCCTGAAAGCGTATGTTGCATCTTCTAGTTAAACGTTTTTTTTTCTCCACAACTTGCTAACTGTAATAGGATGACATGAAGTATGTCAAGGCTAGCATTGAAGACCAGTGCAAACTCGCACAAACAGTTGACTATGCCGCAGTCCGCTTTAAAGGCGACTCGGACATGCAACATCGTGATGACCACAGCCATCTGGGCTATAATTGGGGCACTATTCCAGAAGATAATTTAGATGAAGGGTTTGAGGAGGATAATGCTGTGCCCCTTGCTCCTTCTGAGTCATCTGACTGTGGTGACGATGAGAATGATGACTATGAGGAACCACCAACCTCGTATTACCCTAAACCTACTCCCAGGCCAGCCTTAAAGCCTGCCCCGAAACCAATCAAGGAGAAGAAGCCTGCCCCCACTTATAACCCCGATGATTCCTGGGATGATGAGCCGGATTCAGAATATGACGAGGAGGATGACGAAGAGGATGAAGAAGAGGGGAGCACAACAAAGAAAATGTTTAAAAAAATTTGGCAGAAAATTAAAGGCCAAAGTGTGGATGAAGAACTCACCGAAGCTGACTTTAAGCGCAGTCTTGATGAATCACTGGCTCGTGCACAATTGACTCCTGAGCAGGCTGAGGATATTCTCCGTGCTGCATCGTTAGGTCACAATATTGCCGAAGGTCTCAATTTTGACTTGTTGCGCAAAAAGAAGGACTTTTTGAAAGGTGGATGGAAAGAGTATATTCCAAAAAAGGGTCGCTATTCTTCGGCTTCTGAAACTTCCGGAATCCCAACTGAAGTTCCCACTGAGTTTTTCCCTATCCCTGATTTTAGTTCTGAAGAGCCTGCCCCTGTGCCTTCCCCTGAACCCACTTCTGAAGATGAAGATGAAGATGACTGTACTCCCTCTACTGCTTTGGATGGCTTTTCCTCTGAGCTTCCAATTTATTCAGAGCCTGTCTCAGAGTCTAGCGAAGATGATGAAGAAGATGATTGCACTCCCTCAACTGCTCTTTTCCCTGAAGAACTTTCATCTGAAGTTGACACCAAAATTGAGACCATCATTGAGACTGTCATTCCTGATCCTGTGTATTCAACTGAAACTGTGGTAGAAGAGACTACCGAGGTTGAGACTGAGACTGAGATTGAGACGTTTTCTCCAAATCCCAGTACTAAGACATGGGCATCTGAACCAGATACTGAGATTGAAACTATTGTCGAGACTTTTACTCCAAAACCTGTTTATTCTACCAAGACTTTTGTTGAAGAGACTACTGTTGTAGAGACTGAAACTGAGGTTGAGACTTGGACCCCAAAGCCTAGCACTAAACCATGGGTTCCTAAACCTGAGCCTGATACTGAAACGGAAACTATTGTTGAGACGTTTACCCCAGAACCTGTTTATTCCACAAAGACTTTGGTTGAGGAAACCACTGTTGTCGAGACTGAGACTGAAATTGAGATGTGGGTTCCTGAACCTGAGCCTGAGGAGTTGTCGAGCAAAACATGGATTCCTGAACCTGAAACTGAGGTTGAAACTATTGTAGGGACTTTTACACCAAAGCCAGTTTATTCTAGAAGCACTGTGGTTGAGGAAAGCACTGTGGTTGAAACTGAGACTGAGATTGAGACATGGGTCCCAGAGCCTGACACTGAATCTGAAGAGGAATCGTCTATAAAACATAGCAAGCCTTGGTATCCTGAACCAGAACCTGATTGGAAGTCTGAAGAATCTGAGGAGCCTCCACTTGATAATTGGGGACCTGAACCTGACACTGAACCCAAAACTGAAGTTGACACTGAGGTTGAAACAATTATCAAGACTGTTACACCAAAACCTGTATATTCTACAAGTACAGTTGTTGAAGAAACTACAGTTATTGAGACAGAAACTGAGGTTGAGACATGGGTCTCGGAGCCTAGCACTTATTCCAAGACTTGGTCACCCAAGCCAAAAACTAAAACTTGGGTCCCTGAGCCTGAGCCTGAGCCCGATACTGATACTGATACTGATATTGAGACTATTGTTGAGACTATTGTTGAGACGTATAGTCCAGACCCTGTTTATTCTACGAAAACTGTGGTTGAGGAAACTACTGTTTCAGAGACTGAGACTGAAATTGAGACTTGGACTCCAAAACCTAGCACTAAACCATGGGTTCCTGAGTCTAGTTCCAAGAAGTGGGCTCCTAAGCCTACCAAAACTTGGGATCCTGGTTACGATACCAAGATTGAGACTATTGTCGAGACGTTTACTCCCAAACCTGTTTATTCTACAAAGACTGTGGTTGAGGAAACTACTGTTGTCGAGACTGAGACTGAAGTTGAAACTTGGGTTCCTGAACCACCTAGCTCGTTTAAGACTAAAGGTTGGTTTACTAAGTCTAAGAGTTGGGTTCCTGAGCCTTCTGAGCCTGTTTACTCTGAACCTGTGTACTCTGAACCTGTGTACTCTGAACCTGTGTACTCTGAACCCGTTTACTCTGAACCATCTTATGAACCCACTTCAGAGTCTAAAGAAGATGACTGCACTCCATCAACTACTTTAGAACCTTCTGAATCTGAATCTGAATCTGAATCCACTAGTGTCGAAGAGCCCTCGTCCACAACTGAAGACTCGTTTGCTATCCCCACTGACTGGTATGGCGATGGTGGCAACGATGGTAGCAACCAGCCCTCAAAAAAGAAGTCACTTAAAGAAAAGTTTACCGAGAAGCTTAAGAAGGTTCTGAAAAAGATGAAGGGAATTAAGGGGAACAAGGGTGACAGCTCTGTGGCTTCTGTGGAAGATGACGCTTTTGTTTCCGGCGCTGAAGAAGAAGAGTTTGTAGCAAATGCTAGTGTGGGACTCGAGGACTCAATTCTGGCTCGCGATGTGGATGGCGTTGAAATTATTGCAGGTGTGGCTCCTGTTGAGCAGGAACAAGTTAAGGAGCAAACTGTGACGCCGCAGTCGCAACCTCAAGAAAAATCACAAATTCCTGTAGCTCAGTTTGTTTCTGGAGCAAGCAAGCTTGTCACTTCATGGGTTCCATTACTGGCCATGGCTGCATGTCTGGCTTATTATGATTTGAACCCGGTGTTTTTCTTTTTGTTGGCTGGTGTGGGGCTTGCCTATATCCAGCTTTATCTTCCCGACTTGGTTGGAGCTTAAAAATTAAATATAAATAAAAAAAAAAAAAAAGTGGTAGCAATGGTAGTAGTACAGTGATGAATTAAAAGAGTTTCTAAATTAAAAAAAAAAATTACTATTTACGCCTTTATCTTTTGATTTTTGTGGTCAAGTTCGTCCAACCATTGAAGTGTTTGGGTGATTGCCGATTGAAGGTCAGTTTGTGGGGAATACCCCAGAATAGATTTTGCCTTTGTAATGTTGTAGTACTTGTCTGCGCAGACTGTACGGACGCGGAAGGGAGTGAGACCTGGTGCCTTGCCTAGCAAGTTGGACACAAACTCGGAAACATAGCCAATGGCAATGGCGGCAGAGCGTGGAAGAATGACTTTTGGGGGGTCCTCAAAGCCATCTGCTTTCCAGACAGCACGGCCAAGGGCCCAAAAGTAAATGGGGCTATCATTAGTCACAAAAAACGCCTGGCCTGCCACGGCCTGGTCATGAGCGAGCAGATGCTGTGCAGCCAAAGCATGGGCATAAGCGACGTTACCAACATAAGTCACGTCAAAGAGATAATGGTTGTTGCCAAGCTGGAACTTGTGTTGGCCACGGAAAGGGATTTTGCGAAGCTCTGGAATCATTTGGCGGTCTCCAGGACCAAAAATGCCTGCAGGACGAATGGCCACAGTCAACAAGGAATTTGAGAAATCAGGACCCACTGCTGGAGTCTTATCGGATGCAGCAAGAACTGCAGTCTCGGCAATGGCCTTGGTCTCATTGTACGCGTCCATGGCAGGGCTAGGGAACGGGACAGATTCGTCCACGTTTTTCAGGTCTGTGCCGTTAAAGACTGTGCCTGCAGATGAAGTGTAAACAAGTGCCTGAACTGTGGAATCTGCATGCGCCTGCTTGATGATGTTTTCTGTTCCCTGGACATTGACTTTATAGTAAATGTCCTTACCGAGGCCGTGGACGGGTGACACGCAGTGGACAATAAGTTGTGGGCGTGTTCGCTTGAGAGCCGCAGCCACGTCTTCAGGAGACGTAATATCGCCGACAATAGATTCAATCTGAGCCGGATCGAAAGAGTAAAAAGTGGGTGAGACGACGGAAGCATCGAGGGGGCGAATGTCAAAGACGGCAATGCGCGGCCGCCGTGGAGCCACGCGCCAAAACTCTTCAATGAGGTGGAGGCCGAGAAACCCGCAGCCACCAATGATGAGAACCGACTCAAGGTCTGGGATAGAGACAATGGCACGTTCTGTTGGTGGGACTCCAAGCGTGCAGTTAGGTAGCTTGTCGAGCCCTGGAATGTCTTTGACTGTGTCTTTGACTGTCATTAGAATATAGGTCTGAGGTTTGTTTTGGTTATGGTTGTGGTGGTGAAAAAAAAATAAAATAAAGGGGGAGATTTGGCTAGACGAGCGGTCCTAAACCCTTTTGCTTTGTGGGTGAGCTGGCGCAACAGCCGTGTTATATTGTCACGTGAATAACGACCCGACTGATTTTCCCTAGACCCGACTGTGTATATATTGTCACGAGAAAGTTTCATCCCACTTGGAAGTTGCAACTTTTATCAACCAACCACAGCCTGGTTGATTCATGTGCGTAAGAACCTCCCTTGGAAACCCCAACCCTCTCAGTTCTACGCGTTGGATATTTTTTTTTTTTCTCACCAAGCCTAAAGGCTCTTCTCTCTCTTTTTCCCCTATTGAAAAAGTCCCCTCTCAAACACCTTTACCAACACCATCAAACTGTCCATATAAAAAAATGTCTTCCAAATACGTTTTCCCCAGAGCCCTCAAGGAGCTCCGATTCCACTTTTCTCAGACCGGTGAGGCCTCCGCTCCTCTGAAGTATGCATTACCGACAATTTCCCCAATAATTTTTTTTTTTAATTTTTTTTTTTTTTTTTAAAAACTAACTTTTTGTTTAGAACTTTCCTTTCCAGAGCCTACCCCGTCATTAAGAAGCACAACCCCAGCACTCCTGTTCTGATTAGAGAAGCCGCTGGTGTCCGACCAACGCTGTATGCACGATTCGGTAAGTCTATCTATGAGCACAAATGTCAATCAATGCTAACTATAGATTTAGAATTTGGTAGAGAAGCCAAGCTCAGCTTGGAGGGTGTTCCTGAGGAGCAGATTGAGGGCGCCATTCAGAAGCTGGTCGCCAATGAGTAGATATATTTCCCTTTTTTATTGACATGACGTTCTCTCCCATTCTCCTCCTTTCGTCGTTTTTTTTTTTTGTACTATAAAATATTAATGGAGTTTCTGAGTAGATTTTAATTTTTTTTTTTTTTTTTAACTTGTATGAATGAATTTGGCTTCCACTTTAGGCAGGCCTAGTATTGTAGTAAGTTTGACTTACCTAGTGGTAACTTTGTGCGTGGTTTTGCTCGCCAACCAGCCACCTTTATTTGTTGTCGCTTAGTGTACCCGTACCTCCTTTGTTTTCATCCCCCTTTTTCAATTTTATATCAAACATCACCACCAAATTTTTTTTAACCTTTATTTTGTAAAACATCTCCCTAATCAATCATTAATCAAAAATGGAAAAGGTCGACCGCTTGTGGCAAGATTTGGGTGAACTCGTCAACTCCACTGTAGAGTCGGCCGTCGCCAAAGTCTCAGCAGTACCCGGCTCTGCATTTGTTGTTCGCTACATCAAGTCGTCCTACCAAAACGATCCCATCCGCACGCTTCTTGAACTGCTACTACTGCTTTTTGCCATCAGATACTTTTTAGCCTCCAAGTATTCAACAACCAAGAAAAACTACGTCCATCTCGAAGACTATGAGGTCGACGAGCTGGTCGACGATTGGGAACCCGAACCTTTAGTTTCGCCGCTTACCGATCTTGAAAAACGTACCTTGGCAAACATGCCCATCATTAAGGGGCCCAACGGACCAAGGGTCCATCTGACATCAGAAAAAGAAGTTCTTTCAATCCCCAACAAGCTTGACGCAGCATTACTCACTACTACGATTGTTGATTATTCACAAGCCTCTCAGGAACTTGTCAATCCCAACCAGTACCTCAATTTCACCATGACTGATGTATTTGGCTTTGGCGTTCGGCCCGACGTACGCGCGGAAGCCGTCAAGACCATCCACGAGTATGGTGTTGGATCCTGTGGTCCAGCTGGCTTTTACGGTAATCAGGATGCTCATGTTGAATGTGAAAGCACGCTGGCCAAGTTTTTGGGTACCGAGGCAGCTATTTTGTACTCTCAGGGCTTTGCGACCCCCTCTTCTGTGATTCCATGTTTCTTTAAGCGTGGTGACTATATTGTTGCGGACAAAAATGTCAACATTTCGATCCAAAAGGGTATTTTGCTGTCGCGTGCCAATGTTCTATGGTATGAACATAATGACATGGTGGACCTTGAGGCTAAGGTTGCGCAGGCAATTAAGATGCACCGCAGCCGCTCATTGCCGCGTCGCATCATTATCACGGAAGGTATTTTTGAGTATTCGGGTGACTCGCCTGATTTGGCTAAGATGGTTGAAATTCGCAACAAGTACAAGTTTCGATTGATGGTTGATGAATCGTGGTCGTTTGGTGTATTGGGTAAGACCGGCCGTGGGTTGGCCGAGGCTTGTGGAGTTGACCGCCGTGACGTTGATTTCACGATTGCATCGCTGGCCAATGCCGGTGGATCCGCCGGTGGCTTTTGCGCTGGGTGGAAGTTCATGGTTGACCACCAGCAAATTACTTCGCTGGCATATACCTTTTCGGCCACCATGCCGCCGTACCTTGCACGCAACACCTCTGCAATTGTGCGTGAGTACCTGTCTGATCCTGCACATGAGACATTGGCTCTTTCATCTCTGCGTGAGAAGGTGAATGTATTTGTCAACACGCTTGAGCAGGATTCTGAGTTTAACAAGTACGCATATATTGTGTCTCGCAGGGAAAGCCCGCTTGTGGTTGTTCGGCTGCACAGAGCATATCTTCCACAAATAAACAAGGCCTTAATCAAGGTTAAGCAGGCCAAGGTTGCTGAGGAGGAGCTTGCTGATATCTACCAGCGAATTGTTGAAGCTACACTTGCCCGTGGTGTTATTATTTCGCGGCAGCAGGTTCTTGGTCGGTTTGAAAAGTTTGATATTGTTCAGGGCTTGCGTGTTGTTGTTAATGATAATTTGACTTCTGAGGAGATTGAATCTGGTGCAAAGGCTTTTGCTAGTGCCATTTCTGAGGTTTTTGCATAGTTGCTTGGATTTTAATGTATAATTTAGAAAATAATTTAATTTAATAATAAATGGGCTCATTGAGTTCAGTTAATACATTATTTTGTAAAGTAGTATACCAAAAATAATTATCAACAAATATAAATATTTATATAGGCTTAAGAATAGGTGGAGACTCTGTCATATTTATTTGTATAACATCTGCATTAATGCTTTCTTTTTTTTTTTTTTTTTTTAATTTCCTACCTTTGGGAGGTTTGCAGTCTTAGGGGGTATGTTGTTTCGGTCTGTGCGCGTAAATAGGGAAACCCTGGGTGTATGTCTCAATCCATTTCAGTTTGTCTTTATGGATGCATGTATATTCCTTAATCTCTTCTGTTAGAAGATAGGGCCCGTAATCACCTGCATGTTAATTAGACTTATTAAAAGAGTCAGTTTTCTTGTTAATTAGGGTAGTCAGAGGTTTGGCTGAGGGATATACTCCCCCTACACTCTTTCTAGAGATGGTGGGAAGCTGATATACCGCAAATCTGTTATGTATTCATTTTGAATGTCCAAAATTCCATACATTTATTTTTCCTAAACAAAAGTCCACGTATTCTGAAAAAATGAAAGTAATTAATAAGACTTATAAAAGAGATTTACAAAAGAGATATATAGTAGTAGGCTTAAAATGATTTTATTGAACTATCTAAATGGATAAGTTCTGATCTTTTCTAGTTCTTGTAATCTAGAGAATAGCCAAAAAAGAGTCAGTATGAATATAGTTTTTCTTGTTACCATGAAATCATTGTAACAAATACTTATTGTAATTAAAAAAAAATTGTTCCCAAAGAAGTAATTTTTAATGTGTGCGGCTTTTGGTGGTATATCTAATATTGATTTTTATTTTTTTAAGCTCAAACTTTGCAAGAATTCAGCTACCAAGAATATATACTCCCACCGCATGGAATACAATTATGTAGCTTCTACAAGTGGGTCACGGAATAGTTTTTTTTTTTAAAACGAGTTTAATTATGACTAAGTGAAGTAAAAGAAATAAGGGTAGGGAAGATAAAGAGAAATAGATACCGGCCAGCTTTGCCGGCCATGGTCGGTACTTTTACACTGCTTGCAAAAAACAAAACTAAAATAAAATAAAATTAAATTAAAAAGGTGTAGCTTAGTGGTAACATCAAAACAATGTGCATAAAAATTTTGACTAGGATGAGTTTCCATTTTCGATTTGAAGTGCTTTGGTTGCAGTGTAAGTTTAGTTGAGTGGTTATAATAGAGCGTAATTCTAAAGAGTATTCAGTGCACAAAAACTTTGTATGTGTGTATATAAGTAAATAATTAATTACTAGTATGTAAGTAAGCAAGTAAGCAAGTACACTGTCAATGTCAACTTTGGTGGCAGTCAGTTTTGAGAAGTATTCCAAACTAAGCCCAGAAAGCTAGTTAGGGGATACATTATAAAATATAATTATTTTTATCAAAAAAAAAAAAAAAAAAAAAAAAAAAAAAGGAATTTGGAAGGCTGTGTAATTTTGGCTGATTGACTTTCCTATATCTGAGAAAGTTTTTTCAGATTCACATCAGTCCAAAGTTTTTTTTTTTTTGACAGGCCACTGCTTTTTCTAGGTCAATTTTTTTTTTCAAGAGAGCGACTTTAATAACTAGTATGTATTTTAGAAAGCATGAATGCTTAAAAAAAAATATAAAAATGGCCAGACCTTTTTTTTTTTTAATGTTGTTGTTGTTGTTGTTGTTGTTAGTAAAAGCTCAAAATCTTGGTTTAATTCCTTCCCCCTCCAGTATTAGGCGTTTTGAGCAGTATAAAAACTCAAAATTTAACTGCTGGTAGAGAATTTATTTTTTTTTTTTTAAAAAAAACGTATATATATATCAATCTTGGTAAAAAAAAATAATTAAATAAAATAAATTAACGGAATAAATAAAAAGTTTCCAAATTAAAAAAAAAAAAAAATGGGCCTATAAATATAAACAAAAAAGTCCTTTTGAATCAATTAATTTTCTTCTTCTAATTCTTCTACTCTTTTACTTTATAAATTCAACTCCATACTCACAACAATGTCACAAAAGAGACCTCTCGGCTTCGACACAATCGAAGAAAACCTTCGAGCATGGGAACGTGAAAGAGAAAAACGGACTCGCCTAAACTCCTGTAATGACATCCAGAGTTCATCATCATCATCATCATCATCATCAATCTCATCTGGGTCATTTTCTCGGCCCACTCCCAGGGAAAACAACCTCTTCCACCACCACCATAGCCATCAATACACAGGTCTACATGGCGAGTCCCGGTGTGGATGTAATCAGCTTCTCTCTTCAACCCTCTCATCATCACAATACCTACCTCCATCTTCTCAAACCGTCCCGAGAATGTTCCAAGCTCCTCCACAACTTCAATTGCAACTGCCATCTCTTTCACAAAACCAGTCAACATCATGGACTTCTAAACGTGTTCCCCCAACACCTTTTGCCTCATGGGATACAATAAATCCGGTAACGTGGGTCCAGCCAATGACCATGTCGTCATTCACATCTTCAGTACCACTCAAATCTTGTTTGTCAAGTTCTGGACAAATCGATTCACTTATGGAACAAGCGGTATCTCCGCGAACTTGTCCTGTGATACCACTACCATCGCTTATTCCAAAATACACGCAAACATTTCAAGAAACTCAGAATCAAATTTTGCTCCCCCAAGCCAAGCCTCAAGTTTCACCCCAGGTCCACGCAAAACCTCAAATTCAGCCTCAATATCAATATCAATATCAACCTCAACTTCCATCTCAACCTCCACCTCCACCTCCACCTCCACCTCCACCTCAACCTCATTTAAAACCTCAACAATCCTCACACCAGTCACACACATCCAAACACCTCCCTGGAAAAAGGTCTGCTAAAACACGAGTCCGCTCAGACCTTGAAACTCTCCCAAACCTCCTTCTCCGAGAACTCATCTCATTTGTGGACCCCCGAGATCTACCGGCCCTTGCAGCCACATGTACAACCCTCCACTCAGCAATCGCCACTCGTACACTCCGCCTTACAGCCTTGGACCTCCGTGGCGGCGCATCCCCTAGATTCTACACTGCTTGTCGTAGAGAGTATCTCTCCAGGCGTTCCGTAAGGCTTCTTTGTAAAGACCTCATGGGACGCAGAAGCGGCCGGCGACGGCGCAACGTGCGTGTATTACGTGTACGTCCAGGGGCAGACTACGGAGACAAACTATCCGTTGCTCAAATTGATGCAGATGACCATGCAGTGATTGAACTTGCAACCAAGCTGCCTTATGTTAGGTTTCTTACACTCGATGCACTGGACCTCACAACAATACGCTTTGCACAAACTATGCTAGGGTTGTTGACTAAAGACTCGCGAGTCTCGCTTGAAAATATAAGCGCTCCAGCACTCACCAACCTGGCTCCGGAACCCCTGCTGGGGAAAACTCTTGTCAAGGTTTCTCTGCGGTTGGCTGGTCCACACATGAGAGCTGAGGATTTGACACACCTTGCTGAGTACATGAATGACACTGCTGTTCCCAAGCTCCGAGACTTTGGCGTTATGTTTGACCGTGCATTTATTCTCACATGTTCTGAGTTTGTCCCAGCATTTGCCAAACTCGTGGAGAGTGCTGTTTCCAGACGTAAACCACCATTGGCTTCGCTTCGTGTTTATGACTTCCCACCCTACCTGGACTTTGTCCCCATCATTCAGTTGGTTGAAAAATACCGTGTACGTGCCCTTACCCTCCACACAGCTGCTCCAGATGACGATTCCAGGCTTCTTAGTTCACTTGCTCAGTTAACAACAATCGATGCTCTTCGGCTAGTAATTGGAACTTGCTCCGTTTCCTTTTTGCACTGTCCGGGTCCCCTCTGGGCTTCGCTTTTGCATTTATCCATTGACGGTCCTCCCACAATGATGCGCGTCCCCGCTCGACCTTTCCCAATGCCATGTTTACACTCGCTTGTGGCACCTGCTGCTACGGCTTACTCCTTACTCCCGCACTCCGTTTCTCCAGTCCTTAAAGAACTCGTTGTACTTAACCCAGCCCCAGGAGACCCCATGCCCATGATGGCCGGCCCGTTGCGTCGTGCAAAACTCAATCTTGCATATTTCCCAATCCGAATTCCACACGAGTATTTGCCTGTAAAGCTCATGTGCACGCGATCAATTCCCAATAGGTATATGACGTCGCTTCCAGACTCGCTGCGCGAGAGTGCCTTGGAAGATAACGACGACTATACACTATTTTTGTCTCATTTTTATGATACCATGGATCCGGATCCACCAGAGATTTTTTATTATTAAACTCTAAATATAAAGCTATAATTTTTTTTTTTTTTTTTTTTTTTTTTTTTTTTCAATAAGCAAAATACTCAAATTTTTTTTTTAAACGCTGTACTGAGTATGTTCGGGATCCTCTTGAACCAAGCCCTGGCTCTGCTCACGCAGGTCCAGCCAGCTAATGGGAAGCTCACGTGAAGCCTCCTTAAGCTGAGGAATGGCCGATGCAACAACTACAAGACTAATAGCATCGTACCCTCCAGCGCCAGGAACAACTCCACCCACAACCCCAGGCAGTTTGGCGCACGCGTCCAACAGCCGCGTCTGCTCCTCAGGTTCCACGGGTACCTTGCTCAGATCCGTCATCTCCTTCAAGTACTTGCGAACCAGCCGCAACTGCTCTCCGAGCTCGTCCAGCCCTTCGCCAGCCAAAAGTTTTTCGTCATACGCTTTTGGACCCAACTTTTGTTCGAGCGCACGGAGCCCTGCTAAAGCAGAAACAACACCCATATTGGCTGCATTCAGCGCCGTCCATACGCGCCCAGCCTCTTCGGGCTTGTCCTTGCGCCACTGTAGAATCGTGCTGACAAGCTTTGGAGTCTCAGACCCACCACGGACATCACCCATGAGCACTGCAATTCCACGTGGCATGGCACACGGCTCCAGCTGTAGCGGTGCCCATGGGCCTTCTGTATTGTCGATGGGTGCATCCACCAGTTCGCGCATTGCTTTCAGGTATGCAGCTGTTTGCGGGATAGTATCATCGCCGAGGGGCACGCGGGCTGTGTGGCCGAGATCTGCGACAGCTGCAATTGCAGCCGCGGGGAACCGACGGTACACAAGAGACCCAAACACAGCTGCAGCTACGTCAAATCCTGACCCGATCTTGCCCTGGGCCGTGCAGTGGGCAAGTTGAGCGAGATTATGCACGAGAACAAGGTCGGCACGTGAATTGACGTCTAAGAGAGTAGGTGTGGCTGAGTCTGCATTGAGAGGAACTCCAAGAGATCGATAAAAGCCAAGCAGAGCTGCCGTCACTGCGGCAGTCAAAGCGGCACTTGATCCCAGGCCTGTTTTGGGGACTTTATGGATTGGAAGGTCGTGGTTATGAAAGCGGGAGTCAGAATTGCCTTTGGCTTCGTCTTGAGAATGATATCCATCGTCTGAATAGATTGTTAGCTCTATGTTGTAATTGTGGATGGGTTGGAGATAGCTCAGGACTACAGTGATTGCGTACTCTAGAAACGGATTTTGTGGGAAGTGTGTTCTATACAGTTAGGCATGACTTTGGTGTTAATCTAAAGTACTTACGCAACCATAGCCTGATAAGCATTAGGACCAGAAGTATCAACTTCAAAACGCCATTTTCCCTGTGCAAACTGGGGACTTTGCGCAGTGATTGTTGTTTTGTTTCCAGATACTGGGGAGCCATGAATAATGGCGTGCATTCGTGCTGATAGCGCAACGACGTATGCGCTATATTCAGGAACAAGAACGAGATATCCTCCCGCAAGAAGGGCCTTTCCAGTAGCAGAATACGCTAGTTTTTGAGACATTGTTTTGTTGGCGATGTGTATATGTTAGAAGGGGGAGGGAAATCAAAGTGTTTATATACTTTTGTTTAAAAGACTTGGCCCCTCGTCGAGGTAATGAGAATTTCAACGAGTATTTGAAATTTGACAAGCACGTGATTTTAAAAAAAAAAAACGAGAAAGTCGCCAAAGTGACAAAGTGACAAAGACGCAAGGCACCTTAAAAGGAAAATCAAGTTATTATGGAAGATCATTTCAAATATTAAAGTATGAAGCAGAAACGACATACCCCTGAACAATTAAAGGGTGTACGCACCAGGGCAAAGGGTTATTATTTTATTTTTTTTTTGCTTGTGCTGTGTAAGAGGCTGATACAACCAGTGCTTGAAGGAAATGGCGCACACAAGAAAGTTAAGGGTGTGCACGGCTGATTTTTATGTGACATTACAATTTTATATAGGGAATCAATTTCATTAAAATACATTTGATAGAGTACCCTTGACCAGGGTTATTAAAATCTTTAAAGACCACTAGGGCTAGGGGAAGAAGTTATTTGAAATTTTCTGGAATTTTTGGTTTATCTCCAAAGCGGGTTTTTTTTAACACGTCACAGAATTTTCAGGGTTAGGTTTTGAGCTGTTAAAAAAAAATAAATAAATTAATAGACACATGCAGCTATTCTATGATGGCAAATCATTCTTTTTTAGATTGATATCATTCATCGAACTAACCAACAATGATATTCAAAACGCCATCGTCCTTATTGACGATTCTTGTGATTCTGCTGGGTGTTTCACATTTAGCGGCAGCGGGTGCAAACTACTATGATGTAAGCAATCAACATGGGTTATATGTGTGTGGAGAGACAATGATCTAACGAGATAAATCAGGTTCTAGGAATCAAAAAAGGCGCCACTACACAAGAAATCAAACAAGCATATCGAGAATTAAGCAAAAAATATCATCCAGATAAGAATGAGTAAGTATTTAAACAATTTACGTTTATTCATATCTAACTTTTAACCTTTAAATAAACAGTGGTGACGATACCAAGTTTATGGAGATTTCCCAAGCATACGAAGTCCTTTCAGACGACGAAAAACGATCAAACTATGACCGATTTGGTGAAGAAGGTGTAAATGGCAATCCCGGAGGTGGCCCAGGTGGCGGTGGCCATGGAGGATTTGATCCATTCCAACATATGTTTGGACAACAGCGACGACAACAACAGCAGCGACAGCGGGGGCCCAACACTGAGTCGACGCTTGAAATCTCACTAAAGGATGCATACAATGGCCGGTCGATTCCATTGAAATTCAACATGATGGCGTCGTGCAACCAGTGTAAGGGATCAGGATCAGCTGATGGGAAGTTTGTCAACTGTAATCAGTGCCACGGTAAAGGCATAGTGATTATGGAAGTACAGTTGGCGCCTGGAATGGTGCAACGAATCCAGCAAACGTGTCCCAAGTGTCAAGGACAACGACATCTGATTGCCAATCCATGCAAGAAATGTCATGGAGCCAAGGTAGTGCGGGAAGGCAAGACACTGGTGCTAGATGTGGAGCCTGGTGTACCGCGGGAGTTTGAGCATGTGTTTCACGGTGAGGCAGACAAGCAACCGGGTCTGGAGCAAGGAGATTTGGTGATGAAATTGCGAGAATCTAAAAAAGACAATTGGGGATACCGACGGCGGGGACAGAATTTGTTTCGCACGGAGATGTTGACAGAAGAGGAGGCACTGAAAGGTGGGTGGTCGCGCGACATTCCTTGCTTAGATGGAGAGACGACAATTCGGCTGGCCCGTAAGCGTGGACAGAAGGTGATGCCTGGAGAGGTTGAGGTACTTGCAGGTCACGGCATGCCAATTTTGGAATCGGATGATGAGCACGGGGATCTGTATGTGGAGTATGTGGTAGTGTTTAAAGGCAAGGCCGATAAAGATGAGCTGTGATTTATAGAAAGTCAAAAGAGAAAAAAAATTTAATAATAGTACTGTATAATAAGAATAACAATAATAATAATAATACGGCCCAAAAAAAAAAAAAAAAAAAAAGGGAGCGTGTGCTCGAGGATGTAATTTGGGAAATTGCCGAGATACAAGTGGTGGTGATGAAGATGAAGAAAATGATGATGAAGATGATGAAGATGATGATGATGATGATTATGATTATGGCTCAGAAAGATTGTGGAGGGATTAACAGACCCATGTGGGTTGAAATGGAAGATTGAATTGGTCTTTCTCCAGTAATTGACCTCGAGTGACTTTAAATAGATAGCTAGCCAGGGCATTTAACAGATGGAATTTTCCAAAAAAAAAATTAAAAAATAAAAAATAAAAAAAAAGACGTTTGTTTGGTTTGTTTGTATGCCGGTATATCATTTGGTTGCGCCGCACGTGGGCACGAGAGACTTATCTTCCAATGGGGTGCACCGATAGTACAACATGTGCGAGTCTCTTGTCCCGCAAATCGAGTTTTTTTTTTTTTTTTTTTGGAAAATTCTCCACACACACAAATCCAAATATGAACAGACAGACAAACAAACGAACAAGCGAACCAACAGAAAGCCGCCCGGTGTGGCCCGCCGCGTGCACGCCTATTACACCCAGTAATAAGCCGTGGTGGCTTGATTGATGTCATTGCCTCGTGTGCACTGACAAAAAAAAAAAAAAAAAAAACACTCCCCCCCCCCCCAATCTTGATTATTACCAGCCAAGGGGGAGGAGGAGAAGGAAGAGCGAGGGCAAAAGGGGAAAAACTCAGATTGAAAAGTTGTATTATTATTTTTTTTATTTAGACTTAATTATTAAAAAAAAAAAAAAAGGTCAAATTGGGGCCAATCCCACGACCGACCGCGTGCCCATGTGCCTTTGACAATTTGCCCTCAGAAGACCTTTTTTTTTTCACAAGCGAGTGAAATATTTTGAAAAATAATAATAATAATAATAATAATAAGAACAATCTTTACCAGAAAAAACTTGATCTGTTGGGGATGGGAGGTAAACTTTTCTCTCTCTCTCTCTTTTTTGAATAAGCATGTGCAAATCATCAAACGGAAATCAATTGACTGACAATGTATAAAATGGGCTTGAAATCGCGTGGGATATTTTTTTTTATTCTTTTTCTTTTTCTATTCTCTTTCTCTTTTTTTTATAATTATTCACTTCTCTCTCTTCATTCAACACTCTTTTAAATTTTTTTATTTATTTATTCAACATAATATAATTGTTTTTTTTTTTTTGTTTTGTGTCTCCCTCAACTTTAATTTTACCTCTAATCTCCCTTCCTCTCTTTACCATGGAATCTATCCCCGTTATTCCCCTTGCGGCTGGCGCAGGTGTACTTCTTCTTTTGGCCTATGCACTAACCAACCCTTCTGCAAAATCACTTGCCCTTTTTGCCTACAACTGTTTCCTCAAACCCATCTCCAAGTCCTCTTCAAACCAGCAGGTCGCCCTCGAAAGCTTTTATAAAGGCCAGGCCCAAGTCTACGACCGCACTCGCAGCAAGCTACTCAAGGGCCGGGAGCTCATGTTGCAGCTGTGCAGTGCACACTCTAAAAAAATCCAAAACCTCGTCTGGGTCGACATTGGCGGTGGCACCGGCTGGAACATTGAACAAATGAATGAGTACAGACCTATTTCTTCCTTCAAGGCTGTCTACTTGGTCGACTTATCCCCCTCGTTGTGTGAGGTGGCCAAGGATCGCTTCAAGCGCCGCGGATGGAAAAACGTCCACGTCCTGTGTATCGATGCTAATGACTTTGTTCTCCCTGATGGTGTTTCCGGTATTGACTTGGTCACCATGTCCTACTCCCTGTCCATGATCCCCAGCTACTACTCTGTTATTGATAAAATGTCCTCGCTTCTTTCCAAGGACGGTATCTACGGTGTTGCCGACTTTTACGTCCAGTCTTCTGCCTCTATGATGGGCAAGTCCGGCACTGTTGGTGGTCAAGTCCTTCGTCATGTCAACTGGTTTTCTCGCACTTTTTGGAGACTGTGGTTTGAGTTTGACCAGGTCTACTTGGATTCTGCTCGCAGAGATTACCTCGAGTATAAGTTGGGCAGTGTCAAGTCCTTGAACTTCCGCAACAAGGCTTTAGGTGGCATCCCTTATTATGTCTTCATTGGTACTGAAAAGGATTACTCTTCTGATATTACTAACCGTATTAATGCTGCTGCTACTGAATCTCCTTACCTTGCTCCTGTTTCTCCCAATGTGTCTATGCAAAACCTTAAAGGAGCTACTGAAAAGCAAGTTGCCGAGATTCAGTCTAAGGGTTATCAAGCTGCCATCATCAACATGGAGCGCAACTGCCCCTATCCTTCATTTTTCTATCAGCGTGAGATTTGGCGTATTTACTACGACTTTGATCAACCAAAGTACAACCAGTTTGCCGGACAATATATCTACGCCTTTACTTGGGAAGACCCTCGCGAAGACATTGCCATTTTGAACATCCAGCCCACAGACACAATGCTGGCCATTACCTCTGCTGGCGATAACATTTTGGCATATGCTTGCATGGACAAGGCTCCTCGTAGAATCCATGGCGTTGACTTGAACCCCCACCAAAATCACTTGATGGAGCTCAAGCTTGCATCAATGCGTGCTTTGGCATTTGAAGACGTTTGGAAGATTTTCGGTGAGGGCAAGCACGAAGGCTTTATGGACCTGTTGTCAAAGAAACTTTCCCCACACATGTCATCACATGCTCTGCAATACTGGATGCGTGTGGGCCCCAAGACATTCCAAGGACAGGGCCGTGGATTGTATGATACCGGATCTACTAGATGGGCTCTGCGTATTGCCCGCTGGGTGTTTAAGCTTGCTGGTGTTGAGCGCGATGTTGTTGAGCTGTGCGAGAGCAAGACCATGGAGGAACAGCAGCGTATTTGGAAGGAGCGGGTTCGTCCTGCCTTGTTTAATCCTGTTGTAACTCGCATTTTGGTGGCTAACCCTGTATTTTTGTGGAAGGCTTTGGGTGTTCCTCTCAATCAAGCATCAATGATTGACGGTGGTATTTTGCGTTACATTATTGATACTATTGAGCCTCTGATTTCTCGCAGTTTGATTTCTACAGACAATTACTTTTACTACCTGTGCTTGATGGGACGTTACTCTCGTGACAACTGCCCTGATTACCTGACACGTGGGGGGTACAGCAACCTGGCCAAGCGCAAGAGTGCTTTGGACGGCATTCGTCTGCACACTGATACCATCAACGATGTTGTTGAGCGCATCAGACCTGGAAGTGTTAACCATGCTATTGTTATGGACCACATGGATTGGTTTTCTCCTACTGGTACCGATGCTCGTGATGAGATCCGTGCACTTAATAAGGCTCTTGCGACTGGAGGCAACGTGATGCTCCGTTCCTCGTCGACACAGCCTTGGTACTTGCGCGTTTATGAGGAGGAAGGATTTGAGTGTCGCCCTGCGGCTGTTCGCCGACCTGGCACTAGTATTGATCGCGTCAACATGTACGCATCGACTTGGGTGTGCACCAAGAAGTGGAGTTGTGATAAGAGTCGGGTTGAAGGAGAGACTGAGGAAGATGGTGAGAAGTTAAAGACTGATATCCGCAAGAACAGTGTGACTTCGTTGAAGATTTAAATAGAAGGAGAAAGTACTTCTAAGAAGTAAAAAAAAAAAAAAAAAAAAAACAGTAATGAAATTTTTGTTTAGAAATGACTTGAAACTTAGAAAATTAAGAGTTAAATGAAATATACATTTACATTTACATTTAAAATAGAAGCCCTTACCCTTATGGAATCCTGTATTTTTGATAGAACATACATGCTTAGCGAAGAAAAAAAACTGGCACATAAAAATCATGTTTTCACCTAATTGGGTTCTTGTTTAAGCAAAGGAAAAAAAAATTAAATTAAATTAAATTAAATAAAATTAAAAAACACCACCAAACATTCTCAATTTTGTAGATCCTTTAATCACAACACAAAATTGTTAATAAATAAATTCATAAACGCATGAATTAATATTTTCCATGATTAATATTATAGAATTGTTTAAGTAAAGGTGCAGGCATCCTTATAAATCTGTTGGGATTTGTTGGACGTTGCTCTGTTTCCTCGTGTATTCTCTCTCTGTCTATTTTGAATTTAATTCACATTAATATTCGCTATAAAAACTTCATTATCTTAAAGCTGACAACCAAATGGGCAATGAAAAAAAAGAAAAAAAAAACTTTTAAAATATCTAATAGATTAATTATTTTCAATATTGTTTCCCGAAGTTGTCTGATTTCCATTTTCAATAACTTTGATAAACATTTCCAATACTTAACGTAAAGAGAGAAATTGCAAGTTAATTAGATGCACAGGTAGGGTAACTTCCCCAATTTTTTTTTTCTTTTGCTTAAACAAGAACCCATCAATTAGGTGAAAACATGATTTTTATGTGCCAGTTTTTTTTCTTCGCTAAGCATGTATGTTCTATCAAAAATACAGGATTCCATAAGGGTAAGGGTTTTAATTCTAAGTACTGAAAAAGGAAAAATAGTACTGAAAAGGAAAAAAAAAAAAAAAAAAAAAAAATTGTTTTAGTAGTTTTTGAAATAAAAAAAACCTTTATCAATGAGAAAGTTTGACAAAAAAGGGTTTTTCTTCTTGAGATATAAATATTAATCTTTTTTTTTTTTTTTTTTTTTATTTTGATTCATATGAATCTCTGGTTTATGATTATTATAATGACCAAGATGGTTTTTAAGAAAGTACCCTTAACAGACTCTCAGACAAGCATCTGCGAGCCTCGGAGTTAAAAAAAAAAAAAAAAAAAAAAAAAAAAAAAAAAAAACACATTGTATCTGAATGTCTTCAAAAGTTTTTGAAAGTCTTTGAAAGTCTTAAAACGTTTGGTTTAATTTTAATTATGGGTTTGATCAGATGTTTATTTATTGGAAAGTCCTAATAATCTTTGAGTAATTTGATGTCAATGGCTTGTGTTGAGGGGAGAGAGAGAAAGAGGAAAAGATGGGAAAGAAACTTCCCGATTGGGTGATTTACTCTTACTTTTAACCATGTAGCTAAATGGTTAGGACAAAACTTCTCAATTTGAATATAAAAAAGATGAAAAAAAAAAAGAGGAGCATCGAGATGATTCAGATAAATTAACAAATTACAATATATATTATATATATATATATATAAATCCCAATCTTTGAAGTTGATTTTCTTTTTTTCTACCTTATTGATAGAGACGACATTTTTATTTAAAAGTCGAGACAATTTTTTTTTTTCTTTTTTTTCTTTTTTTTCTTTTTTTTCTTTTTTATAGAAATTTACCGATAAAGAACTCTTCTTACTATTTTTTTTTTTTTTTTGCAAATTGATTTTGATTTTTTTTTTTTTTTTTTTTAATTTCTATTTACCCTTGTCTTTTTGAAGTTTTCGTAGCAACTTTAGATAATCAAAATGCACCAAAGAATACATAAATTCATACTTGTTTGGGAAGTAACCCTAAGCCCACTGGGCAAATTTTTGTTTTTTTTTTTTTTTTTTAATTGTTTTATCAAAAGGTCTTGATAGTAAGAGAATTGTTGAAAGATTTAAAAGATTGTTGTGAAGAAATAAATATTTATATATATCTTATTTATAAAAAAAAAAAAAAAAATAAGAAAATACTTAATCACAATTTAAATAGAAGTTTTTTTTTTTTTATTTTAATTATTATCAAAGGTTTTACTTTTATTTTTTTTTTTTTTCCTTCTTAAATGTAATTGGAAATACATAATTATATAATATATTATAACCGCCTTTCGTAATTTTGATTAGTATCATCTTAAATAAATTCACACATAAAAAAAAAATGGGCCCTTTTTTTGATACTCAATTCGGTATAAGTTTTTTTTTTTATTTCTTAAAAACAAAAAAAAATGAAATAAAAAATAAAATAAAATAAAAATAAAAATAAAAATAAAAATAAAAGGCTTGGCCTTTATTAACAAGAATAGCAAAGTAAACTAGATGAATAAGAAAATGGAAATCACCAAATCCGAAAATCTTAAATTTTTTTTTTTTTTTTTTTTTTGTTTCGTATCGTTTAGATTTAAACAAAGGTATGTTCAACTTAAGTTTTGGTAAATTTTTTTTTTTCTCATTATTGATTCTTTAATTGTGGGACTTAAATAGCTGGGCTGTGATAGTTTTTAGTAAGTTTTGTTATTGCAACTTATGTATATTTAATTTTTTTTGTTTTTTAAAAACAAAAAAACAATGTGATAGTGTTGCAATATATGTAATATATAAAGTGATGTAATTGCAATAAATTTTTTTTTTTTTATTTATTTAGCGATATTGACCAAATTTTGTTTTTTTTTTTATACAACAAAAAAAAAAAAAAAAAATAAAAAAATAATAATATGTGGGGTAACCGAAGTGGCCATTGTTGTTTGGGGCAACAGCCACACAGGAAAATAGATAAAAAAAAAAAATTATCTGTGCAGTTGTCATTTAACCGTTTTTAGCAAACTGCTGCGTTTCCATGGTGAAAAATTCAGGAGCCTTTTTTTTTTTTTTTATTTTTTTTTATTTTCATTTTTAATTTTAATTTTTTTTTATTTGTAGTAATATTATTGTAGAATATTGTAGTACTAGTAACACACACACACACACACACACTTTTTTTTAAAGCACTTTAAGCCTAAAGTCTTTTTTTTTTTTTTTTTTTTTTTTATTTTATTTTTTCTTAGTCGGCCGTGTACGGAAGTGTGGCATCAGCATCAGCATCAGAAGCATCAGAAGCAGCAGAAGCAGCAGCAACAGCGGAAGCAGTTAATTGCGATAAAAACTATCACCACCACCAACAACAACAACACCACCACCACCAAAAAAAAAAAAAAAAAAAATTAATGGCCAGTGACAACATAATTAGTGGAAAGATTTTTGTGGTGGTGGTGATAGTGGTTTTAATAAAGAATCTATATCTTTTATTTATTTATTTTTTTGATCACCAGACAATTAATCAATTAATCAATTAATCAATCAATTAATCAATTAATCAATTAACAAGAAATAAAAAAAAAGAAAAAGAAATTTCTCTTTTTGGTAAATTGTTTATTAAAATAAAAATAAAAATAAAAATAAAAATAAAAATAAAAAAAAATACTTTCATTTTCAAGGCGCGCTTTTTTTTTTTTTTTTTTTTTTTTAATTACAAAATAAAAATAAAAAAATTCATTATATAAAACCCTCCACACACCCCCCCCCACTCAAAAAAAAAAAAAAAAAAAAAAATAGAATGTCGATCAAAGTAATAATATATTACTAAGCAACACATTAAAATTTATTTTATTAAATAATTAATTGAATATATATAATTGATTAACAAATTAATTATATTTTTTTCCCATTAATATGATAACTTTTTAGTGATAGCAAGCAAGCACATAAAAAGTGATAATGGTAATGGTAATGGCATTAATTGTAGTAATAGTAATAGTAATTAATAGTAGTAATAGTAATAGTAATTAATAGTAGTAATAGTAATAGTAATAGTAATAGTAATAGTAATTAATAGTAATAGTAATAGTAATAGTAGTAATAGTGGTGGTGGTCGCCATTCTAAAAAAAAAAAATAAAAATTCTCGCCTAATTTGTGGGTCGCATTTTTTTTTTTTTTTTTACACCTAAAAGAATTTTTTTTTTCTCTCTCTCTCACACACACACACAACTTTTTTTTTTTTCTACTTTCTACTTTCCCAACTATCTTTTTTTTTTTTTTTTTTTTTTCTTTTTCTTGTTCTCGTTCTTGTTCTTTTTTTTTAAACCTTCATTTCTAAATATCTTTAAAGTCCTTTTTTTTTTTATTTTTATTTTTATTTTTGTTTTTATTTTCATTTTCATTTTTATTTTTTTAAAAATATCTTTCTTTCATTTTTGTATATTATTTCATATAATCCCCTCTTCATTTCTTTCCATTCGCTCTTTTATAACCGCCTCAGATGGAAAAATGGACCCTCTCATCCATAATCACCATCTTCATCTAAATAACACCACCACCACCACTACCAATTCCACCCAATTCCAATATGAACAACACCATCCTTCAATCCATAAACCAGTAGTGGTTCTTCAACAGCAACAACAACCTTTTACTCAACCTATTCATCATATTCAACAGCAGCAGCAGCAGCAGCAGCAGCAGCAGCAAAAGCAAAAGCTAAGTTATAACCAGCACGTTCTTCATTGCCAACAACAGATACAGCAACACCAACAACCACAGATTATTCCTGAACCACCAGTATATTATCACAATAATTATGCTGCTGCTTTATCTGCTTATGCTAATTATGCTAATGGTTCTGTCAATGGTTCTGTCAATGTCCCTCCCCCTACTACTGCTACTGCTACTGCTGCTGCTACTACTGCCTCTGCCTCTGTCTCTGCCTCTACTTCTGTCTCTGCCTCTGTCTCTGCCTCTACTTCTGTCTCTGCCTCTGTCTCTGCCTCTACTTCTGTCTCTTCTTCTGCCTCTGCCAATGTTACAACTACCACCAACCCATCTCAGGCCTCTCTAGCTGTCCAACAAGTTTCCTCTTCCTCGTCCTCTTCATCTTCAACAACCCCAACCTACTATGCTGCTACTGCTCCTGCCCAATCTTCAACTCCAATCTCGGCTCCAGTTCAAGCCCAACTTCAAACCCTTACCTCTGTTTCTGCTTCGGTTTCTGCTCCAACCCAAGCTTCTCAACAAAACCCTCCTCCACCAGCAGCAATGGCTTGGGAACGACAACAACTCTCTCACACCCTCTCCCAAAGCCAGGCTCCACCTGGATACTCCTTCGCTCCACCTTCTCTCCGCCGTAAACGTGACTTGGCAGAGTCCTTTGCTGTTGAAGATGACTATCGTGATGATGTTCTTGAACGCTTGCTTGCCCTTGAAAAAGAAACTCTCCCTGACCCAGCCATGATTGCTACCCAGCCGGAAATCAAGTGGCACATGCGGCCCCACCTCCTCGACTTTCTCTTTAAAACCCATAAGGGCTTGCGTCTCAATGAGGAAACTCTCTTCCTTGCTGTCAACATTATCGACCGTTATTCATCCCAGCGCATCGTCTTTAAGCGCCATTATCAGCTTCTCGGTTGCACTGCTTTGTGGATTGCTTCCAAATATCATGACAAGAAGGCCATGGTCCCCACTCTCGAGGAACTTAAGTTACTTTGTTCAAAAGTTTACGACTCCCACATGTTTACTCAGATGGAGCTCCATATTCTAAACACTCTCAATTGGAATGTCGGCCACCCTACTGTTGATGTTTTCCTTGATATGTGTATTGGTCATTCGGAGTCCATGTCCCAGTATCCTGATACTCTCCGTTGCGCAGCCCTTTACCTTTGTAAGGTAGCTACCATCCACCGACCTTTCCTTGCCTTTAAGCCTTCAGTCATTGCTTCGGCTTCATTTAAGGCAGCTACCTTGGTGTTGACTGATGGAAAGGAAGATCTCCCTGCTGCTGACGTCTCAGAGGCTCAATGCATTGCTCTTTTGCTTGAATATTTGGTTGCAGCCACACCTGCACTAGAGTTAATTTACTCTACTTGGGAAATGTTTATTGTTTTCCATCGTATGGATAAGTTTTATACTATACGCCAACAACAACAACAACAACAACAACATAACCTCCCAGCTTCCAATAGCCCAGTTACTCCAGAGCAGCCAACATTTGCAGACATTACGCCAGCAGTTACTCCTATGCATAAACAACCTTCGGAGGTCCTGGCGTCCTCCTCCTCCTCTTCTTCTTCTTCTTCTTCTTCATCTTCTTCTACTTCCACTTCCACACCTTACTCTTTGCATTATCCCCCTCCACCCAAACTACAACAGCAGCTGCCTCATAATGGGTACATGACTCCTCCATTTACACCTGAGGAGCAAAACCCTTCGCCTCAAAAAGTTTCTGTGACTGTTGTTTCTTCAGCAGCAGCAGCAGCAGCAGCACAATCAGCAGCAACATCGGCAACTTTAGCGTCCAACTCTAGTACTATCACCATGGCTGCATCCACTTGCTCAAGATCTGCCACGACATCTTCTGCTCCTACTACTTCTATTGCTGCGTACTATCCTCCTCATTTGGAGGCGTCGCGTGTCCTTGCTCTCCAGAACGTTGTTGCTCAATCTTCCCAGACCCAAACTGTGTTTGTTGGGATTGAAGACTACAATGAGGATGATGACGGGGATTATGAAGCTACTAGTGATTATGAGAATGATGACGATGACTCTGATGATGAGTACATGGATGCGGATGATATGGATGAGGTCATGATGGATCTTGATGAGGATTTCCGCGTCAGAGACGTGGCAGTTCCTCGACCCAATACTAATGGTATTACTGACGCCAATTCTTCTGCAGTCCTTTGGGCAAACTATCACCACGGACACGAGCAGCGCCATGTTCCGTATTAAGTGGAATAAGAAGAAGAAGAAGAAGAAGAAGAAGAAGAAGAAGAAGAAGAAGAAGAAAAAAAAACTCAAGGGAAATATTTTATTGTTTCCTTGAATAAGAAGAAGAAAAAAAAAAAAACTAATTCTATTTGCTTTATTGAAAAAAAAAAAAAGAAACCAATCCTTCACTTTACGCTCCTTAATCATTAATTATTAACTTTTAGGTTTTATGATGACCAAACTTGAATTATTATTATTATACACTTCTTTAACTAACATTTATTTTTTTAAAAAAAAAAAAAATAGGGAAGTCCACATTTTGATTACTTTTTGTTTACTTAAAAAAATTAAAAAAAAAATAAAGAAAAGGAAGCCCAATTGTTTTTTTTTTTTTTTTTTTTTTTTTGCGCTTGTATAGAAATAAATGTCCTTGATGGATATATAAATATATATATATTTGACGTTTTTAAAAAAAAAAAAAAAAAAAAAAAAAAAAAAAAATTGGTAAGAAAGCTTTTTTTTTTTTTATTTTTTATTTTTAATTTTTTTTTATGGGACAAAAAGTTTTTTTTTAAAAAAAAAAAAAAAAGATCAAGAAGAAGATAAAAAATTTATTTTTATTTTTTGATTTTTCTGTGGCTGGCTGTGCACATGCATGGAACTCCCTAATAATAATAATATAATATAAAAAACACATGAATATATATATATATAAATATTTTTTTTTTTTTTTTTTTTTTTTTGTTCTTGTTCGCTCTCTTTTTATTTTATTTTTTTTATTTTACTTGTTGATATAAATTCTATTTTTTTTTTCTCACTTTCACATATATATATATATATAAACTTTAGAAAAATTAAAAAATCTTTTATAAATAAAAAAAAAAAAAAAAGGAAAAGTAAAGACATATATTTGATTCAAAATATATATATATATATATAGTTAGTATCTTTCATTTCTTTCATTTCTTTAAAAGAAAAAAAAATCATTTGATTCCAAGTATATTTTAGCAGAAACAAATGAAATAAAAACTTTGCACATTAACTTTATTTTATTTTATTTTGGTCTTGAAAAAAAAATAAATAAAAAATAAAAAAAAAAAAAACTTTATACAAGGTTTCTTTTTTTCTATTTTCTTTTATTTTGTTTATAATTTTTTGTTAAATGGAAGAAAACTTTAATAATAATAAAAAAAAAAAAAAAAAAAAAAAAAGAATAATAATAAGTCTAATAAACGATAAACGTTGTATTAAAAAAATTAACGTGTAGAATAAGCGACAAATTTATGAATGAAACAGAAGACTAAGACAATTAATAAATAAGATTTTAATAAGTTAAGAAGTTGATTGATTAATTGATTAATTGATTAATTGATTAATTTGATTAATGATAATGATAATGATAATGATAATGATAATGATATTGATGAAATTTTTTTTTTTTGGAAAACGAGAGTAGGGTAGGGTAGAAGTAGGGTTCTGTACAAAAACGTTGTTTCAGAGAAGAGGGCGGTAACTACGACAGAATAAAAAGAATAAAAAGAATAAAAAGAATAAAAAGAATAAAAAGAATAAAAAGAATAAAAAGAATAAAAAGAATAAAAAGAATAAAAAGAATAAAAAGAATAAAAAGAATAAAAAAAATAAAAAGAGCCTCGTTTTGATAAGAAATTTATTAATTTTTTTTTTTGAGGGGAGAGGAAATTTTAAAGTCTACTTGCTTTTTAAAAGAAAGAAAGAAAAAAATTGACAACATAAAAATAAAATAAAAATTGATTTATAAGTTACTTCATTTGAATTGTTTAACAACAATAATGATGGCCAAAGCTACAAAAAAAAAAAAATCTATTTTAAATTTATTTTTATTTTTATTTTTATTATTATTATTATCACTGGGATTATTCTAGTTGCTTTCTCCAGACAATGTTAATGATGATAATGCGGGGAGGAAGGGAAGGTAAGAATAGGGGGAGGGGGGAGGGAGAGAATTATTATGTTAGAGAATATATTCAATAAGTTAGTAAAAATTATGAGGGGAGTTACGGAATATCGGAAACTATTTGATTTTAGTTAGTTTTCTTTTTTTTTTTTTAAAAAAAAAATACCAATATATATATATATATAATGAATGGTTTATTATTAGTTTATATAAAGAAAATGAAATATAAATAGAGTAATGAAGGAGAATGATGATGATGATGATGATGATGAAGAGCAAAGATTAATTTTTGTATATGCCCACTATTGATAATAATGATAATAATAATAATAATAATAATAATAATAAAGGGGAAAAAAAACACTTAAATATATATATATAAAATTTATATATAAAGAAAGACCTTTTTATTTTTTATTATATTTTTATTACAAAGGAAATAATCAATTATATCAATCTAAAAAAAATGAAAAAATAATTGAAATAAATATATATATATATATTTTATCACCTCTAGTTAAGTTATTACTTGAAGTAGTAAGTAGTATTAATAGTATTAATAGTATTAGTTGTAGTAGTACTAGAGTTAGTATAATAATAATAATACTAATAATAATAATAATAATAATAATAATAATAATAATAATAATAATAATAATAATAATAATTAAAACAAGAATAAGTTGATTTTTATTTTTTTATTTTATAACAAAAAAAAAAAAAAAAATAATAGCAACTTTTAAAAATCTTTGCACTAAAATAGCTCTATCTTTATGTCTATCCGAATCTCTCCGTTAAAATTTAAAAGAATAAAAAAAAAAACAAAAAACAAAAAAGCGAATTTTTTTTTTTTTTTTTTTTTTTTCAATTTTATATATATCAATCAAAATCAACCAAAATCAATAAGTTAAACTTTACAATACAAAATTAAATCATTTTGACATATATATGAATAACATCAATATTAACAAAAAAAAAAAGATTAATGAATAAAACTACCTTCTACAAAGCACAATTGTACTTTCTTTCTTTCTTTCTTTATTTATTTCTTATTGCACTGATACTATAAGAAATTAGTTAAATAAAATGGCACGTGTATAAAATTTTTTTTGTTTTTTTTTGTTTTGCTTTGTTCTGAATTTTTATATTTTTTATTTCATTTTTTATTTCATTTTTTATTTTTTATTTCATTTATTTCATTTATATGGAATTCTTCTTTTTGTACAAAAAAAAATAAAAAAAAAAATAAAATCTTAAACTCCAAGTCTTAAGCTTTACTACATAAAACATAAAACTTTAATCTCAATAACTAACAACCCCAAGCACTATAACAGCCCCTACATAGTACGGCCACTGCTCAGGTAAAACAACAAACAACCATGCCAATAAAACAACAATCCCTCCTGCAACAAGTCTCCCCAAAACACTTCCAAATGACCTCAAACTTCCACCAAGACTCATACTCATGCTCATACTTTGACTCTCATTCCCTCTATTAACTCTCATCGTAGTACTTCCATCTCTCTTTTTATTCTCTCCACCAAAATTATCTCCCTCGTCCCGCTCCTGCTTAAAAGACCCACGAGCACGAGCTCGAGCCTCATCGGCTGCCATCAGCTGTGCTGCTGCCCTGGGTCCATACCGCGCCCTCATATTGGCTCGTCGGTTTGCCAACAACGCCCGAATAGCTGCCCGACGTTCCGCAGGTCCATCAATTCCTGTTGTTGTTTTACTCTGAAATTCTCCCTTCACCTTCTTCTTCTTCCCATCATCATCATCATCATCTTCTTCTTCTTCTTCTTTTTTATTCGCATTTTCTTTACCTTCATCACCAAGAGCCTGCCCAATTACCAAACATGCACAATCTTCTGCACGCGCCCTCAAATCTGCAGCTGCAACACCCCATGCTTCGTCTCCTGACTCCACCTCCAAAATCTCCCGTGGATCAGCATCTCCATCAGAATCATAATCTGGCGCAAGTCCCATGCCCGTCCGTACGTGTGACAGGTGCACTACCATTGCCCCCAAACTCGCAATGCTATCTGCCCGTCTTGCAACCGTACTAGCATCCCGAAGGGTGTCTTTAGGACTCTGATACCCTCGTGTTTTTTCCGCCTCCAAAACGCTCTCCGCCTCGTCATCATTCCCCTCTCGAGGTATCGATACCCCAGCCGCTGCAACCAAAACACTCAACCCAATGGGCCCTCCATTGTCCACACTCCCATCCCCATATCCTTGTGCTGCTATTGTGTCCCTTATGTTTGACCCATTTTGCCCATTGCAATTGTTTTCCACAGCAAGCAGCTCTTGCTCCAAAACTGTAACCCCAGGCTCCCCTGCAATCTCTCCCCGGGCCTTCCATGCAGCATATGCCTGGCGTGCCTCAGGTCCTTGCGTCGCCAAATAATGCTCCTTGAGCTTGCGGTACGTATCTGCTCTGTACCGCGCTGCCAGAATCGTTGTGTCTGTTTCGTTAACGTCTTGCGGATCCACCACAGACGGTCGTTTGGCCGTGGCAGTGGAGGTGGCAGCAGAGGTGGCAGCGGCTGCTGCCCGCGCAGTGTCCATGTCGGATGAAATGTGAATTCCCAAGTGTTGCGCAAGACTCCCCCGCCGAGATGTTGGATCTTGTACGTCACTCACCTTGTTGTTTATCCCCTCATCGTCTACATCGTCGTCAATCTGTGCCAGTGCAACAGCCAGTGCCTGTAATTTGTTTTCCACACTCGATGGTGAGTCTGTTGGGTAAACCAGAATATCTGGCAGCTCGTGCTGCACACTTTTGGGCTGAGTTGTCGGTGCACGCTTCTTAACAGCAGACCGCTTAGAAGGAGAAGTAGTGGTAGTAGTATTGGCTTTGTTATTTACGGTAGCAGCTGCAGACGGGACACCTGTTGATGGTCCATTGGTGGTGGTGGTGGTGGTGGTGGAGGAGAAGGAAGAGTCACCAGGTTCTTGTCCTTTGACAAAAATTACCCGTTTGCGAGACTGCTGCTGTGCAGCCGTAGTTGCTGGTTTAGAGCCTAAAGATTTGGAAGATCCAAATGATTTCGATGACCCTGAAGATTTCGACGAGCCTGAAGATTTCAATGACCCCGTTGAGGATTCCGAAGGAGTCTTGACATGATTGCTTGCTCTCCGACGTACACCATTTCCTTCATCCAATTTTCCAGCTGATGGAGACCCTTGACGCACTTTGGGAGACGTTACACCCGGTGATGCTGCAACCTGGGATGTTGCACCCGGTGACGCCGTCGACGTCATGCCACGTCCAACCCCCATGGTCTCCGACCCTATGGTTGTTTCACCTTCTTCTGCAGCCATCTGCGCGGCAGCTGCGACTTTTGCCATCGGCGAAAGCATGCGTGTGGGCGGCGACACTTGGCGCGGCTGTGGTGACAAGACCCGGTCGCGTACTATTGATCTTAGACCAGTACCACCATTACCACTATTACCACCACGTGAGGGACTCAAACTTCCTTCACGGTTACTCTGTGGACGTAACGAATAATTGTTGTCGGCCTGAAGCAAAGCGTGAGGCACAGTTGCAGGAGGTGATGCTACAGAGAGAGACGAGTGAATTGAGTTGGTTGTGGATTCTTTGTGAATGTTGAGGGTTGTTGGAGATGTGTAGTGGAGATGAGGCAGGTGTACATGAGTAGAACCGTTGCCACCTTCATCACGACTCTCTGAGCTGCGGGCCCGAGATGTTGGTGATTTGTAAGATATGTGTGGCATAGTTGAGGTTTTAATATCAATTGATGTATGGATTTTGAATAAACCAAAAAAAAAAAACAAAAATGAATCGAATACGATATAATACAAACAAATAAAAAATAAATAAAAGAAAAAAAAAAAAAAAAGAGAATTTCAAGTTATTTATATTTAAAGGGAAAAAAACTCATTCTTTTATATAAAATTTTTTTTTTTTTTATTTCTTTCTTCTTTTTTATGTCCGCAATCTTAAACAAACTTTTTCTGTGACCTCATGATGAGATTCCAGCAATTCAGCATAAAAAAAAAAAGTCAAAATTAACGCACCGCTAGAACTCCCTTCATTTAATAATAATCATTGAGCCGCACAATCCCATTTAAAGGCAACTCCAGCGTCCTTTTTTTTTTTTTTTTTTTTTGGCTTTATTTTTTTTCATACTGCATACCGGCTCGGGTTCCGCAAACGCCAACCGTATGTGTAAAAAAATACGGGCAACGGCACATACAAAATACACAAACACGCTACAACCGTCCCAGCCCATGCAGTCCCCAGCCGCCGGTACATTGACTGGCCCGCTAGCGGTGCGACAGCTCCTAGCACGCTTCGTACAAGTGCATTGCATGCCATTGCGCTTGCTGCTGTTGCCATTGTTCTAAAGCTTGCTGCTGGCTCACCTAAACTTATACTGCCCACTCTTCTTGCCCAAGTTGCGCGCAACCTTCCATCTAGGGGCGCCGCCGCCGCCGCCGCCGCCGCCGCCGCCGCCTGTCCTGATCCTAATCCTAATTCTAATCCTAATCTTGAAACCTTACGGCTTTCTCCACACTGGCAATTGCCACCCCATGCTGTTAACGTGTACGTGTAAATGCCATTGCTCGTCAATACACTCCCCCAGTTTACAATAGCCCCTCCCATCACACAAACTACCCACGAAACCCCTGGACGTGCACACCACGAAAACATAAACATCCCTATAAGAACCGCCAAAGATCCAACCATTGATTGTGGCAATTGCATCTCAGGCTCATAGTATTCATCAGAATCTTGGTCTTCACCTTCTTCACCTTCTTCTCCATCTATCTTCTTCCTCAATATCTTCTATTGCTTTCTAACCCACCACCGGTTTATCCATACAGTTGGCATAGCTGCCAATGCCCCACATAACAACCCATTAAATGCCAGCCCGACCTGACGCAAATTGAACCCATACGTCTGTGCAAACACTCGTGGGTATGAAACAAAAAACATGTACATTACAGCTAGCAGTAGTCCAGAGTACCCGCATAGTAGCGCCAGCATGGGCTCGTGCACTAGCATACGCACGGGGGTCTGCGCACTTTTACACACCTGCATGGCCAAGTCCAGCATGGGCACAAACCATCGCATGTGTCCAGGAAGTTGCTCAGCAAGCCCCTTGTGTCGATGCAAAATTGCCCGGCTTCGAGCGGTATAGTATTCATTGTTTTCAGTCACTCGACGAACCTGCGCCGCTTTGTGCTCAAGCAAAATGGCCTCACATGTTTCAGGTACAACTAGAACAACAAGCAAGTACACTGCAGTTAGAACCATCGACATGACGTGGAAACACCATCGCCAGTTGCTGCCTCCGTTTTCGTGCACCAATGACCCTGCAAACATGGGACCGATTGCAGGACCTACCACCGGTGCACTTGTAAATAACATGCTAGCAAGTTGCATTTCGCTTACACTTGCATACAAGTCTGCAATAGTTCCAGCGGCAATGCCCAAAAACCCTGATGCAAATAAACCTGTCAAGAACCGGCATGTAAGAAGCCCGCCCAAAGTCTCGGAAAACGCGCATCCAAAATTGTACCCTAGTGCAAAGAAAAATGATACTGCATACATGGCTCTGCGACCGTAAACTTCGGACATCGGTGCAAATATTAATGGCCCAACCGCCATTCCCAAAAGATACAGCGTCAGCCCTAGTGTTACTACGGCAGGAGGTTGTTGTCCGTCGTCTCCCAGAAACTCGCGAGTGATGGCCGGCATGGCCATGGAATAAACCGAGGACAAACATGTCACTGCAACAACTGCAAGACATATAACCCCAGTGTATACTAACTTGCGCCCAGTGCTTGTTGTCAGCTTTACATTTTCAAAGTCTAAACATACATTCCCCGTCCACTCGACCAGGTACGGATCTTGAGGTGGCCCTGTGTCTGCACAGTTTTGTACCATGTACGACATGGTGGGGATTGATGGGGTTCCATCCTCTGCTACTGCCGTGCTAGGGTGTGTCAGCCCAGGAATCCAGGTGTGTCTATAGTTGTTGTACTGGTCTAGTTCCCTGGATATCACAGAGCTATTCTTATTATCCGCTCTCCACGCGATTTCAAGTGATTGCGTACTCGAATTGTCCGACTCCCAGGAACAGAAATATGACCATTTACCGGACCTCGTCATCGACGGTATGGTGGTAACGTAGTTTTTTTGTCGTTGTTTACGGGTATGGTCAGCGGTTGTACGCAAAACCCGTCGAGAATAGACGTGGTAATGCTTTTGATGCTCAAATTTGTATCTAGGCATTTTGTTTTTTTTGTATTTCTCACAAGTCAATAGGTTTTGAGGTATTTAAGGTAATCATGGATTGGAAATCTCAAGAATATTGTGTAGGAAATGGTCTGGGGTATTTATACTTGCCCATCAATTTACCTCCCCGTGATCAGAATTTCCTTGTTTAACCAAAAAAAAAAAAACTTTGTTATAACAAGCTACGTTCATAAAAAAAAAAAAAACTAATTTCTTCCAAACATTGGTCACTTGATGCAAACTGGAGGAGGGGTATTTGTATACTTGGCAGATCCCATTAATGCTTATTTTACCAAGAAATGCTGTAATTTTAAAGAAATTCTTTAAAATATTCTCGAAAAATTTGGTGCATATGTTTGGATCAGAATCAAAACTTGAAAAGAGGGTATTGAGAAATTCTTTAGACGACTAAAAAAAAAAGGAATTATACAAAACATGGTTAAGTTTAAAGTAGTTGCTTAGTTTAATGAGGGAGTTAAATAATGTTTCAAGGGAACAGGTGATATAGTAAACTAGAATAAATGACAAAAATCTCTTCTTGAGCTCAACACTTTCAATTCACATTTTAGATGATTAAAGAAGAGTAAATAAAGAAAATGTACTTTTTTTTTCTTTATTTGAAATTTGCAAAAAAGAAAAAAACTAAAAAGCTCATGCAAGATCTAGAATCGGGAAAGAGTTTAAAACCTAACCCTGGTGGAATCACAGCTCTATTTTTCAAGGGACGTGAAAGGTTTATCAAATGGCTTGGATTTTAATTAATTGCCACCAAAATGCGAGGGAATTTAAAATCCTAATTCAGAGCAAACTAAATTAAACACTGGGTAATGAAAATCTGTTTTTAAAATCTAAAAAAAAAAATATAAAAATAATAATAAATTAAGAAACTTTTTGAAATGGTCCGAACCAGATATTTTGGTCCCTTTTTGTAACAAGAACTCCAAACACAGTTATAAGGTTATTCAATTTGAAAGATCGGCAAGTTCAAGAATATCAATAAAAAGTGGCTTTCGGGACGGTAAATAACCGTTTCTATTTAAGACCATTAACTAGAACAACCAGATAATTCTTCAGCTGGATAATAATTTGTTAATTTAATTCTTATTTTAAAATAACTGACATTACTTTCTACACCTGGTTCTAAAAACCATCGTCCAGTTGGACACCCAATGAAGAACAGGACAGACATGTTACCATTACATAGTCTACAAATAAATACATTCGAGTTTTAGTATCTTCACTAGTTAATTAGATTGTTGTAAGTCTACTATAAATGTTATAAATAAATCAATAAGTACCAATAGCCATAATTATGGCTATTCCCTTTCCATTACAATAGAAAATATGAGAAGACAAACTATTGTATGGGTGATATTTTCTTGCAAGGAATAACCAAGGAAACCGATTGTTTTTTTAACAAAAAAAAAACCGCCCTGGGAAGTGATAAAAGTTTTTATTTTGATGTAGCTTGTTTCCAAACTAATGGTCTTATATTCGATGAGCATCACACAGATTCGTGAACTTGTCAACAATCATCTATACATCTTCTTTAAAGTTTTTTTTTTTTTTTTTTTTTTTGTGAAAACACTCAATAGTACCATTAAAACCTTTCTAATAGGCACAGTGGAAATCAAAATTCAGGGGTATATAAGTACTACTATTAACGGCTTGAGCTTCCTCTCGAAACTTTTTCAAACTGACAAACTTATCATATTGGGATTTTTGCAGAAGAAAAGCTCACATATGCAGTAACGAATGCAAAAACAAAGGCGGGTTTCATCGGAGCATATACAAAAGTTAGTATCATTTGATCAAGTGATGGAAATTTCAGGGGGAGGGGGGAGGGTGAGTACGGAAAATGAAAAAACTAATTAATAATGGAAGAAATGAGAGGGAAAAAAAATTAACTCAAACAGTGCAAGGTATTTAAGGGGTGGATGATTGCCAAATTTGTGATTTTGAGGGGGTGAGAAAGAGGGAGGAGGGCATGCAAACCCTGATAAAGTGCTTTACAACAACCCAAAAATAAAGTTACCCTAACCCATACGGTCACACTAACTTTTGACGGGGAGTCCAGGGGTGGGCTTTCAAATTGCTTAAAATTTAAGAGTACATTCTCTTAAATGCCACAGCCAACTAAAAAATGCAGCATAAAATGACCTAACCCTTATGGGATTTAAATTATTTGACAGGGATGTACAGGGGTATTGGATTTTTTTAGCATGATTTTAATTGCTAACCATACAAACAATATTATTTATAAGTGGCTCTGCACGGCTAAAGTATTAATGCACAAGAGCTTCTCCTAAATGACAGATGTTTTTTATCAGAGCAATCAACTTTCAACCCAGTCTATCATTGATTTCTTTTTTTTTTTTTGATGACATATAAAGACAGGGTTTTAGTTGAATCTTAAATAACTTAACCATCTATTTTATTTCCAATTTTCTTTTTTTAATTAAACCCATTTTTCTATAGTTTAAGAATTCTGTATTTCTAACTAGCTTAATCTAGCTCAATGAATAACTTTCAAATTTGGAATTGCAACACTAATATAATAATCATAAGATGTGTTAACCAAATGAACAACTTTTTTTGATATGTTTCAATTACTTCGATATCCTTAATATTTATCACCACTTTCAACTTTGGCACTTTAATCAGTCTATTTAAATCACCTTTCTCCAAATGAGCCGTATAATCCACTCTTCTTTACAAATTTCTCAAACACCAAACGGATATTATGGATTTCCACAATAAAATGATTATAAAATATTGAAAATAAATATACCTGACTAAAAGTAAATAAACGGCCAACTTTTTCTAGGTGCTTTTTTGAGTATCAAAAACCTCCGGTGGCAACTACAGTAAAGAAAAATAGAAAAACAAATAATAAAAAGAGATCTACAGAGGCATAACCACGTTCATTGAGCCCTAATTTAAAAGAAAACCTTCAATATTACCCAAAAGAAAAGGCTATCAACATTAGCAAATTCCACAAAATTATCTATCAAATTGATTAAAAAACCGTCAGAGAATAACATTCATGTTTTCAAGTGACTATTTTGCTTCACTGTAGAATTTCTGACTATTACCAAACTGTGATTTTAATCCGCTAAAACAAATGATTGATAGGTTCATAGATAGGTATTTAAATAATACAGTGACTTTTACTTTAGAAAAAGAAATATCTATGGTCCTATAAACTGAAAAATCTACAGTTGCAAAAAAAAAAGTATCATAAGGTGCCCCAGATGTATTTAAATAGTAGAGAGGTAATCCGGCGTATTTTTTTTAACATAATTTCTGTCAATACCTTCAAGCTATATCTAAAGAAATTGATAAATAATATTAAAACTTAAACTCCCCAAAAAAAAAAAATCAATTTCACAATACTGATGACTTTCATGAAGCTCTTGTTTGCTTGGTATTTTGAGCTATTTCGTTTTTTCACTTTTACCCCAGATTTATTTCCAAAAATATAAGCTAAGACAGTCTCATTTTTTAAAAGTAATTTAGGAATCCGCTTGGAATATTGGATCGACCAATGGATGATTTTTTTTTCTCTTCTTCTGAGAACATTGGATTTCAAGTCAATGATTCAACTCAAAAAAAAAATATCGTTACCGTAAAGCTTAAAAAGATCTTTATTACTTCTGAGCAGCCCTAAAAAATGGAGATTTTTTTTAAAAAGATAGATTTTGCTACCTATTACTCTTTTAAGTCCTCATACTAAGTTCATTCAAACAAACCTTTAAAAATGTTGGCCATTTTTTTTTCTTTCCTTTGATAAGACAGAAAACAAAAAGAAGTTTACTAGAGTATAGTTATGAATGGAATAAACTATGTATCCAACCCAATAAATACCCTTTGCATTGGAGACTGGATTGAATTTTATGTTAATGTTAATTCTGGCCCATCTGATGGCTAGGTCATTTCAGATGAATAATTTAAAAGACTAATTGAATAACTTAAAATGCTTCAATAGCAACAAAATAATATCCAAAAGTGAACCTGCGGGGCTTCCCAGTTTTTATTTTTTTTCATTGCTCGTGATTGATTCAATAAAATCGATTCTTAAAGTATTGTTTCCAGAAACAAAGATAATTAATGCTTTGCCATTTACTATGACAAAAAGAAAAACTTTTGTATCATATTTTGAATATTCATTATTACCATTATTTTTTATTTTTTGTTTGCATCAACTAAAACTCGCTTTAAATCAAGGTGACCTTATAACCCATCTTCATTTACTTCTGCATACTATCAATACGTTGAACAAATATTTTTAAAACCCTTAAATTAATACAAACAAGCAAGCAAACAATACGTTGTGCAAATAGACATCATTTGTTCACACATTGAAGTTACTATGGTGTGCTTTGTAGGATCTTATTATAATTGGTGTAAAACTCCAGATTTTACTAATGCAGCTAACCTTTTAATTAATGGATGATTGAATCAGAACTCACCTCCCTGTAGCAATAAACTACCCAAATATATCAATCTATATTAAGCATTTAAATTATTAAACAAAACATTAGCTATTTATAACTATTAGATTCATAACAAATAATTTAATAATGGCTCTCCCTTAATAATTTTTAAGCCCAATTAAGATATCACACAAACTGACAGAAAAAGTTCTTCTATTTAAGCAGCTTTAACTACTATTGTTCAAGTTTCTCACACTAATTGGGAATGCCAGGGAATTTTGATTAAGGATTTTGTTATTTACTTAACAAGTGAAACCGTTTTCATAAGACCCAATACAGATATTGGTTTAAAAACTAAAAATGGTTTCAGTAGGCTTTTCTACGTAAAAGATGAATAGTGGTTTGATTGTAATTCCAGTTGAAAGATTGACCAACTCGGTTTATTTAATCCCTTATAAAATCGAAACATAAATTATCCAGTTATTAATATTTTGGTTTAAAAATATGGAAATTTCATTGATAAGTGACAGAATTTATATGCACACCAAACTGGGTTCTACTTAACCAAAGAAATGATCAAGTCATACAACTTCTACATAATTATCTTAAAATATATATTTCCATCCATAAAACATAATTGCTTTTTTTTTTTTTATGAATACCACATTATATTTTCAAAATTATCTTATCCATAAAACCATAGCTTTGAATTATGAACATCAAATTTTCATATTTAAAACCAATTTGACTTATGAAATAATATATATCAAGTTTTTAAGTCTTCCAAAGTTATACAAAAAAATATGGTTACCCTAAACCTAATGGTTACCACAATTTTTTTAAAAATTGACAAGGGGTTGTTTTCATTTATATGGTGGTTTAACGGATGGAAGCCTTGCAAGGATTATTTATGTAATTTTTATCGGTACAGCCATCTAAATTATATCTAGACCTAACAAGAGTACCCCTAACCCTATACAAAATCCTTTTTTATAGTCGTGTTGACAAGGGTGTTGTTTCAATTAATAGAGTATTTAATTAATACTGCCTCATAAATAATATTCCAATCTAAATTTATACACTTATTAACCCTAACCCCAATGGTAAGTATATGTTTATAGTAGGGTTGACAAGGGTGGAGTTTCAATTTATAGGAAATTTAATTAGCACATTTATCTAAATGATGTAAGTATGCGACTAATAAAATATAATTGCCCTAACCCTCACAGATAGTTTACCTTTATAGTATTGTTGACAAGGGTACCATTTCAATTAATAGAAGTTTTAATCAATACAGCCACATAATTAATATCTTAATTTAGATAAACTCTGTTAGAAGAGACATTGAAATACAATTACAGAGTCTATTGAGATATGTGGAGAAGGTTGGAAAGCTTTGCTTTTCGAGCCCTCTGTTCTTTGTAAGCTAGAATCAGGAGTTATTTTCGGGCAGTTGGAGATAGGTTGTTGAAGTAAAATTAAAAATTTAGTGTGAAAACCAAAAGTTATATCGTAAGAGCAAAAAGGATAGAGTTGATGCTGATGATATATTTCTATTTCTTGAATACAAACAAACAAGCGATTTAGATCAACGTATGGAACCAAAATCAATATATTTGACCTAACCCTAACAAATATTTTCCCTATAGTAGTGTTGACAAGGGTAGCATTTCAATTAATATAGAATTTAATAAATACAGCCACACCAAAAACTCTCAAACCTCAAAAAGCCCTAACCCTAACATATCTTTCTCTTTTATAGTGGTATTTACAAGGGTAGCATTTCAATTCATAGGAAATTTAATTAGCACAGTCATCTAAATAATACTGAAAACTTGTCCAGTCTATTTACTATGGGAACAACTCCACACCCTCGATGAAAGCTTAAAAAACCCTTCCCTTTTTCTCATTGTCCACCATAATATATTACAATTACAACAAGTTCTGTTACACTTATTGTAACAGAAGCCCTTATTCAATTGTTACATACATTCACAAACCTCCACTACTTCATGATCTTACATTGTTCATGAACCAGGATATCTTACTTCTCATGTCACAGACTTACCCCAAACGTCCATTGCTTCATAACTGCACATTGACTATGAACCAGTTTCATTAATAAACCAAATTTGAGACAAAATAGTCCCTTAAAATTATGAGCTTTTATTTGTCTATATAAGGACTTCTACTCTCCCTTGGAATAACAACTTTCTTCTTCTTCTCTCTCCAGATACTTTTGATTATATTGATGACCTACGACCTAGTCTGAATTTCTAGTAACTCAATCTAGTCCTACAAGTTTTTTGAGCTGATCTAAGAGGCTTATATCTTAGTAAGTCCTAAATATAGTCTTTCTACATTATACGCTCTCTTCATTTCTTCTTAGGTAATTCGTAGTATAATATAGATCCTTCATCGTCACCATAAATTAAGAATATTGTAAGGGTATTACTCATGTCAGTAGGGGCCGCAACATTAAAATCAAGATTATTTCTACCTGCTATATATTTTTCTTTAAATACACTCACAGACTTGATATTTTTCAATACCAAATGTTTCGAAAAGAAAACATAATATTGAAATATTTACGAATGTTTTGGGGAAAAAATACTCAACTCTCAAAACTTCATTAATAGCTCAAACCTAATATATGTTTTTTTTTTTTGTTTCAGACTTTTTTTTTTGGAATCCAATACTTGACTAATTAATTTCTAGTACTCAAATACTCCATGCAGCAATTTTTGAGTAGTTGCTTGCATAGTTAATACATTTCAATACTCAGTATACCTCCCTTTCTTCCTTTTTCTAGATTTCTTCCTCAGAATACTTATACCTATTGATGTTCTTCAGGCGTTTTGATATTTAGTTTGTATCTTTCTCTTCAATGCACAGATATAAGCCTTGATTTTGAAACCTGACTTGGCAATATTATACTATTCCTTCGTTACAAGCTGCGCATGGTTTTGTAAAAAAAATAATAACAACAAATAAATTAATACCATAGCTTTCGACTGAAAAAAGTTGAATATGTTTTTAGCTATACTACTGAATCTGTTTTTGACATTGGGGCTCTCTCTTTCAGGCCACTAATTGATTCTTTAATTCTTTTAATATTACTCAAAAATTTGTTTTCTCGATATGAGTTTTGAATTCTGGAGCATATTCATAAGATGTTAGTTGCTCACATGAAAATTTATCCAATTAGAGGACTATTCAGTGGAACAACCTCAGAGCAGTACTTATGCTCCCTTTAGTGGTCGATGATCGTTACCGTACTGGATACGATGACCAAGACCGCGTTCTTTGGTGGTCTATGTGGTTATCTACGGCAGACAGACGGGTTGACAAACGCCCCCGGAATGGTGCTGACGAATCTGCCGCCATCAAAAAGCACGTAATTGCCACCCCCCAAAATTCACACAAAATAACTAAATCCTGCTTGAATCCAGGTCCATCACAAAAATATTTGAAGAAATTTGAATAAAAGAAAATCGTAATTACTCGAATGCTTCAATAGTTTAATAAACTGAAATGTTAATATTAACCTTTTATATTAACAATATTTTTAATATAAATGATAACATATTTTGAAATAGAATCCAAGTCCACGAAGGTTTTCTATTTTTTTCGTCTGTATCTTTGAACGTGCCAATTTTTAGTTGACACCGGAGCGGAAATTAATTTTATTCACCCTGATGTTGCCTCTGCTTTTAATATTGAGTTGGCCAATTTTGCTGGTGTCTTTGAGAAGCCACTTTCGTTTGACGCAACTGTTTTGAAAGGTGACTATGAACAGTCCATTATTACTAATAATCTTAGTTTCCCTTGTAGAATGGGTTGTGTCTACCCTATGGCCCTACTAATGCTCAAAATCTTCACAAAGGAATTGATGACTACTTTGGCAACATTTACTTAGAAAAAGTACGTGTTTTTTTGTTTTTTAAATTGGCTGGACAAGTCTTCAGGATCAATAGTATCGTGTTTTAGATGGAAATATGCAACTAAAGAAATACGATTGCCCTAATCCTAACAAATCATTCACCTTTATAGTAGTGTTGACAAGGGTAACATTTCAACTTATAAAGGTTTTAATCAATACAGCCTCGCAAAACTAAACGAAACAAAACAATAATAATCCTAACCCTAATACTTTATCAACCTTTACAATAGCATTGACAAGGGTAACATTTCAATTTATAAAAGTTTTAATCAGTACAGTCTCTCTAAACAAAATAATAATAACCCCAACCCTAATACTTTGTCAACCTTTACAGTAGTGTTGACAAGGGTAGCGTTTCAATTTGTAAAGGTTTTAATCATTACAGCCTCGTTAAACAAAACAAAAATAATCCTAACCCTAATATTTTGTCAACTTTTACAATAACATTGACAAGGGTAGCATTTCAACTCATAAAGGTTTTAATCAATACAGCCTCGCAAAACTAAACGAAACGAAACAAAACAATAATAGATCTAACCCTAATACTTTGTCAACCTTTACAATAGCATTGACAAGGGTAACGTTTCAATTTATAAAAGTTTTAATCAATACAGCCACACCAAACAAAAAAAACTAGCCCTAACCCTTACAATTTTTTAATTTTTACAGTAGTGTCGACAAGGGTCGCGTTTCAATTTATAAAAAATTTAATCAATGCAGCCACACCTAAAAATATTAAAGATAATCCTAACCCTAGTAGTTAGTTTAACTTTATAGTAGCGTTGACAAGGGTAGCGTTTCAATTCGTAAGAATATAATCAGCCATCTCAATAATATCTTTATTTAAATCAACGGCTGCAACTAGAAAAATAATAATGCCCAAACCCTGATAAACTGTTTACCGATATAGTAGTGTTGACAAGGGTCGCATTTCAATTCATAAAAGATTTAATCAATACAGCCACACAACAAAAATATCAAAAATAGCCCCAACCCTAGCAGTTAGTTTAACTATAGTAGAGTTGACAAGGGTAGCGTTTCAATTTATAAGAATATTAATCAACACATTTATCTAAATAGAATTCTATTCCACTGACAGAGCCTCTCATTCAATGCATATAATTCAAACACTTACTGTTTCAGAATAACATATTGACTATGAACCAGTCTATTAATAAAGTTAACCATAAGCATAATAAATTCCCCGATTAATGAGGATCTATTCGTCTATATAATTACATCCGGTTTACCTCCAAATAAATTCTTCCCTTTTCTTCTCCCTTCAAATAATCTCAATCATATTGATGGCCTACGACCCTGTCTAACTTTCTACATATTTCAATCTAGTCCTACAAATTATCTGAGTTAAGACAAGAGGCTTGTATCTTAAGTAATAAATTTTAAAATACAGTAGTTTGATGCAATATACACTACTCTTTTCTTGTTGAATAATTCGTAGTCTAATATATACTTTTTAACCTCCATGAATTAGGAATATTGTAAAGGCCTTATGTCAGCCAGGGCCTCAAGGCGAGGATTTAGATCTATGCAGCTAAAAGATATTTTGACCCTAACCCTTGAAGGAACTAAAGGATAGATCTTAAATGTCAAGGGTAGCCTTTCTTTTATGTATAAATTTAATTGAACATAAGGCTGCTATGTAATATTTTTTACGATTAGCTTCTTCACTTAATAATCAACAGAATTACCATTTAAGAGACCTAACCCTGATGCAGACTCCTCTTTTTTAGTGTTCATGACAAGGGTGGCCTTTCTTTTACTATGTTTTTTAACGTCAAATTTTTTTTTTTAAAGTAAAAGAATTAAATAACTGATACTGAGGCTATGACGAGTTATCAAATACTTTTTACAATGCACTCTACTTTACTTTTTTTAGGAGCAGTTTTCAATATTTGTTTCAATGTTCAGATAATTAGGGATAATTCAGGTTTTATGTCTACCTGGTGGTTCTTGCTGTATTAACTTTTATGTATCATGTAGAACTTTAAGTAATAAATAAAGATATTATATTTTTTAAATTTTGAACGAAGAGTTTTTTATTTTAGGAATATCTAAACAAAGGTGTTGTTTTTGTGAAGTTTTCTTTTTCAGCATTTTGAATCAATTTACAATAATTTTAGCTTATCAATAAATTACGAGTCATTCTTTTCAAAACCTAATCAAGTGACTTAGATAAACTGGTAAATAAGTGGAGAAAAAAAAGCTTAAAATAACCTAACCCTGTTGGAATTTATTAATAAAGGACACTTTGACAGGGGCTATATTTCAAAATACAAATAATGAAATTGCGATATACTATAAATTGTCTCAAAAATATTATTTTACCGAAATTTTGATGAATTTTATGCCACTAGTGAATTTACCACTTTAAAAAAAATGACTTAGCTAATAATTTTATAAGCAGCTTTACATCACAGGATGATTTCAAAAAAAATTTGAATAAATTGTAGATTTTCAAAAAAAAAACTAAAAAAAACAAAAGGGTTTAGGACTAAAAGAAAAAAACAAATGATCTTATAAAATAGAGGAGAATTACCTTTGTTGAAATTTAATAATATAATACTCTTTTCATCAATTAGTACCTTAACCAGGAGATGATTGGTCTCGTTAGTTGTTTTTGTGGAGCTTATGAAAAACGTAAGAAATGCTAACTTCAAAAAATACTTGTCAATTTTACAAAATTTAGCATCAACTATTTATTTTGTTTGATTGTGCAAATGAAATAATAATATTTTGAGCAAAACCATGAGATATTTGTGTTAAGCATACACTTAAAAATTCCTTTGTTCCCCATGCTTAAAGAATTCCTTTTGAGTTTAGAACAGGGATTACGTTTACTCTTTTTCTTTTTCTTTTGAATTTTTTTTTGAAGAAAAAAAAAATCAGTTTGAATTTTCTTTTTTCTCCAACAACTTCTTATTTATCCACATTGTTCGGAATACGCCGCCCAAATGATATATTTTACCGTTATCATATTTTTGGGAAATCTCCTAACCCTTGCGGAGAGGAGAAGAAATGGAGTCCCATCGGACTATCGCATTTCCATTTATTCGACACATACATGAAGGTCTAAACTGCACCAGAGCAACATCGTAAACCTATAACACCAAGTTATAGCAACGTAAATCTGCTCTAGGCAAGCTATTTCTCAAAACCGAGACAATGAAGAATAAAATAAAAAATTAATGTTTTATAAATCCTTAAAAGATCTGCGATGCTTTTTTTCATAAAGAATACTACTTATGAAATTTATATGTTTTTTTTTTCAAAAAATTATTAATGATCAAAAAACATGTAAACTTTTTAGTTCTTTGAGTTTGAAAATATAGCACCAATGGGACTAAAAAATTTAAACAATATTAAAAAAGAATTCACAGGAAGATGATTATATTTAAATACTCATGAAAACCTCAAAACGGTATACACTTTTAAATTTTTAAAAAAATATTAATTCAAATTGATAAACCAAAATATAATGATATATTTTTTTTATATAATTAATTATTGTTAAGATGCGCTGTTAGGATTTTGCTTACATTAATTTTTTTTTTTTTTGAAAAAATATGATTGTGTTCATTCTGAATGCTTTATGGAATGGAACCTGCAGACCGTTTCTTGGATTTATTCCATCTCAAAGGTAAATTTTTTTTGTTGGATTTTGTATTAAAAATTCCCCTAACCCTTATGATTAGCTATTAGTTTGACAGGTCGAATTTTCAAATTGAATTCATATTCTATTATTTGAAAGGAACTTGACAGGGGGGTGTAGTTTTTGAAACGGAGACTAATGCACATCTCACCTATGCAAAGTGAAACCAGAAACTTTGAGATGCAGAACCGGTTATTTTGTTAAACTCAAATTTTAACCATACAAGAAACTAACTTCCTAGTATCTCATGAAACTAACGGTTTTTCTTTTTTTTTTTTTTAAAAAATAAAAATCTAAAATAATCATAATAAATACATTCTATATAAAAAATAAATTATAACCATAACTTCATATCTTCGTAAATAACCAAACATTTTTTTAACGATGCCTGGCTTCTTCGTCATTTTCCGTTTTCTTTCCTAATAATAACAGCTCGTCATCATCGAGATCAATGGGCATGTTACCAGCAGTGTATTGAGTAGCCAGACTTAAATCGCTTTGCTGAGTATGAAGAACCTTATAGCTTTCTGATTGATAAGCAGGGGTGTGACTTGCAAGTGGAGCCAATGATTCATATGTTTCAAATGGAGCTTCGCTAATATCTCGAACTGAAACGTACTGCGCACCTACAACTGGCCGTCGTTTTACAGTGTTAAGGCTATTACTGGGACTAACTTGAGCTTGAGAATAATCAGTGTTGCCGTAATAATGTGTGGTAACTGCTCCTCCGTCCAACGATGTATAGTCGTGGTTTCGTGATAAAAAGGGGTTGCTATGCTCACGGTCCGGCGTGGGGGCCAAAGCAACATCCGAAGAATGGCGATGTTCAATATTTGATTGAAAATCATCGTGCCATTCTTTTTCGGGTTGGGATAGGGCCACAGCAATTGCCGCATCATTTTTAGTGTCATTAGAGCCAAAAGAAGCATTGAGATATGGGTTTTGGTCATCAGGAACAGGCTCAATTTTAGATATGCGTAGCATATGAGAATAATCAAGCTCATGATCGTCAACAATGTCAAACCGGCCATCGAGGAAATAACTGCGTACTCTGGATTGCCGCGGTGCTGACTCTTCCCGAGCAGGATCGTAAGCAGTATTTGCTTCCAAGTTTCTTTCATCATTGCCCATAGACATAAATGCACTTTCAGGGTCTAATTCTGGATCAGTTCCCAAAGAATTAAGCGATGTAATCTGAGGAAGAATATGTTGTGCTTTAGAATGAATCATAGGAACCATAAGTTGGGAATCAAGAACTGGGTTTCTATAACGACGTGCAAGAGCAGTTGAAGAAGTATCTGAAAGAGCAGTACGCGACCGTGTAGAATCCATCTGTGACCTTTCTTGTTCTGTTGGTAAGAAAAAGAAAAAGCGGGGGTTATGTCGACGACTTGAAACAATTTTAAACGCTATCAACAGTGGTAACAAGGGTGCCATACCTGCAGCATACTTCCAACCACCTTGAACCCATACAACTATGAATAAAACTAAATTTCCAAAAATTGTTGCAAACAGAAAAGAATTGAATAGCAGTGGCCAAAAAAGTCCATCAGACTCAGCTTTTGTAACAAAAATGTACATAAGACCATACTTTTTGTAGATAAGATCCAGTGAAAAATAAACAGTTATAACAACTAATACTAAGGGCTGGACCATAGCAAAACATAATGCAATTGTAGAGTAAAAAAGCATCCAATTATAATATGCTGCATAGTTAAAGTGTTGAGGAGCTGTCCACATAATTTGTTGGCGAGGCGTTGGCGCCATGAAATGACGTTGAAACCCACGCCAAACTAGAGAAAATATCTGTAGTAAATCCAAAACTGCACCAAAATTAACACGCAAAATGTACATGACCCAGAAAGAAGATGCACTCATAATAGCTGTTGAAATTTTATAAGCAACGTCGATTTCGCGCAACATTATTGAAAATGAAAGATTATCTCTCGTATTAACCAAATAGATAATTTGAGAAACAATTGCCCAAACCACACTGAAAAGTGTGAAAACAAAAATATTGTTAAATACAAAGAAACTGTATAATTTTCGAGTGACATCTATTTCGCGGTCATGTTTTGTAATTTTTCCTTGCCAATGAGACATTTTCCGCATAATAGCGGGCATGAGCAAGAAAATAAGAGCTGTGACTAAAGGTGCAATGATACCTTGAATGATAGAAAACAAAACTGGATAACGAGAAATAAAAGTGTTAAATGGAGGCCAAAGGGTACCGATGCGTGAAAGATTTGATAAGAAAGCACCAATAAATGCGTTTGGTGCAATCCATGCCAATGTAAGTAAAAAAAAGAAAAAATTACCCCAAAATTGCTTGTTCCGGCGTCCTGCTGTTGTTAAAATAATGTTATCCCAAATTATATCTTCAGGGCGTGGAGCTAAAGCGGCTTTAAGACCGTGCTTCTTGATATTATGTGAAGCAATTTTTTGTGCAACAAAATGACAGTCTTCGGCACATTCATATGAAACAAAGCCATATGGCAATGTTTTATTAGTGTCAATATCCTCTCGTGCTTCTATTATTAAGGCTTCATATTTTTGTATTTGTAATGTAAGATAATCAATAGAATCAATTTTTTTGGTACCTTCTGGAAGGAATTTTCGATCTTCTCTATATGGCTTCATTAAAGGTTTGGTATCGGGTAACTTATCTGGATTTTTCAAATATTTGGCGAGAACAGATTCCAATTTAAGTACTGCCCGGTTATATCGTTTCAAGTACTTGTTAAGCTGGCCCACATCTCTACCACAAGATGCATTTTGGATTGGCCGCTGGTATTCTTGCTTTATTGTTTCCATAAGCCTAATCAACCCGTCATCAGTTTTATATGCTTTTGGAACTTCTGTAAGCATAACTGTTCTCATAAAAAGTGCATTTTGATAATCTTCTGATAAGAAGAGACGGCGACGCATTTCAATGATTTTTTCGTAATTGCGCCATAAAAAGTAACAAATAATGCCATCAAATATATAACTAAGTGTAACGTGGGCGATGGTGACTTTTCCACTCAGTAGAATAGGGGTGGTGAGGATAAAGGCATCTGAATTAGAGACATTCTGTGCATTTGGACTTCGTCGGTTGTATACAACATTAATAGGAATGATGACAAGAATACCAAATATTGAAAGAATCGCAAAAATATTACGACACATTGCAGTAAACCGAATATAAACGACAGCATCTAGGCCAGATTTTTGAAGGTAATCATCTTCCTTAGCTGTGAAAAGTACATATTTAACCCATGATAGTGGATGCTTGCTGAGAGGTTGGGGTCTAGTCTTTTCGTCAGCATATTTGATTTTAGGTGCATAAACGACATTGTGACGGGGCCGGAGTGTACAGAAAATGATGAATAAAATAAGGGATCCGAAAATAGCAAAGAGGAAACCTGCAAGAACTGCGCTGGCAGTATAGTGTGCTCTAAAAACGTTAATATAAATAGACAAACCATATTGATCTAGAAATTGCTACTTACGACGTAAAGGATTCTTGAAGATATTGCTAACGAAAAAAAAAAAAAATTACAGGTTAGATAAACAAATCAATAGAAGTAAAAAAAGAATCAAAATCATCTATCTTACCAGAAGCAAGTCTTTTGAGTCGCGCAAAAACATTAGAATGAAGTTTTTACTCGGGATGCGGTTGTTTAATAAGAAGGTAGATTATCCGAAAAGTCGATAGTGATAACCTGAACAAGTGCGAAATACACAGCGCGGTGTTGACAGCAACAACATAAAGACAAAACTAATAGACCAAGAAATAAAATAAAACAACTTTTAAGAGAAACGAGAAGCAGAGAAAGAAGAAGAAAAAAAAAGGGTTAAAAGGTGAAAAATTAACTACAAAATGAAAAAAAAAATTCTCTTAAAATAAGGGGAACATAAAAAATATAAAAAAGTCATTGCATGAAGATGTGGTTGCCATACAGATGGGAATTTTTTTTTTTTGCTAAGCCTTAACACATATATCATCACTATAAATAAAGCACTGAACTCATGCGCTAGAAACGCATTTAGTTTTACAAAGTTTTGCATTTCTTACAGATTTTATTTATTTAATTTAATTTAATTTAATTTTTTTTTTTTGCATATTGTAATTATTTTGGATTGTTTTTCTTAGTGATTACTTTGTGATGATGTATTTACACCATCAGGTGTTTCAATAAAGTGTGGAGAAAACTTTCTACAAGTTCCAGTGGCGTTTTGTGTCTTGTTTTTTTCTAGGCTAAGAAAAAAAAAAAAAAAAAGGGGCAGAAGATTTTTTCTTTTTTTTCTTTTTTTAAACCAAGCATAAATTTGCTTTCTATTTTTAATACATATATACTACTTTGTTTTTTTTTCTGTAATTGTAACAAAATGATAATCCAGATAATATTAATGCATTTATTCTATGTGTGCATATATTTTTTTATTTAAAAAAATAAATAATGTATTTTTGGCCAAAATAGCATTATCAAAATATGCTTTAATGAAAAAAAATAATAATAATTAAATTACTTAATAAAGAACTTGGAGAAAATGGCACGCTCCTTCTGCTTGCGCTCATTAAGCTTAGTTTTGGCGTTATTCAAACCCTGTAAAATTGCAGAATCATTGGGTGCATATTTCAAAGCTTCTTGATACTTAGCAATAGACTCTTCATGATTTTTGAGCCCAAGATACGCCGATCCCATACGGTATAAAGCTTTGGCCTTTTCTTGATTTCCAATTTCCCCAACCTCCATTGCATTCTTAGCTGCCTCAAGAGCTTCTAAGTTTTTGTTTAAACGTAAAGCCACGATAGCAATGTTCAAATACAATGATACCTTAAGATCTTGATCAGTCTTGAGATCAGCTTCACTGAGGTCTTCGGGGAAATACTCTTCCAAAAATCGACTAGCCTTGCTATATTTCTCAAATGCCTTAGAAAGTTTACCTTCCTTGTACAGCTTTGTACCAATACTTTTTAAATCCTGAACTGCAGCAAATACACTGGCTGAACTATTGATATCGATGGACTCATCATCGGCAATTGACTCTTCATACTTATCTCCAGTACCATCATCAACCTTAGGTGGCAAGGGCTTGTCTGCAGGATACTCTCCACAGTTTGCAATGACAACGTCTTCTTCAGGCCGATCATTTGGACCTGTCTTAGTCTTTTCCACTGCACGAATAACGGATTTTCCACTCAAAACTTGGCCAAAGATAACGTGTTTTCCATCTAAATGCTGGGTTGGCACAGTAGTCACAAAAAATTGTGACCCATTGGTATTTGGTCCGGCATTAGCCATTGACAAAAGAAATGGACGATCATGCTTCAAAGTACTTGTATCAAGGTTTTCATCCTCAAACTTCTCCCCATAGATAGATTCACCTCCGGTACCATTACCTGCTGTGAAATCACCACCCTGAATCATAAATCCTTTAATAACACGATGAAAAGTGGACCCCTTAAAAAATAAGGGCTTTCCCAATTTACCAACGCCTTTTTCACCAGTGCATAAAGCGCGAAAATTTTCTGCAGTTTTGGGAACTATATCATTGAACTTGTCAAAAAGTGTTAGCAGTGAATAATATATACGTTTTTTTCTCATTTGCTTCCCACTTACCAATTCAAAAATAACCTTTCCCTTGATCTCACCACCAATGGTGATGTCAAAAAAAACTCTTGGTCTAGCTGACATACTTATGAAGAAAATAAAAGGTGTTTATAGAATAGTGTGAATAAAAATTAAAGATGAATAACAAGAAATTCTCCAAAGGGCAGTTTTTACAGATTTATTTTAAAATTTTGAGGCTATATAGAAATAGAAATAGAAATAGAAAGTTCCATTATTTTCTAAACAACTGTTACACAAATGTGTTACATTAATAAGGTATCACGTAAAACACCAATTCAGGAAATTTGAATTGGTGTCATTATTGCGGCTGCAGTAGTTTCCAGAACTTCTGGCAGCCACTCGTTGTCATCAAGAGGCCCAGCATTCAGCTTCTTGATTTCACAACTAATTTGATCAGCTCGTGTAAAGCTAGCATGTAAAAATTCATTACATGTTTTTAAGAAAGGTTCATTTCGACTCCCAAGAGTTAGGTTATTTAACTCCTGTTCGAGTTGATCAGTTTCCATAAATTTCTCAAAGGGATCGCGGGGTAAGGATCGCAGGCCGTCCAGCGTCTGCAAATCGTATTTCGGATTTCTTGTTTCATATCGTAGAGCTTGTTTCTCTTTTAGCAAAGATACAAAGGTCTTATCCGTAATAAGTTTAGTTATGTGATCAGGCCGTTTTGTCGCAAGAATAGATGTTTTCTGAGTCCTTTCAAATTGTGAAAACGTAATCTCTTCAAAATCGCTTTCATTCTCTTTAACTGTAGCACCCTGAATCTCATTGACCAAATCTTCTTGTATGTTATCTTGAGCGGATTCATCTTGATTATTTCGAAAGATAGATCTGCTGTATCCTAATAAACCTTCACTAGTGATTTTAAATAAGTCGACCTCATCGACATCATCTCCAGGGTCGTATTCTTCTTCCTCCGGTTCTCCATAGTAAGTCCATAGACTTTTCTGGTTCTCAGGGAGCGACCGTAAATGCCCATTGTCTTCAACAACATCACCAGTTAATAAATCAACAACATCTCCACTTTCGGCATATTTGGAATCACTGTACTTTGATATGATAGCTTCCCAGGTATTTTGAAATCGTTGAGTAGAAGTGTCTAAATTATCGTTCACAGTTCCCGATTCTTGTGCTTGATTAAAAAGCAAATGCTCTTCTTCCTCTTCTAACTCTTCCGAATTGATCTCATCACACTCTTCTTCAGAACTATTTGATGATGTTGAATTAAAAGACAAGGGTTTATTGGTTACTGGTACTGCTGCCAAAGAAGCAGACCGGCTTCTAGGCCTCTTTTTTATCGGTGACTGTGATTGATCAGGCGTTTTTCTTTTTATAATATCATTTTGTTTAGATTTTTCTATTCGATTTTTAAAAGAAAATTTAGAGGCAATAATTTCATCTAATTTTTTCTGAATATTGGCTTGAACAGTGAGATAAAGATGGTTATCTCTATCTAAAATAGAATTAACAACAATATTTTCAGACTCCGTTTCTTGTAACAATTCCTTAGACTGAAATGGAGACTGAATAGCAACTGGCGAAGAAGGAACAACATATACTTTATGGTCAACATCGTAACTATTTGTCGATTTTGTTAGACTTCTTGTTTGAATTCTTCTTGTTGGTACAAAAGTAAGACCAGAACTTTCTTGTTCAAAGGGTTTTATGAATGTATTTTGAGTATCTGTGACAATAGATGATGTTCTGACATCTTTATCAGAACCATCTAAATGAATTAGAATCGTAATAGTTTTAAATTTCTGGCTTTCTGACTCTATGATGGCTAGTAATTTTATCGTCCCAGCTTGTTGCGTACCTTTGTTAGGATATAATCCTATTATAGGATCATTCACAAGAGTCCAGCAAGATAACGTACCAAGCTGTGAAATCAATGATGATTTAGCTTGAAACAATACGGATCCCCATTTTTTGCACCCTAAAATATTATTAAGTGTAGAGTCAGATGCGATAGACCAATTTTTGACAACAAAAAGGGCGCTGACGGTCATACGATTATTGAGAAGGCATTTATTTTCCTCATCACTTGCAGACCTCATTATGGTAACAAAAACCAAAAATTCGATATCAAAAGAATAAATAGCGTACCATCAGTGTATTGACAAGGAGGTTTTAATTGAAATAGTGCTGTTGGCGGTGTTGTTACTGAAGACCTTCAGAAGGAATTAGTTTTTTTTTTTTTTTAAAATAACTGTATTTTGATGTAAAATAATATTTTAAATTAATGAGTTTAAAATTTTTTTTCCCTGCATCAATATTCCAATCAACATCCCTTAAAATGAAAGATCTAAGAGTTTTTAAAAGCGGTCAAAAAAAATCAAAAAAAACCAAATGATTGTAAATAATTTGTTTTTTCATTTTCATATCAAAATATTTATAAATAAAAATTGACAAACTATAACTAAATTATCTTGGGAAAAAAAACTATTTGCATTATTATTTTAAAACCCTCATTGCTCAGTTTCTATGACTTGCTTAATAATAAATTATGTCATAATAAATTGAGGGTAAATTTTGTAAGGTTATTAGATGTACGGATCATCGTCAAATGAAAATTTAACGGTTTGTCGGTGTTTTTTTCCCTTATATTCCCCTTTCAGTAAACCGCCATCATCTCCCATATTCAATTCAACTTGATACCGGGGTCCCTTTTTGTCTCATTTATATTCACTATTCTTTTTCTTCTGTTTTTTTTTTGTTTTGATTTTTCAACAATCATGGTTTGGAGAAGAATGACATCTAGGTTTGCGTGTAATATCACGGCAAGCACCCGATCAAACTACTATGATCTTTTCAAGTGCACTGTTCGTGTTCACCAACAAGTTCGGGCATTATCAAAATCATCTAATGTTTTTAAAATGAATTCACAAGCCTTTTTCATGTCATATCACAATCCAAATATCCGGCTAATAAGTGTTTTTCAGACTGTATCATTGCGGGCTTATTCGAATACCCCACCTAAACCTTCACAAGATGACTCCAGCAACTCTATTAAAACTACAACACCTCGATCTAAAATTCTTGAAAAAACTACAACACGAATTGTTGCAGCAAAAAATGCTGCGAAAAATGCTGCAAAAATCGTTTTACAGGACACTAAACGCAAAATTCCTCAGCATGAGAACATTTATACTATTCCCAATATGCTTACTTTCACACGAATTCTGTCGGCCCCCATCATTGGCTATCTTGTTGTACATCAGCAACTTTATTGGGCAGTAAGTCTTTTTGCATACTCTTGTGTTACTGATTTTGTCGACGGTTGGATTGCTCGTCATTACAAGTTACAGACTGTTGTTGGCTCAGTAATTGATCCAATGGCTGATAAGATCCTTATGATTACATTAGCTTCATGTCTTGCAGCTTCAGGAGATATCCCTATGTATATGGCTGTAATAATTCTCGGTCGTGATATTTTACTTGGATTTTCCGCTTTATACTATAGATACATATCACTACCGCCACCAAAAACTTTTACGCGTTTTTGGGACTTTTCAATTCCTTCGGCAGAGGTTCATCCTACAACTATCTCAAAATATAACACCTTTTTTCAAATGATATATTTGGGATCATCTCTTATATCTCCTGTTTTGATGGAAAATATTACAGGCTCCCCTTATACTGCTTACGTTGAAACCACCCTTAAAATTATGGAATACACAGTTGCAACAACCACTATTCTTTCTGGTCTTTCTTACGTCTTTTCTAAAAATGCGGTGAAAATTCTTAATAAGCCTTAAATAGATTTTATTATGTATAATACAGAGATATATTTTTAGCAAATAAATGTATAATAATATTTATTTTTTATTATTATTTTATTTTTTATTTTTTATTTTTTATTTTTTTGGTTTTTACAATGACCAAAATTTATTTACTTATCTGCTAAAAGCAATATCATCAATGCGTAAAATCGACTTGACACACTCAGCTGCTAGAGTAATGGCGCTTTGACTAACAAGTGTAGGCTGTAAAACATTTTCGTCGGCAATGTTGATGGCAGCAGCACCACGGCGGACACTTACGCCAGCATTCTTTTGACCTTTCTCGTGTCTGTTTCTAAGATCTGTGACAACAGCAAGACTGTGCAGACCAGCATTCTCGGCAAGTGTTGTGGGGATAACTTCCAGTGCCTCAGCAAATTCCTTCCAGCAAAATGCTTCCGTACCTGACAGCGAACGAGATTCAGCCATCAGCGCACGAGAAACTTCAATTTCAGGAGCACCACCACCAGCAATAAGGTATTTCTCCTTGACAAGGCATCGAATAACACATAGAGCATCATGAATTGAACGTTCTGTTTCATCCAAAACAAGGGTATTTGCGCCCCTGCAGATAATGGAGACAGTTGCTGAAGATGAACCAGTAGAAGCTGAGGAGGTTGAACCCGACTGAGTAGCACTGGGCTTCGCACCAGTAACCTTAACAATACGTGACCCAGAAGATTCAATTTCTTCAACTAAATCAGCACTTCCAAGTTTATCCTCAGTAAAGGTATCAATATCAGCAATAGGGGTGCATCCAGTGCTCTTGCAAATAAATTCAACTTCCTCTCGTTCAATGTCTCTAACAACCATAATTCCAAGTTTGGCCAAGAAATGAAGAGCAAGATCATTAACAGCATCACGAAGAATAGATTTTTGAATAAACAATACGTTGCATTTAGATTTTTTGATTTGCTTGCACATGTTGAGGATGTATATTCTTTCTTCCTTAAGAATTTTATCCATTTGTCTATAATCGTTAACCACAATATGATTTTCCATATCAGGCTTAGGTGGCGAAAGCTGAAACTGAATCATGGCAATTTTGGCCTTTTCAATTCTGGAGGGACCACCAGCAGATTTAACGGCAGTTTGTGTAAGAACGAGACCTTCGACAAGTTCAGTTTCGTCAATAGTTCCACCAACTTTCTTGATTAGTTTAATATCTTTTAAGTTGACGTTAGTAGCGCTATTAGAGTCAATAACTTTAAGAACAGCATCAACCGACATAGGAGCAAGAGTTGTAGAAAATTGAGAAACAATCTTAGAGTTGAGTGAGGTAGAAGCGGCCTTAATCAGAGCATCTCTGTCAGTCAACTGAATCGGAGTAGACATATCACGGAGAACGTCTACTGCTCTAGTAGCAGCACGCTGGAAAGATTCAGCAATGATCATGGGATGGATTCCTTTGGCTAATAATCGCTCCGCAGCACCAAGAAGAGCACCAGTTATAATGACAACTGAAGTGGTACCGTCACCAGCTTCAGCATCTTGAGCACCCGAAAGATCAACAAGCATTTTAGCAGCAGGGTGCATGACTGCCATGTGCTTTAAAATAGTATGACCATCATTTGTAATGATTACTTCACCTTTGCCGGTTTGAAACTAAATTAGAAGTTAGAAGTGCTTAAATATAGACCAGATCAATACATACCATCTTATCCATGCCCTTAGGGCCAAGCGATGTTCTAATAGCATCAGCAACAGCTTAATTATGTTAGCAATTAAAATTTAAATGTTTTCATTTTTTTTTTATTTTTTAAAAAAAAAAATAAATACCTCGTGCAGCAACAATGTTTGCCTTTCGAACCTCTTGTGGTTTCTCCTTGTCACGGAAAGTGGCGTTTGATGGAAGAGCAGCAGGGGCCATTGTCAACTTTAGATCAAACAAAAAAAATTAGCTTATAAAAAGTTAATAAAAGAAAAAAATAATTTAATGAAAAGTAATTCTAAAAAAACAACTTACACTTAAAGTTAAAATATTCTTCTTGAAGATGGATGTAGATCCGAATGGAAGTACAAAATGCTGTTGCGAATCTTGAATCGTTGATACTTGGTGGTTTTTTTTTAGTCTTTGGTGGTGAGGTTGTAATTTGTTTGGCTTACTAACATTCATAAAAATATTACTAAATATTACTAATATATAATTAGTAATTATGACATGTGAATTATATATATGATATACGTCATTAGCGCTATACACCTCCTTTCTGGCATAAAGGCCATTCACGTTGAAGTTCCAGTAAATAAATATCTGTAGCACTTTGTAACAAAAATTGAAATTAAAATTGAAATTATTCATTCTTTCATTTTTATTCTACTTTATAGATCAAGATAGGCTAAGGCCAATATCTATGTATAATCTTTTTGAATTATTTTATTTAAAATTTATAACTTGTTGCTTACGGGCAAAATATCAGACTTCAAAAACAAAGGACTTTGTCTTGATCTGATTTGAACCTTTTATTTAAGTATGGAAATACTTAATAATTGATCCGCCTTCGTTAATATACAATTTTTATTATCATCAATTTTTTTTTTTTTTTTTTTTGCGCTTTAAAAGATTAGGTTAAAATCAAATATCAACTTATTTTTGATTTTTTTCCCAAAGTTTGATCAATTACTTTGGTAGCTCTTCATTTCGCTAAATTTTTTTTAAAAAATTACTCTACGGTACTAAATAATATATTTTTACTCTTAATAAGCTAGCAGTGATAATTTCCATTTATCTAATCATTTCAATTTTCACTTCCATTAAATATTCTACTCTTAATTTAATGCTATATTGAAATAGGAAATAATTTTCAAGTATCCTTTGCTTGTTTTCAATTGGACCAACTGCACAATTTATGCATTCTTTTCAAACTTTGTCGTCAGACTCGGGGACACAAACATCAACTGTCTTTAAAGACGATGATGACCTGAAAACGTAAGTATGAATCTCTAATGCAAAATAAATTTAAAAAATGAGGAGCAAATAGATTTAACTAACGTTATTTTTGCTATTTAGTAGGCTTTTAGTTGCTTCCCCTGTACCTTCGTTCCCGTCTTACATTCCTGTCAGCACGTCTAAAACTAAACTATCATCTCGGCCTGTTAACCGGGAACCAGTTGGGAAACAAACTAATTTCAACTCTAGCCATTCAGGTAATACTGAATCTGCTCCTTCATCTGCCTCAGATTCTCCATCAAGTCAATTTCAAAGGCACAAACAGACCCCGAGTTTTAGCGAATCTGCTATGACAGCATCTGTATCTATTAGAAACCGTGGGTTTTCGTTGTCCCTTGAAAATTCTAAAGGTTCTGCTATCCCACACAGGGTTTCTAAGCAGTCAGAATCCGAACAAAATGAGTCTTCGAACTCTTCTAATAAACAACAGATGGTCTTTGGATCACCATCGAGCACAGCATTAACATCTTCTCTAAATTCGAAAAAGCATTCACCCTCTTCCTCCTTCACTTCACCTTTATCCAAGGAATCAAGCTCTTTTGCGACAAAACAACAACAGTTTTCTCCAAATCGCCACCCAGAGGTTAAAAATCAAGCTAATGGTTGGACCTCGGTCAATAATTCAAAAAATAATACTCCTAAAACTCATTTGTCTAATCAAAGTCCTGGATTTTCGAGCTCTTCTATTACAGCCCCCACGTTTTCGACACTTTCAAAAATCAAAAAACCTGCACTGAACCCTTCTATGTCCTCGACATCTATCTCCTCCACAACAGTAAAATTGGCAGCTAATACACATCAAAAAACACAACAGGCCACCACTCAACCAAGCATCATAACAAACCCTGTTACACGTACAAGACCTATCAACGCTTCTAACGAGGCTATTAGACGATCTGTGCCTCTTCTTCGATCATCAAACTCGTTTTCAAATTTAATTTCTGATTATGAAAATATGGACTTTTCGGAAAACACTAGCAACTTTGGAAATAGCCACGTTCAGGCCATGACTAAAGCTACAAAACCTCAGCCCCAAGTACACCCGCATTCTCAAACTAATAACAACACCAATATGAGCACCAATAATTTACAACAAACAACGCATTTTCGCCAAGAGCCATCTTTGCGGACAACTTCAAACTTGACAGATTCAAAGTTTTCACGAAACAGTAGCAGCATAGACCTTCAGTATATAATACCACGTATCGATAACACAGCTTCGCTAACAAGTATGGACCCTCCGTTAACATATTCTCACCGCTTTTCTCAACCATCCTCGACAAATCCTTCACCAACCACTTCATCTTTTTCTTTATCATCAGCTTCTATTGCAACCAATAGTAGTGGAACCAAAAGCAATCGCCTATCTGCTGGACCTGGAACTCTTTTTTCCCCAAAGCCCCGGACTAGAAGTTCTGGCTCTCCTGAGCCTTATATCAACAACAACGATGAGATTCCACCTGTTCCGCCTCTTCCTGAAGAGTTATTTATTGGTCAATATTCAATGAATCATTCAAGGTTTCGGGACAAGTCTATCATGGCTGCAGCTAATGATTCATTTTCATCCCCTGTTGATACACTACCATCTTTACAAATTCAGGGGGTTCAAAATGGTCCTTATCCTTCTTCAAACAAAACTAAGCTTCAAAATAGACGGTCAATTTATGGGGATTTTGGAATTTCTGGTGATGATAAACGAGATTTAAGCGTACCAATGATTTCTGATTTTTCAATATCACAAAGCCCTATAAAAACATCGAGTTATCAACAGTATCAACAAAACGCAAAAAATATACCTCAGCATCCCTATCAGCAGTCTAAACAACGCCCGTTACATAATTATCGCAGTGTTGATAACTTAATTTCTACAAGAGATGTCAATAGCCATAAACGAATGTCAGCTTACGCATCGTCTTTTCAGTCGCACCGTGCTAGTCGAGAAGTTACACAGGCTTTATCAGAATTTAATGGCCCAAGCTCAAGTGCTCATAGTTTTGATAAACCAATTTCAACATTGAACCTTGGGTTGAAAGGACAAAGGAGGAGTGAACTCACTCAATCGGAATATGATGTATTCCAACGAGACGAAGCACTTGAAAAACAGCGTCAGCATCAAAAGCTACACCAAGGATATCTGAATTCTCATCATCAACAATTACACGAAAGACTGGAGCAAGAAAGACGCTTACAAGAAGCTCGTGAAATTTATGAGAAACATTCCCACGAATCAAAACTGGAGTCTAGTCATAGCGAACATCAAAAACATGAAAAAAATCGTCGAGTTTCTTATCTTCAACAAACTTGTGAAAAACAACAATCCGAATTAAATCAGTGCGAACAGCATAAGCGTCATAAGTTACAGTACGACCTGCAACAAAGCGAACAATCGCACTTTGAGAAACAAAGCGATCGACAACTGTGTGAGAAACAACTGCATGAGAAACAACTGCATGAGAAACAACTGCATGAGAAACAACTACATGAGCAACAGCAGCAACAGCAGCAACAGCAGCAACAGCAGCAACAACAGCAACAGCAGCAACAGCAGCAACAGCAGCAACAGCAACAACAGCAGCAACAGCAGCAACAGCAGCAACAGCAACAACAGCAACAACAGCAACAACAGCAGCAACAGCAACAGCAACAGCAACAGCAACAGCAGCAACAGCAGCAACAGCAGCAACAGCAGCAACAGCAGCAACAGCAGCAACAGCAGCAACAGCAGCAACAGCAGCAACAGCAGCAACAGCAGCAACAGCAGCAACAGCAGCAACAGCAACAACAGCAGCAACAGCAACAGCAACAGCAACAGCAACAGCAACAGCAACAGCAGCAGCAGCAACGTGAGAGACTACAGCGCGAGCAGTTACAGCTTGAGCAACTTCAGCTTGAACAGAAACAATATGAGCGTCAGCGTGAGCAGCAACAACGTGAGCGGTATCGTGAGCGGCAACAACTGCAAGAGAAACAACAACAGGAGCTGCAAATTGATCGTAATGTTAAGTATGACCAACTTATACCACAATTGCAATATTCTGAAAAGAAAAATTTGCCCGACAACTTAATTTCTCAAAATAATTTACGTTTGACAACATCCCGTCAAGACATGGAATCTTTCACACTTTTACAGCATTCTGCTAGTGGCGAACCTAGTGAATCTTCATACCAGAATATAAAGCCTGAACTTACAAAACGTCGTTCTTCGCTCCTTCAGCAATTTGGCAACCTAACTATTTCAAATTCGTTTGCATCTGGTCTTTCTAAAGCATTAGATCTTGATTTTGAAACGGAATCCAAAAATTCAATTGATTCAACAACCACCAAGCCGCCGCTGGAATCTACACCAGTATCTCTTCCTACACCACCTTTTGCATCTTCTTTGATTTCGACATCTTCTGAATTAACATCGAACCCTAATGTGGAAAATGTTTCGTCCTTGGATCCCCGTCAATTGACAAATTCTCGTTTTTTATCTTCATCTTTATCAAAAATATCTTATGAAACACCTAGAATTTTAATGAATGAAGCTGAAGATAAATTAAACATAACAAGACAATCACAAAAACAATCACCAAGTAAAATTAATCAATTTCAAGAATCACAACAGATCTCAAATAACGATAAATACCCTTCTTCGGGCACTCTGTTTCGCAAGCTCTCTACTCGTTCTATTGGATCGTTGCGTGTTCCTGTTGCACGCAAGAATTCAACTAGTAGTTTTATGACTACATCCGGATTAGGTCTTTATGATAGAAAACCTGCTTCTGAGATTTTTCAAGGACAATCTGATCCTCCATCGTTAGATCCTTCTCGAGCATCAACTAGCATGACTCTTCCAAAGGTTGTTAAATATACTACACTCAATGAGTTTTCTACTAAGCCTACAACATCTTCGCTTAGTTTAAATGGGCCCAATGTGCTCAGCAAGGCGACAGAAAATCCTGAAGCCCAAGTGTCACCAACTAAGCCATCGACTTCTAGTTTTTCTTTCAATTCCACCATGCCTTCTCCAATTCGACCAGCCAACTGGCCTTCTCAAATCCCTCCCCATTCGAGTATTAATGCTAGTCTAAATACTCCTAAAAGGATTGATGTTGAAAGTGGAGGTGAGAGTCCTTTTAATAATACCAAAATGAGATCCAAATCAACAGTTTCCAAACAATGGAACAGTTTAGGCCTTTCAGGTTCTGCAGCTAAAAGGCTTTTATTTTTACCCTTTTCTACAGATCTTCGAAAAAATACCAATACGCCTGAAAGCCGAAGAGAATCACCATTTTCATGGAAGCGTGAAACGTCTTCTAATGACCATCATTACCATAAGCTTATAACACCGAGCTCACACCCTGACGATATTGATAAAGATGTTTCAATAGTAATGACACCATTATTACAGCAGCAACTTCAAGCGCAAGCTCAAGCTAAGGCACTTGCTCAAGCCCAACAAGCTCAACGAAAGCTGCGAGAACAAGAGCTTCGAAAAGAAGTGGAAGCAATCATGCGCACTCTGGTTCATTCTGTTCCTGATGATGAAAAAGTTTTGAAACGTTATGAAGAATCGAAAAAGGCTGGAAATTTGATTTCAACAGCTTTGACTCCATCCATTGCTGCCCGTACCTATAGGCTCAATATCTATGAAAAAGGAGAGATTTTAGATTTTAGAAATGTTTATTTTACTGGTAGACCTGATGCCAAAAAAATCAGTGGAGACATTCGACACGCAGTCAATAATTATGGATTTGACGATAAAAATGGTGATTATTTTGTTGTGCCTGGTGATCACATTGCATATCGTTATGAGATTCTGAGTGTGCTTGGTAAAGGTAGTTTTGGAAAAGTCCTAAAATGCATTGATCACAAAAATGGTAAACTAGTAGCTGTTAAGATGATCATTAATCGAAAACAGTTTCATTTACAGGCTTTGGTTGAGGCAGACATTCTTCGGACATTGACTCAATGGGTAAGAGAATCTTGATTTTTATTTTATTTTGATTTATTTAATATCTAACTTTTTTAGGACCCTTCTGATAAATATCATTTGATAAGATACACAAATCATTTTAACTTTCGTGAACATCTGTGTATCTGCACTGAATTACTCGGAATAAATCTTTATGAGCTTATTAAGATTAATAAGTTTAAAGGACTTCCATTAAAACTTGTGCGTCACTTAACCCAGCAAATTCTTGAATGCTTGCAATTTTTGGATAGCAAGGAGATTATTCATTGTGATCTCAAGCCAGAAAATATTTTGCTTGAAGACCCCGCCAAAGGGAAAATAAAGATCATTGATTTCGGATCATCTTGTTACGAATCGGAAAAAGTTTACACATATATTCAGTCAAGATTTTACCGATCTCCGGAAGTCATATTGGGAATGGTTTATAATCGAAAGATTGATATTTGGAGTATGGGTTGCATTGTTGCCGAATTGGTTACAGGACAACCATTATTTATGGGAGAAAATGAACAGGAACAGATCAATTGCATAATGGAAGTCATGGGAGTCCCTGAATTGGATATGATTAATCAATGCAGCCGAAGACGTTTATTTTTTGATTCCACTGGTGCTCCTAGGCAGCATGTGTCTTCCCGTAATGTGAAGAGATTTCCAGGTACTAAAAGCTTAAAGCGACAACTTCGTACTTATGATGATAAACTAGTGGACTTTGTGCGACAAAGTTTAACTTGGAACCCTAAAAACAGACTGAGCCCAGAAAGTGGTCTTCAACATGATTTTATTTCAAGTGCGCTTCCAGCAAGTTTAAATGGACCTCAGTCTATTTCACCCTCTGCAACTCGAAATGAGGCTCGAAGATCTACAGCATCGATTCTTTCTGTGTCAAATTTGCCCGTGATTGAACCTTCAATCGATCAACCTCAGTTTCAACACCTTGAAACACAAAATAAGATGCCGCAACATGTCCCCCAAACCTCTACATCCTACGTTCCTATGAAGGTTCCTGCCCAGCATCAATTGGAATCGCAATCTAGTTTCCGTCATAACTCGCAAGTATCTCAGTCTTCATCTGTAGGATCACTTAAATCGCTAATTGGAGCATCGAATAATCAGAAAGTTATTCGAAAGATTCCTGCGAGTACTCGGATAGATACAAATGATGGGGGAGCTACACAGGCTAATGTTCCAGTTTTATCATCATCTGGAAGGCCGCTCCCTAGAGTTCCAAAAGGACCCAATGGAAACCAGGACACAGGACAGCAACGTACCAAACAACATTCCAGTATTTATGTTCATGGGGGTGGTGCTCATAGCACCGCACATATCTATGACCATCCGGTAGGTCCACGTCCTCCTGTCAAAGGCTTTGGAGATTCTCAGTCTCAAATTCAACCACAAAGAAGAATTGTTTCTGGGGGATCTCAAATTTCAAAGCATGTACGCAAAAGCTCAGTTACTTCTACAACTTCGAATGGAAGCACCGGAAGTGCTAGTAGTACCAACAAGATCAAGCATACTTTGGGGAATTTTGTGACGGTACGGAAGCCTTCTATCCCACGATCATTTACTATGGCGTCTTTATCTTCAGAAACAGCATCTAAGGGTAACAATGTTGAAGGGCCTGGTAACTCCGGGAATCACATTGCTTCATCTGGTTTACGATTAAAGCCAGCAGGGGGACATAGAGTAGTCAGCTCTAGCAGCTTGAAAGATGAACGGTCCCAAAAGTCTACTGTGAGAGTTCTACCTCACTCCTCGTCGGTTTCACATAACCTTCATCAGCGACAACACATTCAACAACAACAGCAACAACAACAGCAACAGCAACAACAACAACAACAACCACCAAGGTGGCGTTAATTTTGAATCCATGTAACAAGCATTTTTTATTTTTAAATTTAAATATAATTTAAGCATATCATCATATATTAGCACATTTCGAAAGTGTTTTTAGAAAAAAAAATTCCATTCTCATTTGAAAGTCTTTTCATTTGATTAAAATCAATTTACTTGGTTTTAAAGCCAAGTATAAATTTATAATATTTAAATATAACAATTATTTTAATAGTTAGCGTAAGGAGAGTCATTATTTGGAGACCAATTGTCACTGTTGCCATATGTGTTATCGTAATGACGGTCAATTTGGTCTCGAGCCTCTTGCTTGGCTCTTTCAGTATCAATATAATCAAGACCCTTAGTTTCAACAAGCTTATCAATTTCACCACCAGCAATTCCAGCAATCATTTCTTTAGCAAAAGCATGATCAACTTCTTTTCCTTCTGACCGTTGTCTTTTTTCCCACTCCTTCATCTAAAATATTTTTATCAGCAAAAAAATTTACAAAAGTTTAAAAAAAAATTAGTCACATACGGCAAAGAAAGAGGCGCCACCTGCGAGAAGTTCGTGACTAAAATGTCCTTCATGCTCTTCCTCGGAATAAACTTGATTGTAAGAATCTTGGTGTTCATCAAACATTTTGAAGTATTTTCTTTTTTTGTGTTTTTTTAAGGATTAATAGAAAAATAATTTTTAAGAGATATTATGAAATGTCAAATATTAGGGGGAATTTAGAGGTATTTATAGTTGACCAGGTAAAACTATTAATCGTAAGCAATTAAAATACAATCACTTCTGCAGCTAAAGAAAATTCAGTGGATTTACATTGTAACTTGCCATGTGTTTAAAACAGGAAATATAGCAGAGCCTCTAGCTCATGAATTAATTGTCTGATTGGATGATAAAAACTATTAATATTATAATAAAATTCCGAACATATCCGGACTCAGTTTCTAAATTACTTAGAGTGTGCAGTCCGCCCCACAAATGAATAAGAAACCAATACAGTGGAAGGCGTACAAAACCTGTAGAAATATTTAGAAACACATATAATATTTTAATTTATTTGATTTATTTGATTTATTTGATTTATTTGATTTATTTGATTTATTTTATTTTCATTATTTTCATTATTTTTAAAAATTTATTATAATAATAATTATCGCGCTATCTACTGAATGTTTTTACTTGAGGAACTTGAGAATGACGAACCAATTTTTTTTATTTGTTATCGACCTTGAGTTCTGGCTTTCCAGTGTTGCAACACCAATATTTTAGAGTTGGCGGAAGGAGGCTTGGCTACAATTTAAAGTTTTGCTTGTAACATGCATTGCTAATTAACTTTCTTTGTAGAGCAGGGCGTGTTAAGGAGAAGGAAAAACCTGGTGCAGTAGTTCTTTGGATTAAAACAAAAGAGGGGAAACTTAGTGGCAAAAAGATATTGGATATTTTAAAAATGTCATATCAGTGTCATATTACTTTCTATATTAGTGTCATATTACTTCCTATATCAGTGTCATATTACTTCCTATCTAAATAAAACAATTGATATAAATAATCATGGTAATTTTTACAGAAGTTATGGTAATAATAATAATAATAATAATAATAATAATAATAATAATAATATTATTATTATTATTATTATTATTATTATTATTATTATTATTATTATTATTATTATTATTACGGTTACTATATTAAGATAAATGAATGAATAATAAGAAAGCTTAAGATAATTAGAAAATTATATTAAAAGAGAAAGTAGCTGCCACGTATTCTTTTTCTTTTCACAGAATGATATTGCCATCCTTCAGTCATGATAGTTGGATAAATTGTAATAGATTTTGAAATACAAATTAAAATTTAAAATTTCAAAAATAATTGGGGACCTAAAAGTAACATCTATATTGGTTTTGAAATGTCGCTAGTTGTTTATAATAATTATTTTAACACAAGAAAAAATGTAAATAATCTTAACTAGAAATTCTATTAAGAAATTTTTTTTTGAAAATCTGTTTTTTTTTTGAAAAAAGTCAAAGAATAAATATATTTTGACCTTAGATTTTCTCAATGATAAATTAATGGAAATCATGGAATTACATAACATCAACAAACTCAATATATTGATAAGAATTTTTTTACTTTTCAAGCTTATAAGCTTTGGTTCTATCAATATAAATAACGGAAAGTATGCTTTCAAAAGTTTTTGTTAAAAATCTTTTAATAGAGCTAAATCACCAAGTTGGTTTATCTTTTTCTTAATTGGAAAGGTATGTTTTGCCGATACTTATGGGAAAAAGTTAGTTTTCCCCAGATTTTGTAAACTAATTGGGACATTTAACTTATATGTAAGAAAAACGTCTTTTAAAATTTGGTAATGATTACGTAGCTACTAAAGTTTCTTCTCCACTATTCATTGTTGCACTTGATTATCAGCATTACGTAGCCCCTATCAGCAAAATTCCAAAATTTCCTAATCCTAATAAATTTTCAAAAAAAAAAAAAAATTAATTTATAAATAATTTACTAATCATGATCAGTAAACTAAAACCAAATCTTCATTACATGTAATTAGGTCAATGTCGTTATTTAAAAAAAGAATTAATTCATATCAGTAAACAATGCCATTTACAATTTCCAATTTTTAATAACGAATGAAAATTCCTTTCTTACCATCTCAATATAAATAACTAGCCACGACAGGAAAAAAATCCTTTAAATTTATTATTTCAGTACTACGAATAAGCGAAATAACTTCAAAGAAATGTTTAGCCTAAATATAATTGTTAGTTCCGTTAAAATGCTATAAATCTTTTAATTAGTATCTTAAACATCTATTGGGTGTTAATGCTCTCTAAGTTTTAAACATGAAAATAGTCAAAAAAAAAAAAAAAAAAAAAAAAGAAAGAGCCATTAAATATCCCAAGTGGAAAAATATCCTCTTTTGTACTGTTTTTTAAAAATGCAAACTGGAAATATCCATATTTGTATAGAAAGATTATGCTTTATTTCTTAGAAAAAGCAACAAACAATAAACTATAATAAAAAAATTCATTTACTTTCGCTGAATTTATATCATTTAATTTGTAATCCTCTCTTCATTGGTATTGAAAATGTTTAATGTAAATGTTTATTTGGAGTATTTTTTTGTTATTAAGTATACAAAGTAAAAAAGCAAAAAGGAAGAACTTTTTAAAAGCCGCTGTTTGTTTAAGTAGGTTAAAAATGATATATATATATTATGCATTAACAAATAGAAAAAATAAAAGGAAATTAAAATTTTAAATCTTAATGAAAATTTTAAGTTTTCTAATAGAAGCTATTATGTTATGCAAATAGAAAGATGACTTCATGATCATGAAGTCATCTCATGAGTTTTTTTTTCAAATAAATCCAAATTTTTTTTGTCTTCTGCAACAAGCATTAAAAAAATTACGTACCCTTTTTTTATTGAAATACAAAGAGTTAACTTTAAATAAGTTGAAATATCTTATGACAGCACCTGATTTTTGATACGTCATATGGAACGTTAGTTATATATGGCTATGAATAGAAACGAACAAAGGTTTATTTGTAGATTATCCATGCATGATTACTATTGAAAGAAGTATTTTAGAGTGACAATTGTATTTATTATAGTTTTATCAAGGTATATATCATTAAAAAAGTACAAATTTTCAAAAGGTGTAAAAAAACTGTAGTGTCTATAAGAAAAAAAAATTAAATAAATGGGTTATATACCCCATAGGAGTTGTTCTAAAGCTTGCATAGAAATAATATTTTCATATGTATTTTCATGATAGAAAGTAGAAAGAACAAATCGATATTGATGAACTGGAAAGATGCGGTCAAATTCATGCCATTGGACGCAACGCAAGTAATCTTGAAATATGTGCTGACGTCCCAAGGCACAAACGAATTGATAAGGTGTCAATAATCCAAGCTGAATTTTAGTTGTAAGAATTTTCCGATAAGGACTATTGATGCATTCGTATAACATCGTAGCAAAAGCATAGACCATTGCACTAGATATATATTCATTGTCTTCTAATCCAAAAATTGGTCGACCAAATTGATTGAATCCTAATAGCAAACATCCAAGGTCTTGAAAGTGAATTTTTCCGTCTTTTAAATGGTAGTGAATTGGCGCTGTAGGGGGTCCTGCAAAAATTTGAGGCTGTGAATATGTTTGGTGTGGGAAAAAACCAGAAAGATAAGATTGAGGGTTGTTTAGAAATGGTGAAGAAGATATAGTTGAAAAATCGTACAGATATCTTCGTCGGTTTAATTGACTTTCCTGTTCATAAGAACCAGAGGCTGAAATTTGAGATTCCTGAGAAATCAGATACGAAGGCTCATGATCGATTTCATCAAAAAGACTTTCAACATCACTTAGTGGCTCATCATTTTCCAACATGTCTATAACCTTTTTATCATCTCCTAAGCATTCACCTAAGCAGCTAGTAGACACACAATAATCATTGTCGTATTCAGCCTCTGAGTAATCTGATTCATACATGAAATTATCTTCAACTGATTGCTCATCGTCAATTATATCCTCATCGTAAGTTTCGTAGACTTGGTCTTGATTTTCATGATTTTCATGATTTTCAGATTGGTTTTCTTTCTTTAAAAATAAACTGAAATTACTTTCAATTTCTTCATTTTTGTAATCAGTCGATATTTCGAAATCAAAATCAAAATCCTCTTCAAAAACAATACTCTGAGAAGAAATTCTTGATTGTTGATAAATTGATTGTTGTTGAGATGAAAGCTTTAAGTTTTCTGAAATTGAAGCTCTTCTAGGCCGTAAATTATTTGAAAGGTTGCGTCTAATGTAGTTTTCATCTCTTAATCGGCTTTCAGCAATAGCATTAAAAACCGAACTGTTCATCTCTTCGATACTGTTCCATTGCTGAGATGGAAGAGTTTCAACAGGTTGACGAACAGCAATAAAATTGTAGTCATGGTCGGATTCATCTCCAGAATAACTTGAAAGGTCAGTATCACCATCAACATCATTGGGTACATTATGTACAATGTGCTGAAAAGAATCTTCCATGGAACCTTCCAAGTATTCTAAAGATGATCTGAGGTCTTGGTGACTTAAATCTGAATTACGGTGGGTTTGAGTTGAGTTGGTGCCGTAAACACTAAGCTGAGACTGTTCACTGGGTGAATTTTGAAGATTATGGGCCTGGTGATTCTGTTGTGTTGTTTCATAGTTTTGATTTTGATTAATAGAGTTAAAGTCATTATCAGATAAGGGTGTAGCAGTACTTGTTGAGTGATTCAAGTGTGAAAGACTTTGCTCATAATTTTCTGTTTCAACATGATACGGATGTTGTGTCGCATCATAAGATTGTGCAAGGTTTTCAGCTAGAATTTGAATTGCTTTTTTGACACGAATAAATTCAATCTCAAAATCTGCATCGAGAGGACATTTATGTGGAATAATTGAAGGAACCAACATTTTTATATGACATAAAATAAAATGAATAAGTTTATAAAAATTTTAATTTATTGAATAAAGTTTTTTTTTTTGAAAGAAGAAAGATAAATGATATTAAAGAAAAGTTTCAAGGAAAGAGGGTAGAATTTTAATATAAAGATAGCAATAAATTTTCAATGTATATATGAGAAAAAAAATAAAAAAACATGAAGGGGATAACAAACAGTATTTATAAAATCTTATTGTTTGCTTTATGAAGTATAGATTCAAGAACTAGATTCTTTAAAAAAAGAAACTTTATTGCTGCTTTGGGACACTTTTTTTTTTCTTTGACCCTAACCGTCGAGGTTCGATATAGGGTTTCCCATGTTCCATGCAAAAACAGTATTTATTTATGCTAAAATTTCTTTTTTTTTTCTTTATAAAGTAAATCTTTTCTTAGTCAAAATAATTCTTGTATGCTTATGCCAATTTCTTTTACTTGTCGGAGTTTTTTCTTAAAGATATTTAAGGTTTAATTCGAAATGATTGACATTTTGCTTTTCTGTTTAACCTTTTTTTAACTTCATCCATTTTTTCTGATGTTTACTATATTTATTATCAATCAACTATTACTGCCCAGATAGAAACACGAGTTTTGTTACCATTTTAGAGTATCATTCTCAATAAAAAAAAAACAGGATAGAATTAACTTAAACCAAAAGATTCAAAAAATAAACTCATAAGAAATTAAAGTATCCCATGCTCCTTAACGACAAAAAAATAAAGTGGAGTGAATTATCTCCTATTTTAAAATTTAATAAAAGTCTGTCTGTAATGATAATAATTATATGAAAAAGAAAAGAACTCTTTCAATTGGTAACTGTGATTTAAAAATTGGACAATCTTGCATATCATTTAAATTTATTTAAAAAAAATACTACAATGATGTATATAAAAAAAAAATTAACAAATATTAACAAACACTGATAGACTCAATTAATATAGATATATTTCAAATGAATTTTTGAAAGATGGCAAAACGGTACCGTTTATTTATTTTTTTGAGTTCTACAAAGAATTGTTGTTCAAAATGGTGATTACTTTTCCTTTTAAGGTATTTTAAGCATTTTTTTATATAGATATTTAGCGGTTATTTCAAATAGATGAGGTCGATTCGGAACGGTTGTGGGGAAAATAAAAAAAAAAAACCAAGGCATTGAGCGGGAGAATTCAAAAGGTTGAATTAAAATGGAAATAAAAAAAAAAAAGAGAGTTCTCTTGGGATAAAAATACAAGCCGTTGAGCCTCATGAAAAGGAAGCATCGGATTACATTAATCATTTGCTATATATACAGTAGGTATGACTATTGTTTAAAAAAGTTATTAACTTTATAATATCTGGAATTTGTTGACTTTAAAAGAAATTCAACTCATATTATGTTCCTTTATTACCAAATTTGGAATTTATTGACATTTAGCACAAAAATTATTATTAATGCTTAAGAATGTATTTAGTAAGTTGGGGTAGTAGTATGAACCTCAAAGAAACATGCATCTAACATTCAAAATTTATTGAATTTCTGATAAAAAAAAAACGATGTAAATAGTGTTTACCCCATATTTTTTTTTTACAAATATTTTTCCGATCCGGAACTTACTTTTCATTGGTCTATGAATAATATTTAAACATTACTGGGTCAGCCAACTGTTTGTTCTATTTTTTTTTTTTGTGAAATATAAATATATATATTTTCCCCACGCCGTAATTAATCTACGATGAGCTATAAGATATATGCATTTTAAGACTGGTTTTACGTATTCACCGGAAATGCATATCACGATACAAGCAAGTCAAACATTTTTTTACGCTATAGTTGTTGTGTATTTTTTCCTTAAACTGGGTTTGCCGCATTTTTTTAGCATTAAACGTCTTCTGAAAATCCCACCAGCCCGCTATTACACTCTTTTACTATAAGGTTCCTATAGGAATTTATTGCGTAGGGAGAAGAGTAACAAAGCACAAGACTATTTTGATTGCTTAAAAAAAATTCATATCTCTGATAAGGCTTGAATCATTATCAAAAAAAAAAAAATAATATTTGTTACTTAAGCGGAAAATAAACAAAAAATGTCAATCAATTGACATTTTGATTGACAAAATTGGTTTCTGGATTTTATGTGGGGGTCAACCAAAATGTGTGTAATAATATGTTTGTCATATTTTTGAATCAGTCTATTCAAAGGCGTCTCTCAGCATTATTACTATGAAAAAAAAACTTCTAGTCTTCATATTACAAGAAATATATTGTTTTTTTTTTTTTTAAAAAAAATGTATTCAAGTTAATAGAAACAAAATTTATTTTGTTAAAAAAAATATTACATACTTAAGACCCTGAAGCGTTTAACTCTTATTTTTATTTTTATTTTTTTTTCAAGCATAAGCCAATCTAATTTTTTTGAGGCCAAAGAAAAAACTTTAAAAATGATAAAGATTTTCATTGTAGAAAGTTCAATACTGGTCTATTATTTAAATAAAAAAAAATTTTATAGATTGGAAATATATTTGATATAAAAAAAAAAAACTTTTTGAGATATCCGACGGTTATAGCTAATGAGTTAGTTACTTCATAACTATTTCCAATTCTTAGTATAACTTTTATAAAAAAAAAACATGAAAGGATAAATAATTTTGACATGAATGGTTTCTATTATTAGAATTTAAAAGAAATTATTTTCAAATAAAAGTTTCTTCTATCATTGATATATATATATATATATATATATATATATATTTTAATATTCATTTATAAATAAATGAGCAACATCATTTTTCATATATTTTGTTTTTCTAAATGTTTTCCAATTTAAAAAAGTTTAGTTTTAAAAACAAAAATTGAATAAGAATTGAATAAGAATTGAATAAGAATTGAATAAGAATTGAATAAGAATTGAAAGTTCTAAATGTAAATTTCAATGGGAAATAAAGAAATATATTAAATAAGAAACAAAAACATAATCGCCTCAAATTAAAAGCCTCAAAGGTTCACAATGCATAACGATATATATCGTATAAATATATATATATATGGTTCCACAAAAAAAAAGGGTTCTTTTAAATGAATTCTTTTGTTAATACGAATACGTATAAACTTACGTTTATAAGAAGAAGAAAAAAATAGAATGCTTAAAACACATTATGCGAGCTTAAAAATAGAAGGGAAGTTTTTTATTTTTATTTTTTTTTTCTTCTAAAAATCATGCTAACTATCAGGTCAAGAAGGCTTAGTTAATTCAAACCAAAAAAAAAAAAAAAAAAAAAAAAAAAAAAATAGCAAACGGAATAAAAATAGGTTTGATTGCTTAGTATTATAATAGTATAAGCCCCGTCGGGTGTTGCTTTTGTATTTTGTGAAATTAAAAATAATGAACGAGCTACAAACAAACAGTTTTAACTAACAATGGGAATAATGATATGAAATTCAAAGTAATAATTTAAATGAAAACTGATCATGAAAAAAAAAAAAAAAAAAAAAAAAAAAAAAAAAGATCGGATGTTACGGCAGTTTAAAAATTTAATCAGCAGCTGTTAATTAATATATTAATCACATATATATGTGATATCTATAAATAAATGACTATATATATGTTTTTAATATCATGGAAAAGTGTCTATTTTTTTTTTTTTTTAAAAAAAAAAGAATAAATAAAACAGTAAACAGGCCAAAGACTAGAAATTTATAATGACAATACTTCTATTGACTTTTTGAGAAAATGCGATTTTACATATCCAAAAAGAGGAATTTTAAAACAAAAAAAGAAAAAAAAAGAAAAAGAAAAAAAGCAATCAAGGAGCTCATAAATATATATATATATGCAACTTTGAAATCTAGAGTTAATTCATGCTTCATTAGAAGAAGTAATAATTGTTTGAGCAATCATGATGGTTCATTTGAATTTCATGAGCCATCCAAGTGGGATATATTTAATGCACATTACGTTTTGTCATGATCTTTTTCTTTTTTTTTTGGTTTGGTTTGGTTTGGTTTGGTTTGCTAAGTTTCCTTTCTATTAATTTTGATACTTTTTTTTTTTCTTTTTTTTTTTTTTTGCGGGTAATTGAACCAAAAGTATCTTCGTTAAGAGTTAATTTATTTAAATTTATTTATTTTATTTTATTTTTTTTTTAATTTCACAATAGACATTATTGAGAGAAAAAAAAAAAAAATCAGATAATAATAATAATGGGTTGTAACTATGATGCGCATGATTTTCTCAGACAAAAATGTATATATAGATATGACTTTTTTTTTTTTTTTTTTTTGGTTTTTTTTAGAGCGCCTTTCTATTGAATACTGAAGAAAAAAAAAAAAAAAAAAAAAACGGCTGTAGATGTTGATTGTTCGGTGCATTAACATTAATACACATATGACAGGGTTTATTTTAAGCCGCGTTTGACTTGTATATAAGTTTATGGATATAAGATTTAGCGATAGCAACTAAGCTTTGTTGGACCTAGAAGGTGTTGTGTGATTAAAAATTCGCCCTAGATATAACCTTTTTCTATTTACTATTTTTTTTTAGCCAACTCTTTAATTGGACTTCATAAATTCAAAAATTCAAAAATTATATTTTATAAATGTATAAAAAAACAAACAAACTTTTTTTTTAATGGCCACCAGTGACCTTTTCACCTGTCATTTTGGAAACAAGCTCACGAGCCTTGTCACCAAGAGCGACCATAAAGATAGTCTGCCAAACACCCAGACCAATACGGGGGGTAACACCTCTGTAAAGACCCTTGATACCATTGGTCTCATAAATGTACTTAAAGGCAGTGCCAACAGTCAAGTTCTTAGGTCTGTTAGGGTCATGGGTCTTAGATTGCATTTCAACACGGATAACTTCAATAGGTTGGTTCCAGGCAGAAAGACCACCACCAACAATGGAGGCACAGATCTTTTCCCAGACATTAAGTTTCTGATCCTTGTTTGTTTTACCAGAGACCTTTCTGATACCTTCTTCAGCCAGACGGGCAAACCCGAAACGAGACCCCCAGTTGGTCATTTGGCGGATAGCAACAGCATTAACACCCTTGTTGATACCTTTAATGCCTTCCTTCTTGTAGATTTGAGTGAAAACCTCCCAAGTACCGGGGACCTTAGCGCCGGCAACGGAAGAGGCCTTATTTCTAGTGATTTCGACAGTCTTCATGCAAGTGGTCAAACCCATAGTACCGTATGCCTGTGCAACACCACCGAGAATACCACCAGTTATACCGGCAGCAAAGTTGCCCATACCCAGGGAAGCCTTTGCAGCGTATTCAGCCTCAGCAGAGACGAAGAAGAGGATAGCACCCTTGGTGGAGGCCTCAAACCAAGCCCAAGGAATAAGGCCTTGGTAAAAGCCAAAGAAGCCACCACGACTCCAGATTTTCGAGATTGCAGTAAGGGAAGAATCACCACGGTTAGCGGCCATAGTGGTCTATTCATTTTTTATAATTTTTTTTTTTTTTTTGGTTAGATAAAATGTTTTTTTGGGGATTCAAAAAAAAGAAAACAATTCATGAATGAAAATAATTTCATGAATGAAAAAAAAAAAAAAAACATACCTTGATAACCTCGAGGGGCTGGCCCAAAGTGGTAACTCTATAATACAAGAAAAAGCATTGGTTAGATAGATGAAAGGGAAAGACCCCGCATGGAGTTCTTGAGATTGACTGAGCAGCCAAGTAAGAATATATATTATTATGGAGGGGGAGGGAGTGGGGAGGTTCTTAAAAAAAAAATAAAAAAAAATAAAAAAAACCTGAATGTATTTTGTTGGGCTTGCGGTGGCATCTCCGGATAGTAGGGAGGGGTAGACCGAAATAAGATTTGTTGTGGGGCAAAAAAAAAAAAAAAAAAAAAAAGGTAGCAATAGCAGTATAGCAGTATAGCAGTATAGCAGTATAGCAGTATAGCAGTATAGCAGTATAGCAGTATAGCAGTATAGCAGTTGACACAGTAGAATCAGTAGAATCAGTAGATACAATAGAAGTAGTAGTAGAATCAGAAACAGCAAAGCCATTGGGAATTTCAATTAAAAGATTTTTGGTATTTGGAAAAGACAACAAAAAAAAAAAAAAAAAAAAAGAGGTGGGATATATATATTAAACATACTCAGCCAAGTTAAGGGCAGCACCAAGAAGGAGGTTTGAGAAGTTGACGGGCTTCTTTTCAATCTTTGTTTCTGTAGCCATTTTTTTTATTAGTAGGTATTGTTTGGTGATAAGAAGAAGAAGAAAAGGAGCAAGGGATGAACTGGGATGAACTGGGGATTAGCTGAAAGAGCTGAGAATAGTAAGACTAGAATATAAAGGGCCGAACTTCTGATAACCGATGCTGGTGATTATTAAGAAGAAAGAACAAGATGTATTTTTTTTTTTGGGGATTTAGAAAAAAAAAAAAGGGGGGGAGAAAAGGAAAGGAAAGGAAAAAAAAAAAATTATTGAAGTTTTTTTTTTTTTTTTTTTGTGCAAATATATATATATATATATATTTTTAATTATTTTAATTAAATATATTAGCAGTGGTGGTGTATTTCTCTACGGTTGAATATAAAAAAAAAAAAAAAAATAATAAAAAATAATAAAAATAATTCAATTGTTACAATTACAACTTTTTTTTTTATTTTATTTTATTTTATTTTATTTTATTTTATTTTATTTTATTTTAGCGAGTAGCCACAAAAAAATAAAATAAAAAAAAAAATAAAAACCCCACGATTTTCCACGATTTCCATGTTATCAGCAAATTTTCAGCAAACTTTCTATCTTTCACTTTTTCCATAGTCTTGACTTGTTTATTTGTTTATAAACTTTTTTTTTTTTATAATTGAATATATAATGACATTTGAAATTTTATATTATATATATATATATTTACACTTAATTTTTTAATTTTTTAATTTCTTAATTTCAATTTTCAATTTTCAATTAGTCCCATGTGTTGTTGCTTCCTTCTTTCCATAAGTCCCGGAAAAACCTAATGGTACGTATTGTAACTAAGAGTCATCTCCACTTATGGTATTGTGCGGCTTAAATTTAATTTAAAGTCAATTTTTTTTTATTTTTTTTTATTTTTTTTTTCAAATTTGAGCCAATGGATGGACGTTTTTCCGGGGTTTCCTTTTCTCCAGATGGACAAAAAAAATAATTATTTATAAATAAAAAAATAAAAAAAAAATAAAATTTTCAAGTCCGACCGGAAAAGATTTTTTTTTTTATTTTTTTATTTTTTTATTTTTTTATTTTTTTATTTTTTTTATTTTTATTTTTAAAATACGATCAATGCGTTTTTTCGGAGCAAACCTGGGGAAATTTTTTTTTTTTTTTTTCAATTAAAAAATAAAAATTAAATAATTAAATAAATTTTCAAATAAATATACTCCATTTATTTATCATCATCACTACTTGATTATTAGTAAATTTACTAGTTTTTTATTTTTTATTTTTTATTTTTTATTTTTATTTTTATTTTTTGATTCTTCTTAATTTCTTTACTTCTTCAATCGCTTGATGAATGCTTCATCTTCCACCACCGTCTCTTGCCTCCACTACTACTAGTATTGGTACTTATACTTCCTTTCCCACCATTGTAATTGGTCTTACTATAACCATCAAATTCCTTTAAACCTTCCACTCCTACTCCATTATTACAATCAGTTGCTACTACTACTGCTGCTGCTGCTGCTGCTGCTGCTGTTACACCATCCTCCATCTTGTAATCATAATGTCCCTTCTTGACACAGTCACTTTTCTCAACCCCACCTGAATCAATCTGCCCACTCTCACGGTATGAAGTTTCACTCAACCGTCGTCTTCGTCGTCCAATCGATCTAGTTGGTGTAATAGTAGTCACTTCTTTCCCTTCCCCATCATCAAATTCTTCACCATTCTTCTTAACACCCTCTTGTCTGTAATAATGATTGTTGGTGATATTATTATTATTATTATTATTATTATTATTAGTAGTAGTAGTAGTAGTAGTAGTAGTAGTAGTAGTATTATTACTACTACCACTTCCATTACCTCCTCCTCCTCCTCCTCCTCCTCCACCACCACCACGTTTCCACCACTTTAAACTCTTGGTAGTAGTACTTGATACACTGCTCTCACTTTTACTCCAAAGTTCTTTAGGAATCTTTAGACTACTGGCTCCTGCACCTAACGTACTGCTGCTGGTACCAGAAACCCCAGATCCTGCATTACCCCCTCCCTTCTTTTTCCCATCCTCCTTTTCTTTCTTGGTATTCTTGCTATCATCCTTACTCTCATCCACATTTTGATCCTCATTCTGATCCTCATCCTTCCAGTCTTGATGACATGACTCGCTTAAACTTTCATTTGACTTCTTCTTCTTCAAGTCTTTTTCTTTAACAAAACTCTCATTTATACTCTTCCGATGCTTAGAATTCACTCGTGAAAGCGTCCGTGAAAGAGATGATTTTCTTTTAAGCTTAAACGATTCTGATATTTGAGAATCTTCATCATTCTTCCCATAATTCTCATGTCTACTATCCTTTTGCCTTATTTTCCCCCTTACTGCTGATCCATTATTAGTCGAGGTGTTATTAGTATGCAAATTATCTTCAAAATCTGCATCTTCTGTACCAACTCTTTCCAGTTTTTTAGCCTGTTCAAAATAACCTTCAGCTCCTCTATACTTATTCCCTGCTTTTCCCTCAGCATCATCATTATTAGAATCATCATCATCATAAAACTGTTCATAATTGATACTATCAATTGCTTTCTTTTTCTTCTCCTTTTTTCTCTTTCTTTCTTCCTTCTTCTTTTCCTTGTCCCCTTCATGCAAATACAACTCACTAGACTTTTCCACAGAATACCCACCAACAACCTCCTTTGCATGAATCCCAACATTATCCTCTTCTTCCAATCCAAATACTATCCCCGTCGGCACATGTTGTTTCTCGGTGTGCGGCTTACCGTGATGATTTCGTCTGCTTCCAAATAGCTTGGAAATCCCTGAATCAATAACCTCCAATGATAACGACGTCTGCGAGGCTCCAGAAAATGTACCAGGATATACCATATCATTTTCCGTTAAAGAATATGACTCAAACATGGAACCATCAACCCCAAACCCATCTTCCCTAAACCCCTTCCATCTTGCGCTTTTTTGCTTCACCTCCTCCCAAATTGCTGATGTCCGGGCATTAAAATCATCAAGAAAATCGTCCGTGTCACTAAAACAGTTGGCAAAGTTGGTTGCTACATGAGCTGAAAACTGTTTCTGCCTTCGATTCTCTTCCTCCTCTTCCTCTTCTTCTGTACCTAAAAACGGGTTTCCCTCACGAGACTCAGACGAACCTTCCTCAATTCGCTCTTGATTCATCTCTGTTCTACCCCTTTTGTTTTCATCCAAGGTCGCATGCTTCAATCTTACTGGACTAGTGGAATTATGCATACTGCTTTCTACCTGATTCACTTCCCATACCCTATCTTCCACTGTTGTTATTAAATCACCAGTCATGTTATTAACATCACCTGATAAAATTTCATCGTCACCATCTCCTCCATAACCTGAATGAGTTATCAGGTTGGATTTTAATACACCTTGCCCATCAATGATTCTTTCTTTGCGGCTTCCCCCCCTAACTTCAGTTTTATTCTCTCGTGTTTCTGGTGTACACCCTTGACTTTTTTGACTGAATTTCCCCTGCTCTTGCTTGTTAGGAAGAGATGTTTGTGCTTCACGTTCTTTGTAAGAGGCACTATCAAAAAAAACACTATTATACTGAACAGGTGCCGTGTGTGAACGAAGACCAATGGTATCATAAAATGGGAAAAATCCACTTTTTTCTCCACTATTTACTTGCTCCTTGCCATCCTCTGTTTTTTGTCGAATAGACATAGTAAACATCCGATGATTTTTTTTAATGCTTCCTTCAATATTGTCCATTTTTTCATCCAACTCATCATCATTCTCAACAGTCTGATCATCATCATCATCATCATCATCATCATGTTTTGTTGATTCATAGCATTTCAAGTTATTCCTAACACGACTCAATTGCTTGTCATCGTTCTTATCGTGGTCTTTACTACTATTGAAATGATTTAATATCGGATTTGAGTCACAATCACCTTCCATAGATATCTTTTGAAACCCATGATTCAAGCATTGCTCGTCTTCAATCTTAGACTCTGTGATCACTGGCGATTGGTCATTCACGCAAGTATTTCCTTGTCCTTGCAAGTCGTATTTAGAACCCTCCTTTAACAATGACTTTTGTTTTGTTTTAGATTCATCAATATTGGTCTGACTTGAATTCTCTCTACTAATATGTAAATCATCGTTGGACTGACTATTGCGCCGTTCATGTGAGATATCCGAAATTGTACAACTTGTAACATTATAAAAATCATCATCACTCGCATTTTTTTGTGTGGTGTTGTCACTGTCTTTGATACTATTTTCATCTCCAGCATTAAATTTATCAACAAATGTCGTTAGTGTTTCACTCATATTGGTCGGAAAGTCTAACTGTTTAGGATTGCATGAATTTTCACCGTCGTTACTGTTTGTATACAAATTAGTTGTAACCGTACCTTGTGCCACCACGCCTGAACTACTTTCAAGGCTCATGTCATTATCATATTCCTGATGTTTGTGAGAAAATTCTTTGTCATCACCATTTTCTCTTTTTCTATCACCATCGTTCTTCTCAATTTGTTCTTCCTCCTTCGAGTATACCTCATATTCATCCTCATCTCCATCACTTTCAATTTCAATTACCATATTTCTACTATCTTCCTTTTTCTCCTTATCATGTTTTCCAGGTATAGCATTGGAATAACATTCAATGATAGTTTCTTCTATCTGCTCCTCTAGAACTCGATATTCTTCAAACTTTGGAATCACATCATCAATACTATAGTACCGGCCTTGTCGCTTAGCTGAGTCCTCATAGCCACTCATGTTGCGTTTTGAAATTTGGCGGATGGGAGTTGTATTATTCTCTTTTGTTTTGGTTCCCAATCTAACCTTTTCAAAATCATCTACTAAATCAATAGATTCCATTGTTAACCCTTTTTGAATTAAACCCTTGTCATCAAATGACTGTAACATATTGCTTTCAAATTTTAAAACAAGGCTATTTTCCCTGGTATCTTTTATTTCAAATGACTTTCCTAAATCCCTTCCATGCCGAATAATACTGGACCTGTTTGACGGGGCATCGAGACTTTTTAGTCGATTAATAAAAATACAAAGTCCACTAGGGAATTTATGCTTTGATCGGTTTGCTTTTACTTCAGATATATTTGGGTAATAATTGGTACTCTCTTTGCTAATGGATTTTTCTGCTTCAGAAATTTGGGAAGGGATTTGGGATGGAATTTGATAAGTTTTTGTTTCTGACTTATCAAAGGTTCCTTTTATATTAGACTCAAATTTGCTGAAAAAATAATTACTAGAGTTATTACTAGAACTGGAAGAATCTGAAGATAGTGGTATCTTTTGAATGTAATTTTGAGTCTGGCTCATTATACTATTCATTCCTACTTGAGAAGCCGACATCATTAAAACAGTTGCCGAAGTAGACGCAGACTTGACAGTTTGAGCAGGAGGAGCTAAAATTGAAGAAAGAATTGAACCAGATATAGGATTTTGTTTTTCATCGGCATCTTGAAACACTTTATCATTATACCCAGAGAAATAAGACTTTATAAATGCATCCTTTTCTTTAATAGAATTGGTTACATGCTCACGTTCTTCATTCTCCGCCCCAAGTGAAGAGAAATTTGAATGAATACTAGATATTTTAGAAATTACGGGCTTCCCCAAACCCTTAGATATAATACCATTAACGAGAGCTGCTGAATTTGGTTCACTATTTGGTACATTGATATTGGAAGATAGAGCAGGTGTTGTAGCTGCTGATTGATGGCTAAATAACCCTGCAGATTTAACAACGCTATTAGTCAAAGTTGTTGGTTTATCATCAAAGTTGTAAAATGGTTGTTCATTAAGTGATTTTGAGCTTAAAACCGGTTTTGCATTAGTCATCTCCTCATTGTATGCCAGACTTTCTTTAATAAATCCATTGCTAATTTTCATAATAAAATCTGCCTCTTTAATATCCTTCTCATCTAAAAATGATTCATGATTGTCATCATCGTCATTCTCTTGGCACACAAATGTTGTTTCCTCGTCTTGAAATTCTTCATTTGTTGCTTCTTGAAAAAAAATATTTTCATCAATTGACTCAAGTGAGTACTCCGTGTTTTCATTGTTGTCATGACTGTTTGAATTCACAATGACCTTTTTAAAATTATTAAAAATAGAAGTTGCTTCTGATAAAGAGATTAAACTGGGCTTTAAACAATCATCATCTTGACAATCAAACCTTATAGGTATTTTCAAATTTTGAAAATTCCCATTTACTAATTCAGTAGTACTTTGAAATGAAGATGAGTTTGTAGCGCTAATTCTGGAAGTTGACAATGAAACCTTGTTACCATTTTCATTGTCACTATCTAAAAAGTTGTAGTGCTGTAAATTTTTTTGAAGAGCTAAGGGGAAATATTCCATTAGACTGTTTGGTGATGATTCATGAGATGAGTTACCACTATTCCTTGGTGCTTCGTCGGTGATATTACTTTGTGGAGGAGGACTAGTGATTGTGATAGAAGTTGCAACATTGCCAATTGAAACAGCTGGTTCCAAAGATTTTCTATTTATTTGTTCCTTTTTATTGTCATGGCCTTTTTGTTGATTCTTGACTAAACCATGTGGACTTTCAACAGTTTGGCTAAAATTCCTGTCTTTCCAATACTTCTTCTTTTTATAAGATCCAGCAGACTTTTGATTAGGATAGCTTGGCGATTCATTTAAACTGGTATTATAATGGCCTCTATTGCTTTTGGGTTTTCCATTCTTTTTCTTTTTAAATCCACTTAAGTTTTTGTTACTGGATGGACTAGCTACCAACAAATTTTCAGCCACAACAGTTTTTAAAGGCTGCAAAGTTGATTCTATACCATTGTTTAAATGTTCAACGGCACTTTTTGCTGTTGGCACACTTGATGTACAAGGAGCCTTTTTGTCTTTCATTTTCTTGGAATTATCGCCATCCACAACTTTTTCAGTAGATATTATTAGTTCAGGTGATGCTAGCTTTGATGTACTTTCTTTTTGTATTTTGTCGATATATTTGTATTTTTTCATAGAACGCAGATACTTCGAGGCTAAAAAATTGGTTAAGAAATTAGTAAACGATCGATATAAAAAACTCATTTATACACACTTTATATATACTGATGGTCAAGTGAATAATGATTTAAATATTTATTCCCAGTTTTAAATTAATCGATTTATTAATAATTTACAATTTGAATTTTTAAAAAAAATAAATTACTGTCAAAAAAAAAAAAAAATTCATTTCAACTATCTTGTTGTATTTATAAACAAGATAAATTTACATTTTCCCATAAACTTTGTAAAACTGGTTACAAATACTATTGGGCCTTGTGAAGATTGATCCTTCAACAATCCCGATTTATTTTGAAAAACTAATCAACAGGGTCTTTAAACTTAAATTAATATATATATATTTAAAATATTCTACAGTAATTCAATTTTAAAACTATTTAGAAATACATTATGACGATTATCAAAAAAACCAAAATTAATAACATATATAGTAGCTAGCTTATCATGCAGTAAATTGTAAAAAATCAAAATGGGGAACTTAAATAAGAGAAGAAAATGCTATCCATGCAGTAGGATTCCATGGTGCATAAAATACACCTTTTTGAACTTGAGTAAACCCTTCTTGTGAAGCGTAAGCATTACTAAGATCAATCGAAGTCACATTTCCATGTGACTGCAAAGCTGTTTCGATAAGGGCAATTTTATTATCAATTCGTTTCCAATTTTCAAAGTTCCAGGGCTCATAAAATGCAGATTTTAGCCAAGGAAGCACTGCTTTCTGTCCTTGTGCTTCGTTCATGGCAGCAAGCATTAAGGGAACATGATGCTTCGGATCTTCTTTTTGCAAAAACTCTTGTGAAAATCTTCCGAGTTCGTCTTTGGCAGCATCAATAATGTCTGAATCGTGAGTTATACCGATTGCCCCTAAAGTTAATGAAAGACTTAATGAAGAAGATCCTTGTTGTTCAATGCTTCCAAAAAGCTGCTCTAACGCCACTTCTCTTTCTTCAGTACCACCATGAGCCCAAAGAACCTGGGCAAGAAGAACAACAACATCTTGATCTTCGTCAGATTCTGCTAGAGCATTTTTAAAACATTCAATTGAATTGCTATAATTTTTGGTAAAATAGCAACCCAAGCCACTAGTAAGAAACGCTGAAAGTCGGCTCTTCTTAAGATCAATTGCAGCTTCTACATTTGATTCGGCTAAGTCACTTGAAACATCAATTGCAAATTGGCCGTGTTCAATGGCTTCTTCATATCTTTCGGCCCCAAGAGCAACTCTGGCTAGATGTGCTTTGGCACGGACAAATTTAACAAGGTCCTCCTCTCTTTCAAATTCTTCATAATTTTCTTCATGAATAGTACAAAGTTTTGTACAGTATTCAATAGCGTATTCGTAATCTGAAACACGTTCAAGAATCAATCCTTCCAAATTTATCGCCAAAGCAGAATCAGGTACGAGTTTCAAATATTTCTGAAGAGAAAGAACTGATTCTTCTAATTCATTTTGAATTTTTCCATGCAAAGAAACGTCTTTCGCTTCTTTTTCGGTACCTTTATCTTGAATAAATTCAAAAACTGAAAGAGCATAATAAAGTTTAGATAATCGATCCAGTTGGTCAGGCTCATTTGTTGATCTTGATATTTTAAAGGCATGCTGGAAACTTTTGCGAGCTGATAAAACACTTCCTGTAGTATACTCGACAATACCTTTTCCAATCCAAGCAGGAAAAAATTCGGGATCATAAGCAAGCGATTTTTCAACTGCTTCTTCAGAAAGTTGGATATCTCCTAGTCGAAGATAAAGTATTGCTAAATTATTCCAAGGAGATGATTGGTGAGAATCGAGAGCAAGAGAACGAATGAAACAATGCTGCGAGACTTTAGCGTTGACATATGAAGAAGCAATGCCATATGCATTCCAAACATCAGGATTTGTGTTCACAATTCCAATCGTTTTCTTGAATGATTCCATTGAAGCATAAATATACTTTAAAATCTCATCCTGAGAAAATAAGGACTCTAAAAGTAAATATAATTTCAATTGAGAAAGACCAAGATTATACCACCCCAATGCAGTAGAGCTTTTGTCGTTGCGACTATAGTGAAGAGAAAGCTTAAAAAAAAGCAAATAATATTGAGATATTTTTGTGATGGGGGTTGCATCTAATGTTAAAGATTCGACAGTTTTCAAATTTGCCTCATCTGCAGCACTGAGTTGGGAAATCAGTTCGTTGCTGTCCAAAACACCAGAAAAGGTTATTGCAAGGGTATGTAAATCATCAAATGGTGCTTTGTCAATGCTTGATCTTACTGAGAGAAATATTTCACAACATTGACCGAGAACCCTCCAAATATCTTGAGTTGAGGGAATAGATTTATTTATCAAAAATTTTGTTGCAGTATTGACACATTCAGTAGCTAATATAACGGCCTGTTGATAAATTTCTTTGTAAAGCACATTTTGAGCCGAAAGAAGAAGGGTCTCTATCAAAGCAGTTCGTGGTGCTGCTTCTTCAGGATTTGACGCAACAACCCTTTTAAAAATCCTGGCAGCCTCATTAAACTCCTTTTTCGTGCGCAAAACTGTTGCCAATTCATAAGTGGCAACCCAGCTAGTGGGGTCTAAAGACTGGGCACGTTCAAATGTTTTTTTTGCGCCATCGTAGCGACCACTATTTCTATATGCTTCACCTAACCCAATCCAAGAAGTTGTATCTTTGTCGTCAATGCGAAGAGTATTTTGGAAATATTTGACAGCAGAACCATAATCGTCTTTGTTTAATGATGCAATTCCTAGTACACGTGTAGGCCATGTTAATGACTTTCCACTATACCTGATATGTTCAGATTCCAAAACACGCGTAGCAACTACTTCAACTAACTCCCAATTCATGCTGTTAGCGAATTCCTTAGCAAGCTCTTCAGCAGCATCTAATTCACCGCCATCGAGTTCAAATGCGCGATAGTAACATTTAGTGGATCGTGTATTATCACCGAGTTTGGAATAAAACTTTCCAAGAGATGTGAAAGCAGGCGCAAAGTTTTGGTTTTCTTTCAGAGCATTTGAAAATGCGTTAAATAACAAAGAATTTAATTTATCATCCAGTGCATTATTTGAATCTTGTTTCTTATTTTCAACTGACTCCTGCCAATAGCTTTGGCCAATTCTCCACCACGATTGAGCACGTAAATCTTGAGATCTAGGATCGTTACCTGTAAGAGACTTCAAAAACTCAGCAATTCCTTTTCTTCCAGCATCAAAATCACCTAAAAGAATAAGACACCAGGAATATTCGAAAAGGACATAAAGATTTGTCGTGTTTTCGTCCAAAACTGATTTCAATATTTTGGCTGCTTGAGTATACTTTCGGCTCTCACGGTAGACTAACCCCTTACCAATTTTGGCTAAAGTGAGATTTTTGTTTTGTTCAAGAACTTGGTTAAAAAGTTTAATTGCTTCATCATGATTTTTGGGAGCCTGATAATAGATGTAAGAAGTGCCTAAAAGAGTATTTAGATCGTTTAAAGAATTTTTAAAAGAAATTCCCAATGTTTTTTTTAAATTTTTAATGAGATTAATTCCTTTAATTGCAGTATCACTAGAAGACTCGTATTCTCTGATGTGAACATAAAAGGCACATAAAACTCTGTGTGAAAGAACAGAATCATTAGAAAATCCATCTGTTAAGTATTCCATAATAAGGCTAGTGGAATATATGTTGGTTTCAGCATCTTCAGAATCCTCAAGTTTAGTTTGAATAGATGTATCATCTTTTTTCTTTATGGGTTTTTTCCCTTTTACTTCCTTTTCAAGAATTTTAGGATCATATGGTGATATGTCAGATCGTATATAACCTGTTAAAACCTTAGACAGTTTTTCTTTAGGAAACTTATGGATGAATTTTACCAGCAGATTTGAATCATAATCATCTAAAGATACAACATCTTGCCATTCAATATCCAGCTTCCAAGCTAATACATTATCGTAATCCAATAAAACCATATCTTTAGCCATTTCATGAACTTCCTCTTGGATATTTTTCTTCATATCTTTAGGCGCTACTTGTAAAGTTTCATATTTATAATAAAATAGTTTACTTTCATAAATCCGGCGTTTTTCATCATCTTGAGTCCAGTTGATGATTTCTTTGTAAAGGGAAGGGATCTAATTATTTTAGTTAAAAATCAACTTTTAAAGCTAATGCTATCAACATACTCGAGAATTTTTGGCGAGCCCATACAAAGCATCATTGCGAGAACCGCCCTGCTTAGAAATGGAAACAATATTTCGAAAATTAAATTTCGATTTAGCGGCAGACTCTTCTTTTTCGTATAATGTAGCTAATTCACAGTATATTTGATCAGGTGGCGGAAATCTTCCTGACATGAAAGAGTATATTGGTGAGTTAGGTAGTTGAACCTCAAGAATATCATAGGCTGTTGTTTTTCCTGGGTATTTCCTAATAAATCGCTTAGCTTTTTCAAAAGAGTCAACTGCTTTTATAAGATCTTCAGTCTTTTCATAACATGTAATCAATCCAATTGTAGCTGTAAGATACAATTGTCCGTCTTTGGTTTTTTCACATAATCCAAGAATTCCTTTCCATGCATTAGGATTAGTTGGCTGAAGTTTTGTAGCACTTTTGTAAGCATTCATGCTCTTTTCAAAATCATCGGAACGCTCGTATGCAATTCCTGAAAAGAGATATCTATTTTTTTTATTTAGTATAACGGTTAGATCAAAGAAACAACACAATTCTTACCCATTGTAATTTTCAGGATCTAATTCCAAAATATCGCTAATATATTCTTTAGCAATTTCATAATTTCCAGAGTCAAGCTCAGATCTTGCTCTTTTTAAAATGGCTTTAACTTGCGATGTTGTTGACATAGCTTGGATATAGATATACCTTCAAATCAATATTAACAAATCAATTCTTGGTGGGAGTAATTGGTGGTAGTGAAGATTGATGTATGCACTGATTTCAGAAATAATATTGGATAATCATTATGTAATTTATATATACTTAATAATTATCTAAGAATGGTTATCATACCATTCTGCAATCACACGTGAATGTTACAATTACAACACTTGTGCGAAACAGTACACTTGATAAGTTATCGCTCAAAGGCTAGGAAAAGTCATACGCTTTTCATACGTAACATCTAGAGACTAGGCTTTGTGGATGGCCCTATCGTGTTTAATATATCATAGAAACTATCTCCGGACATAATCACATAATCACATTCTCACACTCCAGTTAACTACTTTGTTACTGGTTATTTTAAATCTTTTTTTAATATATACTTTTAAAAGTTTAATCTGGTATGTAAATGTCATTAAGGCTTGATTTTTTATAATTCTACATGAATCTCATCATCCTTTTTTAGGAGCCAAACCAAGTATTTTGCTTTTCACTTTTAAGTTATTCCCCCTTTCACTTTTGGTCGTCCTAACTCATTTCTGAAGTCATTTTACCTAAAACTTAACTTTTTTATAAAATCATTGAACTTATTTTGATGTTCTTCTTAACTTCCTTTTTTCTTTTTACTTTTACTGTTTAATAATACTTTTTTTTGTAAATAGCATTATTTGATCACTTGATTTTATTTTGGACAATAAAATTCTGGAGCTTTTGACTTAGGATTCCTATTTATTTCTTATTTCCTTACCCTTCAATGTTAAGGCATCAGTTTCTAACATTTGTTTATTAAAAAGATATTTTTCCCAGTGCGACTTTTACGAGCTTAATATTGGAGTAATAAAAATCACTATATGATCTCTTGGGTAAGATTAATTGTTTACTTGTTGATAAAAAGCAAATCTTGAGACCAACTTTTTAACATAATGCATTTAGACTTCTTAGAGTTTTGTTTATTGGCGTTATGTCTATTCAGCGGGACTCATACAATAAAACTAAACTGAACCAGATAGTCCAGGTACGTTAACACAAGTTTAATATAATTCTAGTTTTTCTGACATTATTGAATTAGCAATTTTTTTCTAAAGCTGCACAAATCATTATACAATCTAGAATTTTAGTTACGCCTTTATATGTCAAGGGAACTGCAACACCTAAACTTAACAGATGGTTTAATCTGGAATTAGAAGAAACAGAAACGTTTCGTGAAGATCTTCGACTATGGAAATCAGCCGACCCCCAAGAAGCAGTAATTCCACCATTAGTCGTTGAGACTTATTTAGACTTAAGAGATCTTTCAGCTAATCAGACTCTTATTTTGATCGACTCTAAAGGTAAGTCTTGGACAGTAACTAAGGGGACTAAACGAACAGAGATTGTGCTTGAACGATGGATTATCGAAAACACAGAAAGCTTAAAGTCCGACCAAAATCAGGAATTACCAACGATTTATAAATATGTTATTATTCTTATGCGATCCCTTTACACTTACACGCGACTCATGCCCTCATGGAATCTCAAGAATAAGCTATCGTCAAAACCTGGAAATACGCTTCTTAGTGTTGGTTGCAGGATCTTGAATGGTTCTCATGTCATTTCCAGTAAGGGGAGAATAGGTTTAAACAGACGCATAAAAGACGCAGACTCTTTAGAAGTAAATAGTTTTTCTTTTGATGTAATTCCGACTCCTTTAGGGACTTTGAAAGTCTCAGTCAGCTATCGATCTGAATGTGATTTTTTCGTTAAAAATTCTAGCGTCCCAACGATACCACAAAATATATCTACCTCTCAATCTGATGTCAACACAGGGTTAAACATAAACACAACGTTTCATTTAGAGTCAGAAAACATCCTAAATATGGAACCTTCTACAGCATATACATCTAAGAACGATTCGAAACCAACAACAATAATTAACAAATCATCAGCTTCTTCTTTGACTCAAGGATCATTACCCTCCCCTTCAAGGTCAAGTATTGAAGGAAATAGTTATATGATGTCACGGCATAATGTTTACAAAAATCACAGTAAAAATTACTCCGCTGATTTTACAGACAATATCCAAAACTTTAGTGGATCGTACAACACCTCAGGTGATCAGTATTTAACTCGTGATCGTCGGTTATCATCTGTATCTTTACGAGATGGTCTTGTCAGCTCTGGTGGTACAGGATCAACCACGATACAACCAAGCATTTCGGGAACCAGCCCATCGGCAAATGTATCTTCTCCATCAGTAAGCTCCCCAATTGCTACTAAGCCATCAGTGTCATTTGTTCAACCTTTTAAGACTCCGTCATTATCAGCATCTCCATCTTCAAATGATATTCCATTTCAATCTTCCAGTACCCCCTCTTCACGTCCTCAATCATTTTCTCGAACAACATCAAATAGCTCCTTAGCTGCACTTGCAGCTTTACGAAATCCAAATAGAACTTCTTCCAATGCTTCTAATACCTCTGTGGGTTCTTATATTAAAAATGCTGCTAATATGCATCAAACTTATTTAAACGAAAATGCTATTTCATCTTCTGCAAGTAGCTCTAGGTCAGGTTCAGTATCCCGATATAGCAGCTCTTTTGGTTCAAGGGCAGGACAGTGGACTAGAACCGGGTCAATCTCAGGAAATCGTCCTAAACCTATGTTTTCAGGTGATCCTTCAAGTTTTGGATCATCTACGTCATCAGTAACTGAACCCGGATCTGGATTTTTAATGAACGATGATGACGATGATTTGGGGACATTTTTAAAGACAATTGATGCTATTTCATATGCACGAAACAATAACTCATCAGTTATCCTACCTGGTTCTGCTAGTAATAACTCATCTTTACTAATGTCGCAATCTCGTTTTGATGCTAATCTACCTGGTCCATCAGCAGCTACCGAAAATAGCAGTATTGGTGAAATCAACTTAACTGTAGGCGATCAATCCGACGATCCTTTGTCTCGATTCCGGCATTTGAGAGAAAGTCATACCGCCTTATCTGACTCTATGCATTCAAGTCAAATAAGTAAATCAGATGGTTCTCCTTTAGGTGGAAGCTCGGGACAAAATATTACACCCGGAAGTGCTGGTAGTGGAAGTGCAAGTCCCAGTCAAGCTGTTTTCACCTTTGCTATGTCACCGCCTTCAATCCAAAAAACAGGCTCATCTCATACGCCATCAATTCCTTCACGATTAAGTGAACAGTATACTCCGGATGATTCTTACAAGGTTCGCTACAATATTCACCCACGAAAGCACGGGTCTAGATCAGGAAGTTTAGCGATTGATGAAGAAATGTATATTCATGGTGACCATGGGAGTAGTATTTCGTCTAGCAAAGATGAACAGAATATATCATCTTCTGCTCGAACTGGTGCTTTGGATATTCCTCGTACACATGCTTCTCGTGTGCAAAGACGTGAATCATTAAGTTTTTCCAACAGGCATACATCTGGTTACAAGGATATGCAAGATGCTTTGGTCGTAAATAATTCGAACACACATCACCAATCCTTGAATACATTTGGACAGGCACTCCCTGATGTTGATCCTTCAAACTTTCGAACCAATATAACTGTTCCTTCTTCAGCATTTTCGTCGCATAGACGTTACTCCACTGATGTTCTAGGGTCGGAGGAGCATATTTCTTCCTTCAATCCCTCCCAATCTCATGGAAGTTCTGGTGACGCGTCTTTCGCTAATAGCGAAAGTAGAAAGCTATCACCATTTATCTCCAATAGTAACTCCAATAATCACTCTGGAAATGATGATTCCAATAGTAGTGCCAACGCCGGGAATATTCACCATCAACTTGAGAGCCTCCCGGGAAATTTCCGACAACAAGTATCGCTTACTGGGGGTGAAAGTCTCATTCACAATCATCATTTAGGGCAACATCACCATCATATAGTTCCTTCTTCTTCGTCAGTCAGATCACGCAGATTTTCTTATTATCTTCCTGACGATGGTGAAGATGATGACGATGAGGAGGAGGTTGATGATAGGGAACGAAAAACAAGTCCTGGTACACATGCTGCAGAATCATTACCCCCTATGGATGAAGACGTTTTCTTTTTTGCTTTAAATGACGATGAAGAGCCTGCTAAGGGCTCATCAAGTGTGGGTTTGGGTGGTAGTGGAACTGGAGGGGCTAATACTGGTAGTGGGACCGGGTCGCCTTCAGGAGGAGGTCGTTTCAATCATTCCTATGATTCTCTTGCGTGGGAATAAACAGAAACTAATACGATTGTTTCCTACAACGAAATTTTACTATTATGGATACAAACCTTGACTATAGATTAATGGCTCCTATTTACATTACAATAAGTTTCTCTAAAACTGTGAAAAAATCATATTTTTATTTTTGCATTCTAGGGAAATATATGGAGTAATATTACTTAATGGTTTTGAACTTCATAAATGAAAAATTCATACGTATGAATTTTTAAATAAAATGTATACATTTTATTTGGGTTCATTACAATCTCACATAATTTGTAAAGTATGGAAATTCAATTTTAAATAACTTTTAGATTAAATTTAACTAGATTAGAGTGAATAAACAGGTAAATAAATTGATAAATATTGTACATATAGTATCATATTTAATATATATCATCGTGGACTATTTGTAAAATATATATTCACGTAATAATTGTCCTTTAACAACTAAAAATTAATAATTTTTTATAAATATTTACTTTTTTTAACCCTAACCACATAAAAATATCGTTCTTTTTCTATCCCTTTTTACCAAATTTAACTGTTTTTCACTCCACATAAATCATCATTCCTTATAAAAATCACTGGCTTTTAGAAATATTTGACATCTTTGTTATCATTTTGTATAGTTTAAAGTATGCCTGTCCGTAAAGCAGCTACAACAGTTTCAAAAAAGAGTTCTGGCTCGGTTAATCACTTTCCTAGAACCTCTGGGCTTAAGTATTATGTGGGTGCTCATATCAGTACAGCTGGAGGTAATTTTAATTTAAGAGGATTTTTAAACAAAATAATGTACATCAATTAATATAAACATGTTTTTAGGCGTAGAGAATGCGATTCCAAATGCGTTAAAGCTGGGGTATGTTCATTTAAAAAATTGGGAAAACAAACCTGTACTGATCTGATCTTTAATCTAATTTTTAGATGTAACGCTTTTGCATTTTTTCCAAAAAATCAACGGCGCTGGTCGTCGGCTCCTTATAAAAAAGAAAATATTGATGGATTTCATTCAAACTGCTCACACGATCATTTTAATGCAAAGAAGGAATTATTACCACACGGTTCATACCTCATTAATTTAGGGAATCCAGATGCAGCAAAGCGAAAACAGTCTCAAGAATCATTTGAAGATGATTTAACGCGCTGTGAGCAGCTTGGAGTCGGTTTGTACAATCTTCATCCAGGCTCAGCTGTCGGTGGTGCAGATAAGAATGCTACTATTAAGCACATTGCTTCGGGAATCAATAAGGGTATTGCTGCGACAAAATTCATCAAGGTGGTTTTAGAAAATATGGCTGGTCACGGCCATATTATAGGATCCAACTTGCAAGATTTAGCAGATATTATAGAACTTGTGAAAGACAAGAGTCGTATTGGTGTCTGTATAGATACATGTCACACATTTGCTGCTGGATACGATATTCGAAATCAAAAAACATTTGATGAGTTTTGGACTAAGTTTGATGAGATTGTTGGGTACCAATATCTTGCAGGAATTCATTTGAATGACAGTAAGGCGCCATTGGGAAGCAAACGCGATTTACATCAGAATATTGGTCTTGGATTTTTAGGTTTGGAAACTTTCCGATTGATCATGAATAAGGAGGAACTACAGGGCATCCCCATGATTTTAGAGACACCTATACCTAATGAGGAAAAGGTCAATAAGGGTTTAGAGGCTGATATTCGTGGAGAAGAAGTCAAGCTGTTAGAATGGTTGATAGGAAAAGACGTGGATGATAAAGAGGTTATTGAAAAAAGCGAAGAGTTGCAAAACAAGGGAGAAAGAGAACGTAAAGAACACCAAGAAAAGTTTGACAAAAAGAAGGAAAAGGAAGAAGCCTCTTTAAGTAAAAAGAGAAAAAATACTGTGGATTTGGATTTCTTTGCACCTAAAAAAAGAGGGTCTACCAAAAAAGCTAAGAAAGAAGAATCTGAATAAAATATTGGTTTTGGTCTATAATTTGCAAACTAAGATATAGATTGGCTCTTAATTCATTCGTCCTTCTTAACTCCTAATAAGTTCATTATTATAAGATCTTTACAAAAGATAATCATTTACAGTATGTAAAATGAGATTGATACAAAATAATCATAAACTTTATTATTTTAAACTAAAACCAGACAAATTTGATTTAATAACAGTTAATTGTAATTCAGTAAATAAAGAGTATTTTTTAAAAAAAATTGCAGCCTCCCAGCACAAACATATTTCTTTTAACTAGAAATGAATATGCATATACAGCTTTAGGAAAACTTGCTTCTTTAAAGCTGAATTTTTGCTTACAGTCAACCAAGGCAAAAGTGTGTTTGATTATCAAACTGGTGTGTTTAATAAACACAAATCATAAATCATAAATCATAAATGATATTGAGGGTATTAAAGATATGAGCAAAAGTATATCCAAATATGAAAAAAAGACTTTTTTTTAATGCTTCTTGTTCCATGCATAGTTTTATGGTAAAAAATTTTATAAACGTTTCCCTTTTTTTACTTTTTTATCAGTCGGAACGAAATACGGTTGGGTATTTTTCTCGATTTTAAGATTTTTTCCTGTTTTTTTTTACTGTTTTTGGTGTAAAATGACTGTTAGTGTTCTTGTGTTGCGCCAAAAAAAAAAGTCCCGCATCTGAGCAATAAAAAATATCAAATAAATTCACCGATAAAAAATCTCAAAAAAGTAGTGATAATAATGATATTTATCAGTTTTAAATAGATATTCTGTCAAAAGATACCCGATCAAAGGATCTCCTACGGCTAAAAAAGTCAGAAAAGTCAGTTCTCATGAAATCAAGAGGTTACTTACAATGGCTCCAATCGATAGTATCGTTCTCGACCATCAAAGGCTTTTCCGCCTATCCACCACTTTTCCCCAGGAGAAGAAGAAGGATTGAAATGTGAAGGTTGGTTATAATAAATATCTGATCCCGGACTCGTGCCGAGACTGTTGTTATTTGGGTTATTGTAATATGCAGAAGAAGAGTCAAATGTGTTAGATGCAGTAGCAGCTGCTGCTGCTGCAACAGTAGAAGATGCAGAGGTACTAATAGAACCAATACTGTTTCTACGGTCGTTTAGATAGGATGTCATAGGATCATGCATCGGTCCTGGAGTTGATGTAGGAGAAATAGAATATGGGAAAGAAGAGCTATAACTGCTAGAGTAAGACCCAACAGATGATGGAGCCGCTTGAAAGGTTGATCCTTGTTCGGGCTGATAGTATGATTCTGTAGCTGGCAAAGGTCCTGAGGCATATGGTGATACTGAAGGGGACGGGGATGAGTTCACATAGGAGCCAGAAGAGGGTGGTGGCACAGAGTGGTGAGAAGACACAGATAAGGCGCTATGATGATGGTGACTTGCCGCAGTCGAAGGAGAGGTTGTGGAGGATGGAGTTGAAGATATAGATGATGACGATGATGATGATGATGATGATGATGATGATGATGATGATGATGATGATGATGACGACGACGACTTGGCCGATAGTGCCGGACCAGCGGCCGCTGTGGCCGCAGCCCTGCCACTATTGTCTAACAGGCTTCCAAAAAGAAAAGATAAGAAAGGCTTACTAGACGGCATAAAAAATGAGAAAGTGGGTACTTTAAGATAAAAAAAATGTTCTTAGAATTAATGTTCTAGAGAATCAGGTTGATAAAAATAAGTATAAATATATATCAAGAGAAAGCGAAATTGTGTGTGATAGTGATAGTTAGATATAATAGAAAGTGGAGAACTAAAGGTCAAAAAGAACTTGGACGATTTTTTGGAGGAGGAGACATAAAAAAAAAATTTGTGCGACAAACCACCCAAATGAAAAAGAGCCATGCCTAGTTCTACCTCCTCCGCATTAGAAACTTTTGATTCTGAGTCCGTGATTTGATTTTCTGTAGCTTCCATTTGCCCAGAAACTTATTTAGGTTCTATTGAACAGTTGAATAGTTGAACAGCCTGTCGCTTTGTCTATTCCTCAAATCCCATGCGCGTCCACATAACATTCTTCTTACAATCAATTAAAACTTAGATGGGGCATCAATAAACCCTCTTCCTGGTCTTGTCTGATAGCAAAACTCGGAAATGTTAGGAATTGTTATTTCGGGCACCCAACAAATCGACACAATAAAGAGCTTGTAAAAATTTTTGATTGAAAAGAATCATTGTTGTAACCTGGCGCGCTTGTCCATATTCTCGGGTATTAACATTAAAAGTACATAGCTGTTTATTAAAATTTTTAAAATTTTTATCGTTGCAAAGTCATGATTTTAAGCAAATGCTTAGAAAAGATTTTGAAGTCATTTTAAACGCTTAAAGATAAGCCTAAAAGTAACTACCTGGACAGAAACAATGTCAATATTAATATCAAAAAAAAAAAAAATAGTTAGCGAAATGAAGTACTTAAAAATTGGAATTTTTAAAGCCTTGATTGTTTTGTTTTTTGTGTCCAAAAAAGAAAGCAATAAAGGCTCATTTGCGTAATTCAATGTTTTATGACTTAAAACCTTTTGTTTATGTCTTAATTTAAATACTAATTAAATATATATTTACTAAGTATGCTTAGTAATATAATATTAGGTATTTGCGGCTTGTCATTGGTCGTACTTCAGCCACTGCCCGTTAGCACATTTATATATTGTCATATCGTTGTTACAGCTTGTATGGCACAACGAAAATCCTCAGCTCACCGCCCATCGCCAATCACCAACAAGCCCTTTTTTCTTCTTTTTTTTTTTAGTTCCTCTCATATTCCGCTGTTTTAGAACACCAGAATTCTTCATCTCTCCATCAATTCATCAATTCACCAAACTCATTCAAAATGGCCGCTAAAGTACGTACAATATGATGTATTTAATGTTTCTACATTAAATTTCAATGTTTATTGTCGATTCTCGACTTTTTTGAAATTTTTTTGTTTTTTCCTACTAACACATCTTTTCAATTCTTTAGCAATACAAGCTCGCTCCCGCTTACAAGCCCGTCCCCCACCTTCTCAACTTCACCATCTCCAACACTCTTAAGTGGTAAGTTTTGTATCAACATTATACTTCCTTACCTCGGTTGACTAACAAGATTTCATAGGAGTCCTATTTTGACCTTCTGGGGTGGCTCCGCGCTTGTTGGCGTTCTTTTCTTTGCCGACTCTATTCCTCGTCTCCAGCGCGACATTTTCCAGTACATCCCCCTCATTGGTTCTGCTTATGTTAAGAACGTTCCTGCTTCTGACTCTCCTTTCTAAATTACCCCTTAGACAATAAAAAATATCCTTTATCTTATGTGTGCTCGTTATGGTTTTTTTCAATCTCTTATAAATACAATTAATGTCTTCCAAATATGTTCGATCTTTTTAAAAATTCTCGCCAACTTGTGATTCCCATGTTTTTTAAAAACATTTACTTCATTTAATTTATTTCCCGGTAACTAAACACAATATCGTAGATTCCGTTTATAAAAATGCACCATAAATGGCAGATTTCTTTGAAGGAACAGTGTTAGTCTATTGTAGTACAACTTGACGTCATGCTTTATTTCATTTGACGACATCTTTTTTTTTTGGCTGTCTCTTTCCTATCTTCATATTCTTTTTTGTAATACCAGGAAATATATGTATGAAGCCCCGTTTTTCTCACCACCTTCGTTTTATTTAAGTGAGGATTTTCCAATTCCAGAAACCATTTTTAAACCCCTATATTTTCTCTCTCCAAGTTGGTGAAGGTACTCTTGACGTTCTTGTGTGCTTCATTCAATACAGCTGTCTTATTTGCGTAGCTTTGTCCATTTTAGAAAAATCAAGCGTTTCCTGAACATATTCAACCTCATATCAAGATATTTTTTGGCTGAAAACACAATTATGGCTTCTGTGATTGCTTAGGGAGAAACCCTAAGCCCTTTTTTTCTTACAAAAATAAAATTATAAGATCAAAGTAAACACAAGATTTTAATTTGATTTCAGTTTAAAAATATTGCACTGTAGATTTATACGTTGCAATGAACAATACATTTTCTTTTACGGAGCCAACATCTTTTCAAAATACAAGACGTCTACATGGTCAAACTTACACTTCAGGTGCTGGCCACTTCCAATTTCAACGTTCCACTTCCAAGACTAATAATGCCTCCGATTTTGAAACAAATGCACTTGAAGAGTCTTTGAGAAGACGATTGGACTCAGATCTTAACGATAATACATCACAAGCATCTCAATCTACAAAAAATGTAGACATACAAATGCTCAATCTTTTAAATCGAATCGAAACGGCGGGCCGCGAAGTTGATGAGCAAAATATTATGCTTAAACGCCTTTCTAACGACTTGAGTTTATTAGAAGCACAAAGGCCAGAATTAGATCTTGTTCTAGCCAAAGTTGATAATTTTTATCAAGATATTGAACGGCAGACTAAAAAACGATGATGGAAAATATAAAAATGCTAAGTTGATATATTGTTCTATACATGGTTAATGATCTTAGTACTTACTTGAAATGCAAATAAGCCAACTACATTTTAGAAATTTTCATATCTTCAAATCTTTTCAAGTTTTGCTTGCTTTGAAAACTCAGATCCATATTTGGATTTCCATGAGCCACCCAAAAACTCCTCTAAAACTGCATTTGTATCTTTCCCAGGGGTTAAAAGCTGTCCTCCAGGAATATCTTTCTTTTGTGTATCAAACTGGACAATTTGATTTGGAATTTCCGATGAATGTGCCAGGGGGGAAATAGGCATGACGCAGCTATCAGGATATTTTAGAGCTTGTTTTTTCCAATACTCTATTCCATGCTCTTTAAATTTTTTTGCAAAAATGTCTTTAAGAATGGGCCAGTTTGCTGGTGAATCACGACTAGGAAGTTTAGCAGCCTCATCCTTGCCAACAACCATTTCCAAAAACTGTTGGTAAAATTGTGGCTCTAATGCTCCAACTGTCACGTTTTCATTAGCATCTTTAGTAGCATAAACAGTATAATAGGGGCATGAATGACCTTCTAAAACATTTAAGCCACGAGGTTGATTCCAAGGAACAATACTGATAATTGGTTCATCACTTCCTTGAGGATTCTTTGGATCATATGGGCCAAATTTAGAGTATGTCGCAAATTGAGCAAGGTATTTAAGGGAATCGACAATATTAACGTCCACGAGTGTGTAAGGACTATTATTGGCTTTAGTGTTTTTATTCTTTAGCCCACTAAAGAGTGCTGTCACAATTGCTGCAAATCCAGGTAGAGAAAGAGCTGCAAAATCACCAAGGATATTGGCTGGTACCGCTTGAGGTTTATTTGGAGGTCCTACAATACCTAATACACCAGAAGCTGCAAGGTAATTTATATCATGACCGGCAAAGTTTGAAAGTTCACCAGTTTGTCCATACCCTGTTAGTCTGGCTACTACTAATGGCTCTTTTCCGTTTAATCGTTGTTGCGGTAAAATATTAAGTCGCTCTAGAACTCCAGGTCGATACGTGTCAATTAGAACATCTACCTTATCTGACTCTAGCATTGTTCGCAATGCCTCTTGGCCTTTTGGATTGCGAAGATCTAAAGCAACTGATTGCTTCCCTCGGGTCAATTGATCAGGGTTCACTGAAACAGATGTTCTGTCAATCCGGATAACTCGAGCACCGTAATCTGCTAACATTTGCCCACAAAGTGGCCCTGGGGCCAACCCTGCTAATTCTATGACTGTGACACCTCTAAGAAGAAACTGGGACATAGCAATTAAATAATTTGAATTAAATGGATATAGATATGAATTAACAAAAATAGTATGATAAAAAGAAAAAACTCTAGTTTTTATAGCTGGTAAAAAGGTGGAGTAGTTGGTTTGATCACTGCCCCACATTTCGGTGAATTTTCGGGGTTCACTATTTATTTTTCTTCTTCAATTAAATTATTTAAATGACTACAGATTTTAAATCTTTAGTCTTACGTACTACAACAATGCTTCTTGAAGATCAGGAAGGTGGAAACACAGAAGCCACAGTTTTGTCTTCTGGCGATTTATATGAGGTGAAAGATTATTCGACACCATGAATAGCATGAAGTTTTTACAGAGACCTTTGCATAGTCTTTCTTAGCATTAAGTAATTTGCTTTTGTAACATTATTGTAATAAATATAAAAATTTGAGATTTTTGCACACACTTTAACCTTGACCTTTGGTAGTAAAATTGATATATTAGCCAACTCTTTAATTAATTAACATAGATACACTTAATTGTTAAGCTTAATTGCAAATAACATTAGCATGGGCTTTACCTGTCTTTTATATTTCAATAGATTTTAGTTTTTCTGAGTCGTCTTACTAATGTCACTTGACCCTTTTGTCAACGAATTTGTATTTACTTTTACAATCAAAAGAACAACCTATAGATGGAAAATCACAGTGGCGAGGCTGGAATATTAATTGCGGGAGCTAAATAAATTACTTTCCTTGTGTTTCTCATTCTGTAAGTTGCGCTACGAGATAAACTTCTTCTATTCTCTCTCAATGCGTGACTGGACAGACAAACACGCTTGGACCTGCTCTGTTAGTCGTGTTGGTTTGTAAAGGTAATGCGCCCATTATTTTTTGTAGCTCTGGAGAGTCATTGCAATTTCATCTGGCGCATCATTATCCGAAAAAAAAAACTACTACACTAACTAACCAACGAACTATCCCATAAACATTACACCATCTACAACTTACTTTAAAAAAATTTTTTCTAAAAAAACTTGATTTTCCATTCCTTGAGGAACCTTATAGTAAAAAGAGAAGTATCCAATTGTCCACTCTGTGTGCCAATTGACTCAAAAATATTTTACCGCTTAAGTGCAGTAAATTTGTACTGAAAGACTTTAAATAGTTAAATTTCTTCAAAAGTACTTTTCAAGAATTTCAAAAAACTAAAAACCATATCTGGTAAGGCTTCATAAAGAGCAGTAAGTGATTCTTGATTGAGGTGAGCAGTAAAGTGTATTGAAGTAAAATTTCTATACTCGCATTGTTTTTTATTCTCATTAACACTAATTTTTTTACACTCTCAGCATTTCGCCACTCCACATCAATTTTGTTTTTATGTCTTTTTAAAATATCAGCAACACGTTTTAAGTTAAAAAAATACCTGAAGTATACACTCCAAATGTTTAATTTACAAGGTTAAACGAGGCCATTTCAAAGAGTGACTTTATTTAAACTAGAATCCTTAAAAACTATATCATGCCCCCTATTTATCGGCATTAAGAAAATTCAGTGCATACAAATATTTGCACGTTTTTTTATAACATGAAGTTTTTTAATATTTGAATTAAGCGTAAATTTACGCATTTATAAATGAAATGTTTGCTGAAATGTTCAACACATTGAAATCAAAGGGACATTCTGAGATATGTGACAACTCTGGTAATTAATGAGATACTTTTGAGCAACCAGACGATCTTTGTTCAAAGTCACTTTTTGAATTTTTAAATCAAAATTTTTTTAAAATAAAACAAGAAATTAAAAAATATTTTATGTATGATATTCTGTGATTTCTATCCGATTGTTCAGGTGTTGTTACGTAATACATAATAAATTTAATTATTACATCCTTCCTAAAACGGAATGAATTAAAGATGTACAAAATTTCAAGATTTCTAATTGGTGGAAATTCATGACTATGAATACATATTGGTAACTGTTTTAAACATATTTTTCTCTTTCAATTAAAAAACACAGTATTCCTATTGATAATTTGTTGTCAAAATAAGAATATATTTTTATTAAAATATATTGACATATACCTGTTGAATTTTTTAATATTCAGTATAAATATTTGAAAATCATTTTTAATAATTTCAAAATGAAATTTTAAGCTAAGCCAAGACTCAAAATCGTATCATTTTTCCAAAAAAAAAAAAAAAAATCAAGTTAACCGAGGAAAAGTAGGAATTTATAAATTGATCAGCATTAATTTAGCTAAAGATGGAATTAATAAAAACATTTGAGTCAATATTTTTAAAAATTCGTAAAATTGAATCGAATATTTTGATTAGATTAGGTTTTTTCTATATATATATTTAGTAAGTTTTAATGGAAAATATTCTCTACTAAAAGTTTGAATACCCTAGTACTATTGAAACTTCATATATCTTAATCATAAGCTAAAATATGATATATATACAAGTAACTCTATATTTCTTAATTGTTTATTGTCAGTTTACAAGTACATGCCATATGAATACACTTCATCATAAAGGTGTGTTCCAGGGCGATAGGATCATCCCAATTTTATCAACTCTTACTAAAAAAAGCTATAAATCTGACTATCAAAACCACAATACTAGATTTGAATAAGGTAAAAGAAAAAGCTTATATTCACCCCAAATGACAATTTAAAATTTGAGTAAAATATTTTTTTCTTTAATCTCATAATGAGAAATTAATAATAAGTTTCATTTTTTTTTATTTCTTACAAGAAATAATGATTGAACTTTTTTTTATTTAACAGAAAGTATTTTTTTTAGCTTACTGATAATAACATTCTGAAAAGATAAGTCCGTAGAAGTACTTAAACTGGCTAAAAAAAATAAAATAAAAAACCAGTTTTTAAAGTGAAGACTCTTAAAAAACAACCCCTTAAATATCAAATTGTAAAAGCTTTAGAAAGCTGAAATCTTTAGGGTAAAAGTAAAATTGATATTCTTTTTTGTTTTTGAGATTTCGGTTTTTTACGAATTCACTTATCATACATACGATATATCATTTCAAAAAGTTGAAAATAGGATCATCTCATCATTCAGAGGAAACATCTATCAAGCACTGCCAAATAGCATCCCCCCTCCCCCACCAAAGTTGTCTTTAGTATGGGAAGTCAAAATTTAAAGAACCCATTTTAAGTCTCTTTCAAAAAAATCCCCACATAAATATTCTAAATCATGGGTATGGTTTATTCTCATACAATAGTTTTTAAATTTAATAGTGTAACTATAGTTATTAAGTCAATACAAAAAAAAATGGTGTAACGTAGTTTATTTCTTAATTGTTATCCGAAATAATTTAGTTAATTAGCTGTCATAACAAAGACCCCCAAAACATTGTTGAGGCTAAATTTTAGTGGGGGATATTTCTTTTTACCTCGGAAGTAAAGTCTTCTCGGCATAGAGTCACTTTTTTAAGCTTGATTGGTTTAAAAAAAGTTGATCGGAAATTTTTCTACCCCACTTAAGGGTTTCGGTACTTCTCAATGATACCCCCTTCACTCTTGAAATGGAAAAATATCCGTGTTAAGTTTAGCATCTCGAAGACATTGGAATTGAAAGGTTGGTATTCTCCGATATTATTGATTTTTTTGGATATTGAAATTTGAAATTTGAAATTAAAAGTTTAAACCAATATCTAATTTTAACGAAGAACTTTCATTTTGTATATATACGCATATTCTTGTCAATGAAAGAAAGCATTCTTTAAAAGCTTTCGGAGACTTATAAGCCAAATCTTTAAAATTGGAATCTTGGTCAAATATTACGGAATAAAAACCAATGAGGCGGGGATCACATCCAAAACTTGCTTAAGCAACATTGTGGAGGAAAAAAAAAAAGAGAGATTGAACGTCTTGGTTTAAGATGACTAACCTGTTGAGAACATACGTATGTATATACACGAGCAAACGAACAATCAAAATAGTAATAAAAAAACTGGAGAAAGAAAACCACGCCATGATCATGAATGTAGTTTTTTTTATTGCACATATGTCCATATCTTTACATGAAGTAAAGTTTCAAGAGAATTTAGGCCTCGAGCTTTTTGACCAAATATCTATAAGAATCCATAAATTTTATCTAATTTTATCTAATTTTATCTTTGAAAACTAAAAATATGAAATTTGAATTGTTTATTTTAAAACACAAAATAAAATCATTTGATAGGTCTACTAAAGAATTGATAGTGCTCAGTATCTTTGATAGTTATCATTTATAAATGAATGTCACTTTCTGAGTCTAAGTCTAATAATAAATTTGTGCGGGGTACAAAAATTTGTCTTCGCACGGCTTTAGCAAATAAAGTTTTTTTTTTTCTATTTTTCGTTTATTTAAATTTCTTGTTCTTCTTTTTCAAATATATATATATATTTCTAGTCCTTTAAAGGACTAAAAATATTTTCTATAATTATTTTTAGATGTCTTTTTTTTTTAAAGAGATATCTCTTTTTTACGAAAGGCCTAAAAAAAAGAAATCAACAATTTTGATTTTCGGAAAAAATTATTGAGCCAAGTTAAAAGTAAGTCTATATAATTTTGTGATGAACGGTCATCATATCAAACACCTTGGCAGTAGATATTTTCAATGATAGACTCGAGAAAAAGTTATTCTAAAACATTAAATAACTATCAGGTAGTTATTGTATTCATAGAAAGGATAACTATCGTGGTTAATGTACTTCGTTAAAAGTATGAGGGGTAGAAGTCAGGCCCTAGTATTTTTCAAATATTGCAACCGAATAAAAGAATACCCGCGTATAACGCTGATTTCCCCACTAAACAGCGATGTAAAGTATACAATCAAAATATAATAGAGGGGAATAGATATATAGATAGATTGGTGAAAACTAGCTGTTGTTGTCACATTTGAAGAAAAGGAACCCCCCCGCGTGAAAAAATAAATATATTGTGGAGAAACAATTGTATTGAAGACAAAAAAAAAAAGTACTGATGAGGGGTGTTTTGAAGATTATTTAAAGAGTCCCTGTCATCCTTATTCTTGAAATTTATTATACACATAATTCAACCTACTTCTAAACTATCTTAATATCAACCATTTCAATTACAAATAACTCAACAAAAAAAAACATCAATGACTGCCAGCGAAAAAGATGTTCCTATTCATGAAGAGTCCATCCAAAAGGGACCGGACATTTATGAAGTTGAGGACATCAAGGATAATGTTGACTTTACTAAAATGGACAAAGCTGCAAGAATTATGCATGACAATGAAATAAACCTTGAAGAAATTGATCCTAAAGAAATTGATCGAATTACGCGCAAAGTCGACATGATGATCTTGCCTTTCATTTTTGTCTCTTATGTTTTTTTCTATGTTGACAAAACCACACTTTCTTATGCTGCAATTTTCGGTATTACCAAGGATCTGAAGCTTACTGGTGACAAGTACAGTTGGCTCTCTTCAGTATTCTATTTTGGCTTTTTAGTTTGGTCGGTGCCCTCAAATTATTTAATGCTTAAATTTCCAATTGCAAAATATCTTGGTATCAATATTTTTATGTGGGGAGTTTTGCTCATGATTCAAGCTGCCTGCCCCAACTTTGCAACTTTGGTTGTTTTAAGAATCCTTGGTGGCGCTGCTGAATGTTGTGCTGATCCTGCATTTATGCTAATAACTGGCATGTGGTATACGCGTCGCCAGCAGCCTGTCCGTATAGGTATTTGGTTTAGTGCTACTGGCGTTGGTGTGGCTTTTGGTGGTCTTTTAGGCTATGGTATTGGCAATATCAAGGGGTCGCTTCCTTCTTGGAAATATGAATTTCTTATTATTGGAGCTATTTGTGCTTCATGGGGCCTTATTATTTTCTTTTTCCTTCCCGACAGTCCTGTTACAACTAAATATTTGACTGAAGACGAGCGTGTTATTCTCTTGACAATTCTTAAATCTAACCAGACAGGTATTGAAAATAAGACTCTAAAATGGGACCAAGTTAAGGAATGTCTTATGGATATTAAAGTTTGGCTGCTTTTCTTTGGTGTTTTAGGTGCCAACGTACCAAATGGTGGCTATTCCAACTTCGGCACAATCATCATTAAAGGCCTTGGTTTTTCAACACTTGGAACCACTTTACTGTCAATTCCATATGGTGCCTCAATTGCTTTATCTATTCTTCTTTGTGTTTATTTGAATAATTTGGTAAGTAAAAATGGGAGAAATACTCGAGTCTTGCTTTTAGCCCTTTTTGTTTTACCAAACATTGCTGGTACTTTTGGTCTTTATTTCCTTCCTCAACACAGAAAAGGAGGTCGACTTGCATGTTATTACCTTACTGGTCCAGGTTATGCATCATTTGTTCTTGTTCTTTCATTATTTTCAAGTAATTTTGCTGGTCATACTAAAAGAACTGTTGCAAATACTATCATGTTTTTGGGATACTGCATTGGTAATCTTATTGGTCCGTTCTTCTATCTTGATTCTCAAAAGCCTAAGTACCCGCTTGGTATTGGTTCGATGCTAACTGGTACAATGGTCAGCGCAGGAACAGGAATAATTCTAGGATTTTATTTAAGATATTGCAATACCAAGCGAGACAAAGAACAGGGCGGAAGAACCGATGATCTTTCCAATGCCTTTAAGGATATGACAGATATCCAAAACAAGAATTTCAGATACGTATATTAGAAATTCTTTTTATTTTTTATTTTTTATGTATTGCAATTAAAAATAAACCTTTTGTTTTCAATTAACTAAAATTAATTAATCTTTGTAAGGAACCTTTATAACATTTCGTGCTTACCTGGAGTATACTGCAACTAAAATCCTATTTTTGTAGGCTTTAATAACATCTCGACCTCGGTTATTCCGAAGGCCTTTTTTATCTGCGACCGGAAAAATTTTTTAAAGGCTTCTTGCTTTTTTTAAATACCATTTTTTAATAGTTAACATTTGCGCTCGGAATCTTTATTACTGATACACTTAAGGGAATTGTTTTTTGAGGCCCTTAGATGTAAAAAAAATATGATTTTTAATTGAGTAAAAATAAAAACTTATTTGTTTATGTAACCACAATATAAGTGAGCCAAGATTAATGTATTTCATATTTTAATGAAAAAGAAAAATAAAATAAAATAAAATAAAAAAGAAAAGAAAAAAAGAAAAGACTGTCATTGTCTGAAAGACTTTACAATAGAAGTCATCTTCAAAAACTGGAAGGCTATTTCATTTTCTGAATTCAAATAGCCTTTTCAAAAGTAGATCAAGAAATTAATAAAAATGATGAGGGGTCAAGCTAACTAATTTTATAGTCCTGAGATATCAGTATATGCCCACAATAATTTACTTTTTGTAGAACAGCCAAAAAAAAACAAGATAAACATAGAGAATAATAATTTTTTTGTAAATACATAAAAATTTTACTTATTTTTAAATTATATATAATTCATTATTATTTTTCTGAATGATATTTAATTCTTCATTATTTTTAACCTTTTTCAAAAAGATTATTTCAATATATTTAGCGAGTATTTTGTGCGGGGATTTTTTATATTGTTGATATATTTAAAGTCTATTTAAACTAGGATTTAAACTGCTACTCTGAAATTTTATATCGTACGGCTGTCAAAACCGACAATGCCATATACGACCCTTTCATAAGAAAAATTATGAAAAGTGATGAGTATTTGATTTAAAAGTCATATTTCATTTATATATAAGTCATATTTCATTTAAAAGTCATATTTCATTTATATATAAGTCATATTTCATTTAAGTTAATTTTTTAATTAAATTATTTTTAATCTGTTAAATAAATTGGGAATGTGAATCGAAAATCCGAGTCCATATAAAATGTTCAACAAAGAATCCAACAAAAAAATCATTTCTTTTTATTTGGAACTTTTAAAAATATTGAGGTGGCCTTTAGGCCTTATTTCGTAATTAGTTAAATTATAATTGAAAAATAAATCCCTTCACAGTTTTTCTTTTCAATATGTTAGATGAGCTTTACAAATATACACATACATAAGCTTAAATGCTTATAAGTTTTTAGTCTAAACATAATTATAATTATGATTATGTAGTGCATAAATTTTGGTTAGGTGTACGCTTATAAAATCATCCACCCACCTCCTCCTCCGCTTCTTTCCCCTCCCATTTTTTTCTTGGTTTTTCCCCCCACCTCATTATTCCCCTCTCAAAATAATACACATTCCCAGTCCTTAAGATCAATCAACTAAAGGTTCTTGGCTATCATTCTCTTTTAGTTTTCATTAATTTTTTTTATGAGATAAAATGGTTCTGTTTTTTTATAAATACCCCAGGGATTCCATCATTATCCTGTTCTTTTTTTTATTTCTCCTCTTCATTAGTTTTTTATCAATACTTAAATAATAATAATAATCATAATAATAACTCTTTATTTCAACAAAAAAAAAACACTTTTTACAAAAGATTTTGGATTTTTAGTCTCACATACTATTCAACAATGGGTCTTGAAGATCAGAAAGGTGCAATCACAGAAGTCACAGATGTGTCTTCAGACAAAAAATATCCTGATGTATACGAGGTGGAGGATGTTCAGGAAACACTTGATTTTTCTAAAATGGACAAAGCTGCGCAAATAATGCATGGCTCAAATATCAACTTAGATGAAGTGGATCCTAAAGTCATTGCCAAACTTACTCGCAAAGTTGACATGATGATCCTACCATTTATCTTTGTTTCATACATCTTTTTTTATGTCGACAAAACAACGCTTTCTTATGCAGCAATTTTTGGAATTGTAAAAGATTTGAATCTTACTGGAAGCAAATATAGTTGGCTTTCCTCTCTTTTCTATTTTGGTTTCTTGTTTTGGTCATTCCCAACCAACTATCTCATGCTTAAGTTCCCTATTGGAAAGTACCTTGGTATTAATATCTTTCTATGGGGTGTTTTGCTTATGATTCAGGCTGCATGCAATTCCTTCAAGACTTTGGCTGTTCTTCGAGTTTTGGGTGGTGCGGCGGAAGCTTGTGCAGACCCAGCTTTTATGCTTATTACAGGCATGTGGTACACACGTCGCCAACAACCTCTCCGCATTGGTATCTGGTTTAGTGCTACTGGCGTTGGTGTGGCTTTTGGTGGTCTTTTAGGTTATGCCATTGGCAATATCAAGGGTTCGCTTCCTTCTTGGAAATATGAATTTTTGGTTATTGGTGCTTTATGTGCTACTTGGGGCCTTGTTGTTTTCTTTTTCCTTCCTGACAGTCCTGTTACCTCTAAATATTTGACTGAAGATGAACGAGTTCTTCTCTTGACAATTCTTAAATCTAACCAGACAGGTATTGAAAATAAGACTCTAAAATGGGACCAAGTTAAGGAATGTCTTATGGATATTAAAGTTTGGCTGCTTTTCTTTGGTGTTTTAGGTGCCAACGTACCAAATGGTGGCTATTCCAACTTCGGCACAATCATCATTAAAGGCCTTGGTTTTTCAACACTTGGAACCACTTTACTGTCAATTCCCTATGGTGCTTCAATTGCATTTTCAATCCTCATTTGTGTTTATCTCAATCATGCCCTTAGTAGAAACGGCGAAAACCGACGCGTTGTTCTTTTGGCAATCTTTATTCTTCCAAACGTTGCAGGAACATTTGGTCTCTACTTTCTTCCGCAAACCAATAAGGCTGGTCGCCTAATTTGTTATTACCTGACGGGTCCTGGTTATGCTTCTTTTGTATTGGTTTTATCTCTGTTTTCCGGTAACGTAGCAGGCCATACTAAGCGTACCGTTGCCAATACAATTATGTTTCTGGGATACTGCATTGGTAACCTTATTGGTCCATTCTTTTACCTCGATTCCCAAAAACCTAAATATCCACTTGGAATCGGTTCTATGCTTACCGGTGTCTTACTATCCGGATGTACTGCAATAATTTTGGGCTTTTACCTTAAATGGTGTAATAAGCGCCGTGACGAAGAACAAGGTGGTCGTTCTACTGATCTGTCGAACTCTTTCAAAGATATGACGGACAAACAAAACAAAAACTTCAGATATATTTATTAATCAATATGTAAACCTTTTAAATAGTTAAAAAAAATTTTTTCTAAAAATCCTTTATGATTTTGCAAATTTGTAAATTTTCATCAATGAGGAACAAGTTGAAATGTTATTCAATTTTATGTGTAATGGTATCAAGAACTCAACAAAATCAAACAAAGTGTCATGCTAATAAAAATTAAAATAATATTTATTGTAAGAACTAAGCTTAAATTCATCATTTTTGGAATCAACTTTAAGAGAAAGGGGTTTAAGACTATTTTGGAATGCTACATGCAAAGGCCGATTGAAACAGTTGTGGTTTCCTACAGAGACTGTTGGCGCAGATCTAGATTTGAACTTGTTGAACAGATCGTCTTGATAGCTGAGTGGAGGGCTCTTGTCGGTGACAATTTTGTTTAACACAAGCCAAGCGAACCCTCTTTTCACTTATACAACTACAAGCAAATGAGAAAAAAAAATATTTATCCCAGCTAGAAACAAGAAAGATGAGGTCAACAAAAATAATGGCTTTTCCTTCTGTTTCTCAGTATTACAAGTAAAATAAAGTTATAAATAGGAACGAGAAAGTAGGAAGAGATCTCATATATCGAAATAGAGCATGACGTCAAATTGCACTACAATAGATTCACAAAGATATTCCTTCTCTTAATTCCAATAGACTGCAAGAAGGAGGTGAAAAGTAATGAAAGAAAGAATATTATAGACCTTGATCCAGGAAGTAAACACCTATTGACATGTTACCAGATAAAGAAATATTCCATGTATCGATTCACATAGAAAAAATCATGATTCTTATGATCGTGAAGTTGAAAAAAAAAATTCAGAGATATACTTTGCTAGAAGAACAAAAAAATGCCCTAAGCACTATGAAAAAATAACCAACATAGTGACAAAAGATCATTACCAAATCATTAAACATCTTACTACTTATTACCAACTACAAAAAAACATGGTATTGCCTCCATTCAAAGGCAGAAATTGGTTAGTATTAGTAGAAACAGAGGAATGAACAAAAATTCGATGGCGAGTCCGCACTACTTGTTTTACCGGCACATTTTTTTTAAATATCAATTGACTGAGACAAGACCCTCTAGGATGAATGAAGAGTACGCCAGTAAGATATGCACCAGTTGTGATACAGTGAACGCCAACCTATCTTTGTATGAGCATTTCTAACATTGTGGCTTCTAGGGAATCTCTGTTAACAGAGACATCAAGCCAAAAACATTCTAACAAATGTCTGGTTTCCTCCACCTAATCATTAAACACAAGAGCATGTCATTATAAATCAAGATTATCTGATTATCGAATTATTGAAAAATTCTTGTTCAAGTTATTTATTTCACTTTTAATTTCTATAAATTTAAAAATAATAAGCATTTTTACTTTTTTTTTCTAAACATTATATTCATTGTTTTAACTATAGTTAAAAACATATGCCTAAAAGCATTGTTTTCTTAACCCTATTTAATATAAATTATCTTAAGCCACATAACAGGTTACATTGTTAGGGTCTTTTTTTTACCGCTATGCCGCCTATCACGATTCCCAAATTCAAGGCTTTAAAAAATCTATTCCAAAATAACGTGGGGGTTAAGTCTAGCTTTACCTTCCCTCCCCTCTTGATTATTTAAAAATGACCGATGATCAAAAGATTTTAAAATCAAAGCCGAAAGTTTTAATTTTTGGTGAAGTCAATACCCACACCGATGATTTTAAAAGATTTGCCAAAAGATTTGAGTACGAGGTAAGCTATGAGTTTTGTTATTTAAAAGAAAGATTCTAATATCTCACTATCATTAGTTCTACAATCTTACTACAAAAGAAAAATTCATTGAAGACATTCAAACTATTCATAATGATGTAGAGGCGTTTTGGTGCATGTATTTTGGATTTATTGTGAGTTATACTATTCAAAGGAAATATTAATTACTGTTTATCTAACATCTAATAAGCCTATTGGAGGGTTAACTAAAGACCTGGTTGAGTATTTACCATCAGGTCTTAAAATTATTGTCACCAGTGCTGTCGGCTATGATCCTTTTGATGTGGTGGCACTAGGAGCTCGCGGAATTTCTGTTTGTAACTCACCGGGTCTTGCAGCCAATCCTGTTGCAGACCATGTTCTTTACGTCACTTTAGGACTTTATCACTACTCACCGGTATTTGAAAACTTACTTCGTCAAACTAAAAATACAGGTGATTGCAGGGCAATTTTACAGTCTGGACTTCCATGGAATAATGAAATTGGAAGACCAGTTCTTTGTAGGGTGCCTTCTGATTCCATTACTGATGACCAGGCTAATATCCCTGTTAAGCCAGTTTATGGATTTGGAGACAAAGTCGGTAACCGGTTTGTGCGCCAACCCCGTGGTCATGTAGCTGGTATTGCAGGACTTGGTGCCATTGGAAAAGAAATAGGCGCACGTTTAAACTCGATTGGTATGAATGTCTGCTATCACAACCGTACAAGATTGAATCCAGACGAAGAAGCAAGACTTGGTTATGCTGCCACATACTATAAATCCTTTGAAGATATGCTGCCGAATATCGATTTGCTCATTTTGTCGCTGCCTATTAATGACTCGACTAAACACATTGTTAATGAGAATACTTTAGCCCTTCTTCCTCAAGGGTCTAAAATTGTGAATATTGGTCGCGGTGGACTTATTGATACTAGGGCTTTGATCCAAAGTCTCAAAACTGGGGAAATTCATGGTGCGGCATTAGATGTTTTTGAGAAAGAGCCTATTGTAGAAGAAGAGCTATGTGACCGCTGGGATGTTATACTTACGCCGCATACTGGCTCTTCGACTCAAGAAAACGTTCTAGGCGCAGAAAAAATTTGCATTGATAATCTTTTAAATTTTTTTTACAAAGAAGATAAACTCATAACAATTGTAAACAAGGCATATTTATCTTTAAAATAATATTTTTATGACATTAAATTAAAATATATATATATATTTAAAAAAAACAATGTCAAGATGATGACACATTTCTATAATGATGCAATTGAATTAATGATTATTGATGTGCAAAGTTTTTTCTAGTTAGAAGAATGAATAATGGTAGCCTCGCTATTATGACGTTGGGGAGGTGGAGGTGGGGGGCCTCTATTAGGATGAGAAGCAACTAGTTTGGTATGAGTGTTATTATGTTGCATGTACATTCTGGATGCAGGAGGGCAAGGAGCATAAGAATGGTGACGAGGTGGTGGTGGCAGAGGTCGCGCTCTTTGATGATGATGAGAAGAATGCGGGTGAAACGAGGGCATTGAAACTTTCTTCTGTAAATGATGAGGATGATGATGATTAGGAGGCTGCGGTGGTTGTTTCATGCCAGCATGATGAGAAAATGATTCTTGATCAGATTTGTTTGTTTCATCGTCATAAGAGTCATAATGATTTAAAGATTCCATGCTTGTGTGACTATTTTGTTTCATAAGATCATCTCTTGTATTTCTCTCCTCATATAGAATAGACGGTAAAGGGGGTGTATCCTTATTATTGTCTCGTGCATAAGCAAGCTCAATGGCACTTGTATTTCTAATAGACATTCCTAAGGTATTTGTACTATTTGGTTTGCGCAAAGTTCTAGGTGGAGGAGGTCGTGGAGGCATTACAGAGGTTTGAGACTGTGAATTAAAAGATTTCAAAGCCTCAATCGATTTGGAATGATTTATCTTATGCTCAAAGGGTAAAGGTGGTACGGGTGGTGGTGGAGGCGCACAGCGCTTAAATCCAAGAGTACCTAGCATTCTCAAAGCGTCAGATGATTTAGCATGCTTAAGACGATTAGCTGGTTGAGGAGGAGGCGGTGGAGGTGGAGTATGAAATTCAATAGAAGAGGCATGTAAATTTGGCTGCTCCTCAGACAATGAAGTTAAAGAGTCACTCAAAGAGGGCGGCGGAGGTGGCGGCGGCCTAGATCGATGCAATGATAAGGAATAGTGCTTTGGCGCAAGAGGATTTGAACGTGAAGGCGGTGGTGGTGGCGGAAGCACACCTCTTACAATATTTTTATTATTCTCCAAAGTGATTTGCGGTGGGGGTGTAATAGTATAAGGGATAATTAGGGAAGAATCTTCAGTAGATTCGCAACTAAGTGAACTGATACCAGAAGATAAAGTGGATACAGGAGAAGTCGGAGTCATCCCTTCATCAATATCTTGATTTCGATCATAAGAACGGTTACTATAACTGCTTCTGGAACTTTCACTGCTTTCTCCTGTTTGCTGAGGATTTTGTATAAATTGTTCAAACTTTTCATCATTCTCTTCATGTTTTTCCAGATATGCGGGTGCGGAATGTGTAATATGAAGGGGTGTAATAGAAGGCTTTCTTTCTTTGTTGGAAGTCTCTTTATAAGGTAAAGGCTCTTGTGATTCTTGAGTTGTCACATCAGTTTGTGTTTCTTTAACAGTACTATCTGCAAGTTCAGTATGGGGAGAAACAGGCTCAGAAATTGTAGCAACAGATGGGGTAGAATCGCTTTCATAGTCGCTATAGCTTCGTGATTTGCTTAACGTGCTGATAGTTTCGTCGAATGTTCTGCATTTTCTTGGGAGGGTTGGAGAAGGAGCACCTATCCAATCAACAAAAAGACATCTGTAAGCAAGACGCTGTGTTGTTTCACTAATGTCTATACAATATCTAGATGCATTTTCGCTCATCCCTTCAAGAAGTGAAACAAGCTCTTTAGCCTTATACCTTTCGCGTCGAAGCTCTGTATGAAGTAGAAGAGGGTGTAAAACTCTCAAATATGTGTGTATTAGGTTTTCTTCATCGGAAGATAAATTATAAAGTTCACGAATGAAAACGTCGACAATAACCTTCAAGTCGTTGAGATAAAGGTATTCATAAGTGGCAGGCGTTGTAAAAATAAGGTATAAAAATTTTAAAACCATAAGTTGAAGGGTATTGTCTGGACTCCGGTTTAGCAGAAATACAATATTCTCACCAAAAGTACGATACTGGTCTTTGTGTAAGCACAAAGTGTTAAAGACTTTATTTTCTAGAGTGACCGCAGAATAATCTGGGTTGGGATGCTGGTGACTATGATGTTCGAGATCTTGTAGGGACACTTCAGATTTAATTTTGCGAAACTGATTATCGACAGAGTTATCAATTTCAGAGCTCGGTTCAGTATGCTCTTCATCCGTGTTAGCTAAATTTTCAATGTGAGCTTCAGATGAAGAATGTGGCTTGTTGTAGTAATATTGACTATTGTTTTGAGTTGCTTTACTATATGCAGCAACCATAAACTGTTCATTCAAAGCAAGAAGAACTTTGATAACAGCAAATCCATAAGGGTCGTAATCATAGTCATCCTTGTTTTCGATTGCTGTAAAAAGATAGTTCAAAAATTCCGATTTGACAAGGGAAAGGTCTGAATATGTAAGTTTTTGAATGCGGCACATTTCGTAAAAAAGTTCAAGAAAGATTCTATGAAGACGAGGAGATTTCATTTGCGATTTCCAAATTGTATTTATAAGTGTTCCTGTTGCAGACTCCTCTTGCATCATTTCTAAAGTTGCTGGATTACGTCTACCGTCTATTAAAAGAATTGCGCCAATAAAGATACGGTTTGAAAGATCGAGATTCGATTCCAATAGCAAAGAAATCAATTTTCGTCGAACATAGGCTTTATTATTGTTGAAAATAGAGGAGTGAATAAGGTGGTAACCACACCTAGTCAAGTCTTCATCTTGGTCAAGATATTTATCAAAGTAAAGGGCGGCTAAATTTATGTAGCGAGACAAAGCGTGTTCAACTTTCGAAATAGATTGGTAATGACCTGATGCAATCTCTTGGAGCTCATTCCAGAATTCGTCGCAAGAGCTCTCTAAATCACTAGAATTTATCTCCATTATAAATCTGAATGATTTCAAGAGTCAAATAAGCCAGGGTGTTCTTAGTAATATAGTGGCTTGTATTACTGTGAAAGGAGGTGTGAATATTAGCTGGTCTATGTATAATCCTAAGCAGAATAAACAATGCAAATTAAATATATATGGTCAAGAACAAAAAAAGAAGAATTTATTAACAATGATAAATAAGTGGTTAAGGATACATGCATAGTATCCAATATAAGTATAAATAGTGTGAAACGAAGAGAAATGTTTATTTATAAAGATTTTTGTCGGGGCGGCCTGGTTGGTTCCTTCGAGTTGATAACTTGGCTGATTTCTTTTTTTAGCATATCCAGGGTGTTACGTACTTGGAAATACCAACGATAAGTATTTTGTCAGTGCAATAACATACAATTACGGCCGTCAGTTATCAAAATTAAATACTTATATACAATATCAGTGACAGATGATGGTATTTGAAGAAAATCGCAATCAAGCAATTCAAAAAAATGTGTGGTGGTAGAATGAAATATATAAAATATATATATAGTGGGTTGATTTTCTTTACAGCTTTAGGTATAAATATTTCTTGGAGGAAAGCCACTTTGTTTGTTACTAAAGCAAGGTGAGAGAATCATGTGGTTGTATTGCTTTTTTTTTTTTTTTTGCTTGATCAAAAACCCTTTTCTTACCATCCCAAGACGCGTAATTATTACCTTATCCATTAATGATAAGTACGAAGACCAGTACAGCGTTCCTTATTTTACTCATTACGTGACAAACAATACTCATGACTAAGATTTCAAGAAATGTATGACCTTTCCCCACCCGATTACTTCCCTCAATATCTCAGGTAAGCCGTTTGATCTATAGTTTTGAGTCTTAGACTATTCTTTGGGCCATGTTTTGTTCAAAGTATTTTGCTGATGATATGAAATAAGAACCTTATTCGTGTATCAATTTTTTAATTGTTCACCAAATTTATCAAAAAAAAACAAAGAAGAATAAGAATAAGAAAAACCTTACATCTTGAGAGTTTTTATCTAGAAATAAATGGATTCTTCGCCGCTAGAACAGGCTTATACTTTCAGCTTAAAAGCTGACACAGAAGTCCAAAATCGTCAATATCAAAAGGCCTCAGAGTTTTATACTCAAGCAGTAGAAAAATATAATGAAGCACTGAAACTGACAGTTAGTCCTGAGGTATGTTTTGTTATAATTAATCTTGAGATCTGTTGTTTTGACTATTGTTATTTATAGGCTTTGAGAACCATTAATCTTTTAAAGGCTCAAGCTGAAGAAAATGCTAGATTCTTAGGAGATGAAAAAAATACATCTTCTTTACCACAAATACATCTTCAATCTCAGGCTACTCCAACAATCTTGCCTTTACCTCATACTGGATCATCTCCATACTTATCTACATTATCCACATTAAGCAATTCACCGTCTTCTTCGCCACTACTTTCATTTTTGCCACAGCAAAATTCACCACTTTCTTCGCCACAATCTTCTTATTCAATATATAATAATAACAATTCATCACCTGTAAGTTCGGAACATCTGACATCATCTTTAGCGTCTGCTCGAGGAAGAAAATCATCTAGCAATGTTGGTAATCCTCCAGGTTCCAATACTATAAAGGGAACAGCCAGTCTCCCCCCGTCTCATAATCACCATCATAATTACCATACATCATTAAATTCTAATCGAAAAATTAGTACGATATCAGAAGAAGAGTCAAGTCCTACTGATGGTTCCGAAGTATCATTGGAAAATAATACCAGTAATCACAACAGCGCTGTGTCGCATGAAGGAGACCCTTTCTTTAAATTTTATTCGACAATGACAACAGTTGTCAAAAAAACATATACCCAAACAAGAGATATATCTAAAGTAAAAAACAAATTTGCAAAACAACACAGTCAGTCAACATCTCCAAACCTACGTTCACATTCACCTTCTCAAGTTTTAAAGAATTTGAATAGTCCAAGTATTGCTACCAAAGGAAGTTACAATGGGTCTATTCTTTCAAATTCGTCATCATCTTCTTCTTCTTCGACATCTAGTTTAAGTGCTTCTATCAATCCTAATGATAGCTATTATGTTGTTTCTAAAGCTAAATTAAATAGCAAAACAACCAGCACCAATTCAAGCACTGAAAATAAGAATACTGGGGCTACAGGAAATCATCATAGTAGCTACGACAATATCACCCAAGAAGACCTAGTTAATGAAAATATGGATCTTCATGAGCAACTGGTAGAAACAAAAATGGCTTTAGATGCTTACTATGAGACATTTGAACGCCAAAAAGAAATATTAAAATCTAGTCTTGGGCAGCTTAGGGCAGATATTCAATCTCAAGATCGAAAAAGAAACAGAGAAATAAAACTACAAATTGAAAATCTTGAAAATGAAAATGGGAATTTAAGATCTCAGCTTGCCAATTTAAAAAGTAAAATGGATGGCATGAGAAAAATTTAGATGAATCAATGGATAAATCATGTTAATATTTGTTTGAGAGATCTTTTCATGGTTTGGATTCTCAACCCTTATATAAATCAATAATTATTGATATACTGAATCAATTTATTGTAAAATTAACCATATATTGTCTCATTCGCACACCTATTTTCTGTCATAGTTTTTGCTATTTTGCTATTTTGCTACAAAATACATATAATGTAATATTACAAAAAAAAAATTTCAAATATGTGACATGTTTCTATCAAGCATAAAAAACATAATAAATATTATCCACACCTCTCAGATATCTGCGTACCACTGAACTCCGAGTTTACAATCTCATAGATGACGTAGTTTAAACTAACGTGAAAAAAGGCAACAAAATAATCGGGATACCGTAATCTACTAAAATAAATTAAAAAGAAATAGAAAATTATTCCTCCTTCTAACTCTGCATTGAGAAAAAGTGCAGATTTCCGGAATAGAGAGAAATAAGTTGGGAAGAGACCCGAAAATTACATCCGTTTTTGTAAATTTTGAAAATGGAATTGCCAAATCGATCTTGAAAAAACAGCAAAAATTGTTGATATCACGGTTTTTTTTTTTTTGTGTATCAAAATTAAAAATATTTTGATAAAAACAAATAAACCGTAATAACGCTCATAAATTTTAAAAAAAGGACAATTTTTTTCATTTGAACAAACTTGTAAAAGTCTTTTATGAAATATATATTTACAGCTTCTAAGATAATCCTTAAAACTAACGAATGATTTAGTCTTAGTGGGACTCACAATTATGTATACCTTTCAAGCTTATTACGCATTGCCATTACAATTAATCATCATTATTCATAACGATTTAGATAATTTTAAAATAGTTAGGAGATAAGGATCCCTTGAGCTCTAAAAATTATTCATTACTAATTTAGTTTCATTAAACGAGGGATTTTTGTTCACGAGATATTAAGAGATCCGACAGTGACCCGGCAGTTTCCCGTTAAATCTTTTCCTTTCTTTTTTTCCCTTAGGCGATGGACATTTTAATTCAAATTTATCCTTTTTGGGAAGACTTTATTTTCTTAAAATGGAAATACATTTTTGAAATCATTTGATGAAAACCAAAATAGTTATCGTTTTTTGAAGCATTAATTTTCGGATCTCAAATAAAAAAAAAGAAACTTGAATTCAATTATCTTCTATATTTCTAATATTTAGTAAAAAAAAGAATTTATTTATCATATTTTTTTCTATAAATACTGGTTTCTTTAGCTTTATTTTATTATGTTATTTGATTTGTTTGACAAAATTATCAACAATGTCTTCCAGTATTAGCAATCAAGAGGATTTGTCTCCTCTTAGCTATTTTGGAATGCCAAATTTGGAGTCCGATGAACTTTCTGAAACAGAAAAGAATGAACAGATTCTTAGACTTGCACGTCAAATCACTCATCAATCAGAAATTTCGAAACAGTTAACAAATAATTCTAATGCAATTAAGCCCATTTCTACTGATTTTAACCCTTTTATTAGCAAAGAAAATCCGATTTTGGATCCTCATTCGGAGAAATTTGATCCTTATTCTTGGGCTCAACACATGCTTAAAATATATCATACTGACCCTGAAAAATATCCAAAACTTAATGCTGGAGTTTCATTTAAAAACCTCGGGGCATTTGGCTACACTCAAGATGACACTTATCAATCAACGGTTTACAATGTTTTCATTCAAACTGGAAATTCATTACTCAATTTTGTTCGTGGAAGAAAAGGCGATGAAGTTAAAATATTGCAAAATTTCAATGGTCTTATCAAATCGGGTGAAACATGTGTTGTACTTGGTCGCCCTGGAGCGTAAGTTGTTTTCAAAAAAAAAAAAAAAAAAAAAAAATTAACAAAAAGATTATATTAGGGGATGTTCAACTTTGTTGAAAGCAGTATCTTGTACCACTTATGGTTTTAAAATCACTGAAAATTCTCTTATTAATTATCAAGGTATGCAAAGGTTTTACAATTGCATTATCAACCACTCTAACAGCATTTCAAGGAGTTGCACCTAAAGAAATTGAAAAAAACTATCGCGGAGAGGTTGTTTATAACGCCGAAAATGAAACCAACTTCCCATATCTAACTGTTGGTCAAACGTTAAAATTTGCAGCCTTAGCACGTACACCAGAAAGTCGCTTGCCTGGTGTCACTAGAGATCAATACGCTACCCACATTCGTGATGTTGCCATGACAATGTTTGGTTTGCTTCATACAATGAATACTCGTGTAGGTGATGATTTTGTTCGAGGTGTTTCTGGAGGTGAAAGAAAACGAGTTTCTATTTCCGAGGTTGTAATTGCTGGAACAGCCGTACAAGCCTGGGATAATGCTACTAGGGGTCTTGATTCTGCAACTGCTTTAGGATTTGTTAAGTCACTTAAAATTGGTGCAGAATTAGGTGGTGCAGCAGTTTTGGTTTCTTTGTACCAAGCCTCTCAAGATTCATATGATCTTTTTGATAAAGTCACAGTTTTATATCTTGGCCGTCAAATTTACTTTGGGCCTGCCTCTAAAGCCCGAAGTTTTTTTGAGAATATGGGTTATGTGTGCATTAGTCGACAAACAACAAGTGACTTCTTGACATCTATTACTTCGCCTTCTGAACGTGTCGTTAAACCCGGATATGAGAATTTGGTTCCTCGCAGCCCTAAAGAGTTTGAAGAGTATTGGCTCAAAAGTGCTGAATATCAAGCTCTTATAAAAGAAATTGATGAGTGGAACGCAGAGCATCCAATTGGAGGCGGTGGGACAAATAAATTTGTGGCCTATAAAAAGACTCAAAAATCCAAGCTATCTTCTAAAAGATCCCCCTACTTCATCTCATATCCAATGCAAATCAGCATTTGTGTAACCAGAGGCTTCCAACGTTTGGTTGGTGATCCGGCAATGACATTGACTTCAATTTTTGGAAATACTATCGCATCATTGCTTGTGAGCTCTGTCTTTTATAACCAATCATCATATACTTCATCATTTTATGGTCGTGGTGCAGCTTTGTTTTTTTCAGTTTTGTTTAACACATTGTCTTCAGTACTTGAAGTTTTTGCTCTTTACAAACTACGACCTGTTGTTGAAAAACATAGTCGTTATGCATTTTATCACCCTTCCGCTGAAGCATTTGCTTCGTTTATCGTTGATATGCCGGGTAAAATAATCACTTCTATCTGTTTTAACGTTATGCTTTATTTTATGGTGAACTTGAAGCGTGAGCCAGGAGCATTTTTCATTTATTTTTTTTTCTCTTTTCTGTCCTCTATTACTTCGTCGTTCATGTTTCGAAGTATTGCATCCGTTACAAAAAGTGTTCCTCAAGCATTAACACCTGCTGCACTTTTAATTTTTGTCCTAGTTGTTACTGCCGGTTTCGTTATTCCCGTAGTCGACATGAGACCTTGGATTCGATGGATAAATTACATTAACCCGATGGGGTATGCCTTTGAAGCGGTTATGATTAATGAATTCCGAAATAAATATTTTGAATGTTCTGATATTATTCCTCGGGGGTCTGAATATGAAAACACACCTAGCGAATATAAAATTTGTAATGTTGCTAGTGCAAGTCCTGGTCAGTTTTCAATCTTTGGTAATGACTATTTGGTTAAAAAGTTTAAATATAATACTGGGCACTTATGGCGTAACCTTGGTATTCTCTTTGGCTTTTGTGCTTTTTACTTTACTCTTTACATTTTCTTTACCGAATTCGTGAAAGGTGCACGATCCAAAGGTGAAATCCTTGTTTTTCCACGCGAGGTTATCAAAAAAAACAAAAGATCTGATATCGAAAATCAAGAACGAGGCATTTCTGGAGGTTATCCAAATTTGGAGACTAAAACCTCAGTAAAACTTCAAAGACAAGAGGGAATTTTTCAGTGGGAAAATGTTTGCTACGACATTAAAATCAAAGGTGAACCGCGAAGAATTTTAGATCATGTTGATGGTTGGGTTAAACCTGGTACACTAACCGCTTTGATGGGTTCCTCCGGTGCTGGAAAAACCACCTTACTAGATACTCTTGCTGATAGAATCACAATGGGTGTCGTGACCGGAGATATGCTTGTTAATGGGAACTCGAGAGACGTTTCGTTTCAGCGCAAAACTGGATATGTTCAACAACAAGATGTCCATTTAAATACTACAACTGTTCGAGAAGCACTAGAGTTTTCAGCTTTATTAAGACAACCGGATCATATCCCTAAACAAGAAAAGCTAGCCTACGTTAATGAAGTTATCAAAATATTGGAAATGGAAGAGTATGCCAATGCAATCGTTGGAGTTCCTGGAGAAGGTCTTAATGTTGAACAACGTAAACGTTTGACAATTGGAGTTGAACTTGCAGCTAAACCACAGCTTCTTCTTTTTCTTGATGAGCCCACTTCTGGATTAGATTCACAAACAGCATGGTCAATTGTGGCCCTGATGAAAAAATTAACAAAAAATGGACAGGCAATATTATGTACAATCCATCAACCATCTGCAGTTCTTTTTCAACAGTTCGATCGACTTTTGTTTTTGAAGCGAGGTGGTCAAACTGTTTATTATGGAGATATTGGGGAAAATTCATCCACTCTCACCGATTACTTTGTCCGCAACGGTGCAAAGCCTTGTCCCCCCGAAGCAAACCCTGCAGAGTGGATGCTTGAGGTTATTGGAGCTGCTCCTGGCTCATATTCCAGTATTGATTGGTTTGATGTTTGGCGAAAGTCCTCAGAGTTTCAAGCAATGAAAAATGAACTACATGATCTTAGAGAACAGTCAAAAATGTATCTTACTTCTGAAGATAATCATGAAGTTGTTCAAGCATATGCAATTCCAATTTGGAAACAATGTATAATTGTTTCTAAACGTTCGTTGTGGAATACCTGGAGAAACCCACAGTATATTTTAGCGAAAATCGCCCTCTGTGTTACCGTTCCGTTCTTTTTAGGAATTAATTTTTGGAAAGCAAAAAATACACTCCAAGGGATGCAAGATCAAATGTTTTCTGTTTTTATGATGACTGTCTTATTTCAACCACTATCTCAGCAAATTATGACACCTTTTACGCTTCAGCGTAAACTATATGAAACTCGTGAACGCCCTTCAAAAACATATAGCTGGGTCACATTTATGACCTCTATGTTTGCAGCTGAAATTCCATGGCAAACAATGTGCGGTGTTGTAGGATTTTTCACTTTTTATTATCCAACTGGTTTTTATCGAAATGCAGAACCCACGGATCAGGTTCATATGCGCGGGGCTTTGTTCTTCTTGATTTTACTGTTTTATTATTACTATATTCTTACCTGCTCATATATGGCGGTAGCTGCCTTGTCAGAAGAAACTGCCTCAAATATATGCAATATTGTTTTTAACATAGTACTGGCTATGTCTGGTGTTCTTGTTGCCAAAAATAATCTTCCAGGGTTTTGGATATTTATGTATAGGTGCTCACCGTGGACTTATACAATTTCTGGTATGTTATCAGCTGGTATTGCACATGCCCCAGTCAAATGTGCTGATAAAGAATTACTTATATACGCAACAACTCCTGGTTTAAATATGACATGTGGTGAATTCCTTGGGCCTTATGCAAGCGCTAACGGCGGTAGTGTGTACAATCCAAATTCGTTTACTAACTGTCAATATTGTACAATGACAACTACTGATGATTACCTAGCTACCATTTTTTCACCGCTTGATCAAGCCTGGAGAAACTATGGAGTTTTGGTTTCCTTTGTTCTTATTAATGTCATTGGAGCTTATTTCATGTACTGGCTTTTTCGAGTTCCAAAAAGTTTTGGTAAGAAAAAAGAATGAAAATGGCATCTGTCATACTGTCAACTTTAAAAAACCTTGTTATCTTTAAGTGTTTGGAGGTTAGGGTTCTGTAATAAATTATGTAATTTATCTTACTCTTGAGAATGATCGATAGATTTAAACTATTTCTCATAAAGACTAGCAACAAAAAAGTTTTTTCTTTAATAGACTATGTAATGTTCATTTTAATTTTATTTAATAAATTTTTATTACTAATTATTATTATAATATTTATAAAATCATTCTTATTTCATTCCGTGAATCATTTCTTCTTTAGCAATAAGGTGGCCAATAGTTTCAATATGGCCTAAAAGTTGGCCTATACTGTAACTCCATTCATTCAAAACTTCTGTGTCACCCTTTGGCTCATCAAAATTGACAATTCTTTCTGGTCGGTTTATTCTAGCATAGATAGTTCCTTGGGTAACAAGCTTAGAAATAAACTCTTCTGTCTCTTTCTCAGAAAGATCGAGTAAATAATTGAGCTGGTGAGTGCGAATGCGAGTGTAATACTTTGATATAACACGAAGATTGTGCTCAACCACACGCTTGCGAAGATCATCCCATCGTGTACGGCCTTCTGATGTATTGATATCAAAAATATCAGTCTTTTGGAGAGGAGGGCCGTAAATTTGCTCAACCTTAGGCCAGCGCATCAATTCATTAGCAGTGAAGCATTTGATAAGATCCTGATGAATGGTAAGTTTAGAGAGTCTTGTATCTGTTGCAATTCTATGGATAAGATCCGATTGTTCATTGTCATAGGGCGAAAGAATAATAAAAAAAACAATATGCTCTAAGGCTTGCTTCCATTTACTTTCGTCTTCAAGAACTCGAGGTGTGTTGTAGACAGCCCTATAGTGCTGGCATGCTTCGAGATAATGAGAGTTGTGCAAGTCGATTTTAATCAATAGCTCGTAGTAGCGAAGCTTTAAATCATGAGTTTCCTCTTTCTCAAAATATCTAGCAACAATTTTACGGCTCAAAATAAGAGCACGAGTGTAATCACCTTTTTTAATGTAAAGTTCAACTTGTTCCAAAATGAATTCTGTTTTCTCACGGATATCCATAGAACCGTATGTTTCAACTTGTAGCTCACCGAGAATTTCCGTGGCAGCATCAATATCACCTTCATCTTCCTTAATTTTAGAAAGAGTTCGAGAAACACGGGCACGCTCAACTTCAACATATATTTTACCCTCAGTGACACTTCTAATGTTTTCAATTGTCTTAATTTTGGTATCTAAATCAGGAGTCTCATCTATTCCTTTAATTACTTCTTGAATCATGGAGGTAATAGCTTGCTTAAGCTGGCCGTGTTTTTTTGAAAGCAATTGAACTTGCTCATTCATGATCTTCCAGTTACCTGACTTTATTGAAATATCAATAATTTTTGTCAAGACTCTTTTAGAAGAAAAAAGATCTGATGCCTAATAAAAATCAAGTAGGTTTGTTAGTGGCAATTTTTATACACTTAGTTAAAATGAGCATAAACATACCTGTCTAGTCTGTTTTTCCAAGACCAGCAGTTGATCTAAAGCAGAAGAAAAATCTTTCTAGATAAACGCGTTGATGTTAACTTAATTCTGTTGTAACAATCGACTTTGGAAACTGTGGCGAAATTAAGGAAATTAAAGTATGATTAACAAAGACATTTTACATACAGAATAAAGCTCATCGATAATTGGAAGCTCTCGGTCCAAAATCTCGGTGTAATCTTTTTCAGCTTTGATTAAAGATTCGTCGGTCATTTCAAATATAATTTGGGGGGTTGTTGGTTTTAATAGTTTAACTGTTGTTGAGAGTAAGAAAAAAATGCGTAAAGTGGTGGTGGCGATTTTTCATTACAGGATATTAATTAAGGACAATTTTAGTTACCTGTTATAATACTCCACAATAACAAGTTCTGTCACACATATGGTAATAGAAGCTCTTATAATGCATGCATGAATCAGCCTATTAATAAAATGAGCCATAGGTATAATTGATTCTCATAATTAAGAGCATCCGCTCGCCTATAGAAGGAGCCTCGCTTCTCCCACAAACAAAACTTTCCTCTTCTTCTCTTCTCAGATAATCTTGATTATATTAATGACCTACGGCCTAGTCTGATTTTCCAAATACTTCGATCTAGTCCCACTAATTATTTGAGTTGAGACAAGAGGCTTATCTTAAGTAGTAACTCCTAATACACTCGTTCTACGCTATACGCTCCCCTCCCCTCATCTTAAGTAATTCGTAGTCTGATACAACTCATTATTGCCACCAAGAATTTAGAATATATTGTAAAGGCTTTCTTTACATCACCCTGGGCCACAACATTACCCTTTAATACATTTTGTTCTTAAACTCCATAAATCTGTGGGTTGGGGTTTTTCGTTCTACTTTTGTTATAATTATAATTAAAATTAAAATTATCTTAATCACTTCCCCCTTCAACTGCAAGTTTCTAAATCGTAACGTCCATTTAGGTAGGATATAATTAAGAGACAAGTGCAATAAAAAAATTATGATAGATTCTAGTGATGATGGTATATATTTCAAATTATAACTTAAATTATTTACTACTGACTAGTCTTAATGTGATCTTTAGACCAATGTCCAATCTGTAAATCGTCAAAATATTTATCACCAAATTTGAAATTTTTGGTAAACCCAGAATGCTACCATAAAATATGTGAAAACTGCGTTGACAGACTATTTTCCATGGGCCCAGCACAATGTCCGTACGACGGTTGTACAAAAATTCTCAGAAAAAATAAATTTAAAGAACAAATCTTTGAAGATCTCGTGGTTGAAAGAGAAGTTGACGTGCGACAAAGAGTCTCCAAAACTTTTAACAAACGTCAAGAAGATTTTGAAAATTTGAGTGAATATAATAACTACCTGGAGGATGTGGAGAATATTATTTTTAATCTGGTTAATAATATCGATGTAGAAAAAACGGAAGAAAAGCTGCAAGCATACGAGCAACGAAACAAAGAGCAGATTTTGGCTAATTCACGAAGGCAAAGAGACGAAGATGAAATATTGGAAAGAAGGTCTAAATACGAAAAGGAAAGGAAATTGAAAGCTATGCAACTTGAAGTCGAAATGTCACAATTTGAGGAAGAGATTAAAATAGAAGCCCAAAAAGAATATCGAGAAGAAATGGCAAATTCGGATTTAGATCCGAGTACATTAAAAGCTCAAATGGATAAGAAAATTGCAAGCAAAATTTTGGAAAAAAGGAAAATATTAGAAGCACAATATGTGATGCCACCACCACCATCGAGCACATTCCGTGGATATATGAGCTTTGACGGAAATGGGGCTGATTCTCAGGGTGGTAGACCTGGAAGCCGTGGAAATGGAGTTCTGTCACCGTTTACACCCTTCATGGGAGATTATGAAAAAGAGCCCTTGTTTGTTCTCAGAGAGCAGTACTTTGATCCAGATATGGACTCAGTGAAATCGAATCCCAAATGTATTGGCTCAGGATACGTCGTGGCAGAAGCATATAAAATGGACCTATCGCGTGCTTTTTTTGGGATCGGTTGTTATGTTGTCAAAGAAAAAATCAATAGTGTGAAAATAGAGGGGATATCTTAAAGGCTAAAGAAAATCATTCAAATTCATTAATTATTATTTTGGACTGTTTGCTGACTCTAAGCTCCACGTAAAGATATAGCACTAATTAAAGCTGTATTTATTTGTGTAGGGTGAATAAGTGATGCTGAAAGCTTGTAATTCTGAAGACTGTTAGAACTGTTTTTGAAAAAAAATTGAGTGTAAAGAACATTTTGTATAAATAAATACGGTACTTACTTTTTTTATGACTTTGAAATCAGAAAGCTTTTCGATTGTTAAATTAGCAACTTGGATCTGTCTACCTTTAACTTTTTCAATCAGAAAATCAAGGTATGGTTGGTAAAGGGATCGGTTTCCAGCATCGCTTTTATCTGAACTGGTGGATCCCTTTATAATTTTTACTGCAAAAAAAGACCTCGAGTTATCCGATATTCCAAATCTTCGGAGGCCATCCATAATCTTTAAAATGTTAGACTTTAAAAAAAAAAAATCTTTCGACATACATTATTATTGGGAGATAAACAAAAAACAACTTCTGAATGAATGTTGTGAGTTCGTAAGAACCCAGCTTCAGTATCGCATATCGCTCGATAAGCAGCCGATAATAAATGATCTAAACTATAAATCTATTGCGACAGTTTAGTTAACATTTTATTTAAACTCGCCCTGAATATTCTAATTTAATTATTTCATTTCTTAGTAAAAACTTACAGTTGTTGTGTCTACGAAGGCATATTCATATTGCGGATTTCCATGAAGAAGTTGTGAACGTATCTCGCTCGCGTTATTAACATCCTCAAAAAGCGAAATTAGAATCAAGTAATTAGAAAATTGTGGGACCTTTATAACGACTTCAAAATCTTGAGTATGCATCTTTTAATTGAATTTCGTATATATCTATGTCAAATTTTATTAATTAAACAGATTTGATGAATATATTTATTAAAGTTTAGAAATACACCAAAAAATCCGGATTTTGGAACCTGGGTAAAGCAAAAAAAAATTAAATTGCAACAACATTTTGTCACAAAATATCGTTCAACACAATTCAGATAGTAATTGCCTATCTTAAGTAGTGCATATCAATCTTTTTCAATATTATGTAACCAATTAATAATAACATTTCTTTATAAAAATAATTACGTTACACTACTTATAATTAGTGTAACAGTGCTTATATATAATGTTACAATTATTATTTAATTGATATTTATGTAATAATAATTTTGCTAAAATATGTTTGTTATTTAACTCTCATAAAAAGTTTTCTTTTAACACAATAATTGGGTGTTCAATAATTATATGAAGTTCATTATAATGAACTTAATAATGTATTAAGTGCAAATTATTCTGCTAATGTGAACAGTTTATGTAATTACGTGTTGACTAAATAATTAAGAGATTTAAGGCTGAACATCGTGTTTTTTTAATAATCTACATATATGGTTAGTTTTCTGGTTCCATCAGCTTAGTTCATACGATGATACCATCTTACCTTTGATCTTAAGATGAACTTGGTTTCCTCATTAATAATTATAATTAGTACTAACCAATTTCCCAATCACCCAAGGTTTAACCAAACCCACTTACATAGTGTTATGAAAAGTTTAGTATAAGTGAAACGTTTATGCATACACAAACAACTAGTATCCTTAATAACTATATAGTAAAGTATTTTAATGATACAATTTAAAATAGGGCCATGAAACATGATTTTTTTGTGCAAATAGATTTTTTTTTTTGATCATATTTGTTGTCTGGAAAAGGGTTATTTTCATTCAAAAATAAGCTTATTTTTTTAAACTTTTTATAATCTACCAAAAAAAGTATACATTCTGTATAAAATGAACATCAAAACTAGTTATCTGTGTGGTTGCAACCAACTCATCACCAGCGCGCGCGCTGGTGATATATAGCAGCAACTGATTTGTAACTCCCATCTAGGATTTCAAAACAGGTCTGGGTATATCGCGGTAGTGATCAGGCGTCTGCTTTGTACTCTAAAATTCAGCCGTATAAATTTAAATATTTGGTAGTGAGTGACAATTTTATCTGAATTCGGCAATTTACATTAAGCATTTTTTAGTACATAGGGCGACAGTGGATCACCAACCCAGCCAGCCAGCCCAGCCCAGTGCAGCCCAGCCCTACCCAACCTTGTCAGCCCAGCCTTACCCAACCTTGTTAACCCAGCCAGCTTCATCTTTCAAAGAAAACTGCCCAGCCATTTCTTTTTTAGTGAATTTTAATCGAGCAAACTGATAACAATATGGTATAGAATACTAGGGAGCTATGGCGACACTAAAATTGAGTATGTATTTGGAATAAAAAAACTTTCTTTTATCCAAAATTTCTCTTTTCGTATCTTTTCCTTTAGTGGATTAATTATGGGTTTGTAGTATGATGCCTTCATATGAAATCACTTTTAAAAGATATAAATATCGTCGATAATCCCTATACCAATATCTTTTCTCTTTTTTTTTCTGTATCACCGGCAATTTCTTTATTTTATCCATCGACTTTAAATTTATCTGTCATTTCGGCATTCAGATCGCTTTTTTGCTCACTCTTTTTCAACTATTAACTTTTTTATTTACGTTCAATAAAACTTTTTCAAAATGTCTGATCCACTTTCAGCCTGGGATAAGTATAACCCTATTAAGGCCAAGCTCTGGAAAACTCCTCAGGTGGTTTACATTAGATCGTTAGCTACAATCAACCTTTTTGTCCTAGCTATTCGATTGGTTCAAATTTTCTTCGCAGGTGTCATTCTTGGTATTATGGCTTACTATCTGAACATTCTTCATAACGATAAGACTCATATTCCATCATCGTTTATATTTGCACTAGTTGTTCCAGTGTTTGCTATATTGACACAATTCATTTACTGCTTTAGATTTGAACATCACTTGTATTTTCTGTGGGACTTGGCAATTGGTCTTGGTTTCTTAATTTCTTTCTTCTGGTTTCACGATACTGTTAGCGACCAGCTATCTTGTGGCTGGGGCGCTTTTAATCCCTTCGGTTCAGATCGTTGTGCTCAAACTCGTTCCGTATTTGTCATGGAAATTATTCTTACAGTTCTTTGGATTGCAACTGCCGCAATTCAAGCATTCGGTATCTGGCGAACAAAAAGACAGATCCGTATGGCTGCTGCTCAAGGAAAAGAGGCAATCGTGGTTTAATTCTTAAACCAAACCCCATTTTAACCTCTTAATGAGACAGCAACTGGATAAGAAAATCCATTTATTATCATGACAAATAAACCCAATTCATACGTGGTTTTAGCAGCATGACTATCGGCTTTTGTTTTTAATTTTTTATTTTTTAATTTTGGGATTATCAGGACACATTTTCATGACATCAAAAACCTCCAGAAGGAAAAACCCTATTTCAAGAGAAACTAATACTATGGGAACTTTCTCGGGACTGTTTGTGAAAAGCAGGCTAATTTGTACATTTTTTATTACGGACACTTTTTAATCTATATTTGATTTTAGTTATTTATTTGAAATTTAAAAAAAATTTAAAAGTTTTTTACCCTATAAATTTATATGAAACTATTTGGATGAAAATTTTTGTATCAGCTAAGTATACTGGGGGTGATGACGATGGTTAGATTGAAGAAATGATAAAGGGTTACCCGCCCTAGCTTAAAATCTAACCAATTTTCATGTTTTTTTTTTCCATCTTACACGTATTAAGTTCTGTAATTTGCCTAACGTAACTTGTTTCTTTTCTACCTCAATTTTTTATTTCGAATATTCTCACACCGAATAGGTGTTTTCATTTCATATTTTATATTGTACTTATAAATTACTCATTTTTTTTTGAATCCATATTTTTTTTTTTTTTTTTTTTTTTTTTTTTGGATTTATACATTACCATCGACAAATCATATTACGAGTCTAAGATGGAGATTCTTTCGGGACTCTTGTCCCAAACACAGCCCAAACCCCAGTCTGCATACGAAACCATTACGAAACTATGCGATCGCCTGCAAAATTCAACTTTAATTGAGGATCGTAGAACGGCAGTTCTTGGTCTTAAAGGGTTTGCCCGTGAATACCGTGAGACCATTGCAGCCGGTGCTCTTCGTGGCCTTATATCAGTATTGCAACAAGACTCTGAAGATCAGGAAACTTGTCGCGCAGCATTAGAAACTCTTATAGTTTTATTCATTCAGGGTAAAGAACAGAATGTTCTTTCCGATGACGAATATAGGCAACGAAGAAAGCGAAGGCACCAAGGCCCGAATGGCCAATACCCTTCCCCATTAACATTAGATGGCCGTGTTGACTACATTGCATTATGGCTTACAGATGAATTCATTCAAGTACGTGTCAGCTTTTTAGATACATTGGAATTTTTTTAACATAGGAATTTTGTGAGTTTAGCGGGAAGAAAATATTTCCACCTTAATCTCCCTCCTTGAATCGGATGACTTTTATGTCAAGCTCTATACTCTTCAGTTGTTGGCGGCTATAATTTTTAATCGTCCGGATCGTGCCCAAGAAAAAATAATTTCATTACCTCTTGGAATTTCAACTTTAGTTTCTGTCCTTGATGACTCAAGAGAAGTCATTCGCAACGGTATGCATTACCTTGTTTCTTTTTCTTTTAATACATATTCTGATATTTTTTTTAGAAGCGATCCTTGTCTTATGTCGCCTTGTTGAAGGTCACATTGATATTCAAAAACTCGTTGCATTTGAAGGTGCATTTGACAAATTGTTTGCTATAATTGATTACGAGGGTGGCTTAATTGGTAGTCAAATTGTTGATGAATGCTTGATCCTAATCAATTCTTTGCTGAAATATAGCATATCAAATCAAAGTCTTTTTCGCGAAAGCTCTAAGTTTCCTCATATTTCATCCCTTCTTTCTCTTGGAACTGATATTGATCCATCGATACCCCCTCCAACTATTGACGCTCAATCTTCCCAAAATATCACAGATTTATTTGAAATTTGTCGAATTTTTGTTACTGAAGGTAATGAAGGCACCCCTAAAAACCAAGCAGCTTTATGCTCAGCTGGGGTTATGATAAATTCTTTACGTCTTGCATTTGGATCTTATGCAACAACCTCACTTCGTGCACAAGCTCTTCTTACAGTGTCCGATTTAATTAAGTCAAACCCCCCGCTCCAAGAACAGTTCATGGCTATTGATGTTCCTTATATTGACATTTCTATAGTAAATCCCACCAAGGAACCCATTATTATTCCAGTCACTATTGCTCTTTTAAATTGGGCTCTTTTACCTTCTTCTGTGCATAGCTTTGACTTGAGAATTGGTTCCGCTTCCTGTTTATCTTCAGCTTTAAAAGACAATCATTCTGCAAAAATGGCATTTTTAGAAGATCAAATTACATCATATCAATCTTTATCAGGCGTTAAAATTACATCCAGAGATGACAGATTAGTTTCTCATTCCCAACAAAACTCGGCTGATTCATCGTCTTTAGAAACTTTGGACCTTTCTTCTAAAAACTCGAACTCATCGTCCGGACCTGATGAAAACGGGTCTGAAAACACCCTTGATATACAAAAGGAGAACTCTAAGCAAGAGTGGCAGCATAACCCTTGCTCTTATGACATATTTCCCGATTCTGTGAATCTTATTTCTACATTAGTGGATTATGATCCCGAGGGCAACTTAAATCCTTATAAGCCTTGGATTGCGGCTTCAATTTTACTCAAACTGTTTGAAGATTCTAATGATATAAAAGACAAGCTTCGCTCTGTTTCTATTGGAGACGAGACTAATGGGGAAGAACTTGTTACCGTCATCCAATCTATTGGTAGCAACCTTTCTACCTCTCTTAAAAGCAGGGATCCCCGAATTTCCATTGCTCTTATTATGGTTCTTTCTGTATGGCTTTTTGATGACGTCAAGGCAGTTGATGATATTTTACATGAATCTTCTGTTATCCAGTCTTTGTTATTTGTTTCAGCACACTCATCCAACCATCCATTGATTGAACCTATGGCAACTATTTTGCTTGGAATCATTTATGATTTTAGCAGTAGAAGCTCTGCAATACCCCGGGCTAATCTATATAATCTTTTGAAAAATACCATTAGCCGTGACCAGTACGTCATTAAACTCCAGAAGTTGCGAAACAACTCTATGTTTAAAGAGTTCGATGAACAGGAAATTTTCAGTGCTGGTCGGGATGAGACTGGTTTGCCTAATGCTTTTTTCATTTCGAATTATGTTTATCTTATTAAGGAACATTTTTCTCGAATTCAAAAGAGTTTTGACCGTGATCCTGATTCGGAGCCTAATTCTCGTGTCTCGTTAGACATGTATGAAGAACTTCTTGGTGAATACAAAATTGTTCAGTCTGAACTCTCTTCTCTTAAGATTACCCATGAGTCAGAAAAAGAAGCAGCCTCTCTAAAGATCAAGGATTTGGAAGAGAAAAAAACATCTCTTGAAAATAAAATTCTAGAAGTTGAAACTAGTCTTGATGCAATTAATACTTCTCAAGAAGAAACAAATAATAAACTTGAAACTGTTAGTAAGGAAAAGTCCTTACTTGAACAAGAGAAAGTATCTTTAGATGAAACTTTGAGAAAAACGTCTGAAGAGCTTACAAAAATTCAGAAATCATTGTCTGATATGAAGAAGAATGAGGCTCAACTGAATAGCTCTCTTTCTTCTTTTAAGAAAGAAAAAGAAAAAGCCGAAGATGGTATCAATAAGATGAGCCGTGAACTTTTCCAACTTTCCAAAGAAAAAAGCAATTTGGAGTCTTCTCTTAAAAAACAACAACGTTCTTTTTCTGATCTTGAAAAATCTAACACCAAATCTATGGAATCTATAAAATCGCTTACTGCTCAACTTTCAGCAGTTACTGGTGCTCGAGATGAACTTTCTGTAAAGATGAAATCACTTCAAAACGAACATTCTAAGCTAATCAAAAACATTGAAAATGTATCTTCAAATCATCAGTCCACTCTTCAAGAACTTGATTTGCTACGTCAGCAGTATTCTGATGCTGACAAGATGAAACATACTTTGATCGAAAAATTAAAGAGCGCTGCTCGTCAAATAGAAGATCTTAAAAGTGCTCGTGATCAGCTGAATAAAGATTTGGAACTATCATCTAAGTCTCAAAACGACCTTATAAAGGAACTCAATAATCGCATTACTGAACTTCAAGCAGAGAAGGATCAACTTGATGAAGCCTATACTCAACTTACTGATGATATCGATTTAGTTCGTGGAGAATGGACTGAGAAAGAGAGCAATTTATTGGCTGAAGTTGAATCTCTTTCAAAAACTAAATCAGATTTGGAAGCTAAAATTTCTGAATTTTCACGTGAAAAAGAAGAACATGTTTTAAAAATCAAAGATTTAGAGACCTCGCATTCTTCAAAAATAAACGATCTTGAATCGTCTAATTCTGAACTAAAAGATTTTTTTTCTAAAGAAAAGGAATCAACTGAAAAAGTTATCCAGACTTTAACTGATAAATATACACAATCTGAAGCGTCTAAAGCCGAAATTCAAAAAAATCTGGATGAAAAAATTCAGGAGTTAAAGAAAAATTCAGGATCTTTTACTTCTGAAATCAGTGCACTTAAGACAGAAAAGGATCAATTGCAGACAAAACTTTTGGAACAGCAAAAGTCTGTAGAAGAATCTACTAAATCCTATAGCTCACAGCTTTCTCAACTTAAGGAAGATTTCAATACGAAGCAGGACTTATACAAAAAACAGTTAGATGAGATTGAGATTCAAAAACAACAGGCTGAAACTAAACTTCGAGATACCTCTCAACAGTTGACGGAGAAAAATGAACTTCTAGAAAAATCATCATCTCAAAACTCTGCATTATCTCAACAAATAGATCAACTTAACTCTGAAAAAGCTTTATTAGAGGAAGAAATAACTTCTCTTTCTTCCCAGTTAAAAGAAAAATCTGAAAATATTAATGAGTTAAACAGGAAATCGGGCGAACTTTCTTCAAAAATTGATTCTCTCACTTCTGAAAAAAGAGAGCTCGAAAATAAGCTTCAAGACGTCAGTTCACAAAGAGACCTTCAAGCAAAAGAACTCGATGACTTGAGGTCTACCATTAACAATTTGGAAAAGTTGACAAGTGACTACAAGACATCTATAGAAAAAGCATCTGGTACTAATTCTGAGCTTGAAAAATCACTTGAAAATCTCCAGAAAACTTTGAAGGATAATGAGCTTGATAAAAAGGCTTTGCAAGATCAATTGCTGTCTACATCTAATGATTTCAAAGCAAAAATCAAGGCACTGGAAGATTTGCTTGAAGAATTAAGAGCAACACATTCAAAGCAGCTGGAAGAAGAATCTTTAAAATTTATCAAACAAAAAGAAAATCACGTTTCTACTGTTTCAAATTTTAAAGAAAGTATAAAAACTCTTCACCAAAAACTTTCTACCATGGAGGAAACAAATCAACAACAAATCAAAAATCTTGATGAAGAGAAACTCAAACTTGAAAAGCAAAAGGAAATACATCATGAAGCAGTTTCAAAACTTGAAAAGGATATTGGAGATCTTAATAATCAAGTCAGTTCTTTAGAGGAAGTTAAGGAGTCTCATTTAAAAGAACTGAGCCAGGCCAAAGAGCGCCATGAAAAACAGAATGAGGTTCACATTGCAGTGGTGTCTGAATTGGAAAATAAGATTAACGAATTAAAGACTCATATTTCTAAGCTTGAAGAATCTAAACATTCTGAATCCGATGCTTTCGAATCTATCCGTTCAAAACTTAATGATGAAATTAAACAAACAAACAACTCTCTTGAAAAGATTCGAGAAAATTATGATAAACTCAAGAATGATTATAATGAAGTTCTAGCTTCTCGGGATTCTCTTTCAAGTGATTTTGAAGATTTTAGATCTTCTAGTTCTATAAATATCAGCACTTTAAATACTCAGATATCTCGCCATGAAGATTTGATTCATAATCTCAAAGAGGAAAAAGAATACTTGGAAAGTGAGATAGAAAGGAAGACCGAAGAAATTGAGCGTGAACGTTCTGCTTTGACAAAAGATGTTGCTTCGGCAACAAAGACATTATCCACAAAAATTTCTACTTTAGAAAAGGAGAAAAGTGAAATTATGTCTCTTTTAACATCGAAGCTACAATTACTTGAAGAAATCAAAGCTAGATCTGAAGCCGAAAAGGATGAATTGTCATCAGCTTTGGAGGAGGCAAAAAACCAAGTAACTAAACACCAAAATGTTATTGCTAAAAATAAAGCCTCTTATGAAGCTGAGAATAAACAACTTTCTGACGATATCGAAAATCATAAGTCTGAAATTGCTGTACTCTCTCAAAAACTTACTGAGTCTCAAGACCATCACAATGAGACTAAGAAAGAAATCGAAAAAAATTCTCAAGAATTTGAGGTTAAGTTGAAGTCAATACATGACCACAAGTCTAAACTTGAAACTGAACTTGAATTGTTAAAGGAAACTCTTTCTGATTCTCTTTCAAAATCAGAATCACTTAAAAATTCTTTAACTGAAGCCGAGTCAAAGCATTCAGAAAACGAAAAGGAATTTGATCACCAGCTATCTCAAGCTAAGGCTTCGATTATCAAACTAGAACAAGAGCTTCAAGAAGCTATATCAGCATCTAAAAGTCTTTCTGAACAATCAGATCTTAGAGTTCAAGAAGTTCTGAAAGAGAAATTTGGGATAGAGACGAAGCTGAATGATTTTGAGTCTGAGTCTAAAGCAGCTTCCGAAAAAGCAAATTTCACAATTGCAAAGCTTGAGGAAGAGAAAAAAATTTTAGAAAAAAAGCTTGAATCTGCTATTTCTGATTTGGATTCTAGATCATCTTTGGCTGGTGATGAGATCAAAGCCTTAAGGGATGCCAATGATACACTTAAAGCTGAGGTTTCTGCATCAAACCTTAGTCTCTCAAAAGCCGACAAAGAACTTGAAATTTTTACTCTTGAAAAAGAAAAAGTGAAACGCCTTGAGAAAGAATTAGAGAAATTAAAAGAACATAATAAGTCTTTGGAATCTGAGGTTGGATCTTGGAAGGATGAGCGAAACCAACTTCAAGAAAAGCTTCAAAAAGCTCTTGAAGAGTTTGAGAGCAATGCCAGTTCTTCTGATGAAAAAATAACAGCTTTAATTAAAGAAAAACAGGATGGAGAAGAAAAACTTCAAATTGCAATACGAGACGCTGAAACTAAGGCAGCTCAGCTGGAAAAAGAGGTGAAGGAACTCAAAGAAAATCAAAAGAAAGATCTTTCAAAAATTAAAGAATTAGAACTTGATATAGAAGAAAAGAAAAAGTCTCATTCTTCTGTATCTAAAGATCTGACCACAGCAAAGGAAGAGATGTCAAGGGCTAAACAAATTGAGACAGAGTGGAAAGAGAGCATTGCAAAATTTGAAAAGGAAACAAACGAACTTCAGGGTTTGAATGTCCGATACCGACAAGACAATGATTCCCTTCAAGAAGAAATCAGCCGCCTGAAGCAGGAATATATCAAACGAGAAGATGAATTAAATCAGGAACTGGAGAAAGCAGTTCAGCAGGCTGTGTCCGCATCACATGCTGCTTCTAATGTGGAGGCACAACTTGCCGATAAAAGAAGAGAGCTTTTGAAATCAACTGAAACTCTCTCTCTTGTTCACATAGAAAAAGATGAAATGGCAGATAAGCTTTCTGATTTAGAGGAACAACAAGAGAAGAGGGAAAATGAACTGGAAAACTCAAAGACATTGAACAAAGAGCTTTCTGCTAAAATTGAGAAATTAGAGGCCAGTTTGGCGGATTCGGAAAAGAGTCTAGAAATAGCGAACAAATCAGCCAAAGAAGCCGAATCAAAGCTATCTGATATCGAGACTAAAGCAAAAGAGGCTGAGTCTAAACTTTCCTCTAGTTCAGCCGTGGATCAAAATAAGGACACTGTTTCTAAGGCAGAATATGAAGAGCTTATGCTTTTGGTTTCTGATGTTGATGAGAGATTACGAAAGTATAAAGACAGATTGAGGAAATTGGGCGAAGATGTTTCTGATGATGATGATGATGACGATGATGAAGATGATGATGAAGATGATGAAGATGATGATGAATAAGGGTTACAAAACATTTGTATAAAATTAGGATAGTTTATTTTATTTAATGAATTCATTAACACTAACTACTATGAACCTGTGAAACATGCTGCAAGCGTTATCTCGATTCTGAGACGTCATCAAACTTTCGAGGAATGGCATCTTTTGCGTTTATTGACATAGACTTTGAGCTTGTCGCAATATAATTTGGAAAATCATCTGAATCTAATTTATTGATGCTAGCGTCTGAAGTATTTTTATTACAGTCACAACTCTTTTCTTCTAAGATGCTATTATTCGCACCAGACGAACTAGAAACATGTTCTTTTACTTCCTTGGGCAACGATAAGGAAGAATTGATTGGAGATGGTGTAGATGGTTTTTTAATTTTTCTTTTAGTTTTTTTAGATCCCGCTGGCGAATTTTCAGATAATGGAGGTGTATGCCGATTCATCAAGGAAATACTGTTGAAAGAGGAAGAGATTAATACTGAACTTTCTGCAAGAGAAATAGGTAAGGAATAAGGTGAATTTGGTGTTTGTGGCTCCGGCAGTGTTTGAGCGAAAAGGGCTGCACCGGAAATGTTGTGTTTGTAAGAAAGATATCTAAAAGTTTGTCTGAAAGTAGAATAAAACGAATAAACAAGCGTTTTTGCGTTCGTGTCTTCTAGTTGCACGGCCTTTTGATTTAAAATTCTAATTTCTTCAGAAACAAGTCCAGTTTTTGAATCAAAAAAACTAGGTAGTCTTATATTTAATTCACCCATAAAGCTTGTTGTAATTTTCATAAGATCAAGTTCCACTCTATTGACAAGAGATGATTCCCACATATGATTATAAAGGTGATGATACTCATCTGCATACCGATCTTGTAAATTTATGTCAAAATTGTAGGCCTGGAAATCTTTTGCGCGCATATCCATAGTATATGACAATGAGAATAAGATCGGAATTTTGAGGTGAACTGGTGCTTTTTGAACATAGGGATGAAACCATATATTTGAAGGAACATATGATTCTAAAATCTGAAGATACTGTCTGACAGAAATTCCACCACTTTCGTTAAATTTAAAGACAAAGTTGTACAGGTCTATAAGAAACTCAAGATGGGTTTTCCCAAATTCATGACCAGGTCCTGGTTTAAATTGGTTTGTTAAATCACCACTAAAACGATACAAGTTTGGGTTATCTATAGAGGCAAACCGGTAGTTTTTCATATGGTGATTTTGATTTAGATAAGGGAAAAGATAAAAAACTGTTCGAGGAATAAGGTCCTGCTTAAACAAAGATTCCTCTTTTTCTTTCATTTGGGGAAAAACATAGTCATTCGGACAAGAATTATTTTCAAAGTCTAGACTTTGAAAAATCATGCTTAACTCATCTTTTTCATCATTATTAAAAGAAGGTTCCGGAGGACTGGAGATCATTAATGAAGGAAGATGGGTGACGCGAGGGATAATGTAGATGCCGAAACGGCTATTAAAGCACAAAAAGGCGATCAAAAAAAAAAACAAAGAATATGATGAAAGAGGCAAGAAAAACACTAGATTTAATTTTCGTCAAATATTAGAGTTCAACTATTTTAAATGAAAAAAAAACAGGTTGAACTATGAGCCGAATTCTAGCAGTAATAAAGAAATCAATCAACAAAAGTCAGCTATATCATGAAGTGTCACTTTTTCTTATTGAAATATGCTTTGAAATAATAAGTTTATTCATTTGTATGGATAACTGAGAAAAAATTGAAAAAAAAAACATTTGGGAGCACAAAGTTAAATAGAAAAAAAGAGAAGGGAAGAGGAAGAAAAAAAAAAGAAAAAAAAAAGAAGAAAAAAAAAAGGAAAACGGAGCTGTCAAATGGAAAGTAAAGAAGTATCGTACGGCTGTTTGGCTTGCATACTGATGACAGCGCCATGCATAGAGATCGGGAGTTTGACGTTTCCATTATTATTTTTGACAGATAGGCACAGTTAAGGTCGACAACAACAAACAGGGTCAGATGAGTTTTTTTTTTTTTTTTGGAAATATTAAAAAAATTTAAACTTGGAAAAATATAAAAGAAATTAAGAGAAAAATAATCATCAATGACATCTTGACCAAGAAACAATTTCCTTACAATTGCAAAGATAATTATATTTCACAATCAATAAAAATTTAAACTAATTTATAATATTTTTAAGTTATAACTTAATTAAGTTATCATACAAGTGTAAAGTTAGCAGTTTTAGAAGTTAATACATAAAGTGTCAAAAGCTTGGGAAGAAATTTCTGCAGAAATCCATCATTTTCATAAAAATCAAATAGCCTCAGGGTATCTTCTATACCAAGCATTCTTGGGAAAAATGCTAGAGGCTTAGATGAAGATCGTTTCTCATGCAAACCTTCAACAATTGACCGTGTATATTCGTTATTCGAATAAAATAGAGTTTCTCGGTCACCATAATCACCAAAAGATATAACGTAGTCGGCTTCAGGGGTACTATATACCGGTATCAAACCAGGTCCATATACCACCATTGGAGGATGCATTACTGAAAAAATAAAATCTTTGAGAAAGGAGCCATAAAACGACTCTAGTATTATATCACCACAAAAAAACACTATTGTTGACGACATGATAGTTGATAAATGCTTTAATAGAACTGCACGTATTCCAAAATCTATGTTGGAGGTATTTGTTAAAGTTTGATTCACAGTCTCATTGTTAAAACTGGGGTAAAAGCTTTCGTCAAGATGGAAAAAATGAAGAAATCTTGATATGAAGGTTCGTCTTTCAGCGAAATCTTCTTGGTTAGGTGGTGGATAAAAAACATAGACTAAAAAGTATGAAAATACAAAAATGGAATGTGTAAGCTTGTGGATCACTCGAATTGGAAAAAGAACCGGTGAAAGTATGGCCTTTGTGGCAATGGCATTGTATTTTAAAATTCGCCGAACAGCACCTGTAGCCGAAGAAATAAGCATAGAACAGTTATCAAATAGCTGGGCTAAAAAAAAAGAGAAGGAAGTAGTTAGATCAAGTTTATAAGTCTTCCATGTAAAATAGCCTAAATTTTTGTTGACATTCACGCTGGTATTATAGAATTTAAGAATGATGAAACTATCAAAAAAAAAAAAATAAGTTGTAGCACTACACTAACTATAAGACTGTAATGATTTTCATTCCTCATAACAATAAATCACGATGACAACCTAAAAACTATCAACTGTCAAAAGAAATTGATACAAAATAACATAAATGAAATAGCTAACAGCTCTTAAACTTAAATGAATCTCAAGAAGCTTTCAGATAATATGAAAAAAATATATTCATGATCATGTGGCTAATGTTTAAACCATTTTTTTTTATTGATCAATTGTTCATGAACAATACCGACACGCTAAAAAACAATAAAATCAAAAACACAAATATTTCTTATTAAGATAGAACAAAAATTAAAAACCTAAAACCAAAACTAAAACTATACTAAAATTACAAAATTTTTTTTTTCACCTGGATATATTGTTGTAATAAAATTATCTTTTGGGATCAGCAAGTCTGAAAATTTTAACATGTTCCTTGTTAGAAAGTTCAGTCATAGGATTAGGGGTGATGAATATAGTTTGACCTTTAGACAAATCACCTTCATTAATAGCATCAATCATAAGTCTCATACTAACAGAGCGAGTGACTTCATCCATAAAGACATCGAATTCATCTAGACCCCGAATAAGACAAGACATTGCACTCCAAACTGCAAGAAGAAGAGCAATCTGAGAAAACGACTTTTCACCACCTGAAAGACCCTTGATATCTTTATCTTTAACTGACTTAGAATCTTGGCTCTTACGACTACTATGAACAATCATTGTTTCCTCTTCATGGTTGATTTGCAGCTCTCCAATAAAATCACGCTGCTTCAAAATACTTCGAAACTTGCTCTGAATAGTTCCCGTTATTTGTTTCAAAAATTCATGGTATTTAGCATCACGTCGGGCTTGCATTTTATCAATACTCGAATTGACAAACTTTGCCCCCTTATACTCAGCTTTAGCCCTTTTAAATTCTTTTGTACAATTCAACAACTCTTCAGCAACCACATCAAGACTGCGAGACTTATTGTGCATTTGGCTGGCTTTCAGTAATGTGCCAGTTCTGGTATATTCTGCTTGAAGATTTTCCAAACTCTGTGGCACCACAAGACGATCGGGAGAACTTTCAGCAGCTTGTGCAGTAAGTTCTTTAAGAACTCTAATGGTCTCCTCCAAAAACTTTTGTTGTTCTTGCATCTTTCGTCTCACAATGGCTTTATTTCCTTCAGCATTGCTAACTTCATTCATAAAAATTCTTTTTCTCTCTCTGATATTCATGATTTCATCGTTGATTGACTTTCTAATTTCACGAACTTCAGCTACCTTTTTCTGATAAGTTTTCAGAAGTTCTTTGTGATCGTTACGATCAGCACTGACGTTATCGTATTCCTCTTTGGCCTTTTCAAGTTGCTTCTCATACGTTTCCAAATCGTTACTTGTATTTTCAATCATTTTTTCAATAGCGCCACGTTGAGAAATATCTATTTCTTCACTAAGCTTGTCGTCAATAATATTGATTTGCTGCTTTAGACTTTTAGATGAATTCATAAGACGAGAGATTTTTTCCTCAACCTGTGCGAACTCTCTTTCTTTATAACGTTTCTGAGAATTCCAATCCTCTAATTGTTTACTAAGGTCTTTACCTTCAGCTTGAAGGTCACTCAAGGCTACCTTCAAAGAGTCAAGCTGACTAGAATCATTCTCAGCAACCCGCATCAGATAAGGAGGGGATAGACCAAAGATAGGAGCTGATGAAGAAGCTCCTCTAGTACCACCTCCAATGGAAAAACCATTTCGTTCATTTTGAATAGAAAAACATTTAGAAACGTTGCGAGGGTTGCTAAACATTATTGCTTCAGCCTCTGCTCTATTAGGAACAAGTATTGTTTTTTCAATTCCATGCTGATCAATAAGCACACGTTTGATGTGTTCATTAGAAAACTCAAGAATATCATACAGTGTTGTGAATCTAGAGCGATCAGGCATATTATTTTCAAACTTAAATAAATCGGCCTTAGCAACAATTGTAGGAAAGGAATCAATTCGAAGACGTCTTATAATCTCTAGAAAAATAGCACGATCACTATGATTCTGAAAAACAAATGCTCTCAAAGATCTTCTAAGTTGAGCAGCAACAATGGGTGCCCATTTTTTGTCTTTGATAGTAATATATCTGCCAATGGGTCCCAAGGGAGGATGTGAAAATCTTGAAATATTTTTTTCAATTGCAGCTAAAAGAACTCCTGTTTTTTTACCAAAAACATTTTCAAATCTTGAACTGGCAGCTTGAGTGGACTCAATATCAGATTTAATATTTGAAATTTTTTCACGGTTTTCTTGAATTAATACTTGAACCTGGCGAGATTCATCATCGATTTTTTTTAATTCTTCTTCTAAAGCATCGGTATTACCGATCTGATCAATTTGGTCATTGTTAGATTTTAGCTTTTCCTTGTATTGTTGTTGTTTGGCTCTCATTTCCTCTTGCTCTCTTCGAAGACCACCTCCTTCAATGCGGTCAATTTCACGCTGAAGCTTGATTTTGAGTGTATTAAGACGAGCCGAACAGTCATTGATCGACCTTTTGGCTGTTCGAACATTATCGGATGATGTATTTAGTTCGGATTCAACCTTTTCTAACTCATCTAACTGGTGTTTGAAATCATCGTCGGCTTCTTTCCCTTTAATTGAGGCTGCATTCAGTTCGACAGTCTTATTACTTTCTTCATTATCAAATTCTTTAATTATTTCATCGTTATTTTGGGATTCTCTTTCAAGGTTTTCAAGATTATCTTGTTGACGTTTAAGCTTTTTCTCTTCCTTTTCAACTTCACGTTCTTTGTTCTCCACAGCTTTCCAGCGAATTTCTTTAACCAACTGGGCTAGGCGATGACCAATTTCTTTTTGTTCCTTGAGTTCCTTAAATTCTTTCCGAAGTTTTTCATCTTTTTCTTTAATTTTGTTCATAGACTCTTTTAGGGTTGCATAAGATTGGGAAGTTTCTTTTACAGTCGAAGATGTAAGACCGCTTGCTCTTTTCCAAGTTTCATGATTAATACCTTTTGAAAGAAACATGTATAAAGAATGAGGATTAGAAGAAGTTAAGAAAGATCGAGCTGCGTCCTGAGACAAAATAGCAAGAGGATTGTCAATAATAATTTGAAAGTAGTCGAGAATACGATTGAGTTCATCACGAGTAGTAAATTTAGTTTCGTTAAACTCATTTTTAATCTTGTAATTACTACTTTTCTGATCAAAAGAGCGGCAGATGATAATTTTGTTTCCATAAACATTTGGATTGTAGGGATTTTTAGAGCTGTTATCAATTGTAATTGTAATAGTAGCTTTGCTAGTTCCATTTCGAATCAACCCTCTTAAACTTCCAGCACGTTGTGTGCTAGATGCCTTTCCTCCCAAACAGATGGCTAATGCGGTGAGAATAGCACTTTTTCCACTACCGTTGTGGCCAACAATAAAGTTCACTTTTCGGCCAAGTTCAATCTCTAAATTTTCATGACACTAGGAGATGATTGTTAGAAATAACACTAAAATTTATACAATTGATTTGACTTACCATAAAATTTTGAAGATGGACCTTAGTGATTGCACCTGACTTTTGTTCATTATCTTCCCCCTAGAATCTGTTAGAATAGTAATAGTAATAATAATAAAAAAATACCTTACCTCTTCATCTTCATCATAGTATATGCTTTCCGAATCTTTTGAAATCCAGACAGCCTTTTCCTCTTGAATTTTTTGACTTGAAAGTCCCTTTGTAGAATCATAAGCAATATCTTGTTCTTGGTCGTCACCATCAATGTCGTCCTATTCATAAAGTTAGATTTGAAAAAAAAAAGAAAAAAAAAAGAATAAGAATAACCATTAATAAAATACTTACTTCAAGTTGATCTTCTTCAAGTTGATCCTCATCAATGACTTCATGTGCTTCCCCGTTAGTATATCGAAAACTGTCTTGTGAGGTATACTCTGTATTCTCTTGCAAGTCTGAATAATCGTCATTAGGAAAGCTAGCATCTGCTCTAGAGCGTTTGCTTCCAGCTGGCTGATAATATTCTTGGGCAGCATTGCCTTGGTAATATTGTATATTACCATTACTCATGTTTAAATGTAAATATTTTTTGTTTGATCAAGTTGTTTGGTTAAGAAGAAATTCTAAACGAAAACTGAAACAAAACAAATAATAAAAAAAAAACAAGACCAGTAAACAAATTTCTCTTCTTGGAATTAATCAACACGGGAATAACGTGTTGATTGGTTGGAGGGTGGCGGCGCGAACTTTAAATTTGATAGTGATAAACACTTGTTTAACAATAATAGCCAAACGCGTAAATTTTTTCTAATGATAAGTAATATTTAATAATTATTTAGTCATTAATTAAGTTAAAAAATTACTTTTAATAGAAACATGTTAAATTAACTAATGTTTTTTTTGTTGTTGTTGTTTGGTTTTTACATAAGCTTAACAGTGTAATATAATATCACTATATATATAAAATATTGGTCTATAAGGCATTTCTAACGCGCTTTGAACAATTATTATAATAATAACTGAATTTAGGCCGAAATGCGACGCGCTACAAACTTTCAGTCCCAAGAATGATGCCATACTATCATTATAACAAAAATTTTTTTATCATTGTATTGAGATTTATTTAAATACATTAACAACTATATCTTATAAGATATAAAGAAAAAAACTGACATAGTTATGTCCACCGTAATACTTAAAGTTTTTTTTTTTTTTTTTTTTTTTTTTTTTCAAAATAAGCCGGCGATGAATATGGGAGTCCGCGATTATTTCCTGATGGGAACCTTGGCTTGAAATTTGTTTTTGGTTTAATATACAAGAACCTGGTAGTACGATAGTGTTGAGATGTTTGAAGGAAAAAGGCAACTGCAACTCGGCACATTCAGCAGTTATTTGTCGACTAAAAATTGCAGCGGTTTGGATTTGATCACCATAATATGTTGGTGACCAAAGTAAGATATCCTTTGAGTGCTGGGAATCAGCCTACGGCCTGCCTAAACCTAGTTGATTTGACCACTATCATTGATTTCCCGTAATACAACGATCACTGGGCTGGCACCAGGATCAATGCCCCATGCAACTGTAATACCAAGTGGTTAAAAAAAATAAATAAAATTAAGATAGAAAATCGGATGGCCATAATTTATAAATTTATAAATTTACACTGCCATTGTGTTGCCATAGAGGACTAACAAAAGAGGCGGTGAGAAAAGTTCTTTTTTTTTAAGCCCCTCCTATGGGGAATCAAAGCCTTACCTGCTACGCTGGAGGCCATGCGTGCCTGTTTTGACACAAATGTCACGAATTCAGCTACTTAACCTAAGGCTCAGCCTCAGCTACTTTGAATTCAAACATAAATCTATATAAGAGTGGCAAAATTCTAGCAAGATTTGAATTTTTTTTTTTTTTATCTTAAAACATATTTTTCAACTTAAACGATTTAACAAAAATTGAATTTAATAGGAAAACAACAATAATGAGTTATAATAACGGCTACCAGCAACAGCAAGGTTATAACCAAGGAGGTGGTTATAACCAGCAGCAAGGCTATTCTCAACAAGGCTATCAACAGGGCTATCAACAAGGATCTTCTCAACAGGGCTATCAGCAAGGTTATCAACAAGGATACAATCAAGGAAATTCTGGAGGTTATAATCAAGGAGGCCCTGGTGGCTATAATAGACCTCCTTCTGGACCTCCCGGTGGTTACAATCGGCCACCAGGACCTCCTCCACCAGGGCCTCCTGGTGGTTACAATATGCCACCAGGACCCCCTCCACCGGGGCCTCCCGGTGGTTACAACCGGCCACCAGGACCTCCCCCACCAGGACCTCCCGGTGGCTACAACCAAGGTGGTCCAAATCAGCAAGATCGCGGGTACGGTGGCAATGGAGGTGTTAACTATTACATGCTTTTAAAGCAAGCAGTACAACAAAATGAGCTTGGTGCATTCTATGGGGACCAACAATTACAACAAATTGCACAAACATTACCTCAAAAGATTCAACAAGTTTCACAACGTTGGAAGATTCCTATGAGCATTGCAAATGATCTTGCTCGACTGGCTCTTTACGACATTGTTTTATATTTAGACGACAGTGGATCAATGCGTTTTGATGAAGGTGGAGAACGTATTGAGGATCTCAAGGTGATTGTATCGCGCACAGCATTTGTGGGCAGTCTGTTTGACCATAATGGTATTCAGGTGCGCTTTATGAATAGTGATTACAAGGCAGATGGAGTTCGGGATGACCGACAAGTGTTTCAAATGATCAGTAAAATAAAGTTTGATGGCATTACTCCACTAGGCACGTCGCTCAAGTCAAAGGTTCTTGATCCTCTGGTATTGGGTCCTGCTAAACACAATGCACTGCTAAAACCAGTATTGATTATAACAGTTACAGATGGTGAACCAACTGGTGAGAGCGCAAACAAGGTGTTTAAGGTAATTGAAACGACTAAGAAGGAGTTTTTAAAGTCTCGTTATCGTCCTGGCGCTTGTGCATTCCAATTTGCTCAAGTTGGCAATGACATGAAAGCTCGAGCATTTTTGGAAAAGCTAGATACTGATCCTACTGTGGGGAAACTTGTTGACTGCACAAGTAACTTTGAAATTGAACAGCAGGAGATGGCCCGAGCTGGTGTGCAGCTTGACCCATCTACATGGCTGGTAAAGATGCTTTTAGGGTCAATTGATCCTAGCTACGATACAAAGGACGAAAAAAGACGGTGATTAGCATTAGATAAAGGAATTGATGTATTTATTTAATTTTTTTTTTTTTTTCATAATTGGTTAAACATAATTATATACCGAGGAATTTTAATCATGTAGCTGAAAAATGCAACTTTCTACTGATATGTTTGCCATTATTTTCTTTTTCTTTTTCTTTTTTTTATTATTTTTATTATTTTTAATTTTTTTTAAAATTATATTCCGAGAAATTTTTAATCATGTAGCTGAAAAATGTTACTTTCTACTGATATGCTTGCCATTATTGCTTTTAAAAAATGAAGCAAAGCGGCTGTTGCACGAAATTATTGGTCTAAATCTAAATATAACTACAGGTTTAACTTTCTTGTTCTTGATTATTCTTGATTAATTAAAGTACAATATTAAAGTACAATATCCAACATAAAAATCAATTCCTTTTTTTTTTTTCTTTTTTTCTTTTTTTCTTTTTTTCTTTCTTTTTTTTTTTTCTAACTTTTTTCATCTTTTTTTTTTAATTTTTTTTTTTATCTTTCTACTGGAGCAACAAAATTTATCCAATTTTAACAAAAAACAGTCTTCACATTTTTTATTATTATTATTATTATTATCATGGGTCTCGCTAGTAAACTTAAAGCCGCTCAAGCAGCGGAAAATGCACAAGGAGGTTATCCTCAACAGGGCTATGGAGGTGCTCCTCAAGGAGGATATCCTCAGCAAGGTTATGGCCAACAGGCACCTCAGGGATATCCCCAGCAAGGTCAACAAGGCGGATATGGCCAACAGGGAGGTTACTCTCAACAAAGACCCCCTCAATCTCAAGGTTACAGCGCTTCAGCTTACTATAATTTGCTTCGTCAGACAGTTCAAGAAAATCAATTGAATGCATTTTACAATGATCAACAGTTGCAACAGATTGCCCAGTCATTACCACAAAAGATTCTTCAGGTTTCACAACGCTGGAAGATCCCAATGGAAATTGCAAATGATCTCAGTAAGCTTGCACTCTATGACATTATCTTGTATCTTGATGATAGTGGATCTATGAGATTTGACGAAGATGGTGAACGCATTGAAGATCTTAAGTTGATTGTGACACGCACTGCCTTTATTTGTGGGTTGTTTGATCACAACGGTATTAGTGTACGATTCATGAATAACAACTTTAAAGGCGAGAACCTGCGGGATGAGCAACAGGTGATTGATATGATTAATAGAATCAAGTTTGAAGGTATCACCCCATTGGGGACTAACTTGGAATCGCGTGTGATTGAACCATTTTTAATTGCGCCTCTTCGTCGTCAAGCACTGCCTAAGCCTCTTTTAATCATTACCATTACTGATGGAGAACCTACTGGTGAAAGCACCAAGAAAGTGTTTAAAGTTGTTGAAAGCGTAAAGAAGGATCTTTTGAATTCCAAGTACCGTCCTGGTGCATGCGCTTTCCAGTTTGCCCAGGTTGGCAATGATCTCAAAGCTCGTGAGTTCTTGGGGAAGCTTGATACTGATCCAGTTGTTGGCAGATTAGTTGACTGCACAAGCAATTACGAGTTTGAGCAGGACGAGATGTCCAAGCAAGGTGTGAGTTTGGATCCTTCGACATGGCTTGTAAAGATGCTTCTTGGAGCAATTGACCCTAGCTACGATACTCAGGACGAAAGTCGCCGTTAGCCAAGCTTTAGTTTGTTATTAATTAAGCTTTTATTATAATAATTATTATAATTATAATAATATTCTAATTTTTTTTTTTTCATTGAGTATTTGCAATTTGAGGGTAGTTTAACTATCTACTAAGTAGGGTGTTCCGGCATCCGGATTTGTGGAGACGACACGTCATTGCGGATGCGGCTTGCGATGGGAAGACGTTTGTTTGTACTGTTCTCCAAGTGGCTGAGTCGCAAACATGCACAGTAAATATATTTTTAGGGCTGTATCTGGTGAGCAAAAAAGTATATATAACCTTCATTCATCGACACCTAAATTCCCCTCAATTGAACGAATTCTCTCATACCTTTCTTTTTTTCTTTCTTTCTTTCTTTCTTTCTTTCTTTCTTTCTTTCTTTCTTTCTTTCTTTCTTTTTTTTTTCTTTTCTTTTACCTCTTTGTTGACACAATTGTCTTTACCAACTTATTATTTTCTCATTTTACTCTTTTGTTAAACTCAATTCTTCTTTAATTTAAGTCTATTCATAATGGGTCTTGCTAGTAAACTTGCCGCTGCTCAAGCAGCTCAGAACAATACTGGAGCTCCTTCCGCAGGTGCTCCTTCCACTGGAGCTCCTCAGGGTCAGTATGGAGCCCCTCAAGGCCAACAACAATATGGAGCTCCTCAAGGCCAGCAACAGTATGGAGCTCCTCAAGGCCAGCAACAGTATGGAGCTCCTCAAGGCCAGCAACAATACGGTGCTTCTCAAGGCCAACAAAAGGCTCCTGGTCAGCAGAGCTATGGTGCGGCTCCTTCCCAACAATCACCTTACCCTCCCACTCAGTATGGTAACAATTCAGCTCCATCTCAGCAACAACAGGGTGGCCAGAAGTATGGCTCTGCCCCTGGAGCTTATGGCCAACAACCACAACAACAACAACAACAACAACAACAACCACCCACACCTTCCTACAATAACAAACCTCCTCAACAACAACAGTATGGTCAACAAGGTTCTGGTAGCTATGGCCAAACATCTCAACAATACGGCCAGGCTCCTCAACAGCAGCAAAAGCCACAACAGCAGCAATATGGCCAACAACAGTATGGCCAACAACAGGGTCCTGGTGGATATGGTCAAGCTCCTCAACAACAGCAGCAGTATGGTGCTCCCGGTGGTGCTCCTTCTGGAGGTGCCAATCGTTACCTGACAACTTTGCAGAATGCGGTTAGAGAAAACAATATTCAGGCCTTTTACAGCCCTGAGCAACTGTCGCGCATTTCAAGCACAGTTGAACCCAAGATCATTGATGCATGCAAGCAATGGCGCATTCCCAGAGAGATTGGTGATGATTTGGCTAGATTAGCTCTATACGATATTGTGATTTACGCAGATGATTCTGGTTCCATGTCGTTTGAGGAGAATGGCGAGCGTATTGATGACCTTAAGCTGATTTTGTCTCGTGCTGCGTTTGTGGCTTCACTTTTTGATGAAGATGGTATTCAGGTTCGTTTCATGAACAATTCTATTCAGGGCAATGGCTTGCGCAATGAACAGCAGGTTATGGACTTAGTGGGCCAGGTTCAGTTCCGTGGTTTGACACCTCTCGGTACCAACCTTCAAAGTAAGGTCTTGGAACCTCTTATCATTGGCCCTGCTCGTTCCGGTGCTTTGCGCAAGCCTGTTCTGTTGTTGACTATTACTGACGGTTCTCCAGCTGGTGAGCCTGAAAAGACTGTTTTCGAAGTGATTGCACGCACTAAGCAGGTTCTTGGTTCCACTCGCTATGGTCCTGGTGCTGTTGCATTCCAATTTGCCCAGGTCGGAAATGATCTCAAGGCTCGTGACTTCCTTTCTAAGCTTGACTCTGATCCAATTGTTGGTCGCATGGTTGACTGCACAAGTAACTTTGAGGTTGAGCAAGATGAGATGGCCAAACTGGGTGTCAACCTTGACCCTTCCACCTGGCTTGTTAAGTTGCTTCTTGGTGCCATTGACTCGAGCTACGATACTCAGGATGAATCTAAGTAAAAAAAAAAAACATTAAATATGGAAATAATTTTTTTTTTTTTTAATATTTTTAATATATTTATTTTAAATGGTTGATAATGACAAAAAAAAATGGCTCTGTCGGAGCCTTCAATATGCATTGCCGGAGGATTGTATATACACATTGACTGGAAGCTTTAGGACTAACAAATCATGAAGTTACCAGGTATTTTATATTTAATTTTTTCCTTAAATTCTACCTCTCCTAAACTTATTATAATAACTATCCGGAAGCTTAGACGCCGGTTAACTAAGTCACCTGACTACCCCTCTTTTTAATCATCACGTGATGTTATTACGGCCAGCGGTCTGCACAACGCCGGCGACGGAAGGCTTCCATCGGCTGCGCGCGGCTTTTTTTTTTTCTGGAGAGCCCCGCCTTTTTGTCACGGGCCCTTTTTTTTTTTTTTAATTGTAACGTTTAAAGTTACTGGGAAGTAAGGCATGTGCCACCACGGCCCATGGACAACCGCTTTTTTTTTTTTTTTTTTTTAACAGAGACGACCAGACTAGCAAAAGTACGTTTACATTTGAATTTTTTTCTACCCAAAAAAAAAAAAAAACACCCGCCTTTAAAAACAAAACTTCTCCCCACCACTACCACTAACACCACCATAGCAAACCTTCTTCCACCATATCACCACCACCACCACCACCACTATTTTTTTTTTTTTTTCTTTTCTTTCTACATCTTCATTTTCATCTTCACCACCACAACAACCTCTCAATTCCTCTATTAAGCAATGGCCACTGCTCTTCTCTACGCCCCTAGGGCCGCTCTTTCGCGCTCTGCTATCCGCTCAGCTTCTGCAACTACGTATGTTTGTTATTTTCGGGCTCAATTGAGTTCCAGGACCCCACTTGGCTAACTTTTTTTTTTTTTTTTTTTTTTTCTTATCTCCTCTTGCAGTCGCCTAGTACCTACACTGCCACTAGCATCCTCTTTCCAAAATCACCACCAAATGCTGCTGCTGGCAGCCCGCACTTATGCCTCCAAGTCTTTCCCTTCACACACCGTCATTGGTATGCCCGCACTTTCGCCTACCATGACAGTCGGCAACGTGGGTGCCTGGCAAAAGGCCATTGGCGACAAGCTTTCACCTGGCGATATTCTCGTCGAGATTGAAACCGACAAGGCCCAAATGGACTTTGAATTTCAGGAAGATGGCTATCTTGCTAAGATTCTTATTGAACAGGGTGCTAAGGATGTTCCTGTCGGTACCCCCATTGGTGTTTATGTAGAGGATGCTGCTGATGTTCCGGCGTTTGCAGACTTCACTGCTGCTGACGCAGGCTCTGCCCCCGCTAGTGCCGCAGCCCCAGCTGCTGCTGCACCGGAAGAGGCACCCGCGGCTCCCGAGGCTGCCAAATCTGCTGAACCCGCAGCCCCTGCGGCAGCAGCAGCAGCACCTGCCACTTCTGCTGCTTCCTCTGATAGAATTAAGGCTTCACCTCTTGCCAAGATGATTGCGCTTGAAAAAGGCATCCCTCTTAAGGACATTAAGGGTACTGGTCCCGATGGCCGTATTATCAAGCGTGACGTTGAGAACTGGGTTCCCACTGCTGCTCCCGCTGCTGCTGCTCCTGCAGCCGCTACTGCAGCCGCTTCCACTCCTGCTGCTGCTGCTGCCGCTGCTCCTGTTGCTACTTCCACTTCTCCTTACGAGGACATTCCTATTTCGCAAATGCGCAAGACTATTGCATCTCGTCTCCAGCAGTCCAAGGTTAACGCCCCCCACTATACTGTCTCTTCTACCATTTCAGTTTCCAAGTTGCTTAAGATCCGTGCTGCTTTGAATGATGCTGCTGAGCCCGGCGAGTTCAAGCTTTCCGTCAATGACCTGCTTATCAAGGCCATTGGCGTTGCTAACCTCAAGGTTCCTACTGTCAACACATCCTGGCTTGATGCTCAGGGTGTTTTGCGCCAATACAAAAACGTGGATGTTTCTGTCGCTGTGGCCACTCCCACGGGCCTCATCACGCCGGTCGTTAAGGCCGTTAACCTCAAGGGCCTTGCCGATATTTCTAACGAAATCAAGGCTCTCGGAAAGCGCGCTCGTGAGGGTAAACTTCTTCCTGAAGAATACCAGGGCGGCACTGTCACTATTTCTAACATGGGAATGAACCCCGCTGTTTCTAACTTTACGGCTATTATTAACCCGCCCCAGAGTGCTATTCTGGCTGTCGGCACCACCGAGCGCCGCGCCATTGAGGACCCTGAGTCTGAGTCTGGTATCTCTTTTGACTCTGTCATGACTGTCACTGCCTCCTTTGACCACCGTGTGGTTGACGGTGCTGTTGGTGCCGAATGGATTAAGGCTCTCAAGAAGGTTATTGAGAACCCCATTGAACTTATGCTGTGATAAAGTTGAAAAAAATAAAAAGAGATGAAAACCCCAACCATCACCCCACAATAATAATAAACTCCACCCTTCCCTTCTTCCCCTTTTAAAAAACAAAAAATGAAAAAAAAAAAATAAAATAAAACTAAATAGAGGCCAATTGCTTCCTTAATGAATGTATGCAATGAAAAAAAAAATATACCAATTATTTCAAATTGTAAGCTTATTTCTATCAAAGGTATTTAATTGTTATTTTGCATCAATAGTGATCATGGGCTCTGCGTCGCGGCCGCCGTCGGCCAGCTCCGCTATCGGTCTCAGAAGCTCCAAACGATAGCCGTTCTCCAAACGCCGTCCCAGCCTTGGTTGCGCTTGTACTAACATCGTCATGTAAATCGTGCTCCCACACTCCACCTACTCTCTTGGGCTCTGAATCATAACCCAGATCGTGTTTCCACCGGTTATCTTTGCCGGTACTTGATCCTCGCAAATCAGAGTCCCGTCTTGAATTTCTCCACCGGCTATCGTCTCTACCGCGCCCATACGACCTCTCGTTATCACCACGACGTTGTCCATCATAACGCCATCTGTCACCACCACGGCCACCTCCACGACTGCCACCAAAACCCGGAGACCGTGACCGTGAACGAGAGCGCGAACCTTCTCGGCGGTCTGGGGACCGTGATCGGTGTGACCGGTAATGTCTAGAATGCCTGTCACTACCATGCGACCGTCCAATCCGGCCAAACAAACTATTGCTGTCACCACGTCTATCAGTCGATGCTGAGATCTCATCCATTTCTTGCTTTCTACCTTGAAGGCTATCACTGCCTTCGTTAAAAGCTTCTTGAGTAACATCATCAAGTTCAGAACCGGCTCCACGACTTCCACGTCCTTCGAGACGACGCAGTACTCGCGACGGAAGAATTTCACCATTGTTAGCATCAACTTCTTCACCCAAAGCTTGAACTGTTTCTGTCATTTCAAGCTTCCGCTTTTCATCTTCTCGTCTTTGTTGCTCGTCTCGGTCAAAATTTCGAATGCTACCAAACGTAATCAAATCGTCTTCTACGCTCGGCTCACCATGCACAAGGTAATACCGTGACATTTGCCGCGATCCACGTACTTTCACGTCAGAATCCATTGCGTACCGCACAATGAAAATCGACTTGGAAGACTCATTTGAATCTGCAATTGGTTCCTGTTGCTGTTGCTGCTGAGGATCTTCGAACTCTTCTTTGATCACTGTAGGAGCTGTATCTACCGGGAATGGAACTGTTTCACGTTCTTGTAAGAAAAACTGGGCCACATTGCTGGCAGACCCATCTTTAATTGTAGCCTCCAAATCATACGCGTGGTTCACAAATGCAGCAACAAGTGCCACAGAGTGCACTAAATTTTCGTACTCAGCTTCTTGCTGGCGCAAAATATCATCATCTAATGGATTGCCTTGCGCGTCAACCACAGGTGGAGGTGGTGGGACCGGAATTGGAGGGCCACCGTTTGCCGCAACAACTGCAGCTGCAGCTGCAGCCTGTGGGTCTGGAACAGGAGGAGACACGGCCAACTGGCGCAAGGCCTCCAGAGTCATGTCGGGACTTAAAAAGTTGATATTGACAGAGGTATCATTGACCCATTCAAGAGTAAACCGGCGTACCTTAGTGACGAGCCGGATGTATCGACGGACTTGCTCGCTAGATAGATTATCGACACCTTGAATATGAAGAGCGTCAAGTCGCAGTTTTTTAAGAGTTTCTTCGTCGCGTTCGTTTACTTCAGTTGTAGCAGACGTTGTTATCACTTCGGTGCTCGGAGCTTCCGCTCTCGGAGCTTCCACGTCAACCATAGCATCGTCATCAGCTTCCGGCGCGTCAAGGACGATTTCAAATTTTTTTTCCTCAGTCATTTTCCAAGGCTTTGTTTAAAACTTAAAAAAAAAAAGAAAACTAAAAAAACTAAAAATTATCTCTTTTGTTTGAAAGGGAGGAGGGGGGAAATAAAAAAAAGAAAACCTTGTGAAAAAATTAAAAAAACTAAAAAAAAAATACAAAACTCTCAAGTCAGCAACTAAAACTTGTTACAAAAATCATCACTACGTGTAATTATTGCTATTTCCCCTGTAACATCGTGCGCCGCGCATAATACAATATGCTTAATCCACGGAAGGGCTCAAACGTGCAGTTTGGAAGTAAATGCGGGCGGCAGAAGCGCAAGAAATCAGCGAATGAGTGAGTTTTCGGTCACAAACCGGGACATGATTATCATGACAACGTTCTCCCTCAGAAGGCTCATACTTTTTGTCGGTACCAGTAAGCTGGTGGTATTCGCGCTGACCCTGCTCCGAAATGCGGAAAATCTCAAATGTTTGAAAATAAAGCCCAGTTTCATTATTGCGCATGTAGCGGTTCATGTACTTGACCACACGAATGGCTTCACGGCGAGTTCGATCCAATACTTCTTGTGATGCACGCTGTCCAATAAACAGGTGTAAATCGGCAAAGCCCTCTGCCAGCAATTGGTAAAAGTAAAGACTATCACGGTAAAAGCGGGCATCGTGATTGGGTGTGTCTCGGTCAAAAATGGTGGTGTTAGTATCTGTGACTGCAAGGGCAAGCTGTTCTGCCTTTTCCTTAAACCAGTCTTGACCTGTTTTGCAGTAAAGCATTGAAGTAAGAGTCAACGGAGTACCTTGATTGTAAGTCCACTTCATACCGTCTATACGGTAGCCGTTCCCGCACTCGTTATGTTCTTTATCGGGAACGTATCCATCACGAATGAGCTTGTCGTCTTGGTCTTGCATGCGGTCAAAAACCCAGCGTGCACAATCTGATGCAAATGAAACAAGTGTACGGGCATAGCTGTCATTAGGATCCATATGTCGCTCCAAACGTAGTGCTGCAATTCCGCACTCTGCCGTTGTACATGTATTGGAGCCATCCTTCTCCACGTGCCATCGAACACCATAGGGCTCGCTTGTGTACCAACCAGTGAGAAGAAATCTTACTACCTCAGCGCCCTTGTCAAGATAATGTCGGTTACCTGTGACTTCAAAAGCTGTGAGAAATGCAGAAGCTACCTGGGCATTGTCGTCAAAATATACATCATTGTTACCGTCAAAGTTCTCTGAGGCGCAGTAAGCATGATACTTTGGAGAATAGTAACGATCAAACACGCGGAAAACAGGCTCAACAAACTGATGGGCGTCCTGGGGGTAAATTCGCATGGCATCAACTACAGCTTGGGCAAGCACAGATAAAGGCCAGACTGTGTATTTACCGTCATCTGTGTAGGAACCGTCCGATTTGTTTTTGTTACGGAATCCGTGGCAATGTTTGTCCCAGAAAGTGTTCCAAGTTAAACGGAGAGTCTCCATGCCTTGTTGATTGAGGTCGATAGTCATTTTGCTAAAGTCAATTGAAGTAAATTTGTGTAATAATTAATTAAAAAAAAAAAGAGATATTGGTGAAAAGTATTATAGACAAAAAAGATAAAATAAAATAAAATAAAATAAAATAAAATAAAATAAAAAAAAGATTTAGGAAAAAAACAATAATGTGCAGTTCTTAAATTATTTATATACGGCGTTTTTAAGGTTACCGAGCAAACTTGCGAGAAATAAAAGCAGCCTTCTCGGATAAGACAAAAGCAAACTACGCCATGTTTAAAGACTCATGGCAATCAAATGGTTGCGGTCGAGCAGTGCCAAATATCCAGCCGTTGTATTTAGCATCAAAAAACATAGACTATCAATTCATGTCAATGTCACCAGAGGAGCTATCTTCGGCTACCCATAGAACGTTGTTGCATCTGATATGTTAGAATAAATATATATACAAACAAGTTAGTTTAACTTACCGAATCATGATCTCACCGAGTTGACCCTTCTTATCACCATCAATGTATTCGACAGCATTGTCTAATTGGAGATTCATGTATGAGTCCACAGACACTAGTCGACCACGGTATTCAGTCTCGCCCCACTTCAGACGTACAATCACGCCGTGGCCAGTTAAGCCTTGAAGAAATGGTTTAGGATTAATAGGATCAAACTTGAACACGAGTTAGATAAGATCTATATATATATATATTTTTTGAGTCTGAAACGTAAACATTAACAGACTTCTTTTACTTACAGTGCCTCCCATGTTGGTGTGGTTGTGTGTGTTGAAGAAGCAAAACGTTTTGGTGAAATTTTTTTTTTTTACTGGTGGTGAAAACCCAATTTTTTTTTTTTTTTTAAGCTTAGAAAAAAAAAATATTTCTCTAGCCTAATAAACATCACCACGAAAATCGCAATGACACCTGTGGCAAAACCCTCCAAAACTCAGGAGACCCAGCAAAAGGTAGCGCTTTGGATTCTTCGTTTATTTGTTTTTTTATTACCGTAGCTAACTTTTTATAGGAAGACCTACAGGTTCTCAAGCAGATGCATACCATGATGGCAAAGGTAGAAACCATTGTCAAGTCTATCCATGATGACATTGCAACTGCCATTGAGAACCACGAAACTATGTTATCTGATACTCATCGGTTAGACAAGATTATCAGCACCGTATCTACCAGTTGATAATATATTATTCACATCTAATTTTTTTTAATTATATTTGCGTGACGCGTGGGTTTTTCCCACCGTCGTAGAGCAGTCGGATTCCGACCCAAATGGTGTCGGTAAGTGATAAACTCAGTCCCAGCGCATAAACTAGAGTGATGGCATAGAAAAAGTTGGAGTTTCCTGAGCCTAAGTAGATCCACAAATGGTAAAACGTCGGGGCCAGCGCCGACGAGTATAAAAACGCAAGTGCAACTGCCTGACGGAAACGTAGCAGCACAAATACAGGTTTGAAAAGGGTAAGAAGTGAGAGATAAAACCCCAGATCCGTAACCTCAGGGTACGGCTTGAGCAGTGCCAAAGTGCCCGAAACTATAGTAAGAGCAAAAAGAGGATATGTGTAAAAGCGGATTGTTATTGGAATGGCAAATGACGTAGCAAAGAGCTGGAACACACAGAGGAAAAAGGGCCGGAAAAAGGTAAACATTTCCACAAAAAAGTACCACCACAATCCCATGTTTGGAGTCAAGTCTTTGAGCATAAGGACTGTATAATATGTAGACTCAACAAAACTCCAGCTATAGCCAGCAACGACGTACGACATGTAGAGAAAAAGTCCGGCATAAGCCAAAAAGAATGTAATGAGGAGGGCCCAGGCTTTGATGCTAGCAAGTCTACTGCCATTTGATATCGGAGTGGGCACATTTCTGACAGCAAGGGGCTCGAGTGAAACAGCAGCCAATGCAGGTAAAAAGCATAGTGGGTATATTGATAAGACAGATGCTAGAGCAAGAAAAAGCATAGCAATGAGAGGTCGTCTCACAACAAGGCCTGATGCAATAGCTGCTAACACCAGAGTGTTGGTCAAAACATTTGTTGAATGCGCAAAAGATGCCAAAAGGGAAAATGGATTGAAGAGATAAACGGCTGCAACTGCAGCAGGTGAAAATGCACTTGGTGGTGGCAGTTGCTCGCTTTTTTCTTTTGAGGTTTCTGCTGCTTGTTTTTGAGAGCGGGCCTGTAGTGTTGATGCAATTGCGTAAAGGCAAAGAGCGCCAACAATATCGGCAATTGTAAAAGGTAAATGCAATGGAAGGCCATGTTCTTTAATTAAAGAAAAAAAGGCTACCAAAAGAGGTGAATGGTGGCAGACGCCACTTTCGTAGATCGACGAGCCAGTCGCCGATATAGACGACGACGAGTACAAGAATAAGCCCTCCTGAAGTCGCTTAAAAGAAGATACAGGGGTCGTGATCTCAACACGACCATCCAGCACGGGCTGAAGCGATGGCACCAGCAATGGAATAGCCGTACGGAAAACTGTTGCTATTCCAAAGACGGCTATAGCAGATGTGTCAAATGGCATTGCTTTTTGGTTGATTTTTTTTTTAGCAGAGAGACTTAATTGTTTCGTTGGTGGTGCTTATTGGGAGAATCCTAGATCGCGGGTGATTCTGGGAATGACGGTTTTGGCGGTGGGAGCTAAGCATAGATGGTTTAGCTAGTGGAAAATGACATAAGCCGTGACTCAGCGGATCTGAATGTGAGCTGGCGTTTGAACGCGGGTTCAACGAGTTTCAAAAGCGGGTGATCGGAGGTGAAAAGTATAAAAACTCGAGAATTTTTAAGATTGCCCGGTAAAATATTTGCTCTTTATGATATGCTTGGGACCCGGTTGCCATGCTGCATTGGCTTCTTAAGCGTTGTTATGCTTGTATGGCTATTGTATGGCTATTGTCTTGCTATATATATTATTTTATTATTGTTTTGGTTATTGTTTTTGTTTTTGTTTTTGTCAGCGCACCCACCAACCCGCCTAACCGCAAAGGCTACGTGGTGTTTAAGTCCTCCACCAAACCTCCTTTTTCAGACCACCTCACCAACTTTCTTCCTTCATTTTTTTTTCATCCTCTCCATCCAAACCCTCCTCTCAGCAATCTTCTCACTTAGCCATAACTTCTCCTTTACAACAATGCAGGCCGAATTTGAGAACGCAGAGGAGATTGACGGAGTCAGATTTTCCTGGAACTCCTTCCCCAACACCAAGATTGAGGCCTCGCGTACAGTCATTCCCATTGCGTCTCTTTACACGCCTTTGCGCGAAAAACCCGACCTCCCTATCCTCCAGTACGACCCAATCACTTGCAAGAATCCTTGCCGAGCCGTCCTCAACCCTTACTGCCAGCTTGATCTTCGCTCCCGTGTCTGGGTTTGCCCGTTCTGTCTTAGCCGGAACCAGCTGCCTCCTCATTATAAGGAAATTTCACAGGCTTCTCTCCCGCATGAACTGCTCCCAACAAGCACCACCATTGAATACGTGCTTTCGCGCCCAGCTGCTGTCCCTCCAATCTTTTTGTTTGTAGTCGACACTTGCCAGGATAATGAGAATCTCCAGGCTTTGAAGGACACTCTTATCGTTTCCCTTTCCCTTATTCCTCCCAATGCCTTGGTTGGTCTCATCACTTTTGGCTCCATGGTCTTTCTCCACGAGCTTGGTTACACTGAGTGCAGTAAGCTCCATGTTTTCCGTGGCGACAAGGAAGTCACCCCCAAGGATCTTCAGTCCAAACTCGGTCTTAACCCTCACCCAATTTCTATGGCTCCTGGCCACCAAGCTGCCCAGAACCCGGCCGCCGCCATCCTTCAACAAGGCTACTCACGTTTCCTCCAGCCTGTACAAGAATGCGAGTTCCAGCTCACAAACCTTATTGAAAAGATTCAAAAGGACATGTGGCTTGTTCCCAATGACCAGCGTCACACCCGTTGCACTGGTTCAGCTCTTTCTGTCGCCATCAGTCTCCTCGAGCATAACTTCCCTGGAACTGGCGCTCGCGTCATGCTTTTTGCTGCTGGCCCTCCCACAAAGGGCCCCGGTTTGGTTGTTTCCACCGATTTGAAGGAGCGTCTTCGTTCTCACCACAATATTGCCAATCAAACAGCTCCTCATTTTGATAAGGCTGTCAAGTTTTACGAAGGTCTTGCTAAGCGCGCTTCTTCTAATGGCCATGCTGTCGATTTGTGTGTTGGCTGCTACGACCAGGTTGGTCTTCAAGAAATGAGTTCCCTCTCAAACTCTACTGGTGGTGTCATGATTCTTTCTGATGCTTTCACCACTTCTATTTTTAAGCAGAGTGTTCAGCGTATTTTCGCCAAGGACTCGAACGGCTTTTTGCAAATGGGCTTCAATGCCTCCATGGACGTTCATACCACAAAGGAACTTAAAATCACCGGTTTTATTGGTCATGGCGTGTCTCTTAATAAGCGCTCTGCCTGCGTTTCTGATACAGAGATTGGCATCGGACGAACTTCAGCATGGAAGATGAGCTCTATCACACCTGCTCATACATACGCCACTTATTTTGAGATTGTCTCTCAAGGTGGCACTAACAATGCTACTCCGCATAAGAGCAATCAACGTGCCCTCATCCAATACATTACTCATTATCAGCATTCTAGTGGCACACTTCGTCTTAGAGTTACAACACTTGCTCGTGCTCTTGTTTCTGGTGGATCGCCAGATGTTGCTCTTTCCTTTGATCAGGAAGCAGCTGCTGTCGTTATGGCCCGGATAGCTGTTTACAAGGCTGAGATGGAAGGTTCTCCCGATATTTTACGTTGGATTGATCGTACTCTCATCAATCTATGTCAAAAGTTTGCCGATTACCGCAAGGGTGATCCATCAACTTTCTGTCTTTTGGGTAACTTTAGCTTATACCCACAGTTTATGTACCACTTGCGACGGTCACAATTCTTACAGGTGTTTAACAACTCTCCTGATGAGACAGCCTTTTACAGACACTGCTTGAACAGAGAGGATTTGACAAACTCCCTGATTATGATTCAGCCCACCCTGATTTCATTCACATTTGGTCGCCCACCAGAGCCTGTCCTTTTGGATTCGGTTTCTATAAAACCCGATGCCATTTTGTTGCTCGATACATTTTTCCACATTTTGATTTTCCATGGTGAAAACATTGCCCAATGGCGTAAGGCTGGTTTCCAAGACCAGGACAACCATGCCAACTTTAGAGAGCTTCTCGCCGCACCACGCAAGGAGGCCTCTGAGCTTCTTATTGATAGATTCCCACTTCCCCGCTTCATCGATACTGATGCTGGTGGCTCGCAGGCCCGTTTCTTACTGTCGAGACTTAATCCTTCGGCTACTCCTAAGAATGCTGAAACTTATGGCGGTTTTAGTGCTGGTACCACTGTTGTTTTGACTGATGATGTTTCCCTGCAGACTTTTATGGAGCATTTGCAGCAAACTGTCGTTTTGGCTAATTAGAATGGGAAAGGTGTGTGTGTAAGCCATATATTTTGGAGGGTACTTTTTTTTTCTTGTAAGTTTAAGAATCATAATAATAATAGTTGTAAAAAAAAATGTAAAAAAATTTGAATTTCCAGGCATTGTTAAACTCAGTCACTTTTAGTACAGTGATAAAAGCAATATTGCGTAAATCGTGTCCTTTAGAGGGAATGAATAAATGATTCTCTATCTATTTTTGTATTTTTATTTTTACAAAGTATTTGGGTATTTCAATATTAACCAACATATTTATTAGGCATTTTAAGTCCATGTTTAACTTTTACGTTAGATATTACAAGTCCAACATGATATTTTAAGGAATCAAATTTAATTATAATTGAAAATGCTTACGAGCAACTTCTAGTTTCAGGAGAGAAAATTTAGATGATAAACAAGATAATTAATGTTCCAAATCATGATTGGGGAACTACTAATTATTAGTTGTTAAAATATTCTGAGCAACTTGTATCTCTTTACCAACGTTGTCTCCCTAGATGGTTTAAAAAAAAAGTTAAAAATAGGTTAAAAATATAAGTAACCAACATTTTCCACCTAAATATGTATTAGACAATAATTTATCTTAAGAAGAGGAAATTTTTTAACTGGATAGTTTAGATAAATATTCTTTGGTACCAACCTCTTAGATCTTAATGCACAAACTATGGTTTTGGGAAGCATTTTTCACTAGTTGGTAGCCTGCACTCAGATCTTTAGCAACTGTTTGCAGTAGGTGTTGTACATTGAAAAGATTTGGTAGGAATAACCAAAAAAAAAAAAAAAAAAAAGGACTTATGGGAATTGAAAAGGCCGACAAAGAACAAAAATCTCAAAGAATAGTGCTAGAGTTATGTACATGAAAAAAGGAATCGAGGGTCTTAAACATGATAACAACGCATTTAGTATAGTTCTCCAAGCTATACTTAAAAAGGTCATGGTGTGCAACGCTTGTGTTCTAAGAGGACACAACCATTATTAACCTAAGGTTATTAAATTTTTCTTTATTAATCAAATTCATTCACTTTTCGAGCCTATTCTTAATAAATATATGATCATTTATACTTTATGATAGCTACTGTTAAGTATTGATTAGTGGCATAAGTATAAAAAGCTCATAGGATCAACAATATTTACTTTAAGCAACTGTATAAACTGGTCCTGTGCTGGCTACTCCATCAAATACAAGCAGATTCTGTAACGGTTGTTGTTTTCTAGAAATCGCATTTAGGATTTGCTGGGCAACAACTCCACCAAGAACCGCGGCCACAGGCGAAATCTCTGCCCCTTTTGTGGCAAGAAACGTCTCCACAGCTTGGTCCGTCACAATTTCTGTTGGCAGCTTAAGTATTTGCGCATAGTCTAGTGCCGCAGTTTTAATATTTCCCGCGGTCAACTCCTTATTTTTGCTTTCTAACTGGAAAACGGCCAAAACCACCAGTAGCAGCGGGCTGACTTTGAGAGCGCGACGCTTGGCTTCAAACAATGTACCAAGAGAAATTGGCGTAGAGGACTCTGGTTCAACAACGAGTCTTGATATGGGCACATACTTTTCAGACTTTAGAATCGTATCAGTAATGATATTGCCCTCCTTAGAAGTAGCAGGAGTCACTGACACAATGGCGCGCGTACGACTCTCCGGACCCGGGTTTGGCAGGCCTGTTATCGCGCGTTCTTGCTGGATAGTAAAGTTGTAATTGTCACCCAAGTCGACAAAGCAGTATCCATAAAACCCGGAGATGGATGCAGCGTAAAACAGATGATGCGAGCTGTCAGAAATCGTAGAACGCGATGTGTGTGTGTTGATGTACTCAATCTCTGGATAGGTGAGCTGGGTACCTAGCGTAACGTCAAATTGAGAATACCATTCGGCATCCTTCTCAAGTGGAGATCCTGTATCAGCTGTAACTGTGACACGGGGATTCAATTTTTGGATTGCTGGCAGGGCAGCCTCTGCACGCTATCAATGATTGTTAGGATATTATAAAAAAAAAACAATAAACAATAAACAATAAACAATTGCCACCCACGTTTTTACCGATGCAGTCGTCGTTGATAAAAAATTGAGCACCCAAATCAGAAGCAGTGACAACATGCGAATCGAGAACTGTAAGAGAGCCAATACCGGCAAGAACAATATTTTTTATGATTTCGTTGGCAAGTGCACCGGCATTGACGATAAGCACGCGAGAGTTGCGCATACGCGTCTGGGCCTCCATGCCCCAGAGTCGGATCTGGCGATCGTAAAGAGCGACCTCCTCTGAAAAAAAAAAAAAAAAATGTTAATAATCGGACAAATTTAAATCTATAATTTCCAAATTTACCTGATGAGATGGCCTTTTGGTCGGATGTTTCTTCTGTTGTCATGCTGATGTATTAATTTGGTTTGTTAGTGATAGTTTGTTTGTGTTTGTGTTTGTGTGTGTATGTGACCCGTGTGGGCTTAATTTTTTTATTTTTAATTTTTTTAATTTTTTTTATTTTTTTTATTTTTTCAGTTAAAGCTTGTAAACAAAAACGGTTTGGCTTTTTATTTTTTTTATTTTATTTTTTTTTTCTCCAGCCGCCCAAAGTTTAAAAAAAACCTTCATTCCCATTTTTTTTATCCCTCCCACATATACCCGATAAGCCCGGTTGGCACCCTTTTTTTTTTTTTTTTTCTGAAATTTCATCATTTTATAAACCCACCTGGTTTCATCTCCACATAGACTGCTCATTACATACCTCTTTTCACAACTATGGATCTTGGCAGAATTCTCGACGGAACTCCAGAACCGCCGGCCATTGTGCCTTCCTTGGACTTCTTTTCTGGAGGCAAACGCGCACCAGCTGATAAAAACTCGGCACTGGACTATGTCCTCCCAGTGCCAATGACACCCTTCCAAAAACAACTCACTGACGACGTCGTTTCATTACATTATTCAGACATCTTGCGGTTTTTTGAATGTGGCTCTCTAGATAACCAAGTTCTTCATGACTCCCTTGCTAGTCTCTACGCAAACACACAGCTTGTCGCAACTCACCCATACCTTTTGGTCCAACATTACCTGCCACCAAACCTATTGCTTAAGGATGTGCCAAATCGACTCACAAACTCCTCCGGGAAGTTTGCTGTTCTAGTCAAACTCATCGACATGTTGCGCGACAAGAAAGTAGATGTGGCTCTTGTCTCGCGTGCTGGTAAATCTTTCGATCTCATTGAGGCCCTCCTCCTCGGCCGCGCAGTTAACTACCGTCGCTACTCGGGCTCGTATCTACGCCAGTCGACCAAATCTTTTAAAAAAGCTTCTACTATTCATCTGTTCCCATCTTCACACCTTTCATCAACTTACATTGGTTCAGAACGTTTTCACCTTGTCATTGCCTTCGATCTCACTTTTAATCCCGAAGATGCACACATAACTGCTATTCGTACCCAGGGCCGTGGGGCCAATGACACTCCGGCACCCATCATCCGTCTTATCCCTTATTACTCGGCTGAACATATTGTTTATAAATTCCAGAACATCAAGTCTGACGATGAAACCCTCTATATGAAGCGTGTGGTTGCAGCCATTGTTGTGCTGCGTGGTCGCGCTGGTTCAGTCCCCGTGGACTTGCGACCCCATTACGCGTCTGGCTTGAAATTCTTGGCTCCATGGCTCGAAGACCCAGTGACACATCCCTGGACATTACCAAAAACACCAGATATTGAAATCTACTCAGCTCAAGATGTAGAAAAGTCACTTCTAACTGAAGTCAATGTCGACGCAAAACACCCAATCGATCCTGAAAGCTCTACAAACTTTTATTCAACCTCCATCAGTAGTAACCAGCATGATAATAGCAGCAATAACCAGGCAAATGGTCACTCCCATAACAACCACTCGTCTAACTCCTCCTCATCTTCCACCTCTCAGCCATATAGTTATTCTCTGGCCAATGGTGTCCCAAAACAATTTACAAAATCAGGCCGCGACCTGTCCCACCCAAATATTCATCGCTATTACCCTGAAGATGAAAATGAAAATGATGAATACTACAATGCAAAGCGCCTGAAGCGCGAACGGTACTCACCTGGCGATCCAGAAACCGCTACTTCATTTTTGGCTCCTCCTGGCGGAGGGCTCTATCAGCAACAATCCGATCGCCAGATTTTGACGCACAAGATTCTGCGGCGGCTGGATAATGCCACACGCGACCTAGCTTTACGCCAGGCAGAAGTTACATCACTACGCTCCCAGGCTTCTGTGCGTCAGTCTATGTATGAGGATCTTAGTACCGAAGCTGGGAAGCTGGTCACACAGATTTCCACTCTCAAAGAGCAGTTGCAAGTTCAAGAGCGCAAATCCGAGCGCTCTGACGCCGAGGTGGAAAAACTTACCACCAAAATCGAGCAACAAACAAAGGATCTTGAGGAAGCACGTGAGATGCTAGCAAATGGCCCACCAGAACTCGCGACTCTCGAAAAGCAGCTTGTGCGCATTGCTGAACTCGAAGACTTGGTGAAAAAAGCAAATGAACGTGCCGATCTCCGTACCACAGAAAATGAGTACATGCGCTCAGAGTACCAAAAGGCTTCTACAGCTGCCACTGATGCTCTTGAGGAAGTCAAAACTCTTACGACAGCTAAAAAAGCACTTGAAGTTCGTCTGGAATCTCGGGCAATTGAGCTTAACCGTCTTACTTTTGATGAAGAACGCAAAATTAAAGACCTACGTATTGCTGAACTAGAAACTAGGGCTGGAAACATTGAAGAACATCTCAAACGTCTTCAAAAGGCCGAGCGCCATCAGCCCACTCGTTCCCGCTATGGCATGCGTAACTCCAGCTCCAATAGTAGGCGGAACAATTCACCTTCTGTATCAGGTGGTTCTGGAAGCAATAATGGTAACGGACGTAGGGGATCTCCCGCAATAAGTTAAGACAATAGTAAATTAGTATTTAATCCACAATATATATAAATATTCTTGTTTTTTTTTTTTTACATATCAATATCTTCATCGTCATCTTCTTTGGTCCATAGTTTGACAGTTCTATCCCAGCCACTACTAGCAATGTATGTTTGTTTGTTAGGACCGAAATCGCCCACAACGTCTGCTGACATAACCTTGTCAGAGTGGCCTTCCAGTGTTGAAACATGAGTCCAAGTATCGGCGTTCCAAATTTTAACAGTACGGTCATAAGAGCTTGATATGAGATAGGTTCCACTCTCTGAGAGATACTTCTTCAGCCCTATAACGTTATCCTCATTAACCTCAGGTAGGATTGCGTCCTCACCAAAGTTTTCGGAAAACGCACGCGGCACAGCATCTACCGAGGAATAAAACTTAACGTCCGAAACTATACTTGTATGCGCTGGAATATCAAATACCTGTTGCTGTTGCCGCAAGTCCCACACTTTAATCGTCCCATCCGCGCTGCCTGTCACAACATGGTACCCATTTGGGGAAATATCTAGTCCATAAATTGGTCGTGCATGACCAACAAGGGACAAGATCCCTCTGCCAGTACGCAAGTCCCATAATCTAGCGACGCAGTCCAAACCAGCCGTTCCACACAGCGAGCCATCAGGATGAAACTTAAGAGCAAACACCTCTTTTGAATGACCTTCTTGCATCAAAAGCTCTTGACCTGTACCAGCATCCCATAGACGCCAAGTCATATCATATGATGCAGACCCTAGATACTTTCCTGTAGGGTGAAAGGCAACACGCGCAATACGCTGTTCATGACCCTTGAACTGAGCAATCGGGTCTCGCACATTAGTATTACCATCTGCGGCATCACTTAGTGCTGGAGTAAGGTTATATAGTCCAATAGTGCCGTCAGAATCCCCTGCCGCTAAAAGCGAAGAACTGGAACTTGGTCCCCATGCTATCGAGGGCTTGTCGGAATCTAATTTAATTGTTCCCACACTTTCAATTTGGTTAAGATTAGGGACTCCATATATCTTGATTTCGCCAGCCCATGATGAGACAGCTAAATGTTTCCCCGTTGGAGCGAAACGGACCATTGATGCTGGTCTTTCAGAAACAAACTGACTACCTAAAATGTCAATTTTTTGCAAGTCTAGTGTGATTTGTCGTCGATAGGGAATAATTGTCGACATAGGAAAAGATGAGATAAACTTTTGATATCTCAAGCGCCGCTTTGCCGCTTTCGTAGAGCTCAAATATATATCACGTCTGGTTGTTAAAAGTTCAAACCCGCCAGGTGTGTAAAATTCGTCGTCTTCTTCACCTTCATTCCCGCCGCCCTCTTCATCACTTTCAGCTTCCATATCAATATTATCGCCAACAGGGAGGCCATTTTGGTATCGCTCAAGCATTAATGCACGCAAACGTTCGCGTCTATCGGCCTTGTCTTCTCCAAAAAGTGTGATAGGTTCGCCAAACATACGCAAACGAGTGCGCACATCCATGTCATTAGTTGGTACTGCAAATGATTTGGCCACATTTCGAAGTGTTTGTGATTCAACATAATCACGAGCTTTAGAAGAAGATAATGTATTGTTTGCAAGAGCTATAATTAAATGGGATTTTTCGTGTTAGGCACTGGCCATGTCAATAAATTTTGGTGTTTAAAAAAAATTCAAGTAACTTACGAACTTGGCTTAATGATATTGTCCCATCCTTTGAATTTTCGTTAGTCTGAGTTATGAAAACACCTATGAACTAATTTTAAACAGACTTACTGAATCTTTCCCTGTATCTAGTAGGGCTTTTCTTGAAGGATGTATGCTCATTTTTTTTGCTGAGTTTAGGAATTTAGTCGGATCACATCTCTGGAACTTAGACTGTTAAAGAGGTTTAATAGTTCTTTGAATTTTTAATGCTTATATAATTTATTTATCAGCAAAAAAATTAACCATGGATATTGTTTTTCATTCTAAAAAAAGTATTTAACAACAAATTTGTAAAGTAAAAAATTAAAAATACACATTAAAATAAATAAAATAGTTCCCATAATTTACAAGTCTATCGAAAATCGCAAACCAATAGACATCTTTCAGTGGATTGATTATCCTGGCTTAATAAATCGGTGGATACATTCCTTTTTTGAAGTACTTCCAAAATGATCATTTCGTCGTCAAACGTTAAGAATCCACCAGTTTGCTTATTGTTCGAAAAGTATGTAGATTCATTGTGTTTGTTTCGTTTGCGAATTTCTTGCAACAAATTCTGATCAGCATGGGGAATTTCTTGAGGAACATTTCGAGTTTGACATAACGGCGGAAGAACATGGACTGTCGGTTGATTTTTTCGACGCTCTTTTTCTTGCCTCTGCTGTTCCTTGGCCAGTATTGAAGAGTCTTTTTTAAGAGTATCTATTATTTCGTTGCGGGTTCGGGGTTGGTCTAGTCTATCATTAGCCCCTTGTGATTTATCGGTATCCGATTCAGTATGGGATCCGTAATCCTCTTGAGAGCCGGATTTAGTTGGTAACTTCTCAAGCTCTGCTTGATTTGTAGACTGCGAATTTAGGTTTTCATGAGGTATATATATCAATGTTGAATCATCCTTGTCTTCAAGTTCCCACCATCTGATTTCAGGAAATCCTGAAGAGACAGAAACTGCAACACCACCAGGCTTTACAGACACATGCTTGATTCCCTTCATGTGTCCCCATAAACGTTTTTTAGGCTGGATTTCAAGACAACATTCTGCACTTCTGACGTGGTAATAAGATAATGTGTTATCTTCGAATCCAGCTAATAAATAAGGATGGTTGTATGAAATAGACGATGGGGGCAATACTCCATGAACAATAGGTGTGCTGAAAACATTTGTAGCCGAAGAACATGTGGACATTCGAGTGTTAACTATGCTTCCGTCAGGAGCACATATAATCTCTTGAATATAAGGAATCCAATCACCGTTTAATGCAAGACGGCAATAAGCCACCGAAATGCAAAAAAGAAGGCGTTGGTAATGAAAAGATCTTATAGAAAACGATACAGCTTGACTCGGGTCGATGTAAGATTTGAGAACTGATACTGTCTTAGTATTCCCGTCTGCAATAGAATATAAAAGAATATTGGACTTATCAGTATATACTGCAATAATATTTTGTCGATGAACTATATTGCGAATAGCGCCGTACTGTGTATGGTCTATGACAGCAATATGCTTCATCTCAAGACGAACTGGTTCTCCCTTGTCTCTATCTCCAGGTTTGATTCCTTCTAGTGAAAAAATAGCAAAAGATCCTGTTGTGAAGCCAACAGAAATTCGAAATGATCCAAGTTGACTAATTACTAAAGTAGAAGGGATTCCAATAAGTTCTGAAAAAGCAGGTTGAATATAATCCTTGACGTTGACATCAACAGACATTGTTTCTTCGCAGTTTTTGACCACTAATTTGCACTCATGATCTATAGTCGCAATAAGCTGATTTCTTGCTGCAACAAGTAAATCCAATGAAGAAGAACTCCACTGTTTTGTAGTATTAATCTGCTGACCTTCTTCGCTTTCTTCTTCACTATCCTCATCAGAGTCGCTACTGTCTAAAAGTTCCGAACTTAATATAGATTCATGCAAGGCATTTGGATTATTTTGTGAGTCTTGTGATAGTGAAAGATATTTAATGTGAGAAGCACCGTGTTTCCAATTATATTTGATTCTAAAATACTTCTTCCAGTCAAATACTGCGTTGTTTGGAGCAGATTGATTAGCTAGTGAAAGATTCGATCTGAAAATGGATTTTCGTGAAAATTCGGAAGAGTATAAATCCCTCCAAATCTAACAGTGTTAAAAAAATGCAACTTTATAACCTTGATTTATGAATAAATTTTATAGATTACTTACCTTATTATCATTAGCAACTCTGTTCCATCGTTTATTGACGAGAATGCAGTTTTTGATGCTGTTAAAAGGAAGCCATAAGAAAATCTTTAGTAACAATTCATCCGTTAAAAGGCTGGCAGGATATGTTTTATCAGGTTGTTCTAATCGATCTAAAATATTTTTTTCCGAACTTAATGAAATTTCTTCAGTTTTATGTTTTGATTCGTTTCCCAAGTTTCCCTGAGAGGGAATATTGGCATCATCGTCTTCATTTTCTAAAATAAGCGAAATTTTTCGCTTTCGACTCATTTGCATAAATGTTTAGTGGTTTGCTCCTTAGTATTAAAGCAATGATTTATGAACACTACTTTCAAAAAAAAAGTTGTGAAAGAAAGAAAGAAAGAAGAAAAAGCTAAAAGTTTTAAAACATGTCAAAATGTTTCTTAAAATACTCTTCCGAGGGATTTCCAAAGATCAGATTAACATGAACAAAACTAAAATATAAAAAAATAATGTCACGTGAATTGGTATAGTATGTCTGGAAAATTTTTTATCAGATCTGAAAGATGATCAGATTGTAATAATCAAAAAAGTATTTATCTACATCATTCCTAGTATCTTCACTACACAGAGACCATCAAATTTATCCATAGTATATCAAACCCCCAAACTCAATAAATCAATTTTTAATATTTAAAGCAAACTGGTCTACTGATTTTCATTACCTTTAGTTTTAATATTATTCTACCAATCACAAGTCTTAAGAACAGCTTAAAGTATAGGTTTAATAAATGTAACAATTTTGTTATGTAACATGTGTATTAAGGTAAGGGTTTGTTATGACATAACGTTGTAACATTTATATTTGAAAAGTCCACGTATCGTCCATTATTGATGCCAGGTTCCCCTTAACAAAGCTGCCACCACCATTATTATTACCTTGTCATCACCACCTTTTTTCAAGTCCTTTTACTTATCTTTTGTTTACACCCCTTCTTTCTCTAACTTGTCATCTTTAAATCATTTCCAAAATGCAGATGCTGACAAAGGTAGGTTTTTTTTATTTTTTAATGAATTCCAGTTTTTATTTACAATTTTTCTTCTACATTAAATAAATGCAACGTTTCATTTACTTTGAAATTTACTAACCATGAATTCCATTAGTTTGAGTCAAAATCTTCCCGGGCAAAGGGTGTTGCCTTTCATCCAAAAAGGTATGTTTGAATTGAAATTTTGTTGTATTTTTCAACCTAACTTTATAGACCTTGGATTCTCGTTTCTCTTCACTCATCCACAATTCAACTATGGGATTACAGAATGGGTACCCTCATTGATCGTTTTGAAGGTCATGATGGCCCTGTTAGAGGCATTGACTTCCATAAGACTCAACCTCTTTTCGTTTCTTGTGGTGACGACTACACTGTCAAGGTTTGGTCTCTTCAAACACGCAAACTTTTGTTTACTCTTAACGGCCATCTTGATTATGTTCGCACTGTATTCTTTCATAACGATCTTCCTTGGATCATTTCGGCATCTGATGATCAAACTATTCGTATTTGGAACTGGCAAAACCGTCAAGAAATTGCTTGTTTGACTGGACACAATCACTATGTTCTTTGTGCTCAATTCCACCCCAGTGAAGATCTTATTGTGTCTGCCTCCCTTGATCAAACAGTTCGCGTTTGGGATATTTCTGGTCTTCGCAAGAAGCACTCTGCTCCGACCCAGCTTGCTACGTCATTTGAGGACCAACTTGCTCGCGCAAATTCCAGCCAGCAAGACATATTTGGCAATACTGATGCGATTGTGAAGTTTGTTTTGGAAGGTCATGACCGTGGCGTGAACTGGGCTGCTTTCCATCCTACGCTTCCTCTTATCGTCTCAGGTGGTGACGACCGCCTTGTTAAGGTGTGGCGCATGAGTGAAACTAAGGCATGGCAGGTTGATAGCTGTATTGGCCACACTCATAACGTTCTTTGCTGTGTTTTCCATCCTTTCCAAGACCTCATTATTTCTGTCAGTGAAGATAAGACTATTAGAGCTTGGGATCTCAACAAGCGAACATTGATTCAGCAATTTAAGCGCGACAATGATAAATTTTGGTATATTGCTGCCCATTCAAGTATTAACTTATTTGCTGCTGCTCATGACAGTGGTGTCATGGTATTCAAGCTTGAACGTGAACGTCCTGCTAGTGTTTTAAGTGATAATACACTTTTCTATGTCACAAAAGACAAACTTGTGAAATCATTTGATTTTACAACTGACTCTGAATCGAATCCTCTTGTGTCTCTTAAAAAAATTGGCGATCCTTGGGCTCCTTTCAGAACCATCTCATATAACCCTTCTGAAAAAGTTGTCCTTGTCACAATAAAGGCCGATAATGAAAACGTTTACGAGTTGCAGCAAATTTCAGGTAATGGACCATCAATTCATTCCAATATTTCCGGATCTCAGTTAAACGGCAAGGGAGACGCTGCACTTTTCATCAATAGACAGCGCTTTGCTGTTTTCAGCAAGTCTGCTCAAGTCATCCGTATTCTTGATATGAATAACAACGTCACCAGAACCGTTAAGGTCGGAAGCAACCCTATTAAGGATATGGTCCCCGGTGGACCAAGTCTTGGTCTTGTCCTGTTGTTAGGTGCTTCATCCGTTACACTGTTTGACCTTCAGCAAGAAAAGGTCATTGCTAAGGCCCCTGTCAATGGTGTCAAATATACCTCTTGGTCAAAAGATGGCAAATACGTCGCTTTGATTGGCAAGCATCAAATCACAATCGCTAACCGTGATCTTAAGGTTCTTGCTTCCCTCCATGAAACCATCCGCATCAAGAGCGCAGTTTGGGACGACAATGGTGTTCTTTTATACTCCACACTTAATCATCTCAAGTACAGTTTACTTAACGGTGACCATGGTATTCTTAAGACTCTTGAGAATACAGTATATCTTATCAAGATTAAAGATAATCTTGTTTACGTTCTCACCCGCAATGGTACTATTGAAATCATTGAGATTGACCCTACTGAGTATCGCTTCAAGCGTGCTCTTCTGAACAAAAACTTCAATGAAGTTCTTCGTCTTATCAAAACTTCTAACCTTGTTGGTCAGAATATCATTGGTTATCTTCAACAGAAGGGCTACTCTGAAATTGCTCTTCAGTTTGTTCAAGACCCTCAAACAAGATTTGGTCTTGCAATTGAGTGTGGAAATCTCAATGTTGCTCTTGAGCAAGCTAATGAGCTCAAGAAACCTGCTGTTTGGCGGATATTGGGTGAAGAAGCCCTTGATCAAGGTAACCATGAAATTGCCGAGCTTGCTTACCAAAAGCAAAGTCAATTTGACAAACTTTCATTCCTTTATCTCACAACTGGTAACTATACCAAGCTTGAGAAAATGGGTGCTATTGCTAGCCACCGTGGTGATGTTAATGCCCAATTCACCAACGATATTTATCTTGGTAATGTCATCAGCCGCATTGAAATTTTGAAAGCTGCTGGTCATGATGCTCTTGCTTATTCTCTGGCTAAAAGCAATGGTTTAACTGATGTTGCCCAACAGATTCTGGAAGAATCGGGTGTTGAAGAGAGCAATATCAATATTTCTGTCTCTGACAGAACATCGCTACCTCAAGCTCCTCAAGTGATTAACCCACTTTCCGGCTTTAACTGGCCTTTAAAGAACACATCTTTGTCGTTCTTTGAGCAGGCTATTTTGGGCCAAGTCGACAACCTCTCTCTCGAAGAACCTGATACACAAGACAATATCGATGTTATTCCTGATGTCGATGCTTATGACGCCTATGAGGATGAAGAAATTCAAGATGATGCCTGGGGTCTTGAAGAAGATGAGATTGCTGTCGAGGAGCACTCGCAAGATACTTCTGCTCATTCTGGTGTTTCTGAGGTAGAACTGTGGACTCAAAACTCACCTCTTGCGGCTGATCATATTGCGGCTGGCTCTTTTGAGTCTGCTGTCCAAATTCTCAATAGACAGTTGGGTATCACAGACATTGCACCTCTTAAGTCCAGATTTTTGGAGATTTACCAAGCTTCTAAGGTGTATCTACCTGCCACAGAGACTTTACCTTCCCTCCCCTTTTTTGTGAGACGAAATCCTACAGAGACTAACCCTCTTAAGTCTTTGCCAATTATTCCTGGCTATGATCAACTCAAGCCAACTCTGCAAGAGGCATTTAAGGCAGTTATGCAAAACAAGCCGGAACTGGCAATTTCCTTGTTCAGAAAAATTCTTTATATTATTGCCACACTTGCTGTTACCACTCAGAGTGAAGTCGATGAATGCGAAAAGCTCATTAAAATTAGCAAAGAGTACATTCTGGCATTTTCTATTGAATTGGAGAGAAGATCCCTTCCTGCCACTGAGATTAAGAGACGTCTTGAGCTTGCTGTCTACTTCACTAAGCCTACTCTTGAGCCTCAGCATGCCTTCATTCCTTTGCGTGTCGCTATGGTTGAATCATTTAACCACAAGAATTTTGGTTCTGCTTCGGCTTTTGCTGCTAAACTGTTGAAGATTATTGGAAACAACAATAAGATTTCCGAAAGAGCTCGCACCATTAAGGAGAAGGCTGATAAGTCTCCACGCGACAATGTCGATATTGATTATGATCACTTTGCCGATTTCGACATCTGCCCTGCCACATTTACTCCTGTATATAGCGGTACTGCTTCAGTTAAAGATCCTTACACTGGTGCCGTTTACCATGAGAGTGCAAAGGGAACGATTTGTAAGATTTCAGGTATCACCACGGTTGGTGCATCTGCTACTGGTCTTAGATTGAAGATCTAATTTTATTTTTTTGAGAAGGATATTTACTTTAAACAGGACAAAATACCAATATAGGATTTCAACTGTAAAAATTGAGCATAATTTACTATTTAATATAAAGCTGGACAAAAGAATTATTGTTCTAATTTACTTAAATTGAAAAAATCAGTTCTTGAGGCTATTTTTTTATTTTCTCTGTTAAATGAGAAATTACGTAATTACTTATAATAATATTTCAAAGTTACCCTGTTTGAATGAAAATTTCCAAGTTCACCAAAAAAGGGTTACGCTACCACCCAAAAATTTTTATTAATAAAACAGCCATATTGTCTACTGCTAATTATATTTATTTTTGGCTCCAGTGTTAGAAGATATCAAGTAATATTAGAAATGTTTCCCGTTACTAGATCTCTTAAAAATTCTGTTCAGAAAACAGCGATTTCTGCTAGATTTTTTTCATCGTCTATTATTGGTTTAAACCAGGATACTAAGCCTTCCAAGCCTAAACAACCTGAGGGTAAGTTAATATCTATCTCTGGAGATATGTTATCAGAGGTTCTTTTGAACATTAAAAGTTTTTAATTTTCGTTGTAATTTTGACAAATTTTAACTTTTCAGAGGGTAAAAATAAAAAGACCTTTAAAACTAGATCAACTTCTCGAAACACGTCCTCAGACACACTCAAAACATCTCTTGCTTATACTCAAAAAATTGATGGTTCCAACTCATCTGCCCCAGTCTTTGAGATCGACCCTCTTCTTTATCCTCGTTTTGAAAGCACTCAGACCTATGATCCCTTCGACTTTTCTTTGACCAGCGTCAAGATGAAGCTCCAAGCCAACTACAACGGACCCGTCAGTGAGAGATCTTTTGGTGACATTAAAGATCCTCTTGACCTTTGGAAGCGACCTGATATTCTTAACGAATTTGTCACTCATAACGGAAAAATTGTTCAGGGTGCGGTTGTTGGTAACAAGGGCAAGACTCATAAGAGAATAAGCAAGGCCATCAGAAGATCTCGTGCTGCCGGCCTGATGCCATATTTCCACAAGTCTAGCTTATTCCAATAAGTATGGAAATCAAATATGAGAGCTTTTGATTTTGTATATATCTATTGTCTCGCATTGATGCAATTATGTTTTTTTTTTCCTTCATATCTACTGTAAATAAATTATTTCATTTTTTTCACTTATTTGAATTAATCAAACAAACTATATTTGGATATTCATAATGATTGAATATATTCATGATAAACCTAATAATACTTTTATGAGCTTAGAGTGAGTGTCAGTAGTTTTGAGTGTGCGATTATGTTATTACAAAAAGAAAGCTTAGTTAAGACTTACTAAGCACTAAAAAAACTCATAGATCACGAATTGTTTTTATTTTTATTTATTTATTTACATTTGTTTTTGTATTTTTTCCTTCCTTGTACAAACAAATAAACAAAAGAAATTTCAACACGGTCCCTACTAAAGAAGTATTTATACATGATCATTGGTTCAAATATTGTTTTTAATACTCTACAATATAAATGAGGGCTACTTCTTTTGATTTATTAATATAACACAAAGCATACAAGTTTGAGCAGAGTGCCAAATGAAACCATCACAAAGCTCCCAACATGATACAATTGAAAGTGAAGAGAAAAGCCAGATTTCTACTTCTGATTACGAGGAGTATATCAGCTTACCACTAACATTGACGCGGATTTCTGATTCACAAAGGAATTTTTTTGAAAATCCTCCTTGGAATGCTGCATCAAAATCTACTATAATCAAGGTATGTGTGCAATGGTTAGAACGCGTTTTTTCGCGTTTTTACTTGATGATTGCTAACATGAATTAGTCTAATTTTTTGTCAGAAAATCTTGACAGAAGTAATTTTTTAGAAAACAATAATGATTCAACGAAAGATATTTCTGATAGTCCTCCTACACCTGAAGTTACTGAAGGATCAAGCTTCTGCTCATTTATTAGTGAAACGCCACAACCAAGCAGTCCACTTCCAAAATTGCACTTATCATTGAATAGTCAAGGTAATAGCATTCTTCCAAATAAATCTTTAGAGCAGGAGAGTTTGTCTAAAAATTTATCCACGTCTCATTCTACTATAAACAAAAGTACAAACCCTACTACTCCTGCTAGTAGTTTCAATTCAATTCGAAATTCTCACCTGACAGATGAATCTACTACGGAAAATCAGAACAGATCTTTAGTTGAACCTTTTAGAAGTATTCAAATTTCTTCCAACACTGAAGCAACAGTAGAGACGCCACCTGTAATTCAGTTTGATGGGTTGAATATTCCAGTAGATGGAAGAGAGTTGTTTAACAAACCCAGACTCCGTCAAAGAAATTCCGATCAAATCAGGCCCTATACAGTTTTTCAAAAAAATTGGAATCGAATGGTACAACAAAATCCTGATTTAGCGGAGTCTGATGAATATGAAGATGAATATGAAGATGAAGACGAAGATGAAGACCAAGACGAAGATGGAGATGGAGATGGAGCTGAAGACACACAAAATAATACCTATTATGATGGTCATTTGAAACAGTTTGGAAATGACTCAGGCAACTCCATCAATATTCAAAAAAAAACTGATAGCAAAAATGGAAAAAGGAGTCTAGCAATGAATGACAGTCCGGTTAATCATCCACTCTTTTTAATATCTAGTGATGATGGAGCGGAAAACCTTAGTATCGATACCAATACTGATATCAACTCTGATGATGATGACATTCAAATTCACAGAAAACGAATACGTAATAGAATTGCAATTGAAGACGAAAGCAGTCAAGAAAAGCATGATGGATCAGACCCTTTCGAAGGAATACCAACTCAAGATAAACGGATTTTAAAGAGAGCAATAAGGAAAGCAAGAGGTTCCATGCCAGCCTCTCACTTTATTCGGGATTATTGGGAACAGAAGGAATCCGAAACACCTGAAATAAACCCAACTAATTCAAAACCCCATAACACTTCATCAAATTCCAACATAAGAAATAATAAAGGAGTTGCCACTATTAAAAAGAGCATGATCAGAGTTTCGCGTGGGACTTTGAGAAATTTTATTGATGACAGCTCTCAGCCAAATAATAATGTGGAACCATATCAAGTCGTAGATCAAGAAAGATTGGTCGACCTCGATGTTCCAAATTCGTCCCAGCATTCATCCGATTCAAATGTTGATCTCTTTGACAATGAAAATTTTTGGAGATCGAATCATTTTGTAGGTCGAAAAGATTTTGACGATAATCATATGATCTCTTTTCAGGATCCTCCTCGGAATTCTATGGTATTAACGGAAGCGACAAGAATAAATAATTCGCCTCAGCCTTCATCAGTTATTTTGAATTCAGTATCTCGCGACAGTAATGGCAGTTCATCCTTTCTTCAAGCCAATAATGATATTTCTCGCGTCAGTCTCAGGAGATCATCGCAACAAGTGACTGATCCATCAGGTACAATTGACTTGGAAGAATCTAAAACATTAGGTTCAGATGAAAATAGAAAACACGCAATTTTATTACCAGAAGCCGAAAATATTCGATACCCAACACCTTCAATGTCCAATAACTGCCCGAACAGCTATAATGAGAAAATTGATACTTCGGAAGTTGAGGTATTAGGCGTACGTAATAACTTATCAGTACTTCAGCCTGAAGCTATGGAACGTGATGTTATAGTCACACAAATCAATAAATACAGGAAGAGACTTCATTTTGAAGCGCATCACTTTTCAAAGAAAAAAGTAAGACCTTCTACATCTTCAAAAGATAAGGATCTTCGGAAGTGGAAAAAAAGGTTAAAAGGTGCTTTACCCCCTTCATATCTTTTAGTAGAAGATAAAATTGCTAATAATGAAAAAAGGCTACCAAGCCGGAGACCTAAGGTTCAAACAAAACTAATGAACACAATAGAGTCAGTCAATTCACGTCTACAAGTTCACTCGGAAGAAGAAACTATTATGTTTTCAAGCGATAATGAATTTTGCAATGGTGCCAATGAGAATTATGATGCTGACGATGCTATCTCCAATAATAGTAGTGACGATTTATTTATTACCGCAAAGCATCAAAGAAATGCTGTGGATATTAGAGCTTTCTTCAGAACTAAAAACAAACCAGAAATCGATCATCTTCTTTCAGAACCTATAAAAAAACCTGCTAAATCCCCACAACTATCAAAACCTGATAATCGTGTTTCTCACTCAATTTTTAATAGAATGATAGGTCTTCCGGCAACAAATAAGAATCAAAATGGTCTTCCAGCTTCTAAGACACTCAATCCCAATTCCAATTCCAAGAAGCGTTCAAAGCCTAAATTAAACTCTCGAATCTTTGGTCGTGTTTATGCCTTTCCACCTAATTCAGGTAATATTCAAATTAGAAAAACTGTGGACACCTCAAATGCAAAAGATAGAAGAGTGAATAAATTAGTGAATGAACACAATTTTCAAGTTTACGAACACCATAGAAATAAAGGTAAAACAGTGACGAAAACCAACTTATGCACTATCAATACTACAAGCAAACGGATGACACAAACCAGCAATGATTGGCAAAAGAATGCTGGCATTGAAGAATGGATTACTGATATGCCTTCAGATTTTGATGATCCATTTACTGGAGAGATACGGGCTTATCCTTCAAGAGAAGGTGGCGAGGAGTTTGAAGCTGAGCTCATAAATAGAAACAACGATCTAAATGAATCAGAAAAAATTTCTGTTATCAATGATACCGCGGTTATCAGAGCATCAGAATCACCCAAGTTGGTTGACCCTCGTGTTTCAGTTATATCAAAAACTACAGAAAATCTAGACAATGTGCTAAAAACGAAGAAACATAAAAAAACAAATGTTTATTCTGACTATTCAAATGTTTTACCTCTTTCTACTAATTTAGCTTTTGAAAAGGATTCATTCATTGGATCCGGGACTCTTGAGGCTGTTGTTACTGGAATTGACCCTAATCCTCCTAATATTTGGGCTGATCTTTTTGAAGGTCCCTTAGATGTTGTGAATTTTTCCGGGATCAATTCTATTTTCTTTTCTCGCATGGAAACATTTTACAACTTATTCTTGACCTGGTGTAAAAATCCACAGTTGGTTACACATGTTGAATACGAGACTGCTTACAGATTTTTGACACTTGCCTGCAGATTTGTTGCTTCAAATGTATCTGGCTTTGATGAAATTAACTCAGAAAGATTTCTACGTGAGCTGCGAACTTTTATGGATAATTGCTTATCACTTGGCTTGACAAAAAGACCAAATGAAATAATAGAAAAAATTTCCATTACATCATTAACGTTTTCCGTTGCGTTAGTGTTACCTTTGTTTTCATCTCTTACCTCAATTAGGTCGGATATTGAAAAGCCTATTTTTCATAAGTTTAGCCCAGAAATATTACAATACTTTATCGAGTACGGTATGATACCCATCTTTCAGCATATAAAAGGTGCTGAAATACTAAAAAGTGACCAGTATTATATTATGGAACTAGCTACGATTATTATTAATGTTCATAATAAAGCATTTAAGATTCAGATAGAATCTTGTTTTCCTAACCCATCCCTCTCCGAGTCTTTACATATATTCGGACTATTAGATACTCCAGAAATCAACACATCCTTTGATAATTTGGAGTCTGCATGGAAATCATTTTACTCGTTTATTCCGTTATTGAACTTCAAGAGCTTTGTTTCTGTTGATTCAAACTTATATTGGGAATTTGTCGTTTCCTTACTTGATAAAACCTTGAATTTCATCAATAATAATGATTTGAGGACTGATATTGTTATTAAAGGGTCTCTTCGTTTTCCTAAATACCTAAGTGATAAAAGTGTTTTTTATTTACATGCTGTTCTTGCGAGAATTTCCAATCTTATGACTAATTGGAAGTGGAGTGGAAATAATCAAATAATCAAATTCTTATTTGACTTTTTCTTTAACAGAGATTTCTACAATGTTGAAAGATGGCATGTAAAGAGTCCCTTAGAGCTTACAGTACTTGATGAGTATAAACTTGAAAAGAGGGATTCTTGCTTTGTTCAGTTTCTTAAGTTATATGCAAATACTGTAGAGTATTTTATTCATCACAACGATCCTTTGTCAATTATTCATGAAATCAATATTGTTAAAGTCTTTAGTTATCATCGTGAAGATCCTTTAGAGGAAGCGGATCTTGAAGCACTTGACAATATGTATTCATTTTTGCTTCTTAGACATAAACTCGCACCTTTAAAGCTTAGGTTATCTCGCAATCAGTTATCCGAATTTGTTAATCCCCGTGCGATACATGCCAGTGCCCGTTATTCAGTTTTAAAGGCTTGGGATTCATTTATGGATATCCAACTTCATCGGAAAGGCACCCGATTATTGATTGCAAAAGATTGGTTTTATAATATACTTGGTTGGGCAATCAAAGAGTATTTGTTACTTTTGGACTACTTTAAAGATAAACCAAATCTTTTAAAGCTTAATACGGTTCCGTATATACGCTTTTTTGTTTCGGCATTCACTGAACTAAAACACTGGTTATCTATTGAATACGTGTCACACAAAGATTGGAAAACACTTTTATCATCATTTTTTGCTAAGTCGATTTTAACGGACAGTCATGTCCCCGAAGGTATTCTTGAGCTTTATTTCTCTGTTCTGAAATGCTACGTCAATACAGCATCACAATTGGCGTCACCGGATTTTGGAGGTTCTGTTTTTCAACCACCAAGAACTAAAGAGATTGCTTTAGAGGAAATTACGGAATGGTTTTCCGATTCAGAAATCTTTACATTTAAAAAGTTTATTGCATTGGCGTTTCGGAAAAATGATACGCCTGATTTCACTGATAATTTTATCCAAAAAGCAATTAATACCTATACAGTATGCGCTGAGTTTTTAATCAGGAATAAAAAATATAGTCTGGACGATTTCATTGCAGACTATTCAGAAGCTTCAGATGATGTTTCGAAATCCAAGATTTATCTTCCACTTTTTCTTGCTCATGTGTTAAATCAAATTTCTGAGGAACAATTTTCAGTTTCAGAAAATACATTTATTACAAAATGGATGAATTTTTTAGTTACTGAAGAAATTAACCATGAGCCTGAATACGCAAAGTCTCTTATAAAAAAATCACCAAGTATTTTTACGTCTGAAGAATTAGAATCTTTGAGCATTTTTATTGAATCTTATTCTTGGAACAGATCATCAATAATCAAGGTTGTCATTTCTTCGATTAAGCGTCTTGTGGATAGTGACGATTGGAGTAAAGTGAATCTTGGGAAGAGTATTTTGTCTTCATTAGCCTCAACTCTTATATCCTTTGTATCTGCTCAAAATGTAAAGGAGGATTTTCATCTTTTATGTCTTGATTCTCTTCAAAGAATTAGAGAGACTTTCCCAGACATTTCAAATAGTGAAATTTCAGCTGTTCTCAACAAATATGAGTCCAAAACAGAAAAAATTATATCAAATCTCAAAACTAAGCTGACCAGCAAAGCTTTTGTTAGATCGTCTCATCATCAGCATATTCTTAATTTTATCACAAAAAAACGAGACGACTACCTTCAAATATTTTTTAAGACTTTTACTTCATCATTTAAAGATGGTGTTTACATTGATGATTCGAGGCTGAAAACAGGAAGAGATCTATTTTTGAAGTATACGTTGGCACCTTACTTTCTAATTTGTCGGAAAGGAAGTTATAATCAATTGATCTTTTTACCACCGTTGTGTGACTTGGCTCTCAAGATAGTTGAATTTCAAGCAAGTAGTGCGCTCTATTTTCCTTGTTCAGCAGTGACCTATCTTATCGCATCAATGGTAGAATATCTTGCAGTTTCTCCTTTGTTATCAGCATCTTCATCGCAAGAAAGAATTTTCTTTGCAATTTCTTGGAAAGTATTTCGCACTGTTTTGAAGCTTATTCATTTACAACTTTTTTGGGTAAATGATTTTTTACTTTCTTCAGAAGAAAGGACTCTTTTTTCTTTTGTTATTGATGCTTTTATTATTATTTACGGAAAGAATGCTGTCGGTATAACTGGATTGGAGTTTCCGTCTACTGATGGTTTAAAGGACTATGAGAGATCTGATATTCTTAAAGGATTTTTTAGTTCAACTTCTGAAACCAACAACTTCAAATATGATACAACATCACACACTTGGATTCTTAGTCCGAGTAACCCTCCAAAAAAGTATGCTCCTGAGTCAATCAATGTGGCCGAATATAAACGATTGGCTTTAGATGAAGTTTACAGGTTTTTCAGAGAGATTTATCACAGGAATAGCCCAACCTTGACGAGTTTATTTACTGAGCATTCTCAACATTTTATTGAGTCCATTTGTGAAAGGGATGATACTCTACGCTTTTTATTAACGATTATTTCGCCATCACATGTTAGCACCAGCCAGTTTATTGGGAATTCCTTTATTGATTCTCTGGCTTAAAACTTAATGACCCTAATGACTTAGATTTTAACCTCTTAATTTATTATAATGTAATTGCAAAGTTGTTTTTTCCTCCACCAGGATTGACTTCTTTTTTAGGAAATAGTTTTTTCCCTTGCTTTTCTGTATCATTACTTGGAGCCCCATTAAAAGATTGGTTCTTCATTATATTTAATTCTTTTTGAACATAAGGGGATAATCTAAAATTTTCATTGGCCCCATCTAAAGGTTCACCAAATGACCAAAGCCAGTATGCTAGTTTATTTGTAACTTTGTGCTTAAGAAGTTTTGTATACCCGATTGAGTGCATTATTTCGGTAAGGTGATCCTCAGTTAAATATCGTGAATTCGTGACACATGGTGCTGGAAGAACAAAAAACAAACAGGGGAATACCTCATCATATTTGGAATCATTTACCAGGCCTTTTTCAGTATATTGTGTAGATATATCACCTGTGTCATTGAATTTTATATGGCTCTTGTTTTGTAAAGCTTTTGAATTTTTCCGAGAAATTATTCGCTTCTTTAAAAACTCTGTAGATCTCAGAAGCATTCTGCCTCTAGTCTGAGGGTCTGAAACATAATTTACTACCAAAGAAAGAGAAATTAAATCAAACACCTCAGTATTTTCATCGACCAATGCTGATTTTTTGGGTAAAGGGCGCTGCATGAAATCCTGTTGCTTGATATATTTAGGGTCTTGGGAATTGAGATCTATCCGTTCAATATAATCAAAAATTCCAGATGTTGAGCATGCATTTTTAGCCGATAATGATCCAACTTCTAGCAAAGAGATTTTCCGTGGATTTTTCACGTCCTCTGTTGTGCCTTGTTCCTTTTTAGGTTTTTTATGTGCTGTAATCCCAAGTTCTTGAAGCCATTCAATCAAAAGTTTAGAAGTATCACCACCCCGACTATTATCCTGGCCTGATATTGATGCTTTTTGATATATTTCAATGCCTCCATTTTCTTCAATCTGTTTATTGATGGACTCCAGTGAGTTTTGTAACTCTGTAAGTTTTTCACTAGTTAAAGTTGGTACTTCTAAAGCATGTTTAGTAATATTAGCTCCATTTGTTTGATTGTTTCTCTTAATCTGAGCAATTTCTTTTTCAATATCTTTTTGAATAATGGCTTGTTGTTTGAGAAGGGTATGGTGTGTGCGGATGATTCTTCGCGTGTGCTTTGATGGAAGCATGCCGGCTGGCGAGGTCGCCAAAGAGCCTTGGCCTTTAGTTATTTTTGCATTTCCAAATGTTGTTTTACCAGTAATTGAAACTGATTTGGCTTTTGACGAGAATAATGGAGTTTTTTTTTTCTTTGCCATTATTATAAATTGAGAAAGTAAATTGAGATAATTTTGTTATGCCAAAAAAAAATTAAAATAAAATAAAATAAAATAAAATTTTTATCCGATGTTAAAAGAAGTTTTAATTTCTTATAGGTGCTAAATTGATGACACATGTTTTTCTGAGAGTGGGGTCTGTTGAATTACCGATGAATAAGGGGTCTCTTTTACAAAACCATCTATATATATGCCATCAGAGTTTAAACAGAATCAATAGTCATGCATAGATCAGAACAGTGGCAATAACAACCATTTTTTTTTTTTTTACTTCATAATTTCTTTCTCTAGTCAACAATTTTCATTTTAATATATTTTCTTCTTGAATTTTTTTTTTTTTTTTTTTTTTACATTAATTCCTTCTTATATTATAACCATCTTCCCCTCTTCCCCCTAAATAAGCCACTTTTTTTTTTTTTTTTTGTTACTCAATTACAACTACAACTAAAACTACAAACACACAGCTCAAAAGATTTACAACCATGAGTACAAATTCAGAGACTGTTTTTGTTACTGTTAATCCTGGAGGAGGTGCCAGTGCCGGTGCCAGTGCTTGGGCTAGTTCCGGAACTGGTGCATCTCAGGGATTCAGCGCCACTAAGTTTCTTGAGTCCCTAGGAGTCGATTCGGAAAAGTCCAAGATATACCTCACCGTCATTGTTTTACTACTGTTTCAGTTGGGTCGTCATTTCTTTTTGCCAGCAAGACATCGTCGACGCCGCCCAGACAACAATAACCGGCAACAACAGGAGAGCCAGCAGCCGCATGGTGACACCAGCAACAAAGACAACGGTGACATTCACCCCCTGATTGTTACTAAGGACCAAAATGTGCCGACATATAAGCGGTTGACTCCTAAAGAGATTTCTGTGTATGATGGCTCTTCCAAAGGTAAACCGTTGCTGATGGCAGTGAAGGGTGATGTTTTTGATGTGAGCAGAGGTGCTTCGTTTTATGGTCCTGAGGGCCCATACCATAATTTTGCAGGCCGTGATGCCTCGCGAGGCCTGGCCAAAAACTCATTTGAGGAAGATGTACTGACGCCTTTGGACGAGCCTATTGATGCGTTGACGGACTTGGATGAGGAGGAGCGTAAGACTCTGGATGATTGGTATAACATGTTTAAGGGCAAGTACACTCACATTGGGTTTTTGGTTGACCCGTTAGCAACCAAGAATGCATCAATAGTGCCAGCCGCAACGTCTGGGGAGCCAGTAAAGGGAAATAGTACTGTGGAAGCTTCCGAAGTCTCTCATAGTTCACCTGATGCATCTGTAACAGGGGAAAAGCCAAGTGAAATCTACGATAATGATGATGATGACGATGATGACGATGATGACGATTTCGAAAAGGTAGAGGCTGTTCGGTCCAGCGAAGAGGAGTCTTGAACACAAGAAATTTTTTAAAAAGAGGTCAAGTAAAACCTATATGCATTTAAAGTCTCGTTTTAAAAGACTAAACAATTCTGACTTGTCATACCGTAAATTCTGTGTATTGATTGTTTTCCCCATATTGAGAGGTTTAAAATTAACACGCCTTGAGTTATGCGTTTCCACAGCAAATGTTCATATTTAGCTAGCTATTTTTTTTTTTGACTCTGTTATATTAAAATAGACAATTAAAATTTATCAATTCAATTCAATTAATTTAATTTAATTTAATTTAATTTAAGTTTTTTTTTTTTTTTTTTAAAAAAAAAATTATAAAACCAATATATATATTTTTTCTTTTCTGTTTCATTCCTTCATTCCTTTTTTTTTCATTTTTCATTTTTCATTTCACTTAATTTCCAACATGCGGGTTTAAACTACATCTCCATTCATGTAGGAAAAGCCTCTAAACTTCTCTTGCATTTCTGGCGTCAGAATGCTATTGACAGGAGTGAGGGCAGGAACTTCACTGGTGAACTCCTGGTCAAAGTTGCGTACATCTGTGGGGGAATCAATTTGGGGCACAAATGGCGGGGGGATACGGCAATGATAAATATCATCAAAGTTGATATTCTTAAAGTAAGAATGCTCCATAATCTCTTCGGCATCTCGTGGGCCAGATCCCAAACGCTTTGTAGGATCACGGGTGAGCAGGCCTTGCAAAATGGATACTGAGTCGCGAGGCATGTGAATGGGGTAAAGAGGCTCATCGCACAAAATGGCGTCAAAGACTTCATCGTCATCGTCACCACGGAATGGAGATTGACCAAGAAGCATTTGATAAATAAGAACACCAAAGGCCCACCAGTCTACACTGCGGCCATACTTTTGTTCGAGAAGAATCTCAGGAGCCATAAACTCAGGGGTACCACAGAATGTCCCGGTGGTATTGCCATACCACATTTCTTCCTTACACAAACCGTAATCGGCAATCTTAATGTGACCCGTCAATGTGAGCAAAATATTATCAAGCTTCAAGTCTCGGTAAATGACACCATTCTCATGGAAATACTTGAGAGCTAACAGCACTTCAGCAGCATAAAATTGAGCACGACGAGAAGTAAAGGGCGTTTGCTGAATGTGCCACATGAGATCACCACCGCTAATGTACTCCATAACAAAGTAAACTCTGTTTTCAGTCTGGAAACAAGAGTGGAGATTAAGCAAAAAGGGATGGCGCTCGCGGTTAGCAACAAGGAAGACACGCTTTTCAGAACGGGTGCTTTCCACTTCGTCATTTTCAATGATAAAGTCTTTCTTAAGAACCTTAATGGCATAAAGGTTTTTGTTTGCACGAGATTCCGCAAGCATTACCTTACCGAAATTACCTTTACCCAATACAGCCAAAAAGTTAAAGTCATCCAAACCGACTTTTCTTCTAGGTCGTCTAGGCGATTTCTGATGCATTTGATGCATTTGATGTAATTGCTGAAGCTGTGTAGGAGACAACTGAGCAGAATTGCGATTGCCAGGAGTTCCCACTTGAGCAAGAGAGCCAGCTGTTGATGGTGTGCTAGGAGTAGCACCAGCATATTGTTCCTGGTAAGGAGACTGGGGTGAGTGTGGCTGTTGTTGCTGTTGTTGCGATTGCTGCTGAATAGGTTGATACTGGAATTGCGCACTGCTTGGCTGCTTTTGATGTTGTGTTTGCTGCTGTTGAGCCTGTTGCTGAGCTTGTTGCTGTTGTTGAGCCTGTTGCTGAGCACGCTCCTGGGCTTCTTTCTGAGCTTGCTTTTGAGCCCGCTCTTGGGCCTCCTGTTGAGCTTGTTGCTGGGCACGCTCCTGAGCTTCTTTCTGAGCCTGAATCTGAGCTTGTTGGGCTCTTTCTTGAGCCTCTTGCTGAGCCTGCTTTTGGGCTCTTTCTTGGGCCTCCTGTTGAGCTTGGAGCTGCTGAGAATGTTGCTGTTCTAGAAGAGTATGAGAAGAATCAGAACGCAATGTGTTCATTGCAGGAGAGGCAGCGGAAGCCCCAGAAACAGATGTGGAAGATGTATAGCTTTTAGAAATCTGGAGATCAGAAGAAGAGACAGACTTTGGAGGAGAAGAAGACACAATAGGAGCTGATGGAGAACCAGCAGGAAATGAAGGTGAAGGGGTTCTCGTAGGGCTGACATCCTTTCTCTTGACTGGAACACGTTGGCTTAGGGGTGGAGAGGGTGACTCTTGAGCATCCGGGTATTGGTGAAGAGCAGATGTTTGATAACCAGCAGAAGGCTGCTGTTGTAGTGGCAGTTGTGTTTGTTGTTGCTTCGACAGATATGGAGACTGTGATTGGAATTGTTGCTGCTGTTGCTGCGATGATGGTGAGGAAATAGGTCGGCCATATGTTGGTGAGACAGGTACTGCTGCCCCCTGAACATATGAGTGTTGCTGTTGCTGTTGCTGTTGCTGTTGCTGCTGTTGCTGAATCACTTGTGGCTGTTTCTGGACCTTAACAGGGGAAGTAGTTGGAGCAATAGAACCAATACTGGCAGCCGACTTAGAGTGTTGGTGGGCCTTACGATTCTTGGTAGATTTAATCTCGGAGAGAATTTGCTCAGCCATTTCCATAGACATACCACAAAAGTCGGGAATCAAATGGACACACTGGGAATGAGCCATAAGACCACACTCGGAACACTTGCGGACATTCTTTTTCCCCAGAGGAAGCATGTAACCACAATGACAGCACCAGTTTGCGCTCATGTTAGTGACAGGCTCAAAGCGATGTGGAATGCGGTGATTAAGCTTTTCCTCGTCTGGATCAGTCTCAGTGCTAGCTTTAGAGATGCACTTGGTAACAACCTTAGGGTAGCACTTCTTGTGGCAAGTATACTTGCAATCAAGACATTGATAACCTCCAGAGTATTTCAAAAAGTCACCGCACAAGGCACAACGCATAATATTGTAAAAGTTCTGTTGAACAAACTTATGGCCATGCATTTCATGGATTTCTTCCTTCTTTTGACGAATGGCACCTTGTCTTCCAAGTCCACCATTATTGTCGTGTCTGGGGCCTCTGTTTGTCTTTTCAAAGCCCAAAGTAAGATGTATTCTTCCGACAGGTTCTAAGACAAACCAGCCATCAATAGTGAGGGAATTGGAGTTGGGGCTATTTCCAGAGCTAGAGTTGAAGCCAGTATTAGTGCCATATGTGTTACCAGCAGAGGCAGTGCCAGGGCCACTGGCCCCACCACCACCTGCACCAAAACGGGCAGCACTATGGTCACCACTAGAAAATCCGCCCATACTGGATTGAACTTTGGATGCACTAACCCAACCTGGTGATAGTTCCTGTTCAACTTTTTTGCGACGAATTGCCTCAGCAATATCAGATATTCTGAGCCATAAAACGCAGATAGGGATATCGCGGTCCATTGAGCGATCATAGAGAACAATTTCTATTTCATTTGCTTTGTCGACATTAAAATTAAATTCTTCGTTCCAATTGTCATTTCGGGAAATGCGAGTACGTGCGCGAGTTTGGTCTTCAACCTTGACTGTGATGAAGGATTCTGGAGACTTTGCTGGACGACCAGTAGAATAGTGATCAACGTCTCTAACAGCACGACAGGCAATATGGAGTTTACCGGTAAGAGGCCGTCGGAGATTTGCATGAATAAGCGACTCATCTTCACCAAAGTCTTCTTCAAAGTCAATATGCATATCCGAGTAGCGTTTGAGAGATTTTGTCAGAAGCTGGATTTTTTGGCTACTTTCAAGTCTCTTTCCTTCAGCTTCGGATTTGCTGCGCTTGTCACCTTCCATTTGGTAGAGGTTAATCATTTTTTCAATGCCTTCTTTATACTGCTTTTCAACGCTAAGTTTAAATTCTAGTTGTTGAAGCATTAGTTGAATACGAGGTCCAAGATATGGTGTATCATATTTAATGAGATCCAAGCGAGTGAAATTAGGTCTCACAGCTGGAGGTGAGTCATAGGCTGAGGCATCTAGAAGAGGGAGGAAAAAAAAAAAAAAAAAAAAAAAGAAAAAGAGGATGTTAGCACGAAAGAGAATGTTAAAAAGCGGAGGGTTCAGTGAATTTATTTAAATCATCACATTAATAGAGGGACGATATAAAAACGATTGTGGTGGTGACAATGGATGAAAGGATGGTAGAAAAAAAAAATAAATGATAAATAAAACATAAAGAAATAAAGAAATAAAGAAAAAAAAAACTTACTGTTAGAGAAAGCAGTTGATGAATTGTTGTATATAGACTGGTTATTTGGAGAATGAGGACCATTTGGAGAAGCAGGGTTTCCAAGAAATGGAGAAGAAGAAGAATTAGAGTCAGAGGAGCTAGCAATGATAGAATTTCGTTTTCTAACTTGCAATTGGCGAAGACGTTCTTCAAGATATTCTATATTTTTTTGTGCTTCACGAATGTTTGCATCACACTTTTGTTGGACACTGACGTTAGAGGTTGATGACTTGAGAGAAGTAGCACCTTGAACAATTCCCTTTTCACGGTTGATTTTTTTTTGAATATCCTGCATGACACGTTCATCTTGAGAAAGATTTGCAGAAGGGTCTGGGGACTTGTTGTAATTATTATAATTGCTCATGATGGGAATGAGGGGGGGTAAACCTGCGATAAGAGCATAAACAAAGGTTTGGATGGTAAAAGAGTAGACAAAGATATGAGTATCAAAAAAAAAAAAGGATTTATAAGATGGATTATTTGTATTAAATAGCAGCTAAGATAGCAGCTTAAGTTTGAAGCTGCGATATGTAAAGATTGTAAATAAGTACGCGCACCCAAGAGGGGGGATAAACCGAGCGTCTTTAGAGCAGAACGAATATAGACACCTGGTAAAAATAAATAAAAAAAAAGGGAATTAAAGAAGAAAAAGAAAAGTGATTATTAAAGAGATTGACAGGTGGTCTTTGATATACTTTGAATTTCAAGACCTTGAAAGAGAGAAAGAAAGAAAAAAGAAATAGAAAGGAACGAAAGAGAAAAAATGGATATATAAATATATATATATATGTATATGATATGTGTAGTGGTTTGTAGGTAGTGGTAGGTAGTAGTAAGTAGTAGTAGTAGTAGAAATAATAATAATAATAATAATAATGTGGAGGTGGTGGTGGTGGTAGTGTTAATATTTTTTTTTTTTTTTTTTTTTTAATGTGATGTTTAAGTGATGGAGGATATATAGAAAAGAATTCCTTTTTTTTTTATTTTTATTTTAGGAGGGGGGAGAGAGAGAGAGAGAGAGAGAGAGGTTGGAGGCTTAGCCAAATTTTAAAGACCAAACCAGAAAAAAAAAACACCTAAATGTAAATGTACGCGTCTTTATAAAATAAAATAAAAAAAAAAAATTACCACCACCATCAAAACTTTTTTTTAATCTCCCTAACCCTGGAAACTCACTCTATGGATTGATGGGTCTTTCAACAATTCTCTTATATTTAAAAAAAAAAAACAATTCAAATTTATTAAATGGTTTTGTAATATATAATATATTATAATATATATTTTTTTGTATTTTTTTTCTTTCATTTAAACAAACAATTGTGATATGGCATCAATGGAGCGGCTGGCTAATCGTATGTTAAGCCCAATAGTGCCAGTCTCACACCATTCATTTTTTACTGCTAAGCTTGCCTAGTCACTCAATATTCAGCTTGCTGCTGAAAAGAAATCTCACATTTGAATTTGAATACGTTTCATTTTGAAGCTTATATACATTCTCTACTTTTTAAAGAGATCATCCTTTTGTATTATTATTATTATTATTATTATTATTATTATTATTATTATTATTATTATTATTATTATTATTATTATTATTATTATTATTATTATTATTATTATTATTATTATTATTATTATTACTAGTAATACTACTAGTGGTAAATGTCTCCTGTAACACAGGGATAACATCAAATCATCATACAGATTAACTCTTCCTTATTCTCAGTTCCATGCGCCAAACTTAATTAATTCAAAATCTAAAAAAACTCAGAAATTAATAATTAATAATGATAAAAATAATAACAAATAAATAAATAAAAAAAGTTTTGACGTGTTTGCAAGAGATAACAAACGAACACGTATTTTCGTTTTCAACAGCAGACGTTTTTCTTTTTTTTTTTAAAAAAAAAAAAAAAAACCTCTAAAATAGTTAAACTAAGGTCTCGGTCATATTAAAAGGCTTTTGATTCGTAATCTCATTAAATTAAAATGCTCCATTTTTATTTTATTTTATTTATATATATATATATATATATATATAACTTCAACTTTTACACTAGGTGCCACAGGGTTACATGAAATCGCCACCGCCGATAATAACAAATAAGAATTTATGCTCATCGATAAGATGAAAAAAAAGAAAAAAAAGAATAGTGGCAAAAAAAAAACCCCCTCCTTTTCTTTAAGCTTCTAAAAAAAAAAAAAAAAAAAACTCCCTAAAGCCATCATGTAAAAAATACATGCAAATAATTTAACGATTTCCCCCACAATTTCAGTTTTTAATTTTTTAATTTTTTAATTTTTTAATTTTTTTATTTTTATTTAATTTTTTTTTTTTTTTCAATCGTTGATGAAAAATTCCATCAAGTTGTAACAAATGATAAAACTTTGTAACACAAAATCATGTGGGCTTGTAACGAAGCTCACGTCACCCAATTTGGAGGGGGGGTTCCAAAATGTGCCCGTAATAAAAATACAGTGCCTGGTCCAAAAAAAAAAAAAAAAAAACTAGTCTCAGTGTTTTCTTTTTCACATCTTTTTTTTTTTTTGTAAGAATAATACTACCATCAATATCATTAATAATTTATTAATACTTTTATATTTTAGCCATATATATATATATATTTTCAAAATTAACAGACCATGAGAGGATTTGTTAAACCTCTTATTGCAGCGGCCTCGGCAGCTTGGTCAGTGTGCGTATCTGCAACCGACACTTCTACCTCAGCCTCTCTCCCAAAAGACATTAAGATCGATCTAAAGGCTGAATGGGATGTTGTTCCATTTCAATTGGAACTCGTGTACGTTAATACTGATATTTTACTTTTTATTCTAATAGATATTTTCTCTAACAACCCACAAGTGAAGCAATTGCTGCTGAAAATTCCACAATCTACCATCCACTTCTATTGGAATTATCTACTAGTGAACAACTCGAGGATATTCCCAAACCTAGTGATAAACTTCTCTACGATACTGCAATTAAATTTGCTTTAGACAATGGATATATTTCTGAATCAGCTGTCCCATTCATTGATTTGGCTTTGGGATTGCACAAACATTCAGCTAAAATCCAAGCTTATTACCAGTACCATGACTCTGTAGCTTCTAGTAGTGCTTCATCAGAAAAATGCCCCGTATGGATCAGCTACAATAAAAAAACCTCTTGCGATTCTGATACCGTTTTTGCTCTTGAAACAAAATCTAATGGAATCTCCGATAACTCTCTTATTCTCCCACACGACAGAGTCTTTGGATCTAGAAATGATGCACCTGTTGCAATACTCTATGCAGACATCACCCATAACTCGTTCCCTATTTTCCACAAACATCTTTACCACTCTGCTGAAAATGGAAAAATTAGATATGTCATTAGATACCGTAAATCCGTTTTTGACGAAAATGTTTCAACAAATAATAATAATAATATCCCGGAAAAGCAACCACTTGCTGGTTATGGTGTCGAGCTTTATGTCAAACGCACAGATTACCTTGTTATCGATGACCGCGATGTCAAAACTGAAAACAATGAAAATGATGATTCTGCTTCTAACGATAATGAACCTAAGAAAATTGAGCTCAAGGCTGCTGATGAAGGTGCAACCATTAAGAAGCAAAATATCCCTCTTATTGGTGTTAAAGCTGTCGGGTTCATCATGAACAGCGAAAACAAGTTTGACTCTCTAGTCAATGTTTCTCTTGATTTTCCACGCTACTCACACTCTATTTCTGAACTCCCTGTTGATCGAGATCTTAAGGTGGAACTTGCCAAAACTAGAATTAGTCCAGGTGCCAATATTCTTTATGTCAATGGTGCTCCAGTCACTCAACCAAACGACGATATATTCACCATCACCAATGCAATTCAGCGTGAAAGAGGATTTTTTTCTCTTTTCAATCAAATTGGAATCAAGTCCGAAGATGCTATCAAACTCATTACTTTTGCTGACTCTCCTGAACAAGACATTCTTAAAGATAAAGATATTTCTGATGAAAAAGAAGAAAAAAAAAACGAGAAAGAAGAGAAAGAAGAGAAAGAAGAGAAAGAAGAGAAAGAAGAAGAGAAAGAAGAAGAGAAAGAAGAAGACGAAGACGAAGACGAAGACGATGAAGAAAAGAGATATTCTAAGCTCGAAGATTCTGAGTATACTCGTTTTGATTATCGTTCTTCTTCTCTTCTTTGGATTAACGATATTACCAAAGACTCCCAGTATCGCCGTTGGAGCCCTTCTCTCACCCAGTTTCTTAACGCTGGACAATCTCACTTCCTTCCCATTAGACATAATACCCATACTCTTGTTTACGCTTTTGATCCTTCAAATGAACTTCATATGCGTTCTCTTTATGATGTACTTCTTATTTGGCAACGTAATGTTCCTATTCAGATTGCTCTTTTGCCCTTGCCCCACGACAGAATGGGTGAGCAAATTACTTACGAAATGTACGCTATTTACGAGAGAGGCAGAAACAAACAAGGTCTTACCCAGTATCTTTCAAAGCTCCTTTCTGGAGTTAACCACATCACTGCTGCAAACAGCTTTTATAACACTAAAAAGTATGAATCATACCGATCCATCTTTGACGACAAGAAAATCGCAGCCACAATTGAAGAAGCTAAAGCAACCGCTCATCGTCTTGACATACATATCTCTGACTCTCAACTTCCTACAATCATTGTAAATGGCGTCTTCATTACCCCCGATCCTAATTGGTTCTACGAAATGTCTCAGATTGTGAAATCAGATAGTTTTATCGTCAAGGGCCTCATTGAAGAAGGCGAAATTGATGACGACGATAGTGATATTGTTCTTAAGGATATCCTTCTTCAAGAATCATTCACTCGCCGTAATCGTATCATCTCAACAAGCGATGCTTCCAATATTGTTTACAATAGTGTAGACGAGCTTTACGATACTCTTTGGCCTAATCACCAACAAAGTTCTTTTAGCAATAATGTTGTTTCTTTTGTTCGCGAAAGAATCCCAGAAAACACTGAAAACCCAGATTTTGTTTCTACTTATTGGATTTTTGGCAAGTCTCACACAAAAAGCTTTCTCAATCAGGTAATCCAAGGGCTTACCTTTTTGTCTAAAAGCGAGGCTACTTTCCGTCTTAACGTTGTCCCTATTGTTGATCTCAAGGCTTCCCGCTCAAATCAGCAAACTGCAAACATCGTCAACAATATTTTGTATCTTTTAACATCTCAAAAGGCTGATCTTGCCTATTCTAAGGAAGCTATTGAAAATATTTACACTGCATTGTACGGAACCTATAGCGAAAAGCGAGAATCTCCTTCCCTCGAGGAGATTAAAAATAAGATTACACCCGAAGACTCCTTTTCTACTACTCAAACTCACTACGACCAAAACTATAATTTGATTGCTAAAATGAAGACTCTTGAGTTCAAGAAAATTGTTGATTCGGATCTTACTGTTGTTTCTGCTGGAAGAGTTATTCCTCTTCCCGATGGCATTTTTTTGGAACACGAAGACTTGGGTCTTTTGAAAGAATACGAATTCAAGACACGCATCAAGGGATTGATCCTTATTTCTAAGAAACTCAATCTGTTTGCTTCTATTAAAGCCAGCACAAAGGAAACAGGAAATGACCGCCACATTTCTTTCACTTTTGTTGATAAGCTTGTGTCTCTAGTTTCCAAGGTAAAGTTTAACTATGTGGCAAAGAGCAGTATTTACAATGTCCAATACACTCGTTTGGATGTTGAACATTGGAATCTCCCCAAGACCTCCTTTGAAGTTGGCAATAAGGAAACTGCTTTGATCCATTTGACTGCAGTCATCGACCCTCTTAGTGAAAAGGGCCAGGTTTATATTAGCTATCTCCAGTCTCTTTCTCAGATCCCCTACATTTCAATCAAAGTCATTTTGAACCCCAAGGCCAAAATTGACAGTATCCCATTGAAACGCTTTTATAGAGCTAGCTTGCCAATTGCTCCTAAATTTGATAATGATGGAGCTGTGGTCAATACTTCTGGTGATATCGTTTTATCAAACATGCCTCAGTCTACCCTACTGTACCTTGATCTTGATGTTCCTCCTGCTTGGATTGTTATGCCAAAGAAAAGTATTTACGATCTTGACAATATTATCTTGGATAAGGTTGAACCTGATGAAGAAGGAAACACTGCACTCAAGGGTACCTATGAACTCAAACACATTTTGATTGAAGGACATGCTAGTGATATTACTCGTATGCAAGCCCCCCGTGGTGTTGCTCTTAACCTTAGTCCTCTTGATGGTCCCTTTTTCACTGACACCATCATTATGGAAAATCTTGGATACTTGCAGCTGAAAACCACTCCTGGTTTATGGCAAATTTCTCTTAAAGATGGGCCATCTGCAGAAATTTTTGAAATTGCAAGTGTTGCACTTACTGATGGTTCTGAGCTTGCGAACCCTGACCAAATCTGGGTCACTGAATATACTGGTATTACCATTATTCCTAGACTTAAACGCAAGCGGGGTATGGAAAACAAGGATGTTTTGGAAAAGGAAGCTGAAGCTACGAGCGAGGACCAAGATTCTAGTGATTCTATCAAAAGAGCATTTGAAGATGCTGGGAAAAAACTTGCCAACTCCTTTTCAGGACTTTTCAAAAAGGATTCTGAAACTCAGCAGAAGCACAGGGCTCAAACCGCTCTTTCACCCCCCAAGAAGAATGCTGATATTAACATTTTCTCTGTTGCTAGCGGTCACTTGTATGAGCGATTTTTGAGTATCATGACTTATAGTGTGACTGCTCATACAAATCACACTGTTAAGTTTTGGATCATTGAAAACTTCCTTTCCCCCAAATTTAAGGACTTCTTACCCTATCTGGCCAAGGAGCGGGGCTTCGACTACGAGCTTGTCACTTACAAGTGGCCTCATTGGCTCCGCCACCAAACTGAAAAGCAACGCACCATTTGGGGCTACAAGATTTTGTTTTTGGATGTTCTATTCCCACAATCCTTAGACAAGATCATTTTTGTTGATGCCGACCAAATTGTGCGTACTGACATGCACGACCTCGTTGAACTTGATCTCCATGGGGCACCTTATGGCTTCACACCCATGTGTGACTCACGCAAAGAAATCGAAGGGTTCCGTTTCTGGAAGCAGGGATACTGGAAACGATACTTGGGAGATCTCAAATACCATATTTCTGCGCTCTACGTTGTCGATCTTGTTCGATTCCGTGAGCTGGCTGCAGGTGACATGTTGCGCCAACACTACCAGATGTTAAGCGCAGACCCTGGATCCTTGTCGAATTTGGACCAGGACTTGCCTAACCATTTACAGCGCCAGCTGCCAATTTTCTCTTTACCTCAGGACTGGCTCTGGTGTGAGACTTGGTGCTCTGATGAGAGCTTATTAACTGCAAAAACAATTGACTTGTGCAACAATCCAATGACCAAGGAGCCCAAACTTGATCGTGCTAGACGTCAAGTTCCTGAGTGGACAAAGTATGATGATCAAGTGGCTGCACTAGATAAGAAGGTGGCAAAATATCTTGAGGAGTTTGTTGCTGCTCAAGATGTCCCAGATCTAATCCCTGATTCTGGTGATAGTGATGATGAAAGTGACGACGATGAAGAGATCCTGAAGGGAGCTCAAAAAGCAAGGGAAGATGAGGAAGCGGTTGATTATGAAGCCCAGCTTGGTGATGAAAACGCTCACGATGAGCTATGATTTAAATTAAGAAAAAATAAATAAATAAATATATACTTAAGGGGGAAAAAAATGTACAAAGAATTGATAGATTTTTTATTTAAAAATTATAAAAACTAAGCTATTTGGTAAATTTAATCCATACTAATACTACTCTATATTAAAATTTTTATAAGACTGCCTTATAATGTGTGTTATTTTTTACAAAACATGAAAGTCGGTATCACGGTTCCGGTTATAGTTGCGTCGTCGGTTGTTGTTATTGTTGCGCGGCCCACCCCGGAAGTTATTATTATTATGATTATTATTATTATAATTGTTATTATAATTGTTATTGTTATTATTATTATTATTATTATTATTATTATTATTATTATTATTATTATTATTATTGCCATTAGGGACATTGTTGTTATTATTATTATTATTATTAAACCCTCCATTATTGAACCCCCCGTTATTAAAATTCATACCAGAAAGAAATGGTGGTGAAATCCCAGGCATCATTGGAGGCATTGAAGGCATTCCAGCTGGCATACCAGGAGGCATCATTCCCATAAATGGCATGATGGGTGGCATACCAGGCATCATCATAGGCATTGGTGGCATTCCGGGTATCATGCTTGGGTTCCAGTTTAGTAGTGCATTGGGATCAGGCATGGGCAAAGGCAGAGATGCAGCCTCCAGTGGTTTAGTACTGATTTCTAAGACTTCTGGTTCTGCAGAATCGGTTTTTGTCTTTTTCCGATCCTCGCCTTCGGTACCAGATTCAGACTCGCTGCTCTCGTCATCTCGCTTGCGCTTGGTGGAGCTGGGAGAAATGCTTGTAGCAAGCTGTGCTGGGGTTGTTGTAGGTGTGGCCGCGTTGCTAGCTGATGCACCATTCGCTTCCTCTTCCAATCGCTTTTGTTCCTTGGCCGCTTTATATTCCCGTAAACGCTCAATCATCTTGTCATCAGGGACAAGCTGATCAAGAGAAACATCTTTGCCACATTTGGGGCAAACACCGCTATCAGAAAGCACTTGCTGAATAGTATCTTCTGAATAAGTGGTGCCGCAGCATGGCGTTTTAACAGGTTTGACAAGAAGTCTATGGGAAATGGGATCTTCAAGCTCAGGATCGTCAGGCTTATCGTTAAGTTGCTGACTCTTCTTAGCTTTAGTTTGAAAGTTTTTCCATGAGTTTTCATCTGCTACAGCAACAACAACTTGTCCTTCACCGTTAACCATATAGGTTCCAGTGTCATTATCTTTTGGAGCATCAATTGTTTTTAAGAAACTTCTAGGGATACCAGTAGTTGGTTTATATCTTCGATCATTGCCCATGGGACAATCAGATCTGTAGTGACCAGTTTTTCCACAGTTCTGGCAAATATATCTAGGCCCTGGAACACCCTTTGGTTGCACAGGCTTGTTGTAAATACGCTGAGCTGTGGCCATTCGTTCTTGGGTCTGTTCCCACTGTTCGCCTTGAGTCTGAAACATGGCGTTGATTTTGTCATCTTCACTGTCACCACCAGGTGCAGAAGACTTTTTCTTAAGGTCTTCCTTCTTATTATTAATCTGCTTTGACACATTGGTCATATTTCCAGTGACATAGTAGATAGCAGTACCTTTACCAGGACGAGAAGCGGGAATTCGGCGTGCTGAAACAGACACAGATCTGGGAATTACTTCAGTATCATCGTCATATGCTATTGATAAATGTTAGTAAAATCTTTAAAAATGATTTAAAAAATCAGATAAGACGTACCTTCTTTAGTATCGGGGTTTGAAATCTCCAAATCAAAGTTATTTGCAGTATCTACCAACTTGTTCTCCAAGAGAATTTCCTTTTTCAAGTCAAAGACAGAAATGCCAGTTCCTTCAAAAAGAATACGAGACGGGTCTTTTTGAGATTTAAACTTATAATAAACAGCTGAAGCCATATTGGTATATTAATTGGAAAAAAAATTTAAAAGGACTTATATAAGTAGAAATGCTAACAAAAAACACCAGCTTTAAATGATAAATGAAATATTTACTTAAAAGCTTAAGATGCTAAAAAACTTTTTTCTTGAAACGGAAATGTATATTAAAAAAACCTATGCAATAACGTATATTATTTCCAAAAAAAAAAAAAAAAATTGAAAAAACAAGAATTTGTCTTATCAGATGCAAATGCTGTTCTACACTTGTAGGAATAATCGAAACAACACTGAAAATACAAAGCTTTCAGTTAAAAATTGCTCACGGTCGAAAAAAAAAACCTTTTAAGAAATTTTAAAGAGTTCCTTTTTTTTAAAAAAAATTTTTTATGCTCTTTATATTTGTTTTTGAAAATTTTTTTCTTAAAAGTAAAAGCCTTAATAGTTAAAGTAAAAAATAAATAAAAATCTTACACTAATTTCTAGCTCAATAGCTTCTAAAACAATTTTAAAAAAACAGTCGTAATCGTAGAAAAATAGTGCAAATAGTACAAATAGTACAAACAGTGCAAAACGTCGAAAGTTTTGGTTTGTTGTTTTTCCTGACAAAAAAAAAAAAATTTAGAAGGAAGAAGAAAGTGGCGTTGTAGGCAAAAAAAAAAAAAAAGATTTTTATACGTATTTACAGTCAGGTCACATGAGAATTATCACTGGATCACAGTGCTTCACAGAATATTAAGGTCTCAAAGTATATTTGAGACCGGTAGTATATAAATGCAATGAAGAGCGATTGCTAATTTTTTTTTCCCTCTCTATCACTTTCCAATATATATATATATACCCTCGTTAGTTCTTTTACCTTTCAACATTCATTTAAAAAAAACCCTCAGAAAAAAAAATACCACAAGACAATAGGCATATTTTTTTTCTGATAAATTCATTTACTTTCTCGAAACTTCAAATAAAAGAAAAAATACTTGTAACTGAAATTTCAGTTCGTAACGAATTGAATCGTACATTTTGCAGTTAATCACAATTATCAGTGTAACGTTTTGTGTAAATAAAATATTTGTCATTGTATCATTATCATTATTACCACTTTACCTACAATCTTTTTTTCTCTCATTACTCACATCTTTCCCAATAAAAAATGAGCAGCACACAATACTATGAACTTTACAGACGAAGCAGTGTTGGTACCGCGTTAGAAGATACTCTGGACTATTTGATCTCGTAAGTGTTTTTGAGGGAAATGAAGAAAAAATGACTGGATAAGTATATATCTTATCACAAGAATAAAAAAGAATGAAAAAAATACAATCCACAATTAGTTTTCTTTTAAAAATAACCTGTCTAACTTGTAAAATTTTCTTTTTCTTTTTTTTTTTTTTTTGCGTTTCTTTTTTTATAGAAATTCGCTGATTGAGCCGCAACTGGCAGTCAAGACATTGATGAGATTTGACCAAGTCATTGCAGATCAACTACGCGAGCAAGTTAAGTCGCGATGCACAGTCCGAGGCCACCTGCACACATATCGCTGTTGTGATGACGTTTGGACATTTGTTGTCAAGGATGTCAACTTTAAAATGGAGGATGGCATTATTGAAAACGCTGATAAAATAAAAATTGTGGCCTGTAACTCTAGAAAAGCTGGTGAATCATAAATGGACCTTTTCTTTTACATTTTCTTTTTATCAAAACAAAAAAAGACAATACTTATGTTTTTTTAATACCAAACTTGGGAAAATTTTCAACTCTAATGGCCGGGAAAGTAGGCCGAGTATGCAACTAAGAGTATGAACTCTTTTTTTTTTTTTTTTTTTTCTAACAAATTGAAACTGGGATTTAGATGAATAGTGCAAATAAATAAATAAATATTATAATGAAGATAAAAAAAAAAAAGTAAAGAATTACATGTAATTCTGGCACCTTTTTAATTGTATTAAAACTTACATGGTTCTAAGCTCAGAAACCGTAGTAAACTAGGCTTTGGTTGTTACAATCATGTTACATGTTTACTCGAAACAACATGACGTGGCTATATTCAAAGAGTAAAAGTGGCTGCTTCCAACATGCTTTTGTTTATTTTCAACGAAAAGTAATTTTTTTTTTTTTTTTTCAGACTCCCACCTGAGCCTCGCGAGCCTCCTTTTTAATTTCTGGTTTTCATTTCCCTTTACATTTTTTTTTTCTTTTTAACAACACATTCACATCTCCCCCTTTTTTTATATTTGATTTTTGATATTCATATATCAGCAACTAATTTACATCACAAGAACATTTCAATCAAAATGGACAGCATATCTACTCGTTTGGCTTCTTTCCAAATCTCCGAATTCGTTGATCGATTGGGTCTGGAACGACTAAGAGTATGTAAACATTAAAACTTATGGGCGGATCTTCTTAGATTGATCTGGTCAACAAAACAGCACTTTATTAAAAAAAAAAAAACAATATTAACTTTAATTTTTTTTTTTTCTAGACAGAAACCGGTGCTTTACAAAACCGATTCTCTAATCTCAAGTCTGTCACTGACTTTTTTGATGTCAAGCGCATGTCCAAGCCCCAGGGATGGGTCGATGCTCAATCTCGTATCAACTACAATCTCAGTTACTTTTCTGCCAATTATGCCGTTATTTTTGCTCTTCTTTCCGTCTACAGTTTGATCACTAACCCTCTGCTTTTGTTTGTCATCATCTTTGTTATTGGCGGCATGTACGGTATTGGTATGCTTCAGGGCAATGATTTGCACCTGGGCATCACCTCCTTTACTACATCTCAGTTGTACACCGGTCTTCTTATCATTGCTCTGCCTCTTGGTTTCATTGCTTCTCCTCTCTCCACCATTCTTTGGCTCATTGGTGCTTCTGGTGTCACAATTCTTGGTCATGCTGCCATCATGGAGAAACCTATTGAGAGCGCTTTTGCTGATGAACAGGTTTAAAAACGATAAAGATAATAGGGATTAATTCATCTGGACGGATTGCCACTTTTTTTTCTGTACTTTTAAAATATAATAGAATTTCAATTTAATAGTGATTTTTTGGGTCATAATCATGATCTGGAACATGATAAGGTTTAAGAAAAAAACAAAAGTTTTGATTACATGTGAACAAGTGTCCAAAATTAATTTATTTTAACTAAAATTTAATTTTATTAAATCTACGGTTATATACAAAGAGTTCAAAAAATCTGAAGATATTTTAATTTAATAAGAATTCTTCATGCTAATAATATCTAATCAACCACGACAAATGTTAGTAAAATACTTCTTGCTAAAATACAATGTAAAAAAACTTTGTGAAGTTTGATCAGAGTCCACGCCTTGTCAGGGGCGAGAAAATCATCAACGCCAGAAATTTAGGCACAGTTGACCGTCGTGAGTTGTGGAAGAAACATCATTCGAAACTTCACAAAGTTAGGAAATAAAATATTTAACATACCCAAACTGTATTCAACATGATCTAGCCAGTATATCAAAACAAAGCTAGACTGCAGAATCAGAGAAAAGGTTGTCCTCAAAAGAAATCAGACATATGCTTGTCAAAATTTAAAATGCTCATCATATTAAACAGTCATTTCTTGCTTGATAATGGAAATGGAGGTTGAAGTTTAAGAATAAAATCTAAAATATCAGTTAGAAATTTCTTCTAAAAATTAATTTAAAATGAGTATTCAAAACAATAATCGAAATTTCAGGAATGCATGAATGGAATATAAATGGTTGTATCGTCATCGGGAAGCCCGAATATGACTCGTCATCAAAGAATCATCACCAAGATTTTTAAAAAAGTAAAAGAATAAAGTAAACTTACCAGTTATATTAGAAGCTATATCGAAAATTTACAAAAAACTGCAGAGAATCAATGTCAGTAAATTGAATTTGATTGCCTCTAAAGATCATTGAAATAGATGCATCTGTTGCGTGGGTTTTCTAAGTCCACATAATAGCATCTCGCTCACATTGAACCAGAGGTTCGTCAGTGCCCAGTGCTTTCGATCTTCATCTGCGATTATACTATAAAGTAAAATTATTAAATACCTGAACAATAAAGGGTTAGAAACATGTAAATAAATGGCAGCGAAAAAAAATCAAATCTCTTTAATTGGTCTCAGGTTTAGGTTGTTGCAGCAAAATTTTTTTCTACAGAAGTATTCAGTAGGTAATTCCAGCTTTATTTGTTCTTTCATCATAAAAACCATTTGTTGAAGAGATTTGATTGACATAATTGCTTACCTTTTACAAAGTTGTAACAAAGTTGTCGCTAAATGAATTACAGAACCATTGTCGATGAAATTACTACGACTCTATAAATAAGTTAGAAAAAAGAAAAAAAATATTAGGCATTATTTTTAAAAATTTCTTCTCAAAATCTCGCAAACCAGTATGAAAATAGAATAAATTCTATCTCAAAAAATTCAGATTAAAGTTGTGAATCATTAACTTCATATACTCTAGTTTTTGGTTTTGTTTTAAATAGAGTCATCATATTCATGGCTCTTGATAAAAGAGAAGAAAAAAAAATAATATCATGAATTAAAACCGAGAGGTTCTAAAGACATACCAATTTGATAATGTGTTAACCAAGATGTGTTTGTGTGAAGATAGAAAGTAAAAAGGAAAAAATTTTCGCAAATTTATAGCCAAAGATATATGGCGTCCACCTATTTGTTTAGCCAATGGTAAACCCTAAAGTTAAAGAGGCAGGGTAAACAAAATCACGTGTAACTGTTAGTAATCTTTCGAACTAACTTTTGGATGAATGGGAATTTACTTTTATACTTTTCAGTATCTAGTTTTGAAATTCCAACAATTATCAATGTTTTAAGCTTAATTGGGATTTTTCATTAAAAAAAAAAGATATATGTTTTTAAATTTGAATTTGATCAAAATGTTTATTATATCAAGTGCTCACCAAATATGGTTGGATGAGTAAGATTGGGAGCTAGATGGGGATCTGGGAAGCTCTCAATCTTGAAGAATCCTGCATTATCTTTGCCAGCCAATAGAAGAGGAAATTCTTCCTTTTTTTCCAAGTCAATGATGAGATTCATCCAAAGACTTTCTTCATCACCTTGATCGTTATCTTTCTTAGTAACAAAATTGAACCACCGGTTTGGCACATTAGGAACAACTTCAAGATCATAGTCTTTGGCATTTTTGTGCCAGTTGAGTTTGGTGTTCACAAAGATTTGCTTGAGATTACTCTTGTGGCATAAACTCATCAAACCAGGAGACACGTAATACCCGCGATCAGTTTTGATTTCCAGATATTCTAGAAAGTCACACTCTTCTATAACTAACATGATTGATTCCATAACACATGCTTGATAGAACCAAGTAGAGCTTATGTTGAGAAGATTGTCTAAGTTTTTAATTGCAGCTGAGACTCTACCAGCATTAGTAAACATGGCAATTAGGCAAGCCAATATGACATTTCTTTCCAATTCAGACATAACGTATATTGCGTTTGAGTCATCATAAAAGACTTCAAAGAAGGTTTGCAATATTAAATCTTCTTTTGTCATAAAATCATAATACCCAAATAACTCGTTGACACGTTTTTCACGAAATGATAAAAGAAACGGATATAAAAGCCTATACAAGAAGTCATTGTCATGATATGAATAAATGTTTCCCCAAATACACAACCGCCTGAGCTGTTTCATCGTGGGCAAAAACCGTACAATACTAGTATTAATTTTGTTTTTTTGGAAATTGGGCCAGATTTTAATATCCAGAGCTGTAAGTGCTTCTGAAAAGGTGCGTTGACCAATTGTAGAGTTCCACAATGTGTCATGCACTGCAAATAAGAATGCCGTATTTTGCAAAGATTCCATATCCTGAAGTATGGCAAATTTTTTGTATTTTGTTACGTCAAGCGTTGTAATCTGAGGAAGAGACAGGTATGGGGTTTTGTGGTCTACTGAGATGTTTATGATGTCATAAGCTTTAGGAGGGAAGTCAGTACTAACAGCATTAGCCAACGACAAGCTGCATCTCAGAGATTCCGGTAGTCTTGTGAAATATTCCAGTGTCTCTTCTTCAGAGATAGCTTGAAGAGTTGCATTTTCTTCATAATTGATGGCATTGATGTACACAGAAAAGTTATCAGAATAAGGATACCTTTCAGCAGTGATGTAGTCGACAATGATTGAAAAAATTTTACGGCTAATGCCCTTTAAGCGAATTTCCTTGAGAATTCTAATATCTTTAATAATGGATTTAAAGCCAGTTATATTTTTGTATTCCAAATCGATTTTCAAGTAGCTTAGGTTAGGGCATAGACGCTTGATTATTGCAAGTTGTGAGGAAAGACTAGGACCGTTTAATGTGTATCTGATTTCTACGTTCACTCTGTTTTGTCTTTGAAGGGATAAGAAAAAGGGGGACTCAGCCAATCTGGTGCTTTCACGTACAGGGAGTTGAGCAAACTGAATAAGTTTTAGCGCGGGGAACTGGCTCGCGTCAAACGTGACAGTTTGAATAAATTCGTCCGCCGGACATTCAGAAATAATGATTTTTGTGATTTCATTGCAAGGGAACCAGCTGTATTGGTGGGGTTGGAAAAAAATTTTCTCCGGAATACAGTGCAAAGCTTGAGAAAGATTTTCAAAGACGTCAATAGGAGTATTGACCAAAGTGCAAGCTTTCCATACTCTGCTAAAGTATGCTGATCTGAGGGTTAGACAGGTTTGTGAAATCCGCTGCCTATCTGCCATACAAAGGAATTGGCAGATAGAATAGTGGAGTTCTAGGGGGAGTTTTTCAATTTCAGAAGCATTCATATATAAAAAAAGATAGAAGAAAAAAAATCAAATTGATTATAGAAAAAAAAAAGTAAAAGAATTAAAAAGAGCGAAATGCTGAGTTTAAAAAGGATTAAAAATAAAAATAAAAAAAATACAAATCGATAAGCCAGTTTAACTACTAATCTTACAAACTTAAATATGTCGCACAGTATCTAGCCTCACCTGGTTTTTAAACTCCACAAGTGTGCCAAACGAAAACTCGCGACAAGCCTAATTTGGTTTAGAATATTTTATTTTTTATATAATAGTAATAATAAAACTCATTAAGTATTTGGCGTGATTTATAATTCATTCAATATTTTGAAAAAAAAATACCAATTAATAGATTATAGTACATATATTAATAAAAAAAAATAAAATAAAAAAAAAAGGCCGGGGGGCTTCCTTTACTCTAAAGCCAATGGCTTGCCCTTATTTTTATGCGTGCCGGCATCACGTCTAGACGCAGATCTGGAATGATGATACCCAGGATTAGTATTAAGCTTATTATTATCTTTGCTGCCTGACCCAGATTTCTTATCCATCGTTTCATGGATGTTGCCATCGCCATTTTCCAATTCTTTAGGCCTGTTTCCTGGCCCAGTCTTGTTTTGGACATCGTTGCCGCCCCCATTATTTCCGTTATTGTGATGGTCATTATTATTATTATTATTATAGGGTCCGCGTTGGGATTTTGCACTGTTTAAGTTGTTTGAACCATTGGCTTGTCGATTATTATCATTATTAGTAGCAGCAATTGCAGACTTTTTATTTCGTCTGTTACGACTTTTACCATTATTATTGGAACCACCACCACCACCACCACCATGACCCTTCGTAAAGTTTTTATTGCTATTCTTTTGACCTGACACGGCATCTTCTAAAAGCTCTCGCTGACGATTCTCACGGTCTTTTTCTTCACGTTGAGCTTTTGCGGACTCTTCTGCCCACCATTTGGCGAATTCTTCTTCCTCCTGAATTTCCTTAAAGCTCTTCCGGCTTTGCTGAACCTTAATCTCGGTAAAAATTCGCTCCTGTTCAATAATATCTGCAAGTGTCGGCCCCGCAGCAATGGATCCTAGCCGGGGGGTGTTTGAGCTACTATTTGCTGAAACATTTTTGCCTGGGTTGTTATTATAATTAATATTATTAGCTTCGGATTTCGAGACCAGGGAGGCGACGCAAGTGCTACCACCATTAGCCGGAGAACTTTTTAAAAAGTTTGCACGTGCGTGCTTATCGCCTAAATCACTAGAACTAGTGCTCACACTTGTCGAGGAATAAATGGAGAACGGCGTTTCCACAGGTGTGACAGCTGAAGGGGAAGCAGAAGAAGAACAAGTGGGGATTTTCCATGGATTCGAAGTCGAAGTTTCTTCAAGCAGAAAAGTGCCAGTCAAATCTTCAAGTGCAGCAGCAGCAGCAGCAGCTTTCCTATCCTGCTCTTCTTTTTCCAGCTGTTGCTGAAGTTTTTTACGGTCCTTTTTAGACATTTTAGCCGGTTTAATAGTGAACATTCCCTCAGAAGAAGACTTTTGACTTGAACTTGCGGATGAAATGCGGGTGGCTAGTTTGGAAGCAGTAAGAGAAAGCGACAATGTCGATGGCGACGATCCGGCAGAATAAATGCCAGACACTCCTCCTAAGCTTGATGCGACAGGTGATGGGCCATTAGAACTGGAGCTCCCATTTTGGTGTAATGCTTGTTGTAGTTTAGAAGGCTTTGAAGATCCAGAAATAACCGATGCAGTGCGAGTGCTCGTCAAGGTATCAACTGTGGTGGTACGCTTTTCCTTAGCCTGCTGCCATGATCCTAAGCTTGGAAAGTTTGATTCATTGGCATTGGGCCGTTGATCCAAAGTTGTACCAAAGCCTTGTTGTTGCACTACTGATGCTGGACCCACTGGCTTTGGCAACAATGTGGCTTGAGATAACTGGTTGTTTGACCATGTCGGCTTAGAAACTGAAATAGGTACAGCCTGAGGTTGACTCAATAATGCTTCTGAAACAGCAGCCTTAGACGATGTAGGGAAAGACGGCTTACGAGAACCCACCACTTGCCATCCAGATGAGCCAATAACTGATCCCGGAGTGGGACTAATACTCTCGGTACCCGTAGAAAAACTTACTCTTCTTGATGACGCAGCAGAGGATTTATTTGATAAATTGTTTTCCTCCATGTCAAGACTGAAAAGCATATCTGACCCATCATCAATTGACGGCTTGTGATACTTGGCAGTTGTTTTTGCTTTATTGTCCTTTTCTTTAGTTTGTTTTGAAGAAGACCGGGTATATATTAATGGAGAGTAGTCTAGTAAAGATAACTTGGAAACAACTTCATTATGTGTTTCAATGTCGTTGATAAATCCAAACAACCTATTACTGTTTGAAATAGTGGGAATTTCTAGCCGTGATTGACAGTAGTCTGATAAACAGCAAAAGCCAGCAAAAGATAAATCGGACAATAATCTAAATGGTTAGCCTCGTTATTTTAAATGAAAAAAAAAATTAACTTACCCATTTTCAAACATAAATTCAATGTTTTCAAAAATGTATTGCAAACATGCAATATGGAGTTTGAAGCCGTCATATTCCAAACAAAATTCTAACATTTCACAAACGTTATCCAAATGAACTAAATCCAGTTAGCACAAGGTTAAGAATATTTTCTTTATTCAGAATACTTACTGAACTCCTTAAGGACAGCTTGACAGATATCGCATAGTCTGACCAAGGTCAAAAAGTTTGCGCATTGCCAAACACTCTTGACAAACTTAACAAACTCTGACGAGTCCTGAAAGGACCCGCCTTTCAGATGATTAAAGATTTCGACGCCAAAGTCGCAGTAAATGTGCTCGATAATCACTCGGAATACGGGCAAAGATATGTCGGGAAAATGACACTGGAATGCCAATGCGGGGGTACTACTTTCGGAATCATTGTACCAACGCTGAGAAAAGCTTGCTGTAAAAAAGGCAGATCTGGCAGCAAGAACAAAGCTGTGAAGATACACATGGACATCTCCCTCAAGAGTAATGTCTACATCAGCACCAGAGGTGAATGAAATTAGTGCATCTGTTGGAGTGTTTGCGGGATTATGCAGATAAGAATCATCTAAAATGTTAAACAAATCCTTACCAAGAGTGCTTTGCTTTTCAATATTGCTATTAAAAATAATAGACATAGATCCGTGGCCACCCTTCATAACGCCAAGAAGTTTAGAAATACGATAAATCTCTAGCCGAATATCTTCCTTATCAAACAACTCTTCGTCTTCTTTTCTTTTTTTCTGTTCAACGTCATTTTTCAAAAATGGAGGACTGGGGAGCCGGTCCCGTCCAAAAAAAAAGTCGTCGGTGTAGATGTAAGAAATGATGGATTCAACAGTTGCATCCTTGACGCCAGCAAATATCAACTGGTTGTTTCCTTGAGAAGTTTTTTTAAATGTCACCTTAATGTCACCTTCTTTAGTTTGTAAACTGACGGATGTTTTACTACTAGAAAGGAGCGACTTAAAGTAGGGAAGGCGAGCCAGTAAAAATAAAGCATGAGCGCTTCCAACTTTTTTCAAGCCAGCACTTTGGGCCAAATACACGTCGACATCGAAATGGCGTTCAATGTGGTCGGGGAAATAAGGCCGAATAGAATCACCAGGGAATGACATGTAAAGATAGTTTTTCCCAATAAGAGAAGATAGCAAAGGACTGCGCTCGTTAGTGAAGATTTCCCGGTAATGAGCGGCTGCCACTGCCTCAGTTTTATCTCCAAACGAAACTCTGGGGAACATTGTATTGAAATTTTGTTTTGGAAGAATGCTACTGAAATACTCGTTTAATGGATACGTATCACCAGCTTCAATGCGAGGTAAGAGATGGGCGTATTCAATTTTGGAAAGAGAATAATTGACTCCAAGAGCGTCAGGGACGTATTCATCTTGCAGCAATGCAAACGAAGAAAATAAGGCATCGCAAGACACACTATATACACGGTTGGCCAACAAGACTTGCTCGTAAACATAACGTGTTACCCCGGTACCTGGAGTCATGACGATGGTATGTGTGGAAGGTGTTTGATATTGTTTTGAAGCGGATATTTTGCTTGTTTTATTGGAAAACGATTTCCAAACAGTTCCTTCACGGGTACACAAAATTACCGAGCCATCATCAGAAATGTCAGCGTCAACAGCTACCATTGATGCAATAGAAGCATGCCAAAGAATCTTAATTTTAATGTTTTTGGCAATTTGGTGACCCTTGGGTGGGTGGGTGTTGGACCCGTCATAACTTCCTTCTTCCATAGATTCAATGGCAGCAGGGGATATATAATGCGGACGGAGATTGAAAGAGTAGACAATCCCAAGATTGTCGACAGCACAGACATACCCCATGCAACTGATTGATATCTTGACAATGAAGCTTACTGTAGGAGCTTTGTTTGCGTAAGCGGAAAATGAGTCGGTTTGATTTTTGGTAAAACTGGGGAACTTTATGCGGAAATTTTCGCCATTCATAAGCACCCAAACTGAATGGTCTTCAAGAAGATAAACTGTGGCAAATTCACAAGCCACAACTTGGACAATAGGCCCTGCAATACCGGTATAGACGCGTGGTGTGGATTGAATGATACCACCATCTTTGGGATCAATCCCCGAGGCAAGCAGACTCGTGCCATGACCTACATTACCTTGTCCACCAGTTCCTACATTTGCAGATGAGCGACGACGTCTATTTTTAAGACTGAGTTTCCCCACGTCATAGCTTGTTTCCAATGGAGTGAAGCCCATCTGACCCACATTTTTCCCCCATATGAGCATGTAATTTGGCGAAAATGCAACTGAGTGGACCTTGGATGCAGCAACACCAATGATGCGTTCGCCTGAAGAAAGCGAAGCTTCGGATACTATCTGTGGGGAATGTTTTTCAGGGTATTGTGAGATGGGGTGGATGGGGGTTGAATAGCCGAGCTGACCATACTCGTTTGAGCCAAATGAGTAGACAGATCCCTCAGAGGTCAAAACAACAGTATGGAAATGTCCAAGAGCTACATCGACGACTGTTTTTGTTGAAAAAAATGGGACCTGACAAAATGTGAATTGAATTGACGGGACTCCATTTAAACCATGATTATCTTCAGAAGCGAGACCGAGTCGACCACAACGAGAAGATCCAGTAAGGTATAGGTTCCCCACATGATCCGAAGATAAAACGGCCGAGTGATATTTAGATATTTTAGAAGATGTAACTTTCAATGGTAGAAATTTTGCGGTTGGAGAGTCGACTGGAATTTTTAAAAGTTTTGAGCTCTGCTTATTGCGTTTTTTGATTCGTGCATGCGCATCGAGCTCTGTTCCGGAATCAACATCTGAATCAGATTCGTCTCTTGCATTGTCGCCTGTATCATTGAGAAACCTATCCATGACTGAAGAATAGTGCATTTTGCAGTGTGTAAAGATGTGTCGTGAAATTTCAAGATCGCGAATAATGGGCACTTGCTGTGGGGCCGCTTTATCATCGCCATCTGGGAATCCGAGGTTATGATTGGTATTTGATCCAAAGGCCAAGAGTACTGATGCGGATCTTTCCTGTTGAGGGAACACGTTGCTTTTGTTGTTGTTAGTAGTGAAAGCTTCTGAATCAGAGGGTAGCTGAGATTCGGGTATTTTAGTAAAAGAAGTTTTCCCAAAAGTCATGGATCTGAACAGATCCAAAGGCCGCTGTCCGGCCTTGTCACGGATTGCCGCAGTTTCAGGCGAGCGGGCCAAAATCATTTGAGCGACTGTAATATTACCAGACGCAATGGCTGTGTGAAGTGGAGTCCATCCATTTTCATAATCCTCGAGTGAAGGGTCGACTTGAGGGTTTGCCAGTAAAGCTTCGGCCAGAGTGATTTTAGAGTTATCATTGTTGTTGTTAGAATTCTTATCACTAGTGGAAGCTACAAGATGCAAAAGTGTTCTGCCGAAAATGTCACGCTTATTGACCACAGTTTTCGACAACGAAGAAACATGGGCCGTCAAGTCTTGGGAAGGATCATTAGCAGACCACTGATGAATAATGTCAAGGTTGGGCGGGAGGGTATCAACTTTAGAAGAAAGGGATGATGAGGACGATGAGAGTCCGGAACTGTGGGGTTTAAGAGATGACGGGGCCGAGGTGGCTGAAAGAGCAGCCGAGACAGTGATGTTTGAGGACGCGCGGCGTTGCTTTGCGGATCGCGGGGGGGCTGGTGCTATACGGGCGGAATGATCTCTTGGGTTCAGCCTATTGGCCTGGGCCGGGACAACGTCCTGTAAAGATGACGACGGCGGAGAGGAAGGTCGGCGATTGTTGAGGGGATTATTTTGGGAGTAGTTGTTTGGGGTGTTTTGGAGACAGACATTGTTTGTGAGCGTGCTGTTAACTGACAGCTTGGACATATTCTAGTGATCAGACAAAAGGGTTTATAAAAAGGGACAATTTGATAAAGGGGGTATTAATAACAAATAATAATGTAATATGGAAACTAAGTAATTTTCGACATAACTCTTTTATTATTTAATAATAAAATATGAAAGATGAAAAAAGTTCAACTTGAAGAAAAAAAAAAAAAAAAAAAAGAGATCCTTTTGGAAAGCCTTTTGAATGTTTGATTTGGTTGTTGATTTGATGAAGTGAAAAAAAGTTAAAAAAAAAATTTTTTTTGGTGGTGGTGGCGGTTTGGTTGGTCAGAGTGACTTAGTGCAGGGTTTACAGCAGCAGCAGCACCATCAGCACCATCAGCAGCAGCACCAAGTAAACAAACAACATTCAACCTAACCACCAACGTTTTGACTGGAAAATCCCGCCACCGTTTTCAACCGGTTTTGAAAATCTTACCGAGTCTTCGTCGTTTGTTTAAACTGATGAACTTTTTTGTTCTACAAATACCCTCCAGTGGCTAAACTAGGATTGAATCATGCACCTGTCAAATCCAAGCCCAGGCCTTTCTGCACGTGAAAAAATCGGCAGTGCCTGGTGGGGAAAGACTGAATGAAAAACAAAAAAGTACCATTTTGAACTAATAAACACTTAAAATCCAAACTGTTTCCTTTTTTTTTTCTATTCTAATTCTATTCTAATTCTATTCTAATTCTATAAATACTAATCAATATAAATTCATGTCATGATGTTTTAATCCTTGACGCAACTTGTACCCAAATATACTAGCACTCATATTATCAGTAGCAAAATGATATACAATCAACTTGAATGGTGAATTTGCGCGGCGGTCAGCATAAGGGAAATTTAACCAAGTTTCAATTGGCGGGTCCGGGATTGGTTTTTCGGAACCAAGCACAGCAGGATCTAAACCCTGGTATAATGGTTTAAAAATACGATAGAAAACGCGGCCAAGTTCTTCAACAGCTATCCCGGATAATGGAGCATCATTGATTGTATAAACAAGAATGTTAAGTTCTAAAAAAGAATAAGAAAAAAAAAAGCATCGTTAGATAACAAAAAAACCTTGAAAGGAATATGAAAATAATTTCAAAAAAAAAAAAAAAAAAAAAAAAAAACAATCAAGGTAGTACGGTAATGAATAAGACCACCAGAAAGGTAACGTTCCGGATACACTTTGATGTTTGGACAGAGGTTGCGCAAAGCTCCAAAACAAGTTGAGGAAGAGGTTATGGAACGTGGTAGCTTTGTTGCAATGAGCGGTCCACAGAAATCAATGTAGCACGCAATGTGTTCAGTTATAGCCGCATAGTCTGTGGATTCAACCAGAGACTGATTATAATGATGATGCTTGCCACTGGCAATATCGAAAATGATGGCAGGCGGATTGAGCATTTGAGTGATAGTGGATGTGATGGTTAAGAAGAAAAAAAAAAGAAAAAAAAGAAAGAAAAAAAAAGCTGATGAGAAAACGGACAATTTTAATAACAATCGCGGCCATTAATATTAACATGGAAGAAAAGCTTATTGATTAGGCTTTATCACTCTATATACTCTAATTTTTTTTTTTTTTTTGTTTCAGATACCTTTAATGCTCCCATTCTACAAAATCATGCTCAAACATGTCGTCATACTTGATCTGATAACTGTTAATAACTGAACACCCGTTAGACGGGTCAATTTCCTGGTACCGGCTCAGGTCTCGCTGCTGTGCTAAATCGTAGAGTACATGGGCGCTATTTGCCGCACGATTAAAGCACGGCAGCATACCATAACCTTGCGGCAGACACGCAAAATCTGGATCGACTCTGGGATGTTTTGATACCAAAGCCACGCGGACTTGTTGTAGGGAATTTTTGGAATAAGACGATGGAGAGTTTTGCTCTAGAAGAGCTTGGAGGCCAGGAGATGTGGAAAAGGAGTCTGGATAAATGACACACAAATGTGTGAGCTCACGCAAATGACATGCAACTCTAAACACAGCTTCAATTCCGCAAAGAGTCAATAACAGGGCTCTTAAACAATCGTCAGCCGCCAGTTTTTTAATAGTCTGGAAGGCCGTCAGTGGGTTAGAAGTAATGGCAGCCAGAGCAGTGTGGAACTGAGACTGGACCTCTGCGTTACGCCAGGAAGGTATCCCCGAGCGAGAAGAGAGTGAAGTGATCTCAGGCTTGGCCAGCACCTGGCTGGCATATGCGTTGAAGGTAGAGTATGAAAAACGGTCTCGGACAACAGCAGCATCGAAGTAATGGCACTGCCAGACTCGCAAATGTGGAAGCTGGGCAATACTGGAAAGCGTACCTGCGCTTGTGGCCAGCTTGCCACCGATTTGTAGGTGTGTGAGACCGTCAGCCATAGAGGTGAGATTAGCGGCCAAAAGGAAAGGTGATGGTTTAAAAAAGACGCGATCAAGGCGAGGGAAGTGGAGATACTTTGCAAGAAGATTGTAGCATGTATTATTTGCAAAGTCGAGTTCTGTGACTGCTGGTATTGTGATTTGCGCAGAGACAGGGGTTGCAACCGAGTCATCGAGATCATAGTCGTAGAGAATCATTGGTGCTACACGACATTCTGTAACGTGCGACGAAATGTGAGTGAGTGCTAGAATTTCGCGAGTCACTGCCACAGGGTACCGAGTAGTTTGGACGGTAGAAATGTGGATTTTAGGGCCATCTATGGAAAGGTGTTTTAGATACGGCAGATGGTGCGTGTGGTAAGCTAGATACTCGAGCCATGCGCCGGCATGGAGCCCGAGGGAGGACACAGAAATGGAGAGCTCTTGGAGGGATGACGCGAAAACCGGAGCGAAAGCGGAGGGTTGAAAGGATGGCGGGAGGGCTGAGGTGGGCGACACTTGAAGTTTGCTAACAGTTACGGCAGAAGATCGGGGGTCTGGATGAAGTCCTGTAGATTTCGAGACTTCATAGAGTAGTAGGCGAGATATTGTTTGGTCATTTGTATCTGAGATGTGTAGCTGGGTGGTGCAATTTTCTGGAAATTCTTCTGGTCTATTTTCGACGCGGACTTCCACTGTTTCTCCATAAGACACTTGTCGTAACGCTTTGAATTTAGAGCAATCAACATCTGGTGGTAAAGGTTGTCGAACACGTAGGGAAATGACGGCATCTGGAATAAACCAAGAATGTTTTTGTGGGTTACGAAGAGCTCTTAGTGGGACCTTACGGGTTTGTAGATATGGGTCTGCAATACTTGGGTCTGATTCATGAAGTAAGAAGTGAATTGATGGAGTTGTTGAAGAAGAAGAGATGGAAGAATCGTCAACTGTACAGTGGCGCCATGACTCGCGGCTGTAGACGGGCCGTAGTGATTGAGATGTTTGTGAAAGTCGTTTGCGGTCGTATGCTGAGAGGTACTGAGCAATACAGACGTGAAGTTCTAGTGGGAGGTCTATGAAGTCTATACTAGGAGTCATTTTTTTTTTTTTGGATTATCTAAAAATGTTTGGTAGGTTGTATTTTGGGGAGGTTGAGGATAGGATGAAGAAGAAGATTGGAAAAAAAGATGGGAATAGCCTTATATTTAAATCTCTTGATAAGTTAAAGGAGGATAAGAAAGCAAGCAAGAAAGCAAAAAAGAAAGAAAGAAAATGGTGAGGTTTTTAAATGAAAATTTTTCGGGAAAATCGGTCAACTATAAAGGCACGGTACAAAAGACGGAAGTAGGGATGTATGGTCTCGCCATTATTTGTATTATTTATATTATCTGTATTATAGGATTATTATTATTATTATTATTATTATTATTATTATTATTATTATTATTATTATTATTATTATTATTATTATTATTATTATTATTATTATTATTATTATTATTATTATTATTATTATTATTATTATTATTATTATTATTATTATTATTATTATTATTATTATTATTATTATTATTATTATTATTATTATTATTATTATTATTATTATTATTATTATTATTATTATTATTATTATTATTATTATTATTATTATTATTATTATTATTATTATTATTATTATTATTATTATTATTATTATTATTATTATTATTATTATTATTATTATTATTATTATTATTATTATTATTATTATTATTATTATTATTATTATTATTATTATTATTATTATTATTATTATTATTATTATTATCGTAATACTTATAAGTATTATCAGGCAGACTTAATTATTTACTATCACCAGTGTGGTCTTATTTAAAACTACTCAAACTTTTATTTAACAACTCAAACGAATGAATAGTTATTTTTTTTTTTTATTCTTACAATATTCTTCAATTTTCGTTTAGATATGAACAGACTCCCGATAGAATTTTTTTTTCTTTTCTTTCTCCACCTTTTTTTTTATTATTATTATTATTATTTTTATTTTTTTTCGTTTTAATTCTCGGGAAACAAAAGTCCAAGTTTGTGATTTCTTTTTTTTCTTTTATTTCTTAATTTTGATGGGTGGCTGACTGACTGACTGACTGACTTGGTTTAGGTGGGTTTTTTTAGTGTTTATTGATTGCTTTGATTGTTGATTATAATTAAATGAGCTCATTTCTAATAATTACACACAACAATAATAGCAAGTTGAAAAAAAAAAAAAAAAAAAAAAATCAACTTTTAAAGAAGAGCAAAAAAAAAAAAAAAATAAATAAATAAATAAAACAAAGTTCTTTGTAATAATAAAAAAATAAAAATAAAAAGGTTTTTAAAATAAAAGCCGTTGGTAAGACTTTTTATCGGATAAACTCTCACTTCACGAGAATCTTAAATGTGTATCATAAACAATTAAGTAAACAATCAATCATCAGTATACAAACATCTTAACATACAACTTATCGTCTTCGTATTAACAGGTTTATATATTCCGACTTTTTTTTTATTAATTTTATTAATTTTATTAATTTCTTTTCTTTTTTTTTTTTCAAATTTTTATTTTCGTCATTTCTTATTATAAAATTTATTTTAAATCTTTTTTTTAAATCTTTTTTGATTCTTATTCGAGGGATTTTTTTTGTTTTTTTTAAAAAAAAAAAAAAGAAAAAAAAAATAATAATAAAAATAATAAAAATCACACAACCAAAAAACATTTACAGCCGTGCCTTCTCAGCCGTAAGTGTCACCAGTCACGTGGTATTACTCCGTGGATCTTTTCCCTTTCCAAAAAAAAAAAAAAATTGCCCTTTTCAGCTTTTGGATGGGTTTTTTTGCCCATAAAAAAAACTCACACAAAAACAATAATACGCTACACAAAAATCTTAAGCTTTAAACATCTTTAAAATAATAAAATAATAAAATAATAATAGTATCCCAAAAAAAAAAAATAAATGGTACTTTGAATTAAGTATATATAAAATTAATAATGATGAAATTATAATATAAATAATTTGTATATTGGTATAACATTAAACTAAAAAAAAAAAAAAAAAAAAAGTCATCAAAAATCAACACAGTTAATATTATCTTTAATTATAACTATTAATACCCATAAGACTGGTTGCGCAAGTCACTCCCCGCGGGAACAATAAAATTTGAAGTCTGCTGGTTCTGTGACTGCTGACTTGGCTCAGAAGTCGAATATCCCAGTGGCATTCCTGCAGGTGGAACACTAGTAGGAGGAGATTGCGAAATAACATTCGACTGCTGCTGTTGTGATTGTTTTTGCTGTTGAGGTTGTTGAGAATATGGAGAAGTGCTGGACGCAGGCTGAGGCTGCAGAGATGGAAGGAAGGAACTTGTGCTGCCAGTAGGCTGCGATTGTAATGGTTGTTGGTATCCTCCTTGGTTATATGTATTGTTGCTAGTATTAGTGTTATTATTATTACCGCTAGAGTAACCTCCAGTAGGCTGAGAAGTTTGATATGACCCAGTGGGCTGCGAAGTTTGATATGGTCCATTGTGCTGTTGTTGTTGATTCGGTTGATTTGGCTGATTTTGATAACCATTATTAGAGGGTTGTGTGTTTTGGTAAGCATTAGGAGTCTGAGAATTCTGGTACCCACCTGAAGGCTGGTAAGATCCAGGTTGATTTGATTGATATCCTGTAGATTGTGATGTCAAGTAAGAAGATTGCTGAGGTTGAGTGGTCGACGGCAGGTTTTGATTTTGTGAGGAGGATGAAAGATTATTATAAGACCCAGTAGGTTGTGAAGTAATTGGAGCTTGTGATCCGTACAAAGGTTGATGTTGTTGAGAGGGAGTCTGGAATGGAACTTGTTGTTGTTGCTGCTGAAGCGGTGGTTGAACAAATGGTGCACTGGAAGAATAAGATAAAGGATTTGCTGGGATTTGCGAAAGTGACGTCTCAATGAGCTGGTCATACGTTTTGCGTGCAGCCATGAACCGCTTGTCCAAGTCAATCAGATCATCCCTTTTCTGCGAATACTTTTCAATCAATTTAATCAAGCGAGGACGAACTGCTTGTGTTGAACGATAAAGTCTTTGCAGCTCTTCGTCTTCTGCAGCACCTGCACTTCCAGGACCATCAATGCTGCTAAGAATGGCAAGAAGCTTTTCCACATTACGGGCTTCGGCAAACACCTCCGACTCGTCACGCGCCTCTTGCTCGAGTTCTTCAGGAGTGGGGTCAGGAATAGGAGTGACATAATTAAGAGGGAAAATACCAACATTGCCCTTAAGCGAACCCTTCCACCAGTCGCGATAAACACTTTCAATGACTGTAATGACATCACCACGACGGAATGAAAGTTCATTGGGGTCATCTGAAGACAAATCGTAAAGTGCACGCACACGGTTAACCGTAGCAGCAGTTTTCCCCTTTGCAGTTTCAGTTTGCTTTTGCTGAGGTTGCTGTTGTTGAGATTGCTGAGATTGTTGTTGCTGTTGCTGAGGTTGAGACTGGAGTTGATTTGAGCTTTCATTCTTTGGTTGATATAACGAATAAGCAGAAGGAGCAGCATCTTGAAGAGACAACTTTAAAGCAAGTTGAAGATCATCTTCTTCTTGCTGACGCTCAGCCTCAGTGAGTTGGTGTTTTTGAGGAACTGCGGGTGGCGCTAAGTTGGGGTTTTGTTGCTTAACCATATTAAACGCGTCTTCCATTTGACGCAAAGAAGGGTCACCATGAAATTCACGAGAAAGAGTTTCCATAACTTCCATGACTCGTGACTTGACAGCATGGTGAATTCGGTTTTCTGAAGCCATTTCCAAGAGATGACCAGTAAAACTACGAGACGCCAGTTCGCGGTGCATCTTAGAGCCGCAGTTTTGAGCGAGAGCAGAAATGAGGGTTAGTGAATAAAGCTGGCGGTTAGCCACATCTCCCTCTAGACGTTTTTGAATAATAGAAACAGCTTGAGCAGAACCATTTTCAGGGTCATCATTGACGCGGTCGCAAACGTCCATAATGTACTCCCAGTTTTCAGAAGTAAGATTGGGGTCGGTGGCCTTATCTTTAAAACAAAAATAAAAAAAAAGAAGATATTAGAAAAGAAATAGTTAAAAAAAATTTAAATTAATGAAAACATACCAATGGCCTTTTCCAACTCGCTAGGAGCAGATGAACTAAACATTGAGATTATTGGTGATGATAAAGAATTGAGAACTGAGGTGTTTTTTTTTGGTGGTGGTGGTGGTAGTGGTGATGTGTGGAAAAAAAAAAAAAAAGGAAGAAAGAAAGTAAGAGAAGAGAAGAAGAAAAAGAGTAGCTGGTGGTTGCAAATCGTTTACAGGCTCAGCTGCTTAGCCTTCACAGCCCACGTAAGGCTATTTAAACAGTGTTATTATTACAATTACAATTACAATTACAGTTATAAGTACATTACATCATGATTTCAAAATTAAAAAAAAAAAATAAAAAATAAAAAATAAAATAAAACTTTTTTTTTTTCAAGCAAATGCAACAACAATTCAAAACAAAAAGGGTCCTTACAAGAAATGCTCTCTTTTTTTTTTTTTTTTTTTTTTTTTTTTAAATAGACACTTTAAGAACAATCTTGCCCTTGTTCTTGTGCGACTCCAACTTCTTAATAGCTGACTTCCAGTCGTTCCAGTCATAGACAGAATCAATCTTGACAGTAACTGTACGCTCCAGCATAAGATCATAAGCCTTGTCAAGCCAATCACCAGGAGCCACCCACTCCACAATGTAGTTAACCCCTGACATACCTGTAGAACTCATAAATTTACGGCCAACCATAGCTGTGTTATAAAAGTATGATGTGGGGCCGCCAGCCTTGTCTGAAGAAGTTTTGGAGTCTCCAACAATTGTGACATAGGCGGATCCATCCTTAGTTGGGGTCAGCAACTGGTATGCTTTAAAGACAACGTCTGTGCCACCGGCGCAGTCGAAAATAAGTTGGAAACGCTTGCCTCCAGGTGGAGCAGTGTCTTCACCGGGCTGGTTGGTGTAGGTAAAATCATTTGACTCGACACTCTTTTGGCCGAGAACGTACATGAGTGAATCACCAATGTTTGCAGCAGCGCGGTAGTCGATTGTAATGTCGGCACCAAGTTTCTTGCAAAGCTCAGAGGAGGCCGCAGAGCAAGTGACAACGACCTTCTCCACGTTATAGTAGTTTTTAGCTAGCTGGATGGCACATTGTCCCACAGAGGTGGCGCCACCCAGGATGCAAACCCATGAATTTTTATCGAGTTTTGCATGTGCCAAACTGCGCATGGCAGTTCCAAGGACGAGTGGGAAAGCAGCAGCTTCTTCGTCTGAGAGGTTGGGGGGGACCTTAATGATGCGATCAACATCTGGGTTGATATAAACATGGTCTGCAACGGTACCTTGGCCGTTGACATGAATGAACATGCCACAGACCTTATCACCGACGCGCCACTTTTCTTTAAGATCCTTGCCAACGTCTTCAATGACGCCGCAAAAGTCACGGCCGATTCCCTTGGGTTGGGCGGCTGTCATGCTGATCGGGGTATTCATGAGCTGAAGATCCACAGCGTTGAGAGAAGCAGTGAGAACGCGGATCATGAGCATGTTTGGTTTGATAGGGAGGGGAATTTCCTTGTATGTAAAGTTTGGAGTGGTGCCCTTGCCAATGTATGTGAGTTGTTTGACCGAGAGGGTCTCATCATAGACGGGAGGGATGAAAAGAATAGTTTCGAGTAAGCCCATGGTTTGTGTATTTTAATTGATGATGATGATGATACTATACTAGTGATAGTTATCAATAAATTATTAAATTAAAAAAAAAAAAAAAAAAAGGAAAGAAGAAAAGAGAAAATAGGAAAAATTAGAAAAAAGGGGGTGTGAAGGAAAGAATTAATTTTTTTTTTTTTCTTCAGAATTAAATGGGTGGTTGTTTATTTCAGTATTCGCTCAATAATAAATAAAAAAAGAAGAAGAAGAAGAAGAAGAAGAAGACGACAGCTTTCAAGCCAGCCTTGCCATAAGAATGTTATCAGTGGACCAAAATGGGAGAGACAAAAAGATGCATCACCATCAGCATTGCTTTTTGCCGAATAGCGTTGAAAAAAAAAAAAAAAAAAAATTGAAATAAAAAAATGCCGGGCCGATATATTTTTTTTTATTTTAAGGGTTAAGGGTTAAAGATTTATTATATGTTTGTGTGTGTGTGACAATTAGACTTATCAATTGTTATTACAACACCAATATGTGACATTTCATTTATTTGTTGTTTTGTTGCATTTTATCACGTGAAATATTTTTTTTGTCACAAAACAATAACGACGCGTCATTTTGTTATTTTTATTTCAAAAAAAAAAAAAAAAAAATCTAAATTTAGCAACAAATAATAAACAATATTAACGATTCGGTAAAAGTTACGTAATGAGCCACGCACCTTTGTTTTTTATTATTTAAATTTGTTTTTTTTATATGATGATGGTTCTGCACGCGTGCTGATTAATTGATTGATTGTGTAACTAGGCGACGTGAACAATGGAAAGAAAAAAAAAAAAAACCAGCCGTACGCTATTAATGTCACTTTTTTTTTTTTTATTTCTGCACTACCAGCCCAGGCAGACAGACAAAAATAAAAATAAAAATAAAAATAAAAAAATATATATATAAATCTGCGTTTTTCAAAGATGGTTTTTTTTTTGTATGTCTTATGATGAATTGAGTTTTTTTTTTTTATCTATGGAATCAAAAAATTGTGTTAGTAATAATAAATATAAAAAACTTTTTAGATATTATTATTATTTTGTTTCCCTTTATGTGTTTATCAACCTATTTTGATTTGTGCGTGAAGTGACGTGTGTTGCAGACAAGACACAAAACTGGTTGGTCGAAAGAAAGAAAGAGAGAGAGAGAGAGAGAAAAAAAAAATGGCAATTGGCAGTGGGCAGCATCATCAAAAGTTTCATATGGGCAATACTAGTAGTAGCAGAAACACAAGTATTTAATAAAATAAAGGCTACTTCTCGAGGTCTTTAAATGTTGTAGGATCACACATACATACATACACGCATACGCGTAAGTTCCGCGGCCGTTACACGTTAAAAAAAGGGGAAGGAGGTAAGGATTTGATTTTTAAATTATAAGACACATGAAGGGGGAGAGGTTTTTTTTTTTTTATAAAGAGAAAAAAGTATATATTTATATTTACTTTTTTTTTTCTCTTTTTTTTTTTTTTTTTAAATCTAGAAGATATCTTCTAATTTATATATATAAAGAGGGTCCTTGAAGAGAAAAGAAACCCTTTCTCATCACAATTGCCTATCCCTTTTTCTTTTTATTTTGTGTTTTTTTTTTTTAGTCTGTTCTTCGATCCACCCAGCCCATCCCTTTTTTTTTTTTTTTTTTTTTTTTTTTTTTTTTTTTTTGACTTTCATATCTTGAATCTTAAAAATGAAGAAAAAGGCGTTGTATAATAATTGCAACAAGAGTATAATAAATCTGGTTTTCTGTTTGATAAACTGGTGATCATCAGCACTAAAGGTCTTTTTTTTTATCCCTCCCCCCTATTTTTTTTTTAAAAAAAAAATATATTATTATAATAAACTAATTAGTTTATTTGTTATCAGTTTGATTTTTATTTTTTTTTTTCTATAAGAATTGCTCAATTACTATTGTTGATGCTTCGGATTTTACTACTACTGCTGTTGCTTCTGTTGCTTCTGTTGCTTCTGTTGCTTCTGCTGCTTTTGCTGCTTTTGCTGCTTTTGCTTTTGCTTTGCCCCTCCAAGTTTCAGGTTTTCACATTTTCGGAAGTTCATTTTGTTTATTTTTGCTAGTGGCAGTGCTTTGACGTAATGAGTTTACTTACTTAGTAACTACCATTCTCAAAAAAAACCAATCCACGCATTCATTTTATACGTATTTTCTTTCTTTTTTTTTTTTTATACTTATTTCTATTTTGTAATAAGAATTGCTCAAATTATTTATAAAAAAAAAAAATAAATAAATGCCCAGACTAATGTTTCTTCTTATTCTTCTATTGCTAAGATCTAATTTTTTTTTTTTGTTTTTTTTAAAAAATAAGGGGGGGTGAGAAAGAAATCTTTTTGTTTGGACATAATTATGTTTTCTAGTTTATATATATTTTCTAATAATAGGCAATCAGACAGACAAACAAGCGTTTTTATTTTTAATTCTGTGGAATGAAAGGCTTGACGATATTTATATAAAGCCAAACTTTAAATTAATTCCTTTTTTTTTTTTTAAAAAAAAAATAAAATAAAATAATAACGCCCAAAGTAAAATAATTATAAAGAAAAAGAAGAAAAAGAAGAAAATCTACTCTTAAAGTCATATATATGAACATATTGAGTCTTTAAAATATATATATATTTTTTTTTATAAATACCAGTGTAAGCGTAGTAGTATATATATACAAGTTGGTTTAGAAAAAGAATTGTCTCCATGGACTTATGATGATTATTAGAGAAGAAAATTCACAAGATATGGGCCACAATAAAATAATATTTATTTTATAAAATAATTATAATAATAATAACAGTGTATATACAGAAACTTGCCGTACCAAATGTTAGTGGTGTGTTCTTGATTTGCGTGTTTGTGTGTGTGTGTGTCTGCGAGTCTTTTTTTTTTTTTTTTTCCATCAAGGATTATTTAAACTCCGCCCTTCCCAACCCCTCAGAATTTAATTTTTCCTTGCTTTTTCTTTCTTCTTTTTTTTTTTTTTTTTTTTCTTCTTCATTTCTCTCTCTCAACTACATTTATCATCATAATCTATATATCTCATTCACAATGTCACTCGTGGATAACCCGGAATTCCTTCGCAAGCTGGAAAATGACATTACTCGTGGATGCGAAATGGACTGGCTACTTGCCCACTTTGCCTATCCAACAGGCGTCAATCTCGACGAAACTCCCATCACCAACTTCCGCAACTATCGCTACAAGATTGTCGACATCTTCAACATGACTTACAAACAAGAAAAGGCAGTCTTAGATGCAGAAATCGCTACCCCAGATGTCCTCCTCATCCTTGGAACCTACGCTGAATACAAGATTATGGGCCGCTTGTCCCACCTCAACCAAATTATTGCCAAAGGCGGCCATTCATGGGCAAAACTCCTTGCTCTTTGTAAAAATGATGTCCGCATGCTCGTCAACACCGCCTTTGTTACAATGCACCTGTTTGCTGGCGACCTCGTGCCCTTGTCTGATAACGAAATTGTTTATTGCTACATCATGGCTGCCGCTGTTGTCGTTTCTATTAATAAGAGCGCACGCGTGGCCTTATCTAAAGATATTCAAAGACGAGGTCTCAAACGTCCCCAAGTCTCAATTTCCGAGCGCAATTCTTCGAGGTTTTCTTCCTCTTCTATTTCTTCAGTCTCATCTTCCTCTTCAACGTCATCTCATACATCCAGCCTTACTAGAACTTTTTCATCAAAAGTGCCCAAAGATAACTCCGGTATTTCCGAATCAACTTATATTAAACGATACCAAGATGCCGTTAACATGGGATCATCGCTAGGGACCATTGATGAAAATTTGCGTGTGTCGGCGCAAGAAACTCCAGTTGATTTATTTTTGGGTGCAGCGCGGCGTTTGGGCGTGCGCAAATCTTGTTTGCAATCATTGGCGAGTGTCGAAAAGGATCTGCCGCAGGTCGGCAGGCTTTTACATTTGGGTCGTACACAATATTCATTTCAAAGCATTACTACCATTTATTTAGACAATAATAATTGTCAAGGAGAAGGAGAAGGAGAAGGAGATGATGATGATGTGAAAAAGAAGCCTGTCTCACCTGTAGAGCCTCAGCAATTAGTGTTTTACATTGGTAAACAGAATATAGCCACGCCAGCATCGGACCTCGGGGATCAAAGATATAGGAAACCCGAGCTTAAGGCGGTTTATTCTTCAAAGAACCTGCGAGCAGGTTGGTAAAAAAAAATATAATGAATAATTTTTTTTTTTTCTGGTGGATACATTCGATATAAAATATGAAGGAAGAGTAAATATATATATTGCCACAGATTTTTTTAATGTGTATATGATGACTTTTATTTTTAAATACTAATACTAATACTAATAATTTTTTTTTTAAATGTACATGGTTTCATGAATGTAGAATCAGAATGTAAAGCTGTGACACTTGATGTGTTTGATGTTTGAAAGATTGTCACTAGCCACAGGATGGGAGATCATTTAGAAGATGAAACGGAATAGTTTAGTCCGCGTTTATTTATTTATTTATTTATTTTTTTATTTATTTATTTATTTATTTTCCTTTAGGTTAAGGAATTGATAGTTGTGATTGGAATTTTTTTTTTTTTTTGAAAAAAAGATGGACTTTATTTACATTTATATATAATAATAATTATAAAAATAATATTATTATTATTAAGGGCGTTTTATCAACATTCCAAAGAAATGAAATATATATCGAATAAAATAAAATAAAAAAAAAATTCCGAAATTTTTTAGAAAAGATTAACCGGTTTATCATGAATTTTTATATATTTTTTTATTAAGAATTAAGAATTAAGAATTAAGAATTAAGAATTAAAGGGGGGGTAGGATTAGAAAGAAAGAAAGAAATAAATAAATAAATAAATAAATAAATAAATAAATAAATAAATAAATAAATAAAAGAATTTTTTTTTTTTGATAAGAAAGATTTTAAAAGTCCTGGGCTAAACTTGATTATAATAATAATAACTCAAAATTATATAAATGAAATAGTTTTGTTTGTTTTTTTTTTAAAAAACTAATTGGTAACATTTAACAAACATCTCGGTTTAACTAAGAAAGCTTCTAAAAGGAAGAAAAGAAAAAAAAGAAAAAAAAGGGTTCTTCTCATCTGATCTAAAAGAAAACGAGATTTTTCAAAAATAATAAATTAAATTAAAATAAAATAAATAAAAATTAAAAATTAAAAATTAAAAATCTTTTTTTTAACTAAAAAAAGAAATAAATTAATCCGCACATGAAATTTCTTCTTCTTCTTCTTCTTCTTTTTTTAATTTTTTTTATTCTTTCCTAAAATAATTAAACTTATTTATTGGCATTAAAATCATCCATCTCTTTTTTTTTTTTTTTTATCTTAGTTATCTGAAAGATGATAAAAAAAAAATCACACGCATCCTATAACTAACCATCACCGTTTTTTTTTTTGTTATTATTCTTGCCCGTGATATTTATATAATGACTTATTTTCAAGGCTTTTTTTTTTTAATATATATATCTATCTAAGCGATAACTTTGTTTTTTTTTTATTATTATTTTAGACTAAACTTCAATCCTCGCAACTTTATTCATTTATAAAGTTTGAAATTGAATGATGCAAAAAAAAAAAAAAAAAAAAAAACTTATCGTCTAAATACAAGGTCCAAAAGATTTGAAGATACGTAACTATTCTATCAAATATTCTCTTTTAAATTATTTGTATTACTATCAAATGATTTTCTTTAATCTATAATTAACTAATTATAAAAGAAAGAATGAAAGAATGAAAAAAAAAAAAAAAGATCATCATAAGTTGCTCAAGTCTTTTTTTTTTCAACCTTTTTCTAATTGTTAATAAACATTAAATGTTTACGTCTTTAAAGTCTCTTTTCAGATCTTTTACATATTTTCTTCTCTACCTACCTCCTTTTTTTTTTTATTTTATTTTATTTTATTTTTTTCAAGCTTCCTGGTTTGGCCAACTAGGAAAGTCTCTTTAGTTTCCAAGTTGGGCCCGATTGTAGAAGCGAAATTAATTCCACCAAAACTACAGCCAGCCTCCACCACCACCACCACTACCACCAGGAAACAATCTACGACCAGTTAAAAAAAGTATCAAATGTCCCAACATTGTAAGAAGAAGGAAATAAAACCTTTTTTTTTTGTCTTGAGTCTCATGTATTTTTGATAAAAAAAAAAAAAAAAAAAAAAAAAGAAACATGCCACCATATATATACATGTAAATATATGGACATTAAAAAAAAAAACTTTTAAAACTCCAATCCGTTCCGATCTTTTTTCTTTTCTTCCCCTTTTTTTTTTCTTTCTCTTTCTTTCTTATAATATATCTCCTAATAAATAATCATTTATCCTCGTCTTCATCATGTTTAAAGTCCCAGATTTGCCCTTCAAGCCTGCTCTTCTTATCATTGATCTTCAAGAAGACTTTTTGCCTCCAGTATGTCCCCGTGCTTACTTTGTTCTATACACTCCCTAGTGTATTTTTTTTTTTAATCTTTTTGCCCTAACCTTTTGTCGCCCTCCCCTCCCCCACACTTCATATAGAATGGTTCCCTTGCAGTCCCTGGCGGTCGCGACGTGATTCCAGTTATTACCGAACTCATGGCCCTTCCATGGCACGCAATCATCGCCTCCAAAGACTGGCACCCAAAAAATCACTGCTCATTTGCAGCTAACCATGTAGATGCAACCCCATTCTCCCGTCTCCCCTTCAAATCGCCCGCTGGTACAGGCGAAGTTAAGGACGAAATGGTTTGGCCTGTTCACTGCGTTCAATCATCCCGTGGTGCTGAGTTCCCTGAAGAATTCGCTTCTTCTATTGATAAAATAGATCACATCGTACTCAAAGGCTACCTTACAGATCGCGAGTATTACTCAGCTTTTCAGGACGTCTGGGGACTTCATCACACTGAACTCGACTCAGTCCTTAGAGAACGTGATATTACAGATGTTTACATTGTCGGGCTCGCTTTGGATTATTGCGTTTATAACACAGCCGTAGATTCCATGGCTCTTGGTTTCACAACACACATTATTCGTCAGGGAACTATGCCTGTAGATCCTAATGCCTGGGATTCAGTCACCGTTAAACTCCAGTCTAAGGGCATTGAAGTGGTTAATATGAATGATGAGCTGGTCGAGCGTATTAGCAAATGTAGCAGCCGCAGAAATAGTACTGTTGGAGGAGATTCTGCTGCTGCTAGTCATCGTCCAGTAGTCCCTTCACAATCTTTTCATCCTATATCTAGCTGATTGTGGAAACTATAAAAAAAAAAAAAAAAAAAAGCCACTTTTCAGTGTAAAAAAAAAAAAAAAAATTAACCCTGGATACTTTCGAAACAGGCGCCGCACTTGTTAGTTTTCTCATCAACTGTTTTATATAAAAACCCAAACTGTTCCTCCCAAACCTCTTTTTTTTTTATTCTTCTTTTTTTTTATACTTCTTTTTTTTTATTCTTCTTTCCTTTTTATATATATATATATATTTATCTATCTATTCAATCATTTTACTTTCTTTCTTTCATTGTATAAAGACTTTTCTTCTAAATCACATATGTCATCCATCCCCATGGACCCCTCATCTTCCCTGACCTCACAAAACAAGGTCCCAGGGCCTCCTCTTAAAGATCTCCTCATCACACTAGACGATGCAATCACATCCTTCTACACCTCTCCTCTCATCACTGCCCACCGTTGTGCTCCAACAATCGCCTCTTTAATCTCACATCTCGATCATTCTCCTTCTCTCCTCTACGCACATCTTGCTCTAGACTTTGTCACCCCAGTCTCTGTCTCATCTCGCGGCTCCAAGTCCGTCCACGAGCTAGTTAAATTTCACACAAAACTTAGTCTCCTTAACTCCATTGCGACCTCACCTGAAATCGTAGCTGCATCAACAGCACCAGTCTCCCCTGCACGCACTGTATTCTACTCAATTGCCCTCTGGCATATTGCCTCTAAACTCGTAGCAGCAAGCCCTCGCGAAAAAATCCAGCCTTGGGGGTATCTCTGGCTTCTCTGTGTTGCAAACAATGCCCATCATATCCCTAAATCAACGTTGGCCGCCTCTCCAAACATTCTCCCAGCTCTCATCGAAGCTGCTGAATCTTCCTCATCATCATCTTCTTCTTCTTCTTCTTCTTCTTCTTCTTCTTCTTCTTCTTCTTCTTCTTCTTCTTCTTCTTCTTCTTCTTCTTCTGCTGCTGCTGCTGCTGCTGCTGTTCATCTTCTAGCTGCAGTTTACGTGGTTCATATTTATACACCAGCTCTTCACCAGCGTGCGTATGAGTTTTTCAGCATGGACACGCAAGCTACTACCACAACCCATACCACAGCCTCCCCGAACCTTGTTGTTGTCAATAAATGGAACTCTCTTTTTAAGCCTTGTGTCAAACCTAAATCAGCAACAACCCAAAGCATCTTTCGTATCCTTCGCCGTTTAACCGTCACTCTCTCAGACACTGAAACTCTCATAAAACTAATTGACAATGATAACGACGATGACACTGATAACGATGACAACGACATTATCAATAATAATAATAATAATATTAATAAAAACAACAATCAACCATCTGCATTCCTCCAACCCCGCTTAGCAACTGTCTTTTCTGACGTTTGTCTTGCAGACTTGTCTTCCATGGCACAACTATTTGTCACTTGCAAAAATAAATGTGATGAGCTCTCCAAAATACTAACCTTTGACCGTCAAAACAAAAACAACACTTTTGCAGAATCAATTCTCTCTGATATCTTGAACATGTGCTCTTCAAACCACATTTTCCAAGACCTCACTGTCGCTCATTTCTGTGCATCGGAATCTCTTTTTAACCTCCTAGACAAGACTTGTACCCAAGGCACAACACTAGCAACCAGAGACTATGCCTCCGAACTCTACAACCTTTTGGCACGTAAGGCTTTGGTCAACCAAAGTGACATGGTCCCATTTGTGCTCCCAGTCTCTGTGGCTACCTCCCTCGCAGTCCCTTCCTCTTATATTCGCTTCCCAGGATCGGTCAAATTCCCCTACCTCAGCATCATCCTTGAGACAATCGACAGCAAGGGTGAAATATTGAAAAACATTAATGAATCGCAGCTCTTATGTCTAGCTATCAAAAACCTTGAACGCGATGCAGAGTCCCCCATGTTCCTGCAGGCTATGGTATATGACCTTGCTACCTATGACTGTTCCATGTCCCTCGTTGCTTTATTCAGCCACCTACTCTACCTCCTTTCCACACACCTTATGGTCATCCTTTTTGGTACAGCTTCTCCAGACTACCTTAAACGCATTTTCATTCACCCTGAGGTTCCACCTTTGCCTTCACAACCTTTCCCACAACTTGCACCCACAGCCGTCTCTCGCCAAGCCCTGGAGGCCCAGCTCGAGTCGCGCGAAGACATATACCACTGTATTCAGTTGCTTGCCCGCCTTGTCAACCACAGCTTGCCCTCGTCACTGGTCTTCTGCAGCCTTCCTGAGGGCAAGGCCAAGGACATTCTCATCAAAGGCGAAGCATGCACAGTTCTAGGCGCTTATTCTGTTGCATACGACTTGTCAAAGCTTCTCAATGATGTGCATTTGGAATCAACTGTCCGAGACTATATGCGGGTCACGGTCTCGGCACCATATGGGGTATACGGACGTATAACAATAGTGGAACTCCATAACCACCTAGCCAACTGGAAGTCGTTGGATGGGCTTTATCAACAAATTGAAAGCCTAGTGACCTGAACAATAATGAAAATTGAAACAATTGAAACAATTAAATAAGAAAATAAACCTCATGGATTGATTCGATTAACTTTTATTTTGGTATTAGTGTATTTTTTTTTTTTTTTAGTTTTAAATTTTGTTTAAATTGGTATTTTAAAGGTGTAATTTTGTAATTTATTTAAAAAAGAAATAAATAAATGACTAGTATTTTTAAATGATTAATTTGAAATGGATTTATCTATTCTGGGTATTAAAAATGTTTTGGTTTATATTTTTTTTTAAAGAAAAAGTCCATAGAATGATTTCTGGAACGTTTGATTTCCAAGGTGGTGGTAGTACCCATCATAGAAAAGAACCCCCCGTCTGATAAAAAGCAAATATATATAAAAATAAAAATAAAAAAATTATTAATACCATACGGCTAAGCTTGTTACCCTGTCTATTATTCTTTAAATTAGTCAATTTTCTTTCTTTCTTTCTTTCTTTCTTAAGATAATCTTTCTTCTTAAACTTTTTTTTTTAGTTTAATTTTTTTTTTTTTTTGGCCCCCCCCCCCAAAATATTGGAATTTTTTAGCAATGTACAATTGTAACTGGAAGTCTTTGTTTCAAAATCTTTTTTTTTTTTTCAAGTTTTGTCATAAATATCATGGTATTTTGTTTAAAAATTAGATGGAAATAATTTCTGATTATCTTTTATAAGAAAAATTAATGAAAAAAAAAAATAAAATACTAAAATGCACCATCTTCTTCATTACTCATGATTTTTTCTGTTTCATATTTCAATCAAATATTACCTTGATTGATAGAAAATAAATTATGTTGAGTTTTTTTTTATTTAATTATCTTAAAGTTGTTAGGCAATTCCAGAGTTTTCTTTTTCTTTAATCACTCACATTCGAACTCGAGATTGTATATAAGTAAACAACTACTTTTCTAAACAATTAAAAAAAATAAAAAAAAAAGTTAGTTTTGTTTTATTCTGTTAATTGAATGTTATTGAAATTGAATTTCAAGTAACGTTTTTGATAATCAAAGCTGGCTATTTTTTTTTCTTTTGGTTTTTTTTTTTTTTTAGTTTATTTATTTTTAGGGAAATTTTTAATGTCCTTTTTCCTCTTTTTTTTTTTTATTTGATGATGATATATATATTAAAAATAAATAAAAAAAAAAGTTTATATAACTTGGAGTATTTTTAAAAAGAAAAAAAAAATTAAAAACAAAAAATTAAAAATAAACAAAAATCCTAAATTTATCTTCAACATATTTCCAATGATCCCCTAACCACTATGGAATACTATGTTGATGTCCATTTTTAAACGGCATTTATTCAATTCTATGATTTTGAAACTTTGTTCTAATTTTGGCACAAAAAAAAAAAAAAAAAAAGTTTATATGATGAATTTTCATTTTTTTTTTCTTTCTCTTTCCTAAAAAAAAAAAAAGAAAAATACTTTTACTAATATTTCGGTAATATGTTATCCGTATTATATGTAAATGTACACTCGCTAATATAAATTCAACAATATTGTTAATCTATATCAAAAAGACTTGAAATACAAATCCTTTGTCCTTTACATTTAAAAAAAAATAAAAAAAATAAAAAAAATAAAAAAATGAAAGACCATTTTTTTTTTGTTGCATTTCTTTTTTTCCTCCCCAGTCCTCCCCCCACTTGCTGACCCCCAACCACCAAGTTTTTCAAGGTAATTAATTTTTCCGATCTTTTTTTTTTTTCTCGCCAAAATATCTTCTGGGGTATTTACATCTTTGGGCTTTCTAACATATATTTTTTTTATTATTATTTAAACTACCTCATCTGCATAATGGTATTTATTTTATTTTTTTAAAAAAAAAAAATCACGTTAAAAAAAAAAACAAAGCCAATACTAAACTCTTTATTTTGACAATTATGATTCAATTATCAACAACGTATTAATTCATTTATATAACTTGTTCACAACTGTTACTTCATGTCCTATACCGTAAGAGAAGCTTACATTTAAAAAAATAAAAAAAAGAATCCTCATAAAATATCCAAAATAAATTGTATATTGAAATAAGACTTAGTGTATATCTTTCTATTTTTTTTATATATATATGCTGACTTTTAAACCCTTTGTTGTTTATTGTTAATCACAAATATTCAACTTATAATTCCGCCTCGATATTCTTTTCAAATATATTAATCTTTTGTTATTTCTAAACTCATCTTTTTTTTTCTCAATAAAGTACACTGGTAATTAGGTTACATACTTGAAACCTAATGAATAATAATTAGTCCTAAAATAGTGTATTTTCCGTCTATTTAATATCAATATTGCTTCACAGCATTTCAACCTTTAAATGTTTCTTGCATTTACCCGATTCATATCATCATCTTTATTTTTTTTTTTTCATTGAATAAACCCTGCGTCATTGTTAACTAATCCAAACTAATTCAAAATCTATAAGACCTGTTAAATTTTGTAATATTTGAAGGGTATATATTTAAGCGATATACGAACATCGCAGATCTAATAACTGATCGGTTATGAGATTAATCATGATTATCTCATTAGATTTAATATCTTATATTTAAATACTAAATACAAACTAAAATGTTTTCCCCCAACTAGGGAAAATATGACTCAAACTCATTCTATTTAGCAGCTCTTTTACAACTTTTTGATAAATTTTCTATATTTTCCTTGTAGAAATCTCAAGTCTAAGGAAATTGTCACAAAATTTAAAAAAAAAACGGATTACTTACTCAATGCATACAAACTATCATTTAAACAAAATAAAAAGAAATATGCTTAAAAGCGAACTTGGAATTGTTGTAATTATACAATGCTCAGTATATAGATTTGAAAAAAAATAAAATAAAAATAAAAATAAAAAAATGGCTTCATTTTTAGAATGCCAATAATTTCTCATGCATCGGATTTGCATTAGTTTCTTTCACGTATTGACACTCGCGAGTGCTCTTGTTCAGGCGTCAATAGGTCATAATCATTTTTTGCATTGATCGTTTTTTTTTTTTTTTTTTTTTTTTTGCACTCGTATTCAATAATAAGCTTTAAAAAATATATATTAAATAGAATAAAATAAAAATAAAAATAAAAAATATTCAGTTACTCCGTGATACAAAAAAACTCTCAATTGTCTTATTTTCAACATTCATAAAATATTAAATTCAAACTTGCGTTTTGGCAGGAAAGATCTATATATTGAACTCATTGCCAAATATGTATTCTTTCTCTAGATTAAATATTTCAAAAAAAAAAAAAAAAATTTATTTTATTTTATTTTATTTTTTTTGCGTTTTATTTTAAAATAAAAATATAATTTATTAGCATTAAACATTTTTTTAAATGCTGAATAGACATTTTAAATAATGCCTTATTTTAAGATATTCCTCTTGTGGCCTTCATTATTGTTTTTTTCCTTATAAGTCGCTTATTATAAAATCAAAACATCGCTGTTAGTTTAAATCTTTCAGTTTCTTAATAGGTCAATATTTAATAATTTCTAAATATGTAAATATTTTATTTTAAAAAATATATTATCCACATCTTATCAATATTTTAAAACAATGGTCAAAATAAAAGTTATATTAATTGTGAAAAATGGTAATTCTCAAATGAGTTTCTGATTGATAACGGAAACTGGTATTTTTCATAGTAACCCTAACCCCCAATTTTATAAAATATGTAATCACGTTACTTAAAAAATCTTTTTATCACATGATTAGGTTGTAGGGTTTCCGTGCGGCGCAATTTTTTTTTTTTTTTTTTTCAAAATTTTTTTTTTTTTTTTTTTGATTTCACGAAAAGTCCTAGAACTTTTTTTTTCCAAAATCACACATATAAACCAAACAAGAAAACCCACATCATTTTATATAAATGTCTGGTCTTCACAAAACAACAATCGGCGCGCAAAACGTCGCTGTTTACCAGGTTGCCGGAACTAATACCTCGCGATCTCTTCCAGATTGGATTGCGCGGCGGCGCAAGAGATCATTGAAAAACGATGTTGACTATGCAAACCGCGTGGAGCTGATCCAGGAGTTTGGCTTTGACGAGGCCGCGCTGAGACTCAAGGTGACGCGCGATGGTCAGTTTTGCATGGCCACAGGTACCTATAAGCCTCAGATCCGTGTATACGAGTTGGCGCAAGCTGGTCTGAAGTTTGAGCGTCATACAGACGCGGAAAATGTGGACTTTGAAATTTTGTCCCAAGACTGGACAAAGTCCGTTCATCTGCAAAACGACCGTACCATTGAGTTTCAAGCTCAAGGTGGTATTCACGCAAAAACACGTATCCCTAAATTTGGCCGCGCTTTGGCTTACAACCCTAATAACTGTGACATTATTGTGGCGGCCACAGGCAACCAAGTGTATCGTCTAAACGCCGACCAGGGCCGCTTTTTGGCCCCCTATGAAATGGATTTTGAACAGGGGCCTCCTGGATCAAAGTCCGAAGGTGGCGTCAACTGTGTGGCGGTAAATCCTCAACACTCCCTTCTTGGGTTTGGTCTTGAAAACGGTACTGCAGAGTTTTGGGACCCTCGTAGCAGGCGACGAGTGGCACAGCTTTCCATTGGTGGTCACGGCCATGGTGTTGGTTCTGGCGTTACTGCCCTTAGTTTCCGTAACGACGGTTTGAATGTTGGATTCGGCACTTACGAGGGTAACACTCTGCTGTTTGATATGCGTGCATCGGAGCCGTATGTGCAAAAGGATCAAGGTTACGATCTTCCCATTAAGAAAATCGGCTGGATCGAAAGTGACAACCTAGGCGGTTCGGGATCAAAAGTTTTTACAGCTGACAGAAAGATTGTCAAGATTTGGGACCGAGTTGATGGCAAACCATACACCGCAATGGAACCTGCAGTTGATATCAACGACGTGATATACATTGAAGATTCTGGTATGTTCCTTATGGCCAACGAGGGCAGACACATGCATGCATACTATATTCCATCAATCGGTCCTGCCCCTGGTTGGTGCTCTTACTTGGAAAACATTACGGAAGAGCTCGAGTCTACCAACGGCAGCCAATCTTCTGTTTACGAAAACTTCCGATTTGTCGAGAAGGATGTCCTCAAATCATTACATTTGGACCAGTACATTGGCACCAATGTTGTTCGCAGTTATATGCACGGTTACTTTATCCATCAAGACTTGTACGACCAAGCACGTTCAATCGCCAATCCATACGCATACCAGGAGCACCGCGAACGGGAAATCCGCAAGCGCATCGAGAAGGAACGCGAGTCACGTATTCGCTCTTCGGCCAATGTACCCAAGGTCAAGGCCAACAAGGCACTTGCCCAGCGCTTGTGCACAGAAACAGAGGATTCCGAGCCCAACTTGGCTGCGGATGATCGTTTCAAGGTTTTGTTCGAGGACCCAGATTTCGAAGTGGACGAGACATCCAAGGAGTTCCGTGGAGCTGCTGCTGGTGGAAAGACAAGTGCTACGGTTCGCAAGTCTGCAGAAGAACGCGAGCGCATGCGTGCACTTACTGCTGCAGAAATTTCAGACGAGGAGCGCGAGGCACAATTGTCAAAACGCAAAACTTCACACGATCCGTTCGACAGCGACGACGACAACCATATCGAAGACGAAGAGAGCTCTGAAGAAGATGAAGAAGAAAGAGAAAAGCGGGCTAAGAAATTGGCTAAGAAACAACAAAAGAAAAATACTCTTCCAGAAATGCGTGCTGTGGACGAGCTTGCAAGCGGCAGCCGGCGGCGCCATGGTAAAGGTTCCGAGGACGACGACGGCGACGCTGCGTTTGAAGACTTTTATGAAGAAACTAACCGTGAGGAGAAGGAGCGTGAACATATGCGCGAAAATGTTCATCGAACACGCGTGGGAGAGCTTGAGTATACATTTGTGCCTGAAAAGAAGGAACCCAAGCCTCGCAAGCGTGCTGAGCAGCAAGGTGACGACGAAGACGAAGCCAGAGAGAATCCCAAGGGTGATCGTGGACGCACTAAGCAACGCTTTGATGGTCGTCGGCGCGCAAGCAAGAATGCGTTCCGAGGTATGTGACAAGGATTTAGATTTGAATAATGGAGTATTATTATTATTATTATATATATAGAAAAAAAAAAAAACAAAGAGAAGAGAAGATAAACAAAAGCCCTCAATACGCAAATAGAGTCTTATACTGCAAGGCTCTATTTCCAAGCATATCCCAATCGTGGGCACTGACCCAGCATTCGCTCACAATCTTAAGTTTGGCAAACACACCGCCACCCTTCCAAGTGAGCACTTGTGGATCCATTTCGCGCGGCGCAGGCATGACTGAGATCTCGCCTGGAATGGGTTTGCCTGCGTGTGATAGCCACATACCGATGCGGTCGGTTAACAGCGTGTTGAAGCCAGGCAATTTGGCTGCAGCTCCGCCCACCACCAAAAGGTTCTCGTAAAAGGCCCGCTCAGCATTACCGAGGTTGGTCATAACCACTTGTGGGTCGGGGAGATTATGGTGACTTGTCCCGTTAGAAGATGTTGTAGAAGCTGAGGCTGAAGCGGATGTCGTCCCACTCCCCCCTCCCACGGCCCCACCACCATTACCTGTGCCACTACCGCTACCTCCGCCGGCAACAGCCGATGTTGTCCCTGTCGCTCCCGATCCTTGTGCACCAGTTCCACTGCCGCCTCCAGTTCCACTCGCGCTACTAGTTCCAAGAGTAATGCCGGGAGGGAGTTGGCCAGCGGCTTGCATTTTTGCCAATGCAGCCTGTGTGATGCTCTCTATAATGGCGTGATCAAGTCCTGTCAAAGCATATAGAAGGGGGTCGTCTGGAAGGTTGGGCTCATCTGTAAAATCGTTTGATAATGCATTGTTATTTCCAGGTGTAGAAGATGAATTTTCTGCATCTGGTACTACCGGGGTGCTTCGCGTCGTAGAATTTGCAGACGTGCTGCTTGGAGGTTTCGCACTGGTACCTACAGGCATATTGTTGACTGTAAGTCTTGCATGCGCAATAGCCACCTGAGCTGCACTCTCTGGATCGTTTGGGGTCATGTCATAAATGTCGAGAGATGGAGAGAAGAGTGAGCCATGTGCAGGTATTGTTTCGTACTTGTTAGCCAAAATCCGCCGCTGTTTTGAGCACCATTCTTCCTGTTTATGCTTTTGATCAAACATTTCAGGGTAAAAAAAGCCCAGTGGAGCAAGCATAACTTCTTCAAAAACCTTGAACTGAAACTTTTTTGCCGGTTTGTTAGGTTCACGCCTTATGAAATCGTAAAGCTGAACAGTAATATCTGCATCATTGGTAGTAGCATAGCGATACTTGAGGTCTTCCACAAGAGTGAAATCGTAAGCTTTGGCGAGATTGAGTTCTTGAAAGGGGAAAGAACTCATGAGTAGCAGTTTGGTAAGAGCAACTGTGACATCTTCTCCACCAAACTTGAGGTTAACGCGTGAGTCTGGAATAATCATACCTTCTTCCACACAAGCGACGCTTGCAGTTTGTGCGCCGATATCTACGACACACGCCGTACTTACACCAGCACCAAAAGTCGCAGCCATGCTCTCCTGAATAATGGCCACACTGTTGAGGCCCATTTGGAGAAGCAGTGCAACCATGTTGTCAACATAACTGCGCACATAAAGATCTGGAATGATAAAGATAGTATTATATTCGTGGTAGTTTTTAAACGTGATTCCCAGCTCACGTTCCAAAGCATCCACGAGAATAAGAGAAATATCTCCAAGAAGTTCTTGGGTACTGTCGTAATCAGTTTCGTTGAAAAGCCCATGGCGGATCGGCCACTTGAGCTCATATGTATAAGGGTATTTGGAATCATTGGTATCTTCCGAAAGAGGTTGAGAAAGCCCTGGAACAATTGTCAATGCACGGTGGCCAGTAATTGAGCGCGGCCACCTTTCTTGATCTGGAGCCACCCACTCGATACGACCTGGGTCATTATGATCTGGAATAAGTTCTTGCTTGGACCGTGCACGTTGATTAAAGCCAACCACAAGATCATGTGAATTTGGGACAACACGACGTTTGTAAAAGCGCATTCGCTCGCGGAAATCACGATAAGCTGTGGCGTGAGCCTTTTTAAAGTCGCTGCCAAACATAATAAATGAGTCGGGTTCAGAGGGCGGTTTGGTAGAGCTTATGCCTGTTTCATATGCGTGCTCGGCGTCAAGCATGGCCTGATATTCAGGAGAAAAGTTAGGGATTCTTTTGTCTTTAAGGGATCCTGGTTCATCTTGTTGTTGTTGATGCTGGGTGGACCGACGGTGCGCAATGACATTGGGGTAGACTTTTGGATACGCGTGGCTGGCAAGCCCCACACGAATATTTTGGGAGCCCATATGAATGACAATTGTCTTTGAACCTGCTGGGAGATCTTGCTGATCATCCTTGTGTGAATCCACATTGAAGACCTCTGGTTGCTGCTTGGCTTTTGCTGTTTCTTCCTTTTGTCGTTTCTGACTCTCGTTCCATTCGCGGTAGTACATGATTTGATCATCGCGACGCAGATAGTCTGTGTAGTAGTTTTTCTGATTAATCTGTGTAGTGCTGGAAAATAGTGTAGGCTTAAGATTGTTGTCGACACGGGCAATCCCACTCACTTTAAGAATTGGCTTGGACCCGCCGCGTTTAGGCTTCACGACGGCTGGTGTGCCGCTTGCTCCGCTACCCGTTCCACCGGACCCGTCCGCATTTGTACCACCTGTCCCAGATCCAGAAGCAGAATCGGATGCAGAGGGCTCAGGCTCAAGTGGAGCACCTGCAGCTCCAACAGCTGCTGCTGCGGATGCTGCGCCGGCTGAGACGCCGCTAGGGTTAGCCGTGGGTTTTGGTTTAGAACGCGAACGCGAAGTGGATTGTGTTGGAGTAGGAGCCGGAGCTGCAGAAGTAGCAGAAGTAGCAGAAGCTGGCTCATCAACATCCATCGCATCCGGGTCGTTGGGAGCGTCTTTTGCTGGGGTGGCCGATTCCTCAGTCATAGTACGAATGTTTGGTTATGGTGGTAGTGTTGAAAAAAAAAAAAAAAAAAAAAAAGTTGGTGATTTGTTATGGAGGTTTGGTTGGTTTAGTGGGCTCTGTATTTTTTTTTTTTATTTTTTTTTTGTCAAAGCAGGTTTTTTACCCATTAAAAAAATTTTAGACCCCAAGAAAAAAAAAATATCTCAAGGTTAATTTCTCTGATATAGGACTTATTAAATAAGAGGACGGAAATAAAATGCTGACTGCAAAGAGAGCGCTATTTGCAGGATTTCGGGCTTATATCCAAACACAGCGACCTCTGGCACGGGGAGATTTTCAAAAGCCTTTACGCCTGGCCGCTGGCGTTGTTTCACAATACCCGTTTACAAGTAGCGCAACACAGATGCGCCACCGGCATCGTGAGTTCGAAGTGGATGGCCCGTTCCAGGAAGAGCTAGACGATCTTCGGCATGAAGAAGAAGAAGAAGAGTATCTTGATGGAGAAAATGAGGAAGAGTTTGTTGAAGAGCATGAGATGACACCTGAAGAGCTTGAAGCCGAAATTCCATACGACGAGTACTTGTACAGCAACGAGGGCCGAAGACTGAAAAAGGATTCTGAGGCCGAGCTACGGGCCAACAAAACACGAGGACATGGAAGCACTCGTGGAGCTCATAAGCGTGAAGAAGTGGAGAACAATATGATCTACTACGAGGGCTCGCCCACTGGCATGGAGCGACTCAAAGATCTGTCTGCAGAAGACATGAAGTACGTTGGTCCTGATGGGTCATTAATTTTGGAGAAGCTTGGAGAGTCTGGAGAAGATCGAGACGAGCCGATTATTCCTGTGCGAGAGATTGCGTATCGTGTGCCGTACTCTGTTGAGGGGTACCGGAATCGGCAAAGGGTGTTTGAAGGGTTTGATCCCGATGCGTCGAACCCGACATCTCAGTTTACTGATGTGAAAATTGTGAAACTGGAATCAGGTAAAGGTGGTGATGGGAAAGTATCGTTTTTCAGGGATGCTGGGCGATCCAAGGGTCCACCTGATGGAGGCGATGGTGGTGAAGGTGGGTCTGTTTATATTCAAGCGGTAGAGGGTGAGACTTCATTGCATAAGATCCGGTACCATTATAAGGCAGAAGATGGCAAAGGTGGATCAATGACACAGTTGAATGGCCGATCCGGGAAAGATTTGCTGTTGCAGGTTCCAGTGGGAACAGTGGTACATTGGATTCCAGATCCCAAGGAAACTTTTGAGAGATGGAAGACACACCAGATTGAACAAGCGTACGAAGCTAATAAGAAGAAAAATAGCGCCAAGGACAATGATGACGAAGAGGATGTGGATAGTGATGTTGTTGATGGACTGTTTCAAAGCGAAGAGGACAAAAAGAATGGTGTGTGGCTGAATAATCAGTTATACGTCAAGGTACCAGTTGTTCAAGAGAAGTATGACCCTGTTCCTCTTGGGATTAAACTAAATCGGCATGTATACAATGATGGTGAGGGGTGGTTGTTCAAGGATAAGGGTGAAGCGTATCACTTTGAGCGAGAGTATTTTTTGGCACTAAGAGCACGAGTTGCTCGGTTTGATCGCGGTGCGCGAGCACAAGAAGAGGCCGAGGATTATTTCCCACTGGATGGACTTGATTTAAGCAAGCCGACGCCGCCGATTTTGTTATTACGCGGAGGCAAAGGCGGACTTGGCAATATGCACTTTTTGACTCAAATGATTCGAAATCCTCGGTTTGCGAAGCGGGGGCGAGCTGGAACCGGTGGGTTTTTCCTGTTGGAATTAAAACTGCTTGCAGATTTGGGATTAGTTGGGTTGCCAAATGCAGGTAAGTCAACTTTGTTGCGAGCGATTTCGCGGGCACGGCCACGGGTGGGGCATTGGGAGTTTACAACATTACGGCCAACTATCGGGACAGTTGGGCGGGGGATTGCACAACCTGCATTTACGGTTGCGGATATTCCAGGAATTGTGAAGGGAGCTCGACGGGAGAACCGCGGCATGGGGTTGGACTTTCTGCGGCATATTGAAAGGTCTGGTGGTCTTGTTTTTGTAGTATCTCTTGAGGAGAAACTGAAGCAGCAGCAACAGAAACAGAAACAGAAACTTGAGGAAGATCAGTCTGCAGAAGAAGTTGAAGCAGCTGCTGCGGAAGAAAGCTTATCCGAATATAGTGGTGATAATGAGTCTAGCGTTAGAGACTTGGAGTTGCTTGTTGACGAAGTAGGAGAGAGGAGAATGCGTGGGAAGAAAGTTCTTGTTGTTGCAACCAAGGCAGATTTGGAGGGGAGCGAGGCACGGTTCCGATCTCTTGTTGGGTACTGTAAAGCTCGAGGATGGCAGGTAGTTCCATGTAGTGGGATGCGTAAAGAGAATATTGAGCCGGTGATTAGGGCCATGGGCGGGATAATTACGGCGTGAAGAGTGGGGGTTTTTTAAAGGGAGAAAGAAGAAAAAAAAAAAAATTTTTTTGTAAATAGGAGAAGATTTATAATATAGTTGAAAATAGTAAAGATAATAATGATAAAATGATAATGATAAATAAACTAATTATAATAACTAAAAAAAATTATATATATATATAGGTATAATTCAAGAATTTCAATAATGTTGGGTAAAAGAATGGATATTATAATAAGCGGAAACAGCAAGATTTATTTTGTTTATTTTAATTTTTAATTTTTAATTTTTAATTTTTAATTTTTAATTTTTAATTTTTAATTTTTAATTTTTTTATTTCACAAGAAACGCATTAGTGTTATGCTTGGTACTATTTTAGAGCCAAAAAGCAACAGACAGTAGTAGTTAATCCAAAGGGGAAGAAGAAAAAAAAAAGAAAAAGGGCAATAAAAAATTGGGAGGGTGGTTTTGTCTTCGGTATAAATTTACCAAATTTAGAAGGAAAATAATATAAAATAATATAAAATAAAATACAATAAATTTGATATTTTCAAAAGTCAGTGGGGAGAGCTTTTTTTTTTTTTTTTTTTTTTTTTTGGAAAAAAAGGAAGAAACCATTGATGAAATTGGAAGAATGAAAAGAAAAAAAAAAGAAAAAAAAATTTAGACGTTGATGTTGTTGTAGTCGTCGTCATCTGAATAATAATAAAATAAATAATAATAAAAGATTTAAGGATCCACTTGGCCCCTTCAAGTATTAATCTAAAACAAATAAATAAATAAATAAATAAATGAATGAATGAAGGGTAATGGTTGGATCGTAAAAACAAACAGTATTTGTTAATAATTTATGTTGGTGATAATGCAAATAAATGGACTTGGATTAGTGTATAACTTTTGGTTTATTTTGTTTTTTGTTTTTTTTGTTTTTTTTCTAGTAATATATATTTTTTAAGATAATTCAATTCAATCTTAATAGTTTTTTTTTTTAAAGACTCCATAATTAGTTAGATGAAATATACAATGAAAAAAAAAAAAAAAAAAAAAAAAAAAAAATTTGGTTTCTTTATTAGAATTGAGGTCTTTTTTTTTTTTAAAGAACTTGGACTATTCTTTTCAAAAGGATCCAGAAGCAGCACCTAGAATTGCAATTATGAAATAATAAAATTAATATTTATTTATTTATTTATTATTATTATTATTATTATTATTATTATTATTATTATTATTATTATTATTATTATTATTATTATTATTATTATTATTATTATTATTATTATTATTATTATTATTATTATTATTATTATTATTATTATTATTATTATTATTATTATTATTATTATTATTATTATTATTATTATTATTATTATTATTATTATTATTATTATTATTATTATTATTATTATTATTATTATTATTATTATTATTATTATTATTATTATTATTATTATTATTATTATTATTATTATTATTATTATTATTATTATTATTATTATTATTATTATTATTATTATTATTATTATTATTATTATTATTATTATTATTATTCTCTCATTTGGGTCTTTCTCTTTTCCTTTTGTATAAATATATATATCAAAAGCTTGAACTAATAGTATTATTATAATAATAATAATTATAATAACAATATAACAATAATAATAATAATAATAATAATAAAATATCTGAAAAATGTCCCTTAGGGTACCTCTCCTTCATTTGAAGTCCCACTCAAGGCCCGCCAAAATAATATCAGCTGCTGCTAGTCTTCTTCTCCTTTTTTTTTTCTTTTTTTTGATTAAATGGATTATCACGCCATTTAATAAATCTTCAAAGATTTTGTTTTTGTTCTTAGAAGAATTCTTCTTCTTCAATTGTGTAAGAAAATGATATCAAGTGTATTTGAAAAAAGTCTTTTTTTTTTTTTTTTTTATGTCTGTAATTTTTAAAATTAAAATTAAAATAACAATAACAATAACAATTGTTTATATCTAAAATATTTAATTCAGTCTTTAACTGTTTACTTTAAAAAAAAAAAAAAAACCTTCCATAGCAACTATTGAGAAAAATAGAGAAAATAAAATTGCCTAGAAATATTTTAGTTTTAATATTTTTAAGAAAAATCACCAATATTTTGTTTCAATTTTCAGTTATGGTTTATTTTTTCCAAAGTTATTTATTTAACCATTTATTTATTTATTTATTTATTTATTTATTTATTTATTTATTTATTTATTTATTTACTAAGCTGGAATGAAATCAGATTATAAAAAAAAAAAATTTTTTTCTTAATTATTTATTTATTTAAATTATATATTGTTAAAATTTATTTAAAATTTTAAAACTAACTTAATTCTAATTTTTTTTTTTTTAAAATAATCATTTATTTAAACCTCTTTGACTTAATTCTCTATTTTTTTTTTTTTTTTTTTTTTTTTTTACCTCTAAAAAATAAATAAATTAAATAAAAATTAAATATAAAATTTTGCTACCCCTCTTTTTTTTTTTTGTTGTTTTCGGTATAAAATGCTGTCTTAAAACCTCTTTACGTCCCGGCTATACATATGCGACTTCTTGTTTATGACCCCCGCATGTCATCATCATAACCATCACCATCATTTATATTTATATATATTTATATATATATTTGGTTAGTTAGTTAGTTAGTTAATTAGTTCTTTTTGTTGTTTTTTTTTTTGCTTTTGTTCTTCATCGTTAAGTAACCGATTGTGAAGATAGTATCTGGCGTAATAAGGCATTATGCTGCTGCTGCTGCTGCTGCTGCTGCTACTGCTACTGCTGCTACTGCAAATAAATGTCCAATGCAAGTCTTTATTATTTATTTATTTATTTATTGTTGACTTGTACAATTTATAGATTTCAAAAAAATTAAATAAATAAAAAAAAAAAAAAAAAAAAAAAAAAAAAAAATACCTCGCTCACAGAATCTCGCCTGAAGAAGTTCAAATGTATCATCATCATCAACATCATCAACATCATCATAAGAGAGGCTGCGGGGCAGATCACAGTTTGTTAAGTTACTACATACATAACTTGATATAAAAAAATTTATAATTTTATATATATATATATATATATATAGAGAAAAAAAACTCCTTTTTTTTTATTTTATTTTTATTTTATTTTTATTTCATTTGTTCTTTGTTTAAATACTTTTTAAAAAAGATAACAATTTGAATTGAAATTCATTATTATTATTATTATTATTATTATTATTATTATTATTATTATTATTATTATTATTATTTTTATTATTATTATCATAAGGTTTTTTAAAATATATATATATTTATAAATTTATAAAAATAATCTCAATTCTTTCTCAAATCAACATCAACTAAGTAAGACAAGCATCTTTTTTTTTTTTTTTTTTTATAATAATCGGCAGTCTCGCTTTTTTTTTTTGATCGTTTCATCACATACTAATAAACTAATCTAAACTCTCTTTTCGCTTCTGTTTAATCTCCGTTTTACACTTTATTTTCCTTTAGAAAAATCTATTTTATATATATATATTATCGAAATAAAAAAAAATAAAAAAAAAATAAAATTCATCAAAATCATTAAACTATTGTTATACATGAATAGCAAGAAATAAAAACATAAAAAAAACATAAAACAAAAAAAAACAAAAAAAAAAGTCTATTACAGGCGAGTCCCATAGTAGTAATACCAATAATAGTAAATGAATAATATACTAATTGTATACTAGTCTCATTCTATAACCACCCTTCTCTTTCATCCAGTCCCACCGACTGACTGACTGACTGACTATTTTCTGTACATTCCCCCCAATTATTTTTTAAATTTTATTTTATTTTTTTTGGGAAAGAGAAAAAAAAAAAATAAACATAGAAAGAGAAATGGATTGAAATGCCTTCAAATGCCTTCAAATATTTAAACAGCAACGGAGTGGTGGCGATGGTGATTGCTGCTGCTACTACTACCGCTTCCTCTGCTACTCCGACTGCTTCGACTGCTTCGGCTACTGCTACTGCTGTTGCCACTGCTGTTGCTGCTACTGCTGCTGCTGCTGCTGCTGCTGCTGCTGCTGCTGCTGTTGCTGTTGCTAGAGCTCTTGCTGCTGCTTGATCCACTGCTAGAGCTTTTGCTATTAGAACTCTTGCTACCACTGCTGCTGCTGCTAGTACTGCTGCTTCCACTCTTACTGCTTCGACTGCTAGATCCAGTGCTAGAACTTTGTCCAGATCGCGATCTTAAGCTTCGCGACCCACTTTCTCCATGCTTCTTAGATCCCACATTCGCTTCCAGTGACTGGCGTTCATTAATGTTTCCCATGCTTGAACTGTGTTTGGCCTGCGCAGCAGACGCGCGTGTCACCTGAGCCATTCGTGCTTGAGTATAGTAATAGTCAATCGCAGGATCAAGCATTGGCGACGACGGTTTAGCTTCTGACGAGGTAAGGGAGGCGGAATTTAAAAGCATGCTGGTGGGTGTCATTTTCGGTAATCCCGAAGAGTGGTGCTCTAAGTGGTACCCGTTCCCATAGTTGGATGTAACAAGATACTGCGCCGGGCGGTACTTGGAAGCCTTGTACATGGGAGGGGCAGGAGAAAGCTCTTCAAAGTGGGTAGTTGTTGTGGTTGTTGTTGCTACTGTGGACGGTATAGATGCAAATGATGGCGTGTTACGGACCCTCTTATGTTTTTGTTGGCTCTGATAATATTGCTGCTGTTGCTGTTGTAACTGTTGTTGCTGTTGCAAATGTTGTTGTTGCTGTAGAGTTTGTTGTTGTTGCAAAAGCATCTGCTGACGTTGTTGCTCCTCACGTTGTTGCTGGACCTTGGCAAAGTATGCTTCTTGAGCCTCTGCTCGCAGTTGGTCTCGAATAGGCTTAAGGAAAGGTGCAAAGTTGGTCATCAAATCACTCTCCTTAACCCTCAAGTCCCAATTGAGAAGGTACAATAATTGCTTTTCCATGAGATTGACCTCTGCGACTGAGAAAAGACCCATTGAGAAGCGGGCCCAGTGCTTGTTCTTAGGAGATGAGTCGTTAAGGTTTTTGGCTGACATGATGAGACATGCGAGGAAGATACGATGCCGTGTGCATTGCATACCACGGGCCAGCGGTGGCAGCCGGCTGCGCAACCGCGACAGGTAAACCAGGGTGGTCATCAAGGTGGCTGTTTGAACGTTAGATTTGCGCACCAGGTGGTGGATAAATTCTGTCAAAGGAGGTAGGACAGTTAAAGGCCCTGAAATTTGTTGTGGGTCTTGAGTAGGTTGTGATTGTGGCTGTGATTGGGGTTGTGGCTGTGAATGTGAATGTGAATGTGAATGTGACTGAGATTGCGAATGTGACTGCTGCCGTCGCTGTGAAGATGATGATGAAGAAGATGATGATGACGATGACGATGACGATGACGATGACGATGACGATGGTGGTGCATTGTTAGTAACCTTTGAAGGAGATGCTGGTGGAGAAGGATACATGATTTGGTTTGCAGCATTAATCTGAGCGGCTGAGAGAGGTGGCCTGGGAGTGTATGTTGTTGTTGTTGATGATGAGGTAGAAGTAGAAGTAGAAGTAGAAGTAGAAGTAGAAGTAGAAGTAGAAGTAGAAGTAGAAGTAGAAGTAGAAGTAGAAGTAGAAGTAGTAGCTTCAGCAGAAGCTGCAGAAGGCGCCGGGCCGTCACAGCGAATGACAGAAGAGGTTGTAGAAGCCAGGTATGAAACCATGGCATTTGAGATTGGGGAAGTGACGAAGATTTCCAAGGCTGCTTTTTCAGACATTGTGGGAAGTGTGACTATACAAAGAAAGAACTAGATAGAGGTGTATTGGAAAGGATAGAGATATTAAAGAATAGTGATTGAATAGAACAAAAAATGATTGTAGAATGTTTATATAATAATAATAATATATATATATATATATATATATATTTATATATAAGTACTGGATAAAGATATAATTAAAATAAAAAGAAGAAAAAGTAGAAGAAAAAAAAAAAAAAGTTTAAAAAAAAACGGGGGATAAAGAGGAATATATATAATAAACATTTAAAAAAAATAAAATAAAAATAAAAATAAGAAGATGAGAAAAAAAAAAAAATAAAAATAAAAAAATCCCACATAATAATCAAAAAGTGTAGGTTATAGCTTTGTGTGCTTTGTGTGCTTTGTAGTAGGAAGGTGGTTGTATGTATGTATGTTGAGAATCAATAAAAGTTGTGAATGAAATATTTTAAATTCATAACGGCGGAGTTTAACTTGAAAAAAAATAAATAAATAAATAAATAAATTATAATAATAATTAATAATTAATAATTTACTTTTATTATTATTATTATTATTTTTCTTTCTTTCTCTCTCTCTCTCTCTCTCTCTGTTCTGTGACCTTGCAGAACTGCAGCATCTTAGGACTGCAGCACGCGCACTTGTTAGCTATTTGTTGTGTATTTTTTTTTTTTTTTTTTTTTTTTAAGAGGCTTTTTTTTTATTTTATTTATTTTATTTTATTTTATTTTATTTTATTTTTCTATATCCCGCGACTATTAATAACAAAAGTTTATCACTTGCCCAGCCCCAAATGATTAATAACATCATTATCACCTTCAACATTAACATTAAAATTAACATCAACATTAACATCATCATTACATTTTATTTTTTTTTTTTTTTTTTTTTGTCTCGAATACCCAAGTCGTTACAGTGCGCCAACAATTAGCTGCTTATATATCAAGCTTAGATTGGGTGCGCTTTTGAGGCTGTTGCTGCCTTTTTTTTTTTTTTTTTTTTTACAGCAACAAGGATGATCACAAAACAACACCCCTGCTCACCCAAGAACCACAAACTCTCCAAATTTAGTGTTTAATCTATTATTTTACTTAATCTTCTCATACTTTTTGCTTCTTTTCAGTTCAACGCCTTTTTTTTTTTTTGTTATTATGCTTGCTGCTGCTGCTGCTGCTGCTGCTGCTGCTGCTGCTGCTGCTGCTGCTGCTGCTGCTGCTGCTGCTAATGCTGATGCTACTGCTGCCTCTACTTCTTTTTTTTTTTTTTGTCTTTTTTGCGTGTATGATGATGTTCATGAGGAGTGACAGGGGTCTCACTCTTTCTTGTTCAGTGTGTCTGTCTCTCTTGCAAATAATTGCACTAAACTTCTTAGCTTAAGCAGCCTTTTTTTATTATTTTTTTGTCTTTATGTGCTGTCGCAGCAGCTTAACGCGTTTTACTCAAAAGAGCTTTTCCTTATTATATATATATATTTTTATTTTTTATTTTTTATTTTTTATTTTTTATTTTTTATTTTTTATTTTTTATTTTTTTTTTTGGCTCGGTCTCTAATATTCCTAATGTTCCCAATACTCCTCCAAAAAAAAATCCTCAATATACATGTATGTATATATACACAACATGTCTCTTTTTTTCTCTCTTTCAAATTCAAAGATATTTCCAACAAAGCTTTTTTTTTTTTTTTTAAAATATATATATGTTTATGGCCTGCACAAAAAGCGTAATCTGTAGCGTGTTTTTTTTTTTTTTTTTTTTGTTAAAACATGACCCTGTAAACTTTATGTTCCAAACATACCCATCCCTTTTGTCCTGATAGTTCTAGCGTTTTAGAAAGAATAGAGTAATGTATTATAATACATGCACATCATCATTATCATCTATCCATTCATCTATTCATCTATTCATCTATTCATCAATCTATCTTTGTGCAATCTGAATGAACAACTAAAAGTAATAATAAATTTGCCCCGTTGTTGTTTGTTGTTTGGACAGGTAGGGGGAATGCCGTCGGAGATGAATGTTTTAATATATATATATATATACTACTGCAACAACTACCATCACTGCTATACCTGTTACACCTGCTCCACCAGTAACAAAAACCAATCTGTGCCATGGTGCCTTATGATCGTTTTGTTTCCGACATTGATTTTTTTTTTTTTTAAAGAGCCGAGCATTTTTTTTTTTTTTTTTCAAATCATTATTACTCAAATAATTGTATAAAGATTGATATATTGATCATAATGGGTCTTTATTGAAAAAAATAAAAATAAAAAAAAAAATTTTTCTTCTTTTTTTTCAAAGAATTAGAAATAAACTTTTTATACACGTTAATGGCTGGACTTAAATTGGCAGGACTTGACTTTTAAACACCATCTCGCTGCGGCGGTAGCAAAAAAAAAAAAAAAAAAAGAAGAAGAAGAAGCGTTTCAGAGCATACAAACCTTCTTTGAAGTTTTTTTTTTTATTTTGGCGATGTTAAAAGATTCTATTTCAAAAAAAAAAAAAAAAAAAAAATTTAAAATTTTAAAATTTTTAAAATTTGCTCTTTTTAGTCGTTTTGGACAAATTTCCTAAAACTTGTTTTTGTTTTCATTTTACTTGTTAGGCATGATTTTCGCATCCATCCCCAGACTTCCTTCCAAAACACAAACAAAATCTGCCAATTAGTATTTTGGTTTTTTTTTTTTTATTATTTCCTAATGGCCTTTCCGTCGGTTTATGCCCTTCTTTTTTTTTTTTTTTTTTTTTTTTTTCCTTCCTATTCATCGAAGCCCTCATCTTACGGCTGTTACGGTTGAATTGGAAGAAAAAAAAAAAAATTCTTAACGCCAACTACCAAAATAACTTTTTTTTTCTAAAAAAACTATTCTATTCAATACTAAACTTATTATTATTGCTATTACAAAAAAATATATATATATATTTAAATATATATACATTTATAAATACTTGGTGCAAACAGACTTTTCTCTGTGACATGCAGCTTTGCAACAAAACCAGCCTTTTCTGTTACAAATTCCTTCCTAACTAAACAAAACATTCCATAAAAGTATCTACACCAAAGAAAAAATAATTTTTTAAAACACAAAACTTTATTAATTTTTAAGATTCTACATAGAAATATCCCTCAGTCAATACACGAAACCTTCAAGCTACTAATTAAAGAAAGAAAGAAAACCTAAAGTTAGTAAAAATGTAAAAAAATAAAATCAACAAGCCAACTCTCAATCTCTCTCTCAATTCACTTTTAAAAAATTTTAAAAAGTATCAGAAATTTGGGTATATTTGAGACCACATGTAAACCGGAAAAAAGGTTAATGAAATCCGGGTTCAGACTGGTGCACAGCATTTCTATCGTCATGTAAACTTCAAAACATTTTCACGAGTGAAATTTAAGAGAGATAATCCACTGACGTTGCAAGGAAAAAAAAATTAAAAAAAAAAAACGTACCAAAATTTAAACGAGAAACATAATGTTCACTTAAAAAAAAATATTTCTCAATAAGCAAATGCTCAATGAGAAGAAAAAAAAAGTATAAAATAAAGAGTTTAAAGTCTCATCATTACAAAAAAAAAAAAAAAAAAAAAAAAGGAATAAAGGGATAGAAAGGAGTGATGAATAGTGAAATTAAAAAGAAGAAGAGTTGTAAAGATGGAAAAAGTTCAGGCATTTAAATATGTGAAATCTGAAGAAAAAAAAAAATTTTTTTTCGTTTTAACCATAATTTTTGTCATGTGACTACTAGGGCTAAACCCTATGGCTTCACGTGATTGAAATTGTTCTTGTTTTTTTTTTCGTTTTTAAACTCTCAATATACATCCTTTATTCAATACCCACAAGAAATTTATCATAGGCATAAATAAACCTTGCTTAATTTTGTCTCATATTTTGTTACAATCTCAATGCACCACCCCCTGCCTCGTGTCTTTCCCTCTTTGTTCTGGGTTATTTTTGTACATGTTAGTTTTACACGAGTATGTAATATATATAAATATCTGTCTTATTGTGTTTATTTCTTGTAAGCGATGCTACAAACCTCCATCCTTGCATGCAAACCACCCCGGTCTGGCCAAGATTTGGAACACTGGCATGTAACATACCCAATATTAGACTGGCTTGACTTGGATATTATTATTTCTCAGCCACTCTAACTAAGTTTTAACCGATTATGTTCATTTGAAATGCTAATAACGAATGTATATATATATTGAATCAATAAAAGTTACACCAAACTGTATTTTCATACAATTGATCTTTTTTTTTTTTTTTAACTGCACTTTTAACTGCACTTTTATCTTCCTTTATATCCACACAATATTCTATCATGAAAAGAGTAAAATATATATATATAGGTCTCTCTGCTTTTTTCTTCTTCATACAAATCTCGAGATAACGAATAAAGAACAGAACATTAGGTAGTCGGAATGCCTCTACTGGCGGAATGATTGCCATCGTACGTATTGTCGTAGTACATGATATTAACTGGTACTGTATGTATTTTTTTTGGTATAGCAATAAAAGTTTCCAGTAATACTAAGCGTAGAACTCTTCTCGCCAAATCTCTTTTCAACTTTTCTTTTTCGCAAGTTTTTTTTTATTTATTTATATATAATTATATTTACAACAATTATCAAACAAAAACAGTTAAAAAAAAGAAAAAAAAAGAGTACCTTTTGCTTTCTTTAGACATTCTCGGTTAACAATGTAGTAAGGAATTTTCTTCTGTATCTTAAATTCAATTTTTTTTTTAGACGTCATAAGTCGTTTGTTCTTCGCAGATAGGCTTCATTCTTCTTTTCTAGCCCTGTTTTTTTTTTTTTTTTTTTCATTGTTATTTGCTTGTTTCTTTCTTTCTTTCTTTCGTTTTAAGGATTGTAGAAATAACATCGACATTATTATTCTTATAAGAATTATAATTATAATTTCCTCAATTTGGTTACATGCTGTCTATTTTTTAGTTTTTAGTTTTTTCTTTTTATTTGGGTCATTTTTT